TGCAGACAAGCAAGATGGTCCTTGTTCCTTGCAGAATACAACTTTACACTGCAACACAAACCGGGGAAGGTTAATGACACTGCCAACGCTCTGTCCAGGAGGCCAGACCACAGAGAGGGGGTAGAAAACGACAATTCCGATTGTGTGCTTTTAAAACCCAAGTTTTTTCACATCAAAGCCACAAAAAGAGGTCAGATTCTGATAGAAGGAGAACAGTTGCTATTGAAGTATATCAGAAACTGCACTAACTTGGATCTGGAAGTCTGAAATGCTATCAAAACTCTTAAGAAGGCCCCTGTACAGTTGAGAAGAGGACTAGAGGGGTGGAATACAGAGGATTGGTTTACACTTCCAACAACAAAGAAATATGTTGCTCAGTGCTAGAGATCTTCCATGACTCACCTGCAGCAGGACATATGGGACATGCCAAAACTCTTGAGTTAGTCTCCTGCAATTATTGGTGGCCCCAAATGCAGAAGTGGGTCAATGACTACATAGATGGATTGTTACAGGGACCCTCAGACCCCTATCGTCTCCACCAAATGTCGCCATCACAACCATGTCACAACACGTGACTAAACTGCATAGCACAGCATGACAGCTGTTGGAGCATGATAGCTCTAGACTGGACCTAGACTGGGATCAATAGAAGCCGCGTGCTTCTCCCTTATCGCTTATCATAACAGATAGCGTTATCTGACTTGGACACCTACCGCTGTGCCGGTACTATACCCTGGACCCTTACTGTTGGACCGGTGACTCTTATCTCTGAGTCCTTATGACTCACATAGATGCTTACCTAGTTGGGACTCACCATGACCAGTTGACCTCCCCTGAACTCATAGGATGATACCTATATATACCCCAGTAGTTAAAACCATGTATTCTCTAACTTGATCTTCACTTGTGATATACAACTCTAGTATCTGGTCTGATGCTGCACTCAAGTCATTCTGGATGAACAGCCTTCATTCAGTCTTCCACAGTCTCAGTGCTCCATGAAGCTGACACAGGATCGACTCTATCAAGTGCACTGTTGGCAAAGCCGGGCTTTGCCATAACATGGATGCAATTGATGCAAGCAAACAAAGGTGTTACCATCTAAACCCCACAGACCCTTAAAGCCAAACAAAATTCCAGAAGGTCCATGGCAAACAATTAGCTGTGACCTTGTCACCGATCTACCAATCTTCCAAGGCAAAGACAGTATTCTAGTGGTTGTTGACCATTTCACGAAGCAAGTACATCTTGCTCCTACCACCAAGAATATTAATTCCAAGGGAATTGTGGACTTATTTCTCAAACACATATGGAAGTTGCATGGAACACCAAAGAAGGTGATTTCAGATAGGGGAACACAATTTGTGTCAAAGTTTATGCAAGAAGTCTCGAAAAGACTAAGAACCAAGTGGTCCATGTCAACAGTGTATCACCCTCAAATCAACGGACAAACTGAACAAGTCAATCAAGAAGTAGAACAATATCTTCGACTCTTCACGTCCTACCGTCAAAATGACTGGGTATCGTGGCTTCCCATTGCAGAATTTACACACAATAATTCCATTACAACCACTGGACATTCTCCTTTCAAAACCCTCTATGGCTATAACCCCGAATTCATCATTTCTCCTAACTCCTCTAATACTGTTCCTCAAGCAGATGAGAGAGTAGCCGAAATGAAGGAAGCACAGAAAGAAGCAAAGGCAATGCTAGAAATAGCAAATGATCGAATGAAACACTTCTACAATCATGGAGTAAAAGATGCACCCGTTTTTGAAGTGGAACAACAGGTCTGGTTAGATGCCAAGAATATCAAACAACAGCGCCCAAGTGTCATGAATTCCAAACACAAATCATTTTTCGTTCCTTGGTTTTCCTCCGGCTACTTCTAGTTACTGAACCGATCACGTGACTTCACTTCCTGTCACATCTTCACCTCTTCACATATCACCTGTTGTTTCTCCGATTGGTTCCCCAACTCCACGGGCTAGAACAATCTTGCTTCTGAAAGAAGTACCGGTCAGATCTTGGGCTTCTATTTAGTCACCATCTGACTCATCACTTATATATCATGATGTCATGCTCAGTCATCTGCAGTATCATACGTGTCACGAATTCCAAACACAAATCATTTTTCATTCCTCGGTTTTCCTTCGGCTACTCCTAGTTACTGAACTGGTCACGTGACTTCACTTCCTGTCACATCTTCACCTCTTCACATATCACCTGTTGTTTCTCCAATTGGCTCCCCTACTCCACGGGCTAGAACAATCTCGCTTCCCAAAGAAGAACAGGTCAGATCTTGGGTTTCTGTTTAGTAACCGTCTTACTCATTTGCTTATATATCATGATGTCATGATCAGTCATCCGCAGTATCGTACAACTCTTTTCTCATTGGCTGATTTCTTTCATACTCAGATATCTCCTATTCAATGTTATGTATATAAGTAGGTTAGTTAGTGTTAGTGCTGCCGTGGTCTGGTCCCGAACCACGGTTCGTCCTTGGTTCAGTCCATGGTTCTGAATTTTGCGCGGACCGAACCAGAATGAGGTTCGTGGTCCGCTGTCTCCCAAACGGTTCAGACATAGGTTCGGACATTCCTGAACCGTTCCGAACCCCGAACCGAAGCTTCCTTGCAACATTGGCAAGGCACACACTTATGGTCATTTTGACTTCTGGATCCTCGAGATTTGCACCGACTTTGAATTCTGTCTGGAGGCTCGCATCCCGCACCTCCTGCTGTCCAATAAAGCTCAAGGTACAAATTAACCGTCAAATCAAGCGCAATAAACTCAATAAACTGATTGATATATTACATTGATATTTTTTTAGGATCCTTCAATGCATATGGCTTTGGAGATTGGTTGTTTGCTTTGTTCACACATAAAAGGAGCAAGGTAAGTGATATTTCGACTACTCATACAATGTCTGAATCTGACACACAGTGTGCCCTCAATGCAGACGGTTCTCTTAAGGACGGCACTCTGGGCCTGTTAGTGAGCAGATCTTTTTATTTTGGGATCTGACACTGATATTTCTACAGTAAATACCCATGAACAGTGCTCAGAATGCAAACACCAGGGATGAACACGACACCATTCACACGAGACCTACTTGTCCGCATCTCAATTGATAAGCCCCAGTGTGACACGTCGAAGCAGTCAAGTGCTGATCACCGCATCACCTTTTGCCCTACTCTACCTGATTTTGCGTCAATCTCTGCCCGTGCCACACTTTTTTCAGACTCATTCCTATTACATGTTCGACAGGTGGTGATAAAAACTCCTCCATGGCAACTGGACCCGCACTACAGCTACAGGATATGAAGTATGTGCACGTGTTTGGTCCTTGTGGTGCCGGTGTACTGTCCATACTGGTGAGCAATGTCATACTTGAACGACTACTGTTTGATGACTCAACCTGCATAGCCAACATGAGGGAATCAACCTGTCTGCTCAAACATACAGCTTGTTCCTCAATTACGGACGTCTCATTTGATACATGATGTGAATTGCGACTCTCAACGTGATACCTCGTTGAATGGTGTACAGTGATTGAACTTTCTTCTGCTTAGCTGTGAGGCGGGACTTTTGTCGTGCACAGGAGTGTTTTATTGCCATAGCTAGCAGTACATACATAAGTTGTACAGACTCACAGTGCATCTGTTGCTGATATTCACAGAATTGGGTTCGGTTCGCGTTTGAACTGAAAAAAAACCGAACCTGACCGTTTTGAACTGTTTGCAAAGGTCCAGTTCGAGGTTCGGCGAGTCTAGTAGAACCGGACCTAGGTTTGGTTCTCAGTTCTTGCTCAACCCTCTATGAACCGGACCAAACCAGACCGCGGCAGCACTAGTTAGCATAAGTACTCCTTAGACTTAACCTCTTCGTTTCTACACTTGTAGTAGACTTAGATGTTCATGCTCAATCCTATCTTGATCTTATCATCATCTGTGACCGAGTCTTAGTGGTTGTGTATTAGTCTTTGCCATTCAGTGAACACTGGTCATAACACCAAGTCAGAAGTTGTTGGATCACCACCTTGGCCCCTTTGAAATACTTGAGTGAATTGGCGAGCTACACCACCAGATCAAATTACCTCAATCATATCAAATCCATCTGGTGTTTCATGTAGGATTACTCACTCCACACAAAACTTCCACACTAACACCTCAAGTTGCCCCACTATGTCCACCCCCCAAAATTGTCCATACTGGAGAAGAATATGAAGTAGAAAAAGTAGTACACGCCTTGCTTTCCAGAATATGATTGAAGAATTGGGCCTGTTGCCTGGTTTGAGGGGGTGTGTTGGAAATCAACCCGTCAACATAGTATAATTTCTGTTTTTTGTTTCTGACCTCCGCTCACTACACCAGTGGACTTACCATATATAGTAATCCCACATAGATTCGCTACACTTGTTTCTCTCTTTTCCCCAGTCTCTTATACTCGACTGGGGGTAAGTCATAGTTTAGTATATCTAACACACTCCTTACTGATGTACTATAGAACTCATATGAGTTCTTTATCTTTAGACATCTACCTATCTTTTAAATAATACTTTAGTTGACGAGAGGGCGTGACTCACCAATGCACAGCGAAAATTTCATCGTATGATAGAAAACCAAGGATGTGGCGGCTCAGCTTCTCTGCAATACTAGAGAGGTCAGTAAGTCAAACAGGAGCGGTCGGTCCAGGGCAGTGACAGGCGTCTTCAGTTGGCGAATCCGTCAGTACATTGTATGTGCATTTACCCTTCAATTTTGAGGTTTATTCTTGATGCAAAAACACTGTATACGATAGACCGAGACGAAGTGGCTATGTGCCATCGTTGCAAAGGGAAAGCTTACCTCGCTGATTAGTGCATACTGGCACGTCCTCGAATGAAGTTTGTCACATGAATCCTTGCGTTAGCTACGCCCCAGTACATTAGTGATGCTCATAAGACATGATTGATTGATCCACGAGACAAGATGAACACAATAGTGAGCAGTGTTGAGGCAGAACGATCACTGTTCGGATCTGTTCAGCGCCAGCACTTTAACTTGATGACATTCTGCTCACCGCATATCTAATATCTGATCCAGCTGGTCTGCGATTGGAATGTTCACTCCGTATCAGTTCAGCATCGTCAAGAATCCGTTCTGCATTCGCAGTTTAAACTTTAAACAGCACACTCCTCCCACTGTTGTACAGTGATACCCATAATGCCCTCCTGCGCGCCCTCCACCTTCCCGAATCCCAATCGCTCATAAAACACCGCAGCGTCTATATTCTTCGGATCCATGCCCAACCAAACGCTCTGTACCCCGTTTTCTTTCAAATTCTCTATCGCCCGTCCAATCAACTTCCGCCCCCATCCCTGCCGCTGATGGCTCGGCAGGATATCGATGTGCAGATGTGCAGGTGCGAATGCCATCATCGCATCACTTGCTCTTGGGATCGCCATGATGGTGTTGATATAGGTCTTGTCCGCAGGTGTGAGCACTGCGTCAGGATCTTGCAGCAGTGGCCCGTAGCGCGCTTTGAGCAAGGGCCACCATCCCGTTTCTGCACTCTCCTCGAATTTGCGCGTGTCAAACGCGCCAAGGGTGTATCCCACGACTTCTCCGTCGTCTTCAAGGACGAATCCCCACGTTGATTCGAGGTTTACGTAGGGGAGGGAGTAGATGAGCCCTGGGAGTGCTGGATCGGTGTGTAAGTCTTTGGCTGATGTGCCCGCGTTTGCGGTGAGCAAGCAAATGTTGGAAAGGGCAGCCTCGTCAGCTTTGGTGGCTGGTCGGATGATGGGGGCCATGATGAAGGGTATTATCTATAGTTGGATTAGCAGAATAAAAGGACATGACTTGTTGACGAGCTGTTATGAACGGGGGCCCACAATATTGATCACAAGGTATATCGTGCGACAGTGATGGGTATGTGGCAAGAAGTACAGCACATGGCCAGTGTGAGACGAAAGCAAAACAATCATATTCTTCGAGATTACAGATCATACGTTCCCGAAAATCTTTCACTTGAAGACCCCATATGGTAGAAGACTTTTATCTACCTTGTTCGTCCTGAGAGGCTGGGTCCCATATTCTGAAGTGGCCGTGGCGGGACTGAGACGGTGCATGAACCGAAGCTCATACAAACCATAGTAACCCTCTGTATGGACAGGGTCGCAGTGCTATGAAGGGTCGCCATGGCCCACAAACCCAGGTACTTGAAGGAGCCTATGCCATCAAGGTAAGTATGAAGTTTACAATACATCAGAGCCTCCTGTATATACGTTCAAATCTAAGTGCACGCACCATCTAGGTACCATACTAGGCACTTGCCTTCTCCCTCCATCTGCGTTTGCAACCGTTCGGTGAAGCCTATTCACATTTCTTTTTAAGTCTGAATATTGAATAACAAGATGAACACTGGCCAATCTTCTTGTACTTCAAATTCTCGCAACAAGTCCCCCAGCCGCGTTGTTACGCTCCCAAGTTCAAAAGATTCGTAACACCGAGCTCTATTGCCCTGCAACAATTGACTAACCTTCTATCTATTGTCTATCCGGATCGTCGTAATCTGCAGTACCATCTATTTTACGACACTTCCTCGTTTGCAATGCGAATCAGTGCTAGTCATGATGTTTAGTGGATCCACTTCTGTAACACATTGGTTTCGCTAAGCATGATGACCAGCCAAGTCACGAACTGCTTTGACAGTTTTCTCATGCTCTTTCCCTCGAGTCCCATTGACAACATCCGAGTCTTTTTCATGTCATTCCTGCTGCACAGACTCTTCATCTATCAGATTTCTTTCCACGATCCTACTCATCAACCTTCGGCACTGAATCTACCTGCTGACCTGGCAGCTCGTCCGCTGCGTCAACCTCCACTATGCCATGTAAGCTAGAAGTTGTCTTTCTCCTGGGAAAGAGCATGGAGCTTCTGACCATGTTATCGTAATCGCACCAAAGGTCTCATTCACGCTCAGTCCTGCGGAAACTAATGCTTGGTTGATTCCATAGCTTGAGCGATAGTGGAACTCTCTCGCTTTTTGTGCTCGCCATCTGGGAATGTAGCATCTTCACTCCGCTAGGTTTGCATTTTGATCGCGTACTAGTATGTCGATGTACATCATTCTACTTCCCACCTTTCGCATCTCCGCTAGGAGAGTCCTCTGCAGGCCCAGAAATCACTGAGCGAGTAATACGTCAGCATATATTTCACAACAAAGGAAAGAGTACAAGAAGAGGAATGGTTTAAGCCTCGTAAGAGAACTGAGTGCTTCGACGTCACGCCGCAGGAAAGAGAAACACGAAAGAAAACAATGAAACTCACGCAATGCCCCAAGAACAACAACCAAGTATATCCAATACTTCTGCACGAAACTTTTCTCAGGAACAGGTACTACTGGCTCGCCCTCAGGCGTGAGCGGAGGTGGGACGCGCAGCTCAGGTCTACAAACAAGGATACGACAGTCAGACAAGTTCGAGAACATGAGAGAACGCATATACAGAGGTGGCATCCGAGGTGACTTGAGCACCACACTCGTATTGTGTGCCGGGTAGTTCGCCGTGCTCGTCGTAGGGCATATTCCATCTCGAGGTACAGGCGACACGGCATAATCGATCGCAAACGGTTCTCCTCTCACAGACAAATGTATGACTATATTTGCAGATGTCGCGGAAGGGAGTAGACACTAGATGAGTAGCATTAGCTCAACCCCGATTAATAGAAATAAAATGCGACCCACTGCTTTGGTACTTGACACTGGCCCATCCGAGTCGATCGTGACGTGGTACATCGCGCCTTGCATGTTAGGATTCACTGCTTCTGCGAACTCAGCAAGGTCGTCGTGCAATGATTCTCCTAGTGAAAATGAGACATGTGAGCCAATGGGTTGAATGGATTCGAATGGTGGGAGGGTGATAGTTCCGAGCTCAGCCCACGGTGTCACAGGAAGGTTGGGGTGCACGACACGGTGCATTAACCGCAACTCGGTTGGTGCATTGGCTTTGGATGTAGGTAGGGAGAATAGCGATAGCGTTAGGAGGAATAAAGATAATGGAGTGTGCATGTTAAAGTAAGTACACGTTCAACTTGCAAGTACCATATTGGTGACCTTGGCAGTAGGTAGGACCCCGGAGCGACTTACAATGATCGGAGTATCCAGGGTCTGCCACTTGACTCGATATTGATCTTCTTCAAGTCTATTTACAAGCTACAGTGATCTAGCAAGCAATCCTGAAGTCCAGCCTACCCGTTGCTGGCTTCATATCCTCCATCTACCTCAAAGAAATATGCCCACCATCTCAGTAGACAAAGCCGAGCTTTATGAGCGACTCGGTCATCAGTATAGTACGTCCTCGTCTAATTGGGTTTTCAATACGTCTGATCACATCGCAGCCACGGAGGAATTCGATCGTCTGTGTTTTGATTATGGACTGGAATTAGATGAAGACGTGCGCCCTTCCTTATTTTTCTCGCCGTTGTGTTTTCGCTGAACGAATAAACAGACGACCGAGGAGGTAGAAGCTGCGATTAAGAAAGGACTCCCTGCAGAGCGTCCCGTGAGTCTCTCTCACTTCCAAACCAACTATATGTATGCTCATGGTCTGCTATAGCAATTAAAAATTGAAGTACCCGCAAACAGGTGTGCTGCTACTGGGCGCAAACAATGCACATCTGACCAGTACGCAGATATGATTTGGTCTGTATAGAAGGTATCTCGCGTGCTTTACGTGCTTTTCTAGGAAAAGAAGATCCGCCGCAGTATAGACTCGCATATCCCCCTGGTGGCGAAAAAGATCTCATCACCGTTACTGTCTCCCCAGAGGTACGCTTACTCTTCGCATTGTCCGCACCAACTAACCCTACCACCCCCAGACGCAACGTATTCGCCCCTTCTTCGCCTGCGCAGTGTTGCGCAACATCAAATTCACGCCCCTGAGCTACGCATCTTTCATCGACCTCCAAGACAAATTGCACCAGAACATCGGGCGCAGGCGTGCCCTCGTTGCCATCGGAACACACGACCTCGACACCCTCACTCCTCCTTTCCGATACGAAGCACGTACACCCACCAACATCTCTTTCGCGCCTCTCGGTAGAGAAACAGTGCACACCGCTGCAGACCTCATGCAGATCTACGAATCGGATAAACACCTCTCTCGGTACTTGCCCATCATCCGAGACTCTGATGTCTACCCGATCATTTATGATGCAGAGGATCATGTGCTGAGTATGCCTCCTATCATCAACTCGGAGCACAGTAAGATCACGTTGGAGACGAAGAACGTGTTTATTGATACTACGGCTACGGATGATACAAAGTTGCAGATCGTGATCAATATGGTGGCGACTATGTTTTCGGAGTATTGTGCTGAGCCCTTCACGTATGTCCTTTTTTTGTGATTCGTTTTGGAGCTGAGGCGTTGTTGTCAGGATCGAGCCGTGCAAGATCATCTTCCCTGACGGTTCGACACGTATATCTCCTGACATCGCTCCCCGTACCATAACAGCACGCGCATCCTACATCAACTCCTGCACCTCTCTCTCCCTAACGCCCACCATCATCCAGTCCCTTCTAACCCGTATGACCCTTTCTCCCACCCTCTCTCCCAACGACCCCGATGCTCTAATCGTCTCGATCCCTTGCACGCGTCCCGACATCTTCCACGAAGTCGACGTAATGGAAGATGCAGCAGTCGCATACGGATTCAACAACCTACCAGATATCTTCCCCCAAACAAGCACAGTCGCACAGCCGTTACCGATCAGCAGGCTCACAGACGTGATCCGGAGGGAATGGGCGATGGCAGGATGGGTCGAAGCGTTGCCTTTTATTCTCGTACGTCCCCCCTCCTCTACCATTTCTTAGCATATCTCCACCTAACACCCTCAAAAACAGTGCTCACACGAAGAAAACTTCGCCTTCATGAACCGCCCCGACCCCGGTTCCCTCGCAATCAAAATCGCCAACCCCAAAACCCTCGAATTCCAAGTAGTACGCACCAGCCTCCTCCCAGGGCTTCTCAAAACCATCCGCGAGAACCGCTCGCATGCATTGCCTATCCGTGTCTTCGAGCTCAGCGATGTCGTTTTCAAAGATACTTCAAGGGAGAGACAAGCAAGGAATGAGAGACATGCGGGTGGGGTGTGGTGTGCGAGGAGTGCAGGGTTTGAGGTTGTTCATGGGTTGTTGGATAGGGCGATGAAGATGTTGGAGGTTCCGAGGATCGGGAGGGGGGATGAGAAGCCTATGGGGTATTATATCAAGGAAGGAGATGGTATGTTCTTTGGCTCTTATAGGATCGTTTTGAATTGATGATGCTCTTAGACCCTGCATACTTCCCTGGACGCGCGGCAACGATTTACTACCGCCAACCGCCCCCAAAGACCTCAAAAGTGGGCGAACTGGCTGATGAACTCAAGAGCACGCTGCACATATCCAGTCATCAAGATCGAGACATTGTGATTGGTACGCTGGGCGTACTGCACCCTACCGTTCTGGAAAAGTTCGAGATCACGTACCCATGCTCAGCTCTAGAGTTCAATATGGAGGTGTTCTTGAAGCGGTGATATTTAGGGGACGACGGCGTAGAAATAATTGCACAGAAGGATATAGGATGTACGCTGAACAAAAACGAATCTAATCGCTGTTCCAGAAAAAAAAAAACACCAAGAAAAATATTTACAATAAATACGGTGTATGCCGTTTTGACCCATTATCGTTCTCCTAGGAAAATAGATAGCACGTCTGTAGAAGACGACTTAGCACGATACAACATACGTCCGCCCCGTTCCCTGAAGCAGCCCTTACAAGAGCCCTGCAGCCCGCAAGTCCTCGCACAGCCTGCGCTCACGCTCGATTGCCTCCCTGATCTGTCGTGAACGATCTGGATCGGTTGACATGAGCATTTGCATCTCTAACTCTGGGATGACACCTCTCTCTCTTGCAATCCCGTCATCTCTAGCGTGGGCAGGCACCTGTTCCGGTCCATCCGCGCCCGAGGTTTCCGTTGGTGAAGGGACACGGAATACTCCGAGGCGCTCAAAAAACGTTTGCCTCCTCGTCTCTTCGTCTGCTGCAGATGGAGAAGTGGTGGACGCGGTAGAAGAGAGAATGCCTCGTTCCCAGCGCTTGACGCGCCAGAAACCGAATGCGCTGGTAAGAAGGAGGAACCAGCCGGCTGTCATGAGGAAGAAGGAAAGCCATTCATTAGCTGCTGTGCTGTTAAGGAACCCAACGTTGCCATCTGCTCCACCGTCTGCAGAGTTGGTCCAGGAAATTATATCGTCATCGGATGTGATTGTGGGGTTAGCGTTCGCCCATTCCTCAGCATCTTGTGTGCTTGCGAATGCACTACTAGGCCAGGCATCTGCAGGGTCTGATGCTAGACCTGTGCCGTTGACGTCGTCTAATCGTGCGCGCAGGCCGAAGCCCCATTGAATTAATGTAACGCCCAGACCGGCCCTGCTGCCATATCGGGCAGCGTGGGTAGTGTGCATGACCCAGGTGAGAACAAAGCCGACGAATTGGAATGTGGTACTGATGAGTGCGTTCCAGAGGAATGAGAAGAGAGTGCCTGTAGGAAGACCGTCGACGGCGACATATCCTTGGGTGAGAGTGTGGGAATTTAGGGAGGAAGGAAGGAATATGGAATGAGTGTGATAAGGAGGAGCAGCGTCAGCTTGAGCTGCTGCGTAAGAGGGAGGAGCGGTGTTGGATGATTCTTCGGGAACGAGGTAAACGTTGTCGCCTGGGTGTATTGTCAATACTCGATAAGAAAAGTTTGAACGATGGTTACCTTCTTGAACTCGTACACCCTGGGATGGTTTGGCAGCTACGTTACTGAATACACCGTCGTTTCTAGTGCCTCCACCTATGACTCGGCCAGAACCGGAACCTCCAATAAAACCCCAGCGGCTAACATAATGAGATGGTAGGACAGAGGCAGCGGTGCGTTTCCACCATGGGCCGGTTGGAGGAGGGGGTAAAGAATCTACAGTGAAAACAGGTATTATGCCATTGGAATTTCCGATTTCATTGGGTACAGCATGAGCAGAAGGCTGTGGGGGAGAACCAGGAGGAGGTTGGTCGTAGTCGCATATCGGTGACTCGAAGTTGTAAGTCGCTGGAAGCGAAGAAGGAGGATGAGAGAAAGTCAAAGGACGAGATTCGTCAGCGTCGTCATCAAAGTCGGAGTCATCTGGGTCGTCAAAAGCAGCTTCTAGTTCTGAGTTTAGTTCTGGGTCAGTGCGTGGATTAGGGATTGGTGCATAACGATTAGACATGCTAGCTTGGGAGTAGGAGGAAGACAACGCGTTGGCAATGATAATAAATAATAAATCTCTAAATCAATTATGTAATTGGTACACAATAAATAAAGTCATCTACGAGGAGACTCTATCCCATACCAGCACCTATAAAGAAACTGCTCTGACCATAAACAGGACCATGAGGTGGTGGTGGTATCATGTTATTCGCATACCCTTGCCCTGGTGACCCAGCTCCACTCGCATTTCGTACCATCCGGGTAACTCGTTCACAACTCTCCATTCTAGCCTGCATCATCCTTTCAAACATCTCTAGAATCTCCACTCCAGGTTCTCGTCCACCAGCCCCCAGTACAAGCGTCGGTTGTCCACTACCACTGATCTGCGTCTGGTTGCTGTGGGCAAACCCTGCTGATATCGGTTGTCGCAATATAGGTCGCTGCTTCATGATTCCACCTCTTGGCATTCCTCTAGTAGTTGCGATTCCTTCTAGCTTTAACCCGAACGCCTTCTTCCTCTTCATCCACTTGGTAGTTTCAGATGTTTCTTCTGCAGAGTCCGGCTCCTCTTCCTCCTTCTCCATATCTTCTTCGTCTTGTGTGGCCGCAGCTGCTGCGCTAGCGTCCCGCTCCTGCAGTGACATCTCTAGTTGTGCGCGTGTGCGATAAACCCACATCCGTTCCTGATGATAGAACGCAACTAGGTTCTCAAGAAGCGTAATTGTCGATTCAACAGGGTGTAACCCGACGCGTGGTGGTGAGGAGGGTGGTGTAGGGAGTAATGTGTTCATAGCCATGGCTGCCTGTTGTTGGGCATAAGTTTGCTGTTGTGGTACGGTGTATTGTGACGAGAGCATCGTGTAAGATGGACTTCAAATATTAAGAGGCTAGAGGTCGGGAAAGTTCCAAGGGAAAAAAGTCTGAAACCGCTCTAGTTATAAACCACATGATGGTCTCGAACACGGTGCGACCCCCCTCCTCATTAGCTAGGTTCTAGACTTTCCTTTTACGGTCAACAACCAATCAAACTTCGGGACTGTGCGGCATTACGACATGCAGTGACACCGGCTCTTCGTTAGTGTGTGAAATTAATGCCGATACTGCGGGGTGCAACGCGGGGTTACAAGAATCATTTTAACAAAAATATTATTTATTTACAGATTAGATTGCGAACGGAGCTCATCGTTCGGGATGAAGTACATCGCACTTCTCAGCGGAGGGAAAGACAGTTGTTACAATTTGTCCCACTGCAATGCCCACGGCCACGAACTCGTAGCTGCCGCAACCCTCTCCCCTCAATCTGGCAAAGGTCTGAACTCAACTTTCTTCCTTGAAAACGCCTCATCTCCCTAGATGAGATCGACTCGTATCTCTACCAGACCGTCGGCCAGGACGCGATCGAGTTTGTAGCTCGCGCACTCGACGTTCCTCTCTATCGACGCGTCATACAAGGCGATGCTATTGAGCAAAATGTGGAATATGGCTCACGCAGTGCTGGCAGCGCCGGCGTCATGGGGGACGAGACGGAGGATCTATATGCTCTATTAAAAGATGCCAAGGTCAGATCGAAACTACCCCATCTATCTTGTGCTCATCGTGACTAGCTCCACCACCCAGACGTACAGGGCGTGTCAGTCGGTGCTATTCTCTCAAATTATCAACGCGTTCGCGTCGAACATGTGTGCGTATGGGTGATGCAACGTTCAGTCTGTAATATTCATGCGTAGTAGGTGTCGTCGTCTCTCCCTTACACCCTTGGCCTACCTTTGGCAACGCGATCAAGCTGAGCTATTGTCGGAGATGATCGATGCCGGGATCAAAAGCGTGCTCATCAAAGTAGCAGGCATCGGTCTAACAGTAAAACACCTAGGAAAAACCTTGCATGAAATGCAGGACACCCTCACCCGCCTGGTATGTCCATTTCATTTGCATGCATAAGGTTATTAATTTATTAATTTTCTCACAGAATAGTCTTTACGGCTTGCATATCTGTGGTGAAGGCGGGGAGTATGAAACTTTCACTCTTGACAGCCCACTGTTCAAGCACCGCATCGTGCTCGATGAAACCGAAGTTGTGATGCATTCGGACAACGACTTTGCGCCCGTTGCATATCTGCGTATCAAACGTGCATCACTTCACCCCAAAGAATCATCTTCAAACACGAGGATCGAGACCCCACCGCTCTTAGAAGACAAGTTCATCGAATTGCAAACCACCCTCAAAAATTCAGTCCGAAAGGCGGAAGAACAAAGCAGATCTAGCGGCGCATATCCGAATTCACCCCCTACCACCGCGTCATACCGCATACTAGACCGGCCATCCATACACGCTGTGGGATCATGGCTCGCAGTTGGAAATATCCACCCAGTTCCGCCTCTAGACTTGGGAATACCATTGGACCAGCAAGTTCGCAATTGCTTCATTCAATTACAAGGTATGGGATTTACCAAATCAGCAGGCGTTTACATCATTTTCATGGACAATTTGTTACAGGGATTCTCCTTTCGCGCGATCTGCGCATGGAAGATGTGACTAATATTACACTTTTGTTACCTTCTCTTGCTCCCGAGATCTTCGCAGCTGCGAACAATGCATACGCCGAGTTCTTTGGTGTGTCACCACCTTCGAGGGCGTGTGTTGGTGTAGACCTTCCAGAGGGTGTGTGTGTGATGCTTGAGTGCATCGCGCACAAGGAAAATCCCGATACCAAGACACGCAAAGCGCTCCATGTACAGGGTCTCAGTTATTGGGCACCTGCTAATATCGGACCCTATTCCCAAGCCATCACCGTACGTCCCAGCCTTTTTGACGCAGCACATTTTCTAAATTTTATGAGCAGGTCGAGCCATATGTTTTCATATCCGGCCAGATCGGTCTTCTCTCGCCCTCTTTAACGCTACCTTCTCCATCATCATTGGCACTAGAAACTGCACTAGTGTTCCAGCACACAGATCGCGTCATTCGCGTGGCCAATAATGCGGGGGGACACGTTCTACTCTCGCTTTATTGGCTTGTCGACAAGGCGGACGTCATACACGTTCGACGGGCTTGTCAAAAGTTTGGTGAGGTGTGTCGAGGGTTTTTACAGTGTGTAAATAAGAAAATTAATTTTGTAGGAAATGCCAATGTTGTTCTTGATCGTCGCGTCCCTCCCGCGCGGTGCACGCGTTGAGAAACAGGTTTTGGTGCATTCAGGTCACTTCACGGTTCCGGATGAGGATGATGAAGGGACGTTCACCGAGGTGTCTCGCACTCCGGAATTCCTGTCTGGTATGTGCACGTGTATCAATATTGTTCTGCTGCTCATTATTTTTCAGGGGATATTCACGTCGAGGATGCTACCGTGGCAACTTCCACTTCGACGACGCCCTCCGTACTCAACTGGCAGGTTTCTCGATTTGACGTATCAGGGTCATCGCCCTGTACGGTTACAATCTGCGCTCGTGGGCATCCATCGCCAGAGGATGCATTAAAACTTAGAAACTTGTCGTCGCTCAGTGCATTTTGGGAAAGGGCACTCTCAGCGAGATTGTTTCACAGACTGGACACTGATTTTTCAACTAGTTGTACGTTCGATCTCAAAACTTTTGGGTGCCTATGTTGATACTTGGTCGAACAGGGTCGTCAGTGTCGCATGTACTATTTGGAGACAGTGATATGCCTGCAGTCACGTCAATTCCCTGTCGATTTATTGGGACTCGGGGGAGTGATGAACAGTGGGATTGGGCGGTGGCTTTCGTGGGTGTATGATACTGAGACCCCAAGACGCTTTCCAATAAACCCAATGATATTAATGTCACAAAGTGAACCACGACAAAGCAAGATGATATACATGAATGAAACATGCAAAACTAATATGCAGATACAGCCGTTAGAAATGTAGTGTAAGATGCAAATGTCAACTACTCTAGATCACCCAACCTCAGCAAGAGCGTAGTCAAGGCTCCACCTCAGCCTTGAGCTCCTGCAGCACTGCAAGCCCACTCCTCATCTGATTTTCCGTCTTCGTGGGAGGCACCATACGACAGGCAGCAGCACCGATCAACGTGCACAAGCCTCCAAATCGCAGCACCCACGCAACGCCGTTCTTACCCAGGTACGTGTTATGATCGGGTTCCAGATTGGGAGAGGGAGCAACAGGAGTGGATTCGTCCACGATGCGGAATATTACAGACGCGACGACCGCAATCTGAACTGTATTAAACACTGTGGAGCTGTAGGGAGAAGACTGATGAGACTCACGATGAATTGAGGCATCACGATGGCAAGATTATGAATGCCAAGAATAGTGCCTCCTGCTGGCCTGGTCTCATTATCGCTGGTCTGGGCTTCATCTTCAGGATTTGAAACTTCCTCAGAGGAGCGACCAATCAGAGGATCATGTTCAGACTCAGTCGCCACTTCAGGCAGATGCGGAATCTTGGCATGCATCTCTTTCAATAGCTGCAGTTCACGATAATTCAATTCAACCCTGATTCGGAAAGGACTGGACTCACCTCCATGATGATGGCAAACGGCACCCAACACGCAACAGCCCAGCATATTCCAACCAAGCTGATGGCAATCGTGGCTTGCTTGACGGTGCTTATCCAAAATGTAGAGAACGTTAGTAACGTGAATAACAACATCGCCGCTGTCCATATGTCTCGGAGGAGCCATGGCATCTTTGGAAGTCGCGTAATGCCTTCTTGACGCCACAAATGAAGTCTACCGCGGAAGTGCTCGATCTGGGCATCTTCGTCATCTCCTTCTACAGGGAGAAGACGACGGTCACGTCGCGCGAAGCCGGGAAGTATGACACCGGCGAGAACAGCCACTATGTTGTTTTGTTTGTCAGCTTCTGCGCAAGATGGTACATAACAAGACATACCAATGCTGTACAGCAACATTGCAAATTCACCCGTGCGAGTGGCAAGCTCATTATCTGGCTCCTTCCCGGTCTCGTAGGCCATCACCTGACCGACATATGTCGTGCTGTGGTGTGGAGTCAATTTGTAAATAAGAATTTGATACTTTAAGAATACTCACGAGTAAAACAGGAACGGGAACCTGATTCAAGGCGTCAGCGCACCCATTCAAGGAAGCTACATATTCCACACACCATCCCATAAAAGCAAAGACCTGCACCAGACATACCCTTCTAATAGGTCTCGGAAGGGTCGTGATTGCACTGTATATGTTCTCCAAAATTTCACCAAACTTGCCTCGCCTAGAAGTTCATTTAACTAACAAGATCGTTTCTATGCCAATCCACTGACCTTTGGCTCTTCTTCTTTTCTGTAGAAGCTTTCTCCTCGTGACAGAAGCATGTAATCCACACAGTGACGACAAGGATAGACATGCTGACGACACAGAACTTTCGGAACTGGTCGCCACCCAGGAAGCTTAGGAAGGGCAGCTTCGCAAGAGGGATAAATCCTTGATATCACATCAGCGCAGTGTCAGACAAGCATGGGTAGTGACATACCAAACCCATAGCCAATGATATTACCCGCCTGGCTCATGCGGCTATGCCATGCATTACCAGCATTGAGTTGATCAGGCGGTGTAATATCGAGAAGAAGATTGCGCAAAGAGGCTTGAAGAGCGTTGAGAGCGAAATCAAGAACATAGAACGCGAAAACAGCGATGCCAATGGAAACGTTTGCGGCCTGATAGGAATAAGAAGACATGTATGGGGAACGAGGAATGTAAAAGTACCTGCTTTGTGCGTTCTGGGTCCCAGTCACCAGCACCACCGCCGAATATATCAACAAAGAAACCAGCAATACTCTGACAATACGCCAGAATTAGTGTTGAAACGACGAGAGCTCCCGTTGATAAGACAACCCAGTATCTCCGACGATACTTCGACGTGGACGAATCAGAGATTGCACCTTGCGAATTGTTCAATCGACTGTTCAAAATTCTACTCAAGCACCAGAGAACATACCTATGAGAGGTTGCGCAACGAGTCCACTGATAGGGCCAGCTAACCAGACCAAGCTGGTAACCTGCTCTGATATCCCAAGTGACAGGAGAAAGGGTGTCCCGTATCTGGCGAACATAACGTATTAAATTTTGACGGACCAGTAGCATAAAGAACTTACCCTAGCTCAACTGTCCACGCTATTTGCGCCCCAGCCATTGATATACTAAGGGTAATGAGATTCCATGTACTCAAACGTGTGCGCCCGGGTTCGGTGGAGCGCTGATGGTCAGAACTGTCTGGCTGCTTGCCATTTCCATCGAGCGTGTGGTATGATGCTTGGTCAGGGGACTGTGGCTCCTGTTGGGAAGATTGCGTGCGCTGTCTATGGCGTGCTGGCCATGCTATCTGGGTGGTTGGGTCAGGGTCCGCGTCGGCATTGTATGCAATAGACATTTTTATGCCTGAAACGGTGACACGGAAGGAAGTAAGAGCATGAAATGCAGCAAGGAAGATACAGCAAGGAAGAACAACCAAGCCTGACCAGGTTCAGCAGCTTCAATGCAAGCGCTCCTTTTGTAGAGCAGGCGAGGCAAGTACCTAATACCCGTAATCGGCATTCTCCGACTGGGCAAGCGAGCGAATAATGGAACCGCCCCAAATCTGAAGATCTGAGGTCTGTGGCGCGAGGAATGTATACGGTGTGTGATTGCTAAAAATGAATTGTGCTACAGTGCAAACAGGCTATGCAGGATGTGTATAAAATGTCCAGACGGAAACTAATCCCACAACAAATATTGAACAGTGGAGCATACAACCCAGGTGAAGTACACATGAAAGTCATACAACGAATAGACTTTCCAAGTTATCCGCGAATGGAAGCCGATGAAGAGCCTCTTCGATGGCTATGATGACCTTGAGGAAGGTCAGGGATGGGAGTAGGAGGGGGAGGGGGATGGGCAGCTGTGGACTTGGACGAAAAGAGACTAGGTAGTCTCCGGCTTATGGCTGCAGCAGTGGATGCTGTTGCAACACGGACCCCTTTCTTAGGTGGCTCCGGGAATTGCGCGTATTGCGTGGGGGGTCCAGTGAATGTTTCAGATTCCTCCACCAACTTCTCCTCGTGTCGAGGGGTATCCGATGACGATGCGCGCGTGAGAATGGGAATTGGCGTAAGCGTAGCTTGCGGTGGACGAGCGCTGGTAGGATTCGTTCCAGAACGATTTCTCAGCGCGTCTGCTTGACTGTTCTGGGTTTGTGCGGCAAGGGGAGATGCAGTTGTGCGGAGTTGTGCAGCAGAAAGTGAAGGTCTTAGACACCTCCGGGGTGCTGTCGACCCGGAGATGGCTATGGAAGCCAATGCCGTGATATCGTCACCGTTGGCGGATGGACCAGCCGAAGTGAAGTTATTCCCATTCTGCGATTTGTTATCCGTAGACGCTGTCCCCGCACTTCCGCTACGATTTCTCCTCATGTACTTCTCCATCTCGTCTGCGTCTCGCTCCCGCATTCGGTTCACAATTGGCGACAGTGAACTTTGTTGTGTAAGAGGTGGATTGAGTGTGAGCCCCTGTGAAGGTCCCGGGGAGGGGAAAGTGCCTGTACTACTGGCAGAGGACATGTTATCAGATCGTTGCGAATGGGGGTGGGTATATTGATGCGAGGGTAATCTCGAGGGCTGTGACGTTGTTGATGATGCTGAGAGAGATGAAAGGCTTGTTCCTTGCCCTGGCCCAATTCCCAGCACTGTCTACATCGCCGCTATCAGATGTCGCGGTAGTGCGACTACCACCGGAGCTGCTCCGCATTCGAGGTGCGTTTCTTCCGACGCTGGGTGTCTTTAATGGAATAGGCGGCGGTCTGTCAAGGGGCGGAACGCAACCCCATTCATTGCCTCGAGCAGCGGCTTGTGCAAATACCATGCGTCTGGATTTCTTGTTAGTCTCAAATTGCAGACGGGCAGAGTCTTGCAAAGTGTCCCGCGTGTTAAAACTACATGACTGTTAACAGCCTAGTAATGTGTACAAAGAAACGCTTGGCTCACGAATATGCGTAATCGGACGCAGTGAACCCGTCATTGTTCCGGGCAGCAAATTGACATCCCCTTTCAATTAAAAGTTGGACAATCTGGGATCAATAAGTAAGCGAAAGAACGTTCCATTAGATCAATGCTCGCCACGTACCGGGATATGACCCCAAGAACTTGCACTGGTGGGGTTTAGTCAGTTCCAAGCCCCGATGACTAGTAACAACCTACTAATGGAGTGGAGTATTCCCTTTGTTATCTGACAAATCGAAGTCGGCGCCCAAATCACACAGCATCTTGAGAAGGCATCAGATAAAATAAGTTCCAGCTCAAGATAGAATCGAGGTCTCGGGTGACTCACGCGAACGAGCTCCTCGTTTCCCTTGAGAGCAGCCATATGCAACGCCGTTTTCCCTTGTATGTTGGACCAGTCAAGAATCCACGGGTAACGTTCGTAGTAAAGTCTTGCCATGCGAAGTGCAGCACCCATGAGATCAACCTGTGAGGGGCCTGGCGCGTAAGGGTTAGGTGGAGGAGGCTTGAAGTCAGCCAATAGCATGAGGATAGTGTTATTCTCAGAATCCTGATAGATGAACTTGTCAAAACCTCTGGGGGACAACGCTTGTGGTGAGCGCATACCCTGCTGAGTTCTTCATCGTCATGTCCGGCTGTCAGTAAAAACTCGAACGTCTCCTCATGCCCCTGAGCTGCGGCCCAAGCTAATGATGTGTAGCGCTTGGGACCGGGGTCAGGATTGCGCATGTCTGTTCGTTGAATTAGTCTCTTGACGAGGAAGAGATTGTTCTCTGTACATATGGGCGTCATTAACAGCGATATACGAATGCAACAAAAGAACAAACCTTTGACCGCTCTACGGAGGCGTACAGTAGCATCTTTTTCTGCCATGTACGGAGCAGTTGGTAGCAAGGAGGGGTAAAGGAATGAAAGAAATGATGGACGAAACAAGTTCAAGTCAATTATGAATTACGACGACCAGTTCCACGTGACCATATGACCCTTAGTTCGCTTTGGTACTTACGCCTCCCTGACATCTTGTCAACTCCCAGGATCTACGTTCTCATCACCCTCGACCACGCGTCTGTCCCCCTTTTCTTTGAGCAGGAGCAGACTTTACTTTATCGATCATGCCAAAGGTCGTCTCTCGTTCAGCAGTTTCCTCATCCACGGATGGTTAGTTACACCCTTCAGATTCTCTGGTCTATCAACTGCTCATTTTCTTAGCACGGCCAACGGCATCAGCCGCAGCTGCTCTCAGGGTATACTGTGAGTACCGCAAGTACTGCGTCGCTAGCCGCATTAGTTCATCCGTGTCCCTCGCACAGACTGTATCTGCGGCGAGTTTATCGTGCGCGTCTTCAATCGGGCTCGGCGCTCTTGTCGCGAACTTACGCAATATTCCTGACAGCTTGTGATCGAAAAAAGCCTTTCAGCCCTCCCTAAGCGTCAGACTGATGGGGCTATCATCATTCGCTCTCAGGATAGCGGTACAGAGAAGGCGGTCGTTTTCAAATTAAACGCCAACTCGACCGATCCCGTTCTTATCGAAAGGTACGACCAACGGCTACTTGTATTTGGTAGGCGGGCTGATTGTATGTTGTAGGCAAGGGGGACACGAGCGCCAGTATAGATTCTCATGTCCGCGGTGCAATTTATTGGTCGGATATCAATCTACCCCACCTCCTGTCAAATCTGGTTCGTTCCTGTATATCCTCAGGGGAGCCCTTACGCAGATGCAAGGCCAAGTTCCCAAGGACGCTTTTGACGGCGAAGCTGCTTTGGAACTTTCAGAAGGTTCGACCCAATAGCATGGTTCGTATGGGACTGGACACCAAGAATTGGATATAACCTCGATTCGCGTGTAATTATGATAACAAAAATCAAAACTTTCGACTCGTAACACAATATGAAAGTGTATATGATCTAAGGACATGATGATTGACCACAGTGCAAATCGATTGGTGGCAGATGACGTATGTATATGAATGCCGATCGCTAGTAAAATATTTAATATCGCGGGCCCAACTGAAAGAATACTATGTCAGTGAAACGTCTTCATGAAACAAAATTCGACAAAGTAATGCGGCTCAGCTACCGTTGTAGAAAAAGCTCACAATCCATGCATCCGTTGGACGCATGGATTCATACAGTGTGAATAAATATGTCATCACCACCGCAGAAATAAAACAGAAGCAGGAGTATGGAAGTGCGAACTCACCTTGGTGTTACTTGTGTCTTGCATTGTTACTCTTGCGACATGGGCGTTGAGAAGGTTGATCGATACTGAAGAAAAAGTTGATTTTCGCGAAATTTTATTCGCCACATCGGGTTTGTTCGTGTTTGTTTCGGAAGCAAACAACGCTGCCGCCCATACTTACATTTCTACGCCATCGCACCACGAGCCTATTGCATCGTGGGGTTTGATCAACCATACTACTATTGTCGCTTAACTCTCGGTAGAAAATATACCGCATTCGAATGTCCTCAAGTCGAACTGCTTTGGCAACAGTTGCATTGGGGAGTAGAGCCGGCGCTACAAGTATACGGTGTGTAGGTATTGATGATCAATGTAGCAAACTGGTTCATCCGGGATATTTGGGAATTCGACCTCGACTAGACCCACCTCTTCTACCAGCTTCCATTCAGTGAATCTCTCCTTCGGTGACGAGAATCTAAGCCCAACAAATTCGGCACATTCGGGTTTACAGGCGGGTAAATAGTGGAAAAGATCAGGTTGCCGGTATAGGATGAAACCAGCTGACTTGCTCCGGATCCCTGGCACATGGCTGATGAGTGAATAATTGACAATTCCGAGTGCATACTGATCAATGGAGGCGAGCTGGTGGTTGGTATCGATATCAATCTTGATGCTTGGACATAGCGGGCAGTCTAGCGTGATGCTGTAGCCATGCCCCGCATACATATTTGAACTGATACTGAGAGGGAGTATCACCAGAGGCACCCGCAAGCCAAGGCTGGTCATAGTCATCTCCAGCCGCCCACCTTCAAATTCCAAATCTCGATAGCCCACGAAGCTCTGTGGCGATCGAGGAATAGCATGCGAAGTATGATGCCTCGCAGCTTCGCCTTTCCAGTTGAGGACAGAGGGGTCACCAGCCTGTATGATGGCTTCTACGAGCCTGCAGAATGCGCGGTCTCCTCCTTCTCCATACGCGATCTGCAGGCTGACATCAAACATTCCCATCAGGGAATAGGCCACATCTTCTACCCTTGTTGTGTTGCGTCTGGCCGCCCACGTCATCCGTTTATCCACCTCGGTCGGACTTGGAGAAAACTTGCGTTGTAGGTCATCGTGAGGAATGCCAGTAGCTCTCTCCAGAGTCTCCAGTATTTGAGACGGTTCCCGACGCCTCAGGTTGGACAGTAAGGGCCCACTAACCAGGAACTCGTCGATGTCATCCCTATGATTCTTGTCATTCTTGTCACCCGTCATGGGCATCCAGTACTTGTTAAAGAATCTGATTCGAGTGGGCGCAAGGAGTTCTTGCAGCGTCCAGCCCCTTTCAGTCCATTCATCCTTCATTATATCCTCGATAGTCTCGCTTTGTGCCAGATGGACGATGCAGATGGCCGAGTTTCCATACCAACGAAACATGGAGCGAATCGACTCGTCGAGCTCGGTACTGCTACTCTTGTTGATGCAGCAGGTATCCGACCACGCAAATTCCATGTTGTACTCTCTGGCCTTTGCGCAGAACTTCTTCAGCTTCTCGTATCCCGGGCCTGCTGCTGTGCCTGCCTTGATCTCGTCGTAGGTTGGCTCTCCTTGGTTCAGCCATCGGTGAGACAGAATGGCGTATTTGACAGTATCGGAGGGTTGGCCGAGACGCTGTATATAAGACGTCCTGAAATGCTCCCTCACCTCATTCCGCTCAACAAACTTCATGTCTGTTAGGCGTATGAGTCGTATTGGGATGTCATTCATCGCATATCGGTCGAATTCGTTTATGTCTGGCAGGCTCATGACAGGTTACTACTAGCAAACACAATGAACTTGTGCGACACGATGATGGAGCGTCCAACAAAACTCACCAGCGTGGACGTCAAGAGAATGTACGGTTGAAAGGGGTCTCTGCTTTTGAACTCGACCAGCTACGAATCGTTAGGTGAGACTCCAGCATCTCATTTGCGGTCAAATCTTCACTTACCTCAGGCCAGTAGTAGAATTTTTAAAGATGGTATTGAGATAGTGCAACGCCAGTACCACCTTCATTCATCGATCGAAAATGTCAGTTTCTCAGCATGTGCAACGAATTTTAAAACATTAACTCACCTTGAGGCGTCTTAGTGGTACTGATGCAGACGTGCGTTCCGCAGTGCTGTGAAGATAGCCTGCGATGTAGGGCATTTTGATACCGGTGTATAGAGTGCTCGAGGCTATGACAAGCTTCTCGAATCTAAATATATCCGGCCCGAGTCGATGGATGCGGTGCGTGGACTGGTTGTTCAGTACTATAGCAATGACATCAGAAGGGGCTAAAAAAGCACTGGTAACAACAAAGGAAGAAGTCGCGCATGAAATGATGGTCTCGGAACTCAGAAGAAAGGAAACACTTCGTCCGTATCGAAAGCCACGTCCCAATTCAGAGCCTGTCAAATTGGTCCACGGTCGGGTCTTCGTCACAGTCTGCCCAGCGGGTCTCGGCCGTGAGCAGTGCGATCCATTCCTCGCCTTGGACAGCCTTTCGGCACATGCTTCGATCCGATAAGACACTAAATCGTAGGTGTATTTGAAGAACAAAGATGCTGTCGAGCCTTGACTGTTGCCCGCAACAAATACTTACCCATTTGTATAGTAACAAGTTGTACTTGTTGCATCACAACAGATCAGACCGTCTCAAATGTCTACATGGTGACCCGTAATGCAATCCGCTCTGTTTTTTGGCGCGTTTGCCTCGCTGCCCTCACGGTCGGTTTGTTGAAATTCAACTTCCCTCGGATTTCAAATGGACCTTGTATTCAACTTTTACAGAAAATTGAAGTCCATACTTCGATGAATTAACACGCGTGTCTATGTTACAAGTCTACGAACTCCTTCAATATCGATAATGCAGTGTAGGGCACGTAGATCTGGGCTGCCGACTACGACCTCCATTTACAACTTGTTCCAAGTGAGTGGCCGGCGCTATTGGTTATTTTGCTGCCTTCTTCTAATGCCTCCTCGTTCAGAATTCCAATTAAGACTGTTTGAACACACTAGCACTTACCAAGTGCAAATCTTCAACGCTGATTCCACGTCGAGCGTTACTGCAGTGTGTACCACGTGCCATTCACATCAGCTTAGCATGCCACAGAACGGGGCCATCCACGAGCGATATTCTTCATCATATCGCTACCGTTTGTTGGGCGTCTCTTCAAACCTAAAGCTTAAATTTACATCGGAGATCGCGATGATCCGTCGATTAAGTACTTAAGTATCGCAATGCATCAGTATTCCACCTCAGTATTGTTCCGCACTACGCTGGGGTGTGTATGTTCCATTGCTCATAATAAATGGACTAACTCGTAGCACAGGCCTACTCCCGTCAGGTACTTGTGAATTGTAGCATATTCTGCGATAGGCTGAGCCTCACTCTCGCTAGCTGCATACAGATCTCATCAACAACACCACAAGAAGCTCAAAACACAATATCTACACAACTGATCCTTCCAAACGCAATGGATTACACCCTCACAGACGAATTACGACGTCTAAGAAGTGATGTTGAAAGACTCTCCCTTGAGGCTCAGCGGAAGGAACGCGAAGTGTCTCTGTTGACTGGTGTCATATGCCGGCTGGAAACAGAATTAACACGGGACTCCAACACAACGCCTGCACAAGCAACTATCGGCGGCGCCAACTTGCGCGACTTACTGCAACTCTCAGCGCCGGATCTATTGGCGCTGGACAACGACATTCGGTTGATGAGGAGGAAGGTGTTGGACAGAGCCCCTACAGACGATGCCAACGGCGTCCAGGATTTCCTAACAGAGGCTATGAGGGAGGCTATGAGGAGGAGGGGAGTTAGGTATGAGGATGGTGCGGGTTGTGATTGGAGTAATCCGTGGTATAATGTTTATCAGAAGCAGGAATTGGAGGATGATGCTAGGTTAGTAGGGTTGAGGGATAGTAGGAGGGGCGTGCCGGCTAGGGTTGGGGGCGGGAGGTATGATATAACTGTTGCCTGTGACACGCTGATTGGTTTGTCACGATGGAGGGGTATCCATTGATCACATTACTTTCCTTAGTGACAGGGGGTTAGCCAGCCCAAATACTTACAGTACTTAAGTACTAGTTCTTACACTCACTGACAGTTGTCTGGACGTTTTTCTTCTTAGATATCACTATTTTCTTGCTGACCGATTTATCCAAAAAAGTCAAGTCAACGGAGAGAGCTCAAGTCTCCGGATAAATCAGAAAGAATGCTCCTGTAATCTGAGCTTAACTGATACAATGCCGAAGTAGTGAACTGTAAAATATACGGTCTACTACATCGGCATGAACGTCAATTCAGTACATAAGTGCATAAGCACTGGTACAGTATGCTTCATGCAGTGAAAGCATTTTTCAGGCAGGAAGCAAAAACTCTGGCACCGACTGAAGAGGTCCCACGAGCAAAAGTAATATACGTTGTTGTGCTTTGTTGATTTGTGAAGGCCTTGCCAAACGAACGCAAACAACTGTCGTGCATTGTCTTCGATTGCGCCAACAATTTCTTCCTCTTTCAGCTTTGTTTCCATGACTCTAGCCCTGAGGATGTTGTTGCCCGTGGGTCAAACGGATATTGCATCCAAAAATTACCAAGTAAGGAAATTCTCGATGCCAAGCTGGTTGCTTGATTTCTCCTTCATGCTCGTCGCCAGAGCAGCAGCATCCGACAAGGCTCGAGGTACTTAAGCAGCCCGAAATTCAACATGGGTCCTCAGCAGCAGCAGCTTCATCCGCCTCCGAGCAACATATCCAAACCGCATTAGCACCCGTTCGCACTCATCCTTCTCTAACGCAATGGCTTACACAACCTACAACGCAAACACTCACTTCTCCGTCTTTCCTTCCTCCCCTGCCTCGACCAACGTATTTGCCATCTTCGGCCACGCACAGTCACCCCGTGACAACCACATCATGTGCGAAGACCTTCGTAAGGTCTTCAGCTCCAACAACGGGCGCACCACCAGCCAGAAGAAGCAGAGCTCCGGCTCACTCAAGGGGTTGAGGAAAATTTTGTGTGCCATCTAAACGGCCCCGCCAGACGGCATTTTCCTGTCGTCGCTCCACGAGCACCCGCACTCTCCTACGGGACTCCCGAGAAGACTCTTATGCCTTTCATATGCGTCTATCGCACTCATTTTGCGCGTCGGGGTCGCACCACTTCCACCTCTGAGCATCTGCTCCCACGACCACTATTGCCTATCCAATCTGTGTCGTGCACATCATACTCGCAACCGGGTCGAGTTTCATCTCCCCTTGCTACCAATCATGTCTCAGAGACGGTCAAAATCACGCTCCGATACTTTCAGCGCTATTACTGTATCAATGATCAAATGCATGGCACCCCGGGGCAATTTCGGACGCGTAGAGAAAGGACTCCTAATATTATTGTTATTATTATTATTATTGAACGGTTCATTCAAGGGACTCACCATATCATATAATACCCATAATTTGCGAAATTCAGTGTTCATCCTTCGATTTCCCGAGTTTCGTGCGGTCCGTTGATTCTTGATTCACCGGTGAATCAGATGCGATTGATAACTAGCACGACAACATCAGGCGTCAGACGTAGGGTAGAGAAAATACTATGGCCAGCGACATATGCAACCAGAAAGGAGCACGTGCGTCGCATGCGCTTAGACTTACCTGGCGGGATCTGTTGGTCATGTTCTGTATCAGATTGAACCGCAAGTATCACGCCATGGGATAGATAAAAATATTATCACATCTGCTCTAGTTGTGGATTACACTGGACTGTAGGTGCAACCCGTGGAGAAAACAGCTCATTAACACAACAGAAGACGAAACATGAAAAAAATAGGTGCCTTCTACGATGCCTTCTTCCACTCCCCCACGCTCTCAACTGCAGCTCAGAAGGTACGTCGTAGTGGTGTGCCGTACCTACGATGTAATTCCCATCTGTGCCTGCGCTCCAACTCGTGGTTGTGGTCTTAATTGTGTTCGCTGTTAGTCTTGGATCTGCTTGCGCTCGTGTTTGTCCTAGGACCTGGGTCGGCGATCGTGTTAGCGTCCCACGAACGCGGTGGACAATTGTTGAGTACGGGTGGAGGAACCTTCTTTGGAATGGAATACTATTGGCACCACAAAACAGTCGTGCGATAGATACTAGCTGTTAGTACAAAATCAAAAGAAAGTCAAAGCTGACGGCAGGATTTTGGCGAAGAAGGTTGAGATTGCTGGTCATAGGTGGTTGAGGCTATCGTCGACGCTGATAGATAATGTATGAGCTGAATGTTGTAGACGCACCGCACGAGCAACACACCTTGACCAAAACTTACCACTTCAGCGACAGGTAGGTTGTGCTCTCTAACTTCCTGCTAGGCATGCCAGACGAGGAATCCGGAGAAGCGCCTGTCACCTACCCCTCTAGAACAGCTAAGCATGGAGGATAATCAAGAGAAGGAAAGAATCACCTGCATTGCAGCTGTTCCAGCCAGCAAGAAAATAGCGGCTGGGTCTTTCGATCAAACTATACGCATCTGGAGGCTGTCCGACGGCATGGAAATAAGGGAGTGGATGGAAGTGGATGTCAGCGGCGCACCTGTAATCTTGCGAAACGGTAAACATGTGTTTAGCGCTGCAGCGCTGAGGGAGAATTTCCAGTAAGACGGTGTATGTGTGTATTGACAGCTGTAGGTGTATGACTGAAGAGACCTGCGACGATTTTCCCACTTTGAGACAGGGAAGATCATCGCAGGTCCCTTGGACGGTCAAACCGACATCATGATGGTATCGACTTTGGACTTTCCCTTGGTGGCGGGATGCTGGCGAGCGGATCAATTGATGGCACATTGATTTTATGGTACGTCAGCACCTGAAGAAAGGTGACCCTCTTTATGTAAATTGTGTGGCACTGCCAGCATCAACTGCGTCCAATTTTCTGTGATGGGCGTTGCTACTGTCTAAATATAGGACAGGGAGCTCTTCAACGGCCACCACGACTTTTCTCCTGTCGGCGGGAGCAGTGAGGTGATTGCTTTCAACTTTTGTTTCTCTCTGTGTGTGCGCGCTCATTCCAGGCTGGTCCTTCACAGGGAAAACAACAGGTAGCGTGTCCTTTCCTAGCATCCCAAGTATATACAGAATATAAAAGGTCTTCTCGACGTATGCGATCTTTTGGTCAACCGTGAATTCGATTGTTTTCTCAGATAGTACTCTTAGTCGGAGATTCCTGGCCAGCGCCGCAATAAGGCAGTGAACCACAAGCTCATCGACAGCTCTCGCGGACGGGCTACTCAATTTACATTGCCACGCGCTGATAAAGGAAGTCCTTCATATTCTCCCTTGCTTGATGGCAGGACCTTTTCAATCACATTCGACCGTCGTCAGACAAGGGGAAGCAAAGGCGCATCAGCCGAAAGGGAAGGCTGCGAAAGCAGTCAATGTTCCTCTCGGACAAGCTACATATGTTTGTTTTCTACTTCTCCAATTCTATTTGGTTTGTGAGATCTAACCGCGTCCTTCGCTAGGGCAACGCTGTTGGTGTGAATGACGGAACAAGACCGTATGCTCTCTTCTTTTACCCCAGCTGGTTCTAGAAAAAGGAGAAGAAACAAGATCTGCCAGAGCCTAGTCTATGACGACGAACTTGAAGAACGGCGAACCTGAGGAAGACCTTGGTATTCCTATAACTACTACAGCGGTACAACCATCTCATCCGTTTGTCGAACGGATTAACTTATGTGGTTTTATAGGGTCCAATTCACCCAGCACGAAATTGAATTGAAATCAAGCAATGACCAACCAGTCGCAGCCTGAGGCAGGATCTCGCCTTGCAGTAATCCAGAATCCCAGTCTTCGTAGTCAGTTTCATCTCTTGGACCCTCGAATCTTCCCATCATGTTCCTTCTTCCGATGACTATGACCATTTTCTACTACATATGACACTACTGGACTTTAAGTCAGTTTAACGTCTTCGGAAGTCGCAGTTATAACCGGGCATCATCTGGCACACAGTGGTGGCTACCCCACATCCGTAGGTTTATGCCCTTCAAGTTGCAATGACTTTAGGTATCGGACCAATTGGCAAAAAGTGAAATGCATCGTTTCATAGCTCTTCAGATTAAGCACACTAATCTTGAACTCGGAAGTAGTATCGATGCAGCTGGCATGACGTATTTGTCAACGTTCACAAAATGCCCATAAGGTCGACAGTCGACTGGCTGCAGGAGAATTTAGTTTATGACACGGCACGTTCCGTTATGTGGGTCTGAATGCATCTCCAGTGCTACTTGCTCCATGCCTGTGATCGTTTTGTGGTTGGGAATCGGTTGTTACGAATAGGTGCGACGTCTACTACTTAGTTGACAGCAATAATAATGATGCTGGTGAAAAAGTCGATGAAATCGTGGTGTTCGGTATGTGACATAAAAATACAATTATCTACATGATAAAGCGCACAAGCTATTTGGTCCATGGCACACATGGGATTGACATAGGTATAAGTGGGGTAAGCCCGGGTAACACAGTGACCGGCGTTGTTGAGAAGGAGAACAGACGGCGGGACACTCAGCTCCACTCTTGAAAATGAGGCAATATTAATGGAGTCAGCTAAACGCGCATGCATAGGTACTCGGTGTTCCACCCACCATCCTGGTGAGCGGTGAATCTTCCTTTCCAAGGCACGCACTTGACCTAGCGTGGGGCAGTCGCCGTCGGCATCCATATCACGGATGACGATGCCTCCTCCACGCACTCCGGCGGGATATTCATTGATTCTCCAACCAGTTGCCCACGTGCAACAGTGCAAAAGGGAAGACAGAGAGATTGCTCGATGAAGGTAGGGACGTTCATAGTCGTGAACCAGCAGTCAACTTTCTCGCCTGCCCGAATATGGTTGAAAGCGATGGTCCCCGTTTCTGGATGCAAATCGGTGTAGCGTTAGATAACACAAGAACGAGGTATTTACATACTGAAATCACGGACAAAGTGTCAAACTTGTGGACGAGTAAACAGCTTTGAGACGCACGAAGTCAGCGTATGTCGGAGCTTCGCGAGTTTCGCCAGACTTACCAGCCGCTCGAGGGATCGCGTTGATAGGTAACATGACAGGAAATAGACTAAAAATATAGTAAGAATTTAGCAGGGTGTAGAGTGACGAGAAAGGAGACACGAGGACAGTCCCTCTAAACTTCACGCCATCTTCGGAGAGGCTGACAGAAAGCCTCGACGCCACTACAGTCCCCAAGCTGTGTCCGACTATAAGGATATCCTACGGCGAAGCACCCTGCGCGATCAGCCAATCCCATGCAGCTCTTGCATCCGTCGACAAGCCATCCTCTGTAGGCGTGCCTGAACTATCCCCCCGAATCCACGATAATCTATTGCGAGGACATTGCAGTTCAGACGCGCAGTAAACGCAGAGTATAGGCGGATGCACATGCTTAGAGCCCGTGTTGCGGCATTGCCGTGGAAAAAGAGCACAGTCGGACGTTGTGCCACGGCTTCTGAGATGTGCAATTACGCAGCATGGGGAGGCGTTGGAAAGGGTAGCTCCTGATATATCGTGTCTGAGAGAATAAACCACGCGCCAATAGTGTGATTGTCTGTTGTCTTAAGCTTGATATTCGCCGTTTTTCCAGCTAACGTATTCACGGTTATTCTAGCGAGTTCGAAATGGACACGATGGAGTAGAGCGTATGTGCGAGACCATGCCTTTCTGGTGCATCAAAGTGTGCATTCAAAGGGAGCCTCAAGGCGTTCATATACAAGATGATTGGACTTGGACTTGGATCCAGGGTATTGCTAGAAGGACAACTGCTGACAGGTAATAAACCCTGATGACCGCAAAACCCTTTCTAACATCTGGTAGCATCGACATGCCGGAAAGTGTTAAAGATATGAAACGAAAGTTACTAACATCTCCTATCCATATACGATGGATGTATGTTATGCATTGTTGATTTGTGAAGGCGTTGCCAAATGAATGCAAACAACCGCCACCCATTGTCTTCGATTGCGTCAGCTCAGAAGTAAGCAATTTTTCCTGTTTCAGCCTCGTTTCCATGACTCTGCTTGAAAATGTCTCAATCACTTGTTTTCCGTGGGCGTATACGGGTGTTGCGCTCATAAATTACCGAGTAAGGCAATTCTCGATGCCAAGCTGGTTGCTTGATTTCTCTTTCATGTTCGTCGCCAGAGCAGCAGTACCCGACAAGGCTCTAGGTAAGTACTTAAGCAGCCCCAAACCCAAACATGGCTCCCGGTATCAGCAGAAGCTTCATCGGCCTCCGAGCAACATATATCCAGATTCCAAACCACACTAGCACCTGTCAACGTTCTCTCTCGTACACATCCTTCTCTGACGCAATGGCTTACACAACATACAATACAAACGTTAACACCCACTTCTCCGTCTTCCCTTCCTCCCCCGCCTCCACCAACGTATTTGTCCTCTTCGGCAATGCCCAGGCGCCCCGCGATAACCACGTCATGTACGAAGGACCTTCTCAAGCTTAAGGTCTTCGGCTCCACCAACGGGCGCACCGCTGATACTAGCCAGATTCAGAAGAAGCAGAGGTCTAGCTCGATCAAGGGGTTGAGGAGGATTTTTTCTGTCGTGTGATAGAACGGGCATCAGACGGCATTTGCCTGTCGTTGCCTCTGCGATAGGGTATGACACCGGTGAGGACTTGCCCGGGTACCCTTCCAGGCAGGCTGCACTGAGCGCCCCGCAGTTTCCAACGGCTCACGGGAGCAGACTCACGAGTCATACGCGTCTACCGGAAACACCGCTTTCACCTCCGAGCAAGTACCTGCTCCCACCCCCACTACCGCCTATCCAATCGGTGCCGTGCACATTATACTCGTGACGGTTAACCGGGTCGAGTTTCATCTCCCCTTGTCAATCGTATCAGAGACGGCCAAATCTTAGCGCTATCGCTGCATTAATCACCAGACCTATGTACGGCCCCCCCTGGGGCAATTCGGACGCGTAGAGAAGGGGGAACGGTTGCATAAGATCAGTATTATTGCACTGCAAGGAAATCAGTTACCATATCATAATCATAATCATATATACCTATAATCCGACCATACCAAAATCCATCTTTTCATTTCCAAATTCTCGAAGGGTCTATTGATTGATGAACTGATGAACTGATTGGGAGTCGAGAAAGAACCATTAATCAGATGCCGATCGATATAAGATAATTATAAATGCCTCTACTACCAACTTGGTACCTCACACGACTTGAATCATGTCACTCGTGCAATGTGGGCGCATCTTTGATATGAAAAAGGTACCAAGCCATCTTCATTGATTGACAATGTAAATGTAAAAAATTCAAACCACCCCCGTTTCGATAGCAAGTATAGTTCACCGCCGGCCCAGAGAGGCATGCATGACCCAGCAGAAGACCCCATGTCATCGGCACCTTATCACTAAAAACCCCATCGCACGCACAGCCTGGTCTGCCCACATCCCTACCTGTCAACATCGGGCGCCCCGCTCATGCCAAGGGTCCGATTGGTCCAGGCTGGTCCTCAGTCACTGATGGTGGTGTAGCCAGCGAAGGTGATTGCGTCAAGGAAGAAGCAGGTGTGGACGGAGATGCAGGACCGAGAAGACCACTTCGCGCTGCCGCCATGAGGTCCCATTGATCTGTGTCCCCGTGCACGTCAAACATGTTGATGCCAAGCATACCCGTCTTTCTCGCAAGCTGCGCTTTCATGCCAAGCGATTCAGGATCATCGTACGGAATAGTCTGCGTTGATGAATGCAGGTAAGGCGTTGCAGAACAGTCGTCCCAGGAACGCTGGAAGCCACTTGAAGGCACGGCGTCGTAGGTCCCATCGCTCTTGCGCTGCAAAATGCCATGCGTCACGAGATCTCGGAACTGGACCTGATGATCGCCATCGGCGGTAACGGTGGTGCGCCTGGCGAGGCGGTGGAGACGCGGGGCTTCTGGAGAGCGTTGTCGAAGGCGGTTTACACCGCCATTGCTGACGTAGCCGTACCCTGGGATGCCAAGAACGATTTTGTTCGCGGGGAAACCTGCTTGCGTCCAGGCGTTGTATCCGGCCACTGCGTTCTGGGATGGCTGAGTAGAGTTTCCACATCCATCGTACAAGGGCGCGTTGGGACCAGGGGGGTTTGCAGCTATGGTTTTACTATGCATTAGCACCTCTCTATAGTGTGAAATTCGTACGAACCTTGAAAATCGTCGTAATTCATGAGCAAGATCCAATCAACTGACTCCGCGAAACTAGACGCGTCTTTGATAGGTTGACCGTCGGGGCCAGCGAAGGGAGTGTCCGAAACAGCAGCCGATATTTTCGCTTCTGGGGGGAGCGTTTTCCTAAGAAGCTGAAGGAACTGAAGCATGTTCTCTGAGTCGGATGGACTTTCGGAGTTGCCGGGTCTGCCTGGTTGTCCGGGGTACTCCCAATCGATGTCGATGCCATCGAGGAGGTATTTTTTGTAGACGGCGAGGATGTTGTCGACAAAAGTCTTCCTATTAGCGACTGTAGACACGGCTTGCGAGAAATACCTAAAAGTCTATGAGCAACGCGGAGGAAACGCGTGGGGTATTCTTACTGGCTGCCTGTCCATCCCCCGATACTAAGCTTGACCCTCGATCCCGCAGGATGGGCCTTCTTCACGAGCTGCTCAAGCTGCTCGGCGGCATCAGGCGTATCCCAGGCCAGGGCGTAATTTTGGTCTGGGAGAGCAAACGCGAAGTCTATGAAGTCGAATAACGGGAAGTTAACATCGCGGGGTGCCCAGTCAACGTAGTAGCCCATCACGAGCGGCCTTCCGATGTCGGTAGCACCGCGTTCGGTCTCAGGATGCGTTGCTACGTTCGCTGGTTGTAACTTGTTATCAGAGGTGGAGGGAAACTGAACGGAAGGAGCGGAAAGGGTAAGGAGTGGAAGGAGAAACAACGTAGCGAACGTGCAGGGCAACATAGTGGATTTGGAGATGAATGAAAAGCGGAATGCAAGAACATGCAAAGTTAATATACCCGTTCGTTCTTAGCTTGATGTCAACCACCAGGGCTGACCTGGGTCGTTCAAAGCAGCAAGTCCGCCGCAAGAACTGAGTGCATGATTCAGACTGAGGCTGACGGTGACCAGTTCAGACTGTCAGCCGGATCTTGACCTGTGACTCCATCGTAAGCAATGAATGTGAAATTGACGGGGACGTACCACTGCACAAGTTTACCCGGCGGTAAAAAGTGCAGCACGCTACTAGCCGCAGCGTTTTTTCTAAATTTGATACCGCGGAAGTGGACGGTTGAACTCTCGAGGCGAATCACTGTCATTGTCGGCTAAGTAGCTGGCGACCAGCTGCGTGCAGGCGGCTAAAAGCAATAAATTAAGCTTGAAGGAAGGGATGGTCACTCGGCACAAGACCTCAAAGGAATACATAGGCACGAGTTTCATGTCACGGTATCAATACATCACGGTGTAGTTTCTGTACCGAGCGTTATAATCGATGCCCAACGAGATTTCTGCTAAATTCAAGTCGTTCAAGGACTTTAAACTACCTCGCACGAACCATGAAATGAATAGCTTAGTATGCTGCGCTCTTGACTCAGTGTATGACTGAATTGAGCGGACAATGGCAACGAGAATAACGATATGGGTCCAGATGGGTGGCGGTAATCCATTATCAGTGATAAGCAGGTAGGTTTGAAAGTCACGCGCCACGGACAGAACAATGGGCTAGCAAGCAAGAGGACTCCTGATTTAGACTTGAACTTCTGATTCTTCTTACCAACGTCTCACGTATTAGGAGACGGGTGATTTGATGGACCAAAGTTGGATATGATTGTCAAGGATGACCCAGGATGCGAATCAGAGAAGCATAAATTAATTAGAGAAGCATAGGAGAATCTGTGGAACAAAAGGGCGTGTTGAAGACAATGAATCGAGTGTAGTGAGCTCGAGTGGTAGGTTGCGGTGGCACGGGATTACATGTCCGATTCGGGTACACGTCAAGCTTACTCCTGTGAGTCATTTGCGATTATACGGGCGCGATGAAGCGTCAAAAAGACAGGAGAAATGTCAAGTGAGCGTGTTTGACCCTGGTTTCCAAGTGACTCGGATAGGCGACCCACGGGTTGTGCGTCACTGTAGCGTACTTCGGAGTTGCGTTATACAGCACTTCGGAGTTGTGTTATACCTGCTTTGTAGTGTACTTCGGAGTGGCGTTATACCTGCATTGTCCGTTCTACCAAGTACCGGAACCCGTTGATGAACGTTCTAAATAATTGATGCACGTCAAATGGTTCGGTTTAAGACTTAACTGACTCGGGATTTCACTGCCGCGATTTCAGATAACCCCGAATAGGCAAGTCAAACCGAATGAACGGTAAGAATTACGTCGATCGATAAAGTGGAAATGCTTGACTCTGTCCAATGAATTTCATCAACCTCTTTCCGAACAAGCCTCATGTTTCCACTCTATATAAGTATCCTCTCATCCATCCCATACAACCCAACCAGGGTAACTATCTCTAGGCTATCATCATGTCATTCCTTCGTTCGCAGTCTCCTCCTCCCCCAATGCCTTCCCCTGAGCTAGTCCCAACACCTCTACCATCCCCACCGCCCTTTCATCGCAATTCTCGTCTGACCGTCCCAAATAACTCACCTCCCATTCCACCTCGCCTCATTGGCTCACCACTTCTTGAGAAGACTCTCAACTCTTCCAGATCACATGATCGCCTGGACAGAAAGGCAAAGGAAGGTCTCTTCGGAGAAGACGATGAATTCGGCGCACGTAAACGTGCTTTGGGCAGGAGAAGTAACTCTTCAATATCATCACTCCCAGTCCTTTCGCCTTCTTCAACCCGCTCTACCAGGCGTAGCCTCGCTCAATCCTCATCCCGTTATCGTTCCCCACCACCTAGCCCTTCAATCACCTCTCCACCACCACCCGTTCCTCCCATCCCAGCATTCATGCTCACTCCAACTGATAAGAAGTCCGTCGTCCGCTCACTACCTAAACGAGCTACTGCTCCCGCCCACCACGCTATTTTCGACCTCTACACCCGTGACAGTGCACCTTCCCTCTCAAGGTCACGTTGTGAATCATCATCTCAGGCTCCCGGCGTAGTGACCTGCATGCAGTTTTTTACCATGCACAATACTCCTCGCAGGGATTGTCGAGTCTGAGAGAGGCACCACCATTCCGCTCGCCTCGTCGAGCTTACATCTTGACCAACCTTGCGGACTCTGCTGTACCTCATCCACAGTGCACCTGGTCTTGTGCCATCATTGTACACAACTTATCACCATTGGGACGACATCACCTGCCAACGACCTTCCTTGCACATAACCATATATTCTTTCTTTAATATTTATACCTCATTATGCTCCCCACCCGCGCCATAACGCGCGCGATGCACTCCATCTTCTGTGCTTTTCATTCCTTCTAGTACACCAAACCCCGACTCTCACTGATGTAGTACCACCATCATCCCCCTTCACCGGTCGATTACCGGCCCTCAAAACCTACTTTACATCCCCCATTGTTATCTCTCATCGTACCATAATCTTCCTCGTCGTGTTCCACTACTCGTAATACCTACATACTCATACAAATGCAGAATTGTGTTCGAACCAATCCATTGCGGGCTTCTACAACTTCTCCTTCGAAAGTTCATTTCTGCGCGAACCTCCCTAAGTCTAACCCGAAATTGTTCCGCCGAAAGACGTACATTAGTAGTTCAAACTTACTATGTTTGAGAGTAATATTATGTGTACGACATTCTCGCGACACTCGGCCAAAATGTTCACGACGCCACAGGGATTCAGGACCACCCAGCCAGACTACAAACAGCAGTAAGAAAAAGGCAAGCTGAATCTGGCGAGTCACCTGCTCACGCTAGACGCCGCCGCCTAGCTCGTTTGAAGGTTTTAGCGTCGAAATGAATATTCCAAGCTTACCCTCTTATGGCGTAACCCGGACGCCGCGATCTTACCCAAAATCTTATGTACCTACTGACCAGTGCCTACTCGGCAGGAACATCGAGTTGGAACGGATGCCGTTGCTGTATGACGTCCGAAGAGAAAGCAGAACTCGTAATCGCTGACATGTTTCAGGTGATTGCGCCACTTTCGTGGTGTTTCCCCCCCTGGGATGACGGTATGGTCTTATACAATTAGGTGGGCGCTTAAAAGCGTCATTGATAATAAAGCAGTCATATGCGGTCATCCGGGACGTGCAACGAGGCAAGAGGAAATTTTCTTTCGAATTTGACATAACACCTCCAGGGAGATGCCATGACAGTTTGGAAGTCCTTGTGATCTGGTTCTGCCGTAGTAGTCACCGGTTTGCTGCGCTAGCGGGGGAGTCCGAGTCGGTCAAGCGCTCATCGCTGATTACGAGGAAATGAAACTAAGATGAAGCCGATAAAAGCGTGCGGTGCACTAGGCTTGAAATTGCTGGCTTGCAAGGTCATCTGGATCGATGAGCGCATGGTCGATACTGTTTACCCCCTTCTATTAAGATCTCGATTCAAGAAAAATGTTATTTATTGTGCCGTTCTCCAGCGTCAAGGGAATAAAGCTTTGTTCGAAAAGTGGTCAGTCGGCGGCACCCGACCGCAGTACATAGCGGCGACTTATGTAGGCCCGTGATGCACTGCAAAATACAACATAGCATGAAAGAAGGCAAGCATAAATATACCAATCATAATCATTCGTGCATAGTAATGCAACAACAAGGACAATTGAAAGGTGTAGGGATACATCTATATCGACGAAAGAAAAAAAAATAAGTCAGCTATCGATACAATTCTTTCGATTTGATTGAGAACCGCACCAAATACACTATTATGAACCAAGACAAAAACATGTTTTTGAAGGTCCAAAGATGCAGCGGTCATGATACCCAAAGGAGGGAAAGTCTGTGTTCGGTCAAAGTCCCATTCTTTCCGCCAACGTCCGATCTCCGAATGCATATGCGTGACCCGCAAACCCTCGACTCCTTCGCCCACCTCCACCGCCACCGCCACCACCGTTGCGCCGCGGGAAACGGTCCCTGTCCCTGTCGCGCTCTCCATCCTGTTCACGCCCACGATCTTTTTCGCGGCGGTGAGACTCGCGGTCTCTATTATCGCTTGGGGAACGTGGACGTGTTCGCGAATCTTCGTCAACCTCCATCTTTACATTACTTGGTTTCGTGCGGAGCTCTGCGGGGGAGAGACGAGGCGAGCGAGGAGGCTCGTGCTCTCTGGGAGTACTCTGGCGTGCATTCATTTGGGGTTTCGAAGGCGGCAGAGAGATGTTGGAACGTGCAGGTGAGACCTTGGGCTCTGAGAGACGCTGCTTCTTATGAGCTCTGGGTCCAGTTGGGGGGAGCTTGATTACCCCATTACTCGTAGATGCGGGATGATACGAGTCGCGAGAGGGAGGAGACACATAAGAATGATGGTTGGCGTTGATTTGACGCAGAGAAGTTTGGAAACTTTCGTACGACTTGTCGAGTTCCGACCTATATGGGGACTGCGTAAGGGAGAGAACACCTGACCTATGATGTCAACTCACGACAGGGAAGCAATTACTTGATGTGACTCTGATACGGGTCGCATGTAAGGGTCAAGTGGAATATAAGGAGTTATTTTATACACATACCTCGCAAAGCCCCTTCCAACCTCTCCACGACTCGTCTGAGCCCTCGAACTTCCTCCTTAAGCTTCCCCGTCTCGCCGGACTTGAGCATCTCATACAGCTCATCATTCTCTTCCTGCAGTATACGTACCCTCTGCGTCAACGCCGTGTTCACCGTACTCGACGAACAAGCCGCTCCTGCTCCTTCACTAGAAGCTGCCTTGTTGATGTGCGGTAACAGGACAGATACTAGCGCAGGGGGTAACGTAACCAGATCTGTAGTCGAAGCGCCATTCTGAACAGCAAGGTGCTGTCGAAGACGTGTTACTTCATCCTAAACGAAACGGGGTTCATCAATACAAGAGCGCGCGACATCGGCGCCTGGAATGGGAGCGCCTTACCGTGAGTTCAGCAACCTGAGCATCTCGTTTTCTTAGCTCAGTCTCAAGGTCTAGTTCCCTGAGTGTAGGCAAGTCCATTTGGAAGTGCTTCGGTGCACGGACAAGCTAGCCAGCTTGTGGAAAGTTAGTTATGAGAAGGGTGCCGTGTGCAAGACCGTTTGCGCGCCTCTTTGAGTTTGAGGTCACGTGATGTAAGGGGCGGTGGCTGTAAACTCGAGGTTACGTTGCAACTCACCATCTCACGATCATCAGGATTGCATTCCGCACTGATGAAGCTATTGCGCGGCATGATTATCGATTGCACGAGGTAGGGTTGATAAGTGTGCTCACGACATGTTGGCCTTCTAACTGTAGGTCTGCGTAACCCTGATCATTGTATCTGGGGAGAAGATATCCCTCTCACTTCTTTCTATGCATTCTTTATCATCCTCGTGGTGGTGAGAATACTTAGAAATGAAACGCGTGTTTTACAAGGCTTCTGTTCATGGTACGCTGGAAAATGAAGTCTACCTGATATTCTCCGCAGCATTACTTGCAGGTATGAAGGGGGGGTATCTTCGATAAGGCGATATTGCGCGAAGACAGGGCGATATTGCGACCACTCCGACTACCACGCTCATACCCAGCGAACGAGGCTCCGAAAGCAATCGTGTTATATTCATTGTAGGTTCCCATCAGCTTTTACGTTTCTTCACCACTTCTCCCTTCACCTGACATGCCAGAGTTTGATATAAGAAGACACGTGGTGTTGAACATGCCTGTCGGTACCGTATGGTGTACGCTAGGATCGTCGGATCGTCTGTTTTTAGGAGATCATGACGCTTCGAAGTAAGACCGCTTACGTCCCTTGCATTTAAAATGATTGAGCGTCTCCACTATATTTTATATCTGTAAGTAAACCAGCAGCGCCTATTATGTGTTAACAAAGTTTCTCTCTTCGGCTACACTAGCGCTGACTCCTTTTACTGTCTCTTGGAACACAACTCCTTTCAACACTGCGTCCGTCCCGCTCGCAGTTCGGACGCCTTATCTGTCTGCATGGCTGCTCCAGGGTGCTGGCACGGCCCTGAACGGTGCCTAGCCTCAATTTTGGACTGGATCGGTGGATTTCACTCGTTATATGCACATTTGAACATTGAACAAGACGTCACCGTCTAGACTCTTGGATGGGCTGGCTGTGTCACAGTTGATGGCACCACTTATACCTTCCTAAGTGATCCTGTTGTTTCAGGTGCTGAACTTGTCGAGGTACATACGCTGTCTTTCCCATTGACATTGCAGCAAATTATTTTTAGCCCACAGACGTACTCAAGTAGTCCATCCCCTTCTCGTATCTGGCACTATTCGGAGTGTCTAATGATGGGGGGTCACATACCGTCAGCGTATACACCTACATAAGTGCAGAATGGGTATCCGGAGACGACTACTACCGGCAACATCTTGACTCACCAAGTCATGCTTGAGTTGTAAACTGAGTACATTGACCATATCCAACGTGAGTGATGATTGCAACTTACTTCCTTACTGACCCAGATCATTCTTTAGAGGGAGCAGCCTGTTACTCTACTCCGAATGTATGCACCTGTCATTCAGTTTCCCTTCTTGCCCTGATTTCTTTAGCCGTCTTCCTCTGACGTACCAAACTGGCCAAGACGCCGTCGTTCGAGCTCAATTCATCAACAACGGTGTTCTTTCCAACACTGAGGACTCTAACTTCCGTGCTGTCAGCGATGACTGGCTAGTCTTTACCTTCGCACACGACCTCGGCACCGTGTCGGTCACTGCCACTGACCCTGTGATCTATACTGTGGGTCATGCGAGAGATCCGCCAATTCAGTTCATCATCGCGAATAACGTCTACCAACCCCGAAGTGTTTACTTCTGGGGTGCTTATTCAAGCGTCGCGAACTTGGTACGTCCATAGTCTTCTTTGATCTAGTTATGTTCCAGATTTCTGACTCCATCGGGGACTACTCTGACGCACTAAGACGTGCGTAAGCGTTCGACAAGAAGGTCCAAAGCGACGCCTCAGACATTATGGTGTCGTAGCGTTGTCGATTCGTCAGGCCTTCGGAGCCTTGGAACTCACGTTGTCGAAGAACAGCGACGGAAGTTGGAACACAGATGATGTTCTTGAAGGGTAGGCCGTGGCTTCCTTCAATCTTCGAATCGGTTGTCTGACACAACACCCAGAGATCTCTAGCGATGGCGTAGGCGATATGCTTCGTAATCTGTAACGTTGCTCACATTTACGTTTAAAGAACGTGAATACCGTGTATGTTATCATGCCTACATGGCCTATCCTCTTGTACACCAATCCGACGCTCGCAAAATTCACTCAACCTCCCGTGGCCACAAACTAGGTTCATCATATCCCGACGCCATGGCCACAATATTTGCTGATAACGATGAAGCAATGCCTCTCGAAGGTGATTAAATCTCCCTTTTCGTGTGTGTCACTCGATTTCTCAGTGTCTGTGTCCTACAGAGTGCGGAAATATGTTCGTCGTGACTTTGAACTACACTCAGAAGCCTAGTGACACTGCTTCCATGTGACACTTCTTTCATATAACCCAACAAAAAGTCGGAGTGAATAATTACAAACGATCACCTGCGATTGGGAGTTTGGTTCACACTCCATACACAGTGATACGCACACCTCCGCGGATACGACTGAGGATAAGGACGACGAATTTGTACGGATTTGACAATATGCATAAACCCGTTATGTTGGAGTTGAAAGATATTGCTTACTACGGTGAGCTAAGATCTACTGCTGCACTCGATCTCGCGGTCATGCACAAACTCATCTGGACACAGATGCGTTGTAGTTCGACGCAGTTTACTAGATCCCTGTTCGGCCACTATCAGCACACTCAATGCTCGCGCATCTATCGAACAACTCAATCCTCCGAATCTGGTAGCATTTGGCGACATGCACGAACTGTATTTCGGACTTTACGGTTCGTAAATTGTCGCTAGATGAGATAGCACTTCATATCTGCAGCAAACCATAACGCGCACGCACACACATACGCGAAATAGGAGTAACAAATCGATAACATCGAGCCAGCGAACACGCGTGCTTACATTAATCTTTATATTAGGTGTTGGAAAGACTACCGATTCAAATCGTATTTGCAATTAATTTTGCAGTGTGGCTAAAGTGATATCTACTATCGGTTACCACTCATTTGCTCACACCACTCACAGTATACACCTGCTGACTGGTTTGGAGTTTGAAGCAGACCCTTTCCAGCGTCACACGCCCGTGCTTGTTCGCGTGTGCCACGACACTAGGAACGGTTATCTTCCTTCTATCGAGTCCGCCTAACGACTATCTTCCTTTCTATTGGGTCTGCCTACGGGAGACTAACGACACCTACCGCACAGCCATCATCCATTAACAAGTGTTGACGTGGCGCGAGCATATGCGGGTAGCGCCATGGAACACCGAGATGAGGGAAGAAGACGCGGAAGTGAAAAAAGAAAGCCGGAGTCACTGCGAGGAGAGAGTCGAGGAAGAGAACAGACAGCAGTGTTAGAGTAGGAGGAATACACGAGGGAGGTGAGCGCGCACATCTATATTTCCCCCCTCAGCGCACGCCCTCCCCTGACGGTACACCAGCCGTTCATCCGAGTTGGCATTAACCTTGCTTTGCCAGACAAGGTAACAAACTATGGTCCGACAGCCTGTATCAACTAAGTTCTCAAGATCTTGATTAGGTGGCAATCTGCTGGCATTGCAGATATCATCTGTTCAAATGGGGATGTCAGGTGAATAGTTTCTTCTTACATCGCCATGAAGAACAGTATTCAGCACATAAAAGCAAGCCGTCTTCATACTGCCACCTTCAGAATTATTCGATCATATCACATCCTCACAAACTATGCGTTTCTCCTCTGCCCTCGCCGTTATTGCTGCTTTGACAGCATCAGTATCTGCAGCGTCAGTACCTGCAGCACCAGTATCTGCAGTAACACTACCTACACAATGTCACACGTGGTGCTATTCTGATTACTGCTGCGAGAGGCAGATATGCGTGTTTGGTGTGAGTATGAGTAGTTTGCGTCCTGGATTTAACCACATGACTCACCGGCGTGGTAGATTTTCATGCTTTTTTGTGTGGATAAGTGAGTGGCATGTTGCCACAGCGAACTACGGTGAGTCGTGTTTCTGCTTTTGCATCGGTGCAGTATGGTTGATGGGACGCGCGCGAGTTACTAGTAGTTTGTTGCTGAGTTGATCAACGTGCTTGCTTCGGAACAAATTTCGCTGTCGCTCGAGGAATAGAGATCTTGGAATAAAGGAAAACCCAAACACTTAGTAGAATACAAAGAACATGTTACGACGCAGCGCCGTTGTAATGAGCGAAGCCCTCGATCGACTAGTACTATGTATCCCCTTAAAGTTATTGCCCCCGATAGATCTCAATTGTGGCGTGGGACCATTGGTGCGTTGCACGAATGCGTAGTTTGATTTGCATCCTGGATTCGTCACTCAAGTACTCACCCCTTGCGCCTTGTAATGCTAATAGCGTTCGGGGACAAAGCTCTGCAATACTTCCTAGTTCGATGAGAGGCTGACATCCTGAGTGGCACAATGAGTTGTTCTTTGCTCATTTGGTTGTCTCGATAAATTTCACTGCTGCTTAGGTACTTAGAGGCCCCCAAGTTGGATAGAGGAAAACACTCAATTGACATGACGTATGATTGATTGAATGTTGAAAGCCTGATGACACAGACACGATGAGCGATTACTATCGTTGTATCAGAAACCACCGCAACGGATGCATCATGACATACTACTCTCATTCCTCCACAGAACACGCTTGATCAAGGATGAAACCGAGATAACAAGACAATCTGACAAAGAACGCCCATTTCGAATTCCATGTCTTCGAATTCCCTCAAGTTCCTCCTCGACCGCAAGCTCAAAATGGCACCCTCAGATGAGCTCGAGTACCTCAAGCACCTCGTAGCACAGCTAAACGAGGAAATTCACGCGCTCGAGAGAAAGCAAAGGCTGTCGTTCCACCTCGGAAGACTCCTGCTCAACAGCTTAGGACTATTCTTATGGGTCCTCCTGGTGCCGGTTCGTGTCGCTTTCATTTGAATACGTGGACTGAATACAGGGAAAGGAACGCAGGCACCGCGGATACGTGACGATTTCTGTGTCTGCCACCTCGTGACGGGTGATGTGCTTCGCGAATAGCCAAGAAAACTGAGTTGGGGAGAATAGCTAAGAAAGTTATAGAAACATCGCCGGGATGGACTAACTCTGATTACGAATTAGGTTCATTGTGCCGGTGCCGCTGGTTGCAATGCTGATAACGATGAAGCCGTGCCTCTCTAAGGTGATCTAATATCCCTTTTCGTGCGTGTCACTCGATTTTTCAGCGTCTGCGTTCTATAGAGTGCGGAAATATGCTCATCATGACTTTGAGCTACACTCAGAAGTCTAATGACACTTCCTTGATCACCCAACACCTCGGTGCTCACTATGACCTCCTCTCCCATATGTTCGTCGCTCTTTACAGACGAACCTCAACCAATGGACCGGATACCTCGTTCCCGCAAATCAGATCAGATTTTTTTTTTGGGGGGGGCTCGCCAACTAAACTAATCCGGCCATCAAAGGTGTGATAGACATCCAGGCTGTGTCTGTGATTTCTGGCATGTTGGGTGACACCACCAATCAACGAAACTACATTGTATGTGATTGTTGAAGTTCTAGTCTGACATGGATTCACTCTTTGAATATTCAGTCGATCGTACAGTGCATGTTTGACACTCGGACGCTGCTTTTCGACCTACGTGAACATAACCAACGGACTCGTAGGCACGCCTACATTAAATTCGACTGGGATTTATGGACTGCTGCTAAGTATTATGAAAAACACGAGAACGCGAGACATGTTCATTAAGTAGCTTTTCCCTGCACTTGAAAAATAATCGACCATGCGAGACGAAGGACCGGATCCAGCCTGCGTGGAACACCTCTGAAAACTGAGGGTAGGCATCACCTCTTCGATCGATCAGAGAAATGTTGGTCTCCCGTAGTCAGACCATATAGGAGGAAGACAGTCGTTCCTTCTTTATTACGAGTCCATGGTAACGGGCTCAAGTTGCTATATCAAGGGCGGGTTACGTAGCTTATCGCCAGAGGTTAACTTACTTTTCTCGGACAGATGGGACTCAAATCCCCGAAAGGCGAGGCTAAAGCTGCTGCCTGCATTGAAGATACGAGTTTCACAGTATTACTGCCAATCAACAAAAGAGCCCGAAGGCATGCAAGGCCTTGTGAAGCTTACATGAGCATGCGTGCTGTGATTTAGCTTTTAAGATATACGCAACTTGTACACAAGGTCTTACATTGCGACATATTATGCTTCGGGCAGCATATATTCACATATAGGGTTCAGGCTCTTTTGTTGATTGGCACCACTCCAGGTATTTAATCCTCAGCAATCGAACACTGACGGAAATAAATACTAGAACCTCCTTGATCTCCTAAGAGAATGTGATGCCGGTGAGAATTGGATCTTTTTTTCGCAGCTTCAATTTGATCGGATTCTATCATACGCAGAAAATGATGGTAATGGACGCACATGCTATATGCTACTAGGTGTAGCTCTATCTGTTTGCAACAATTTGTGTTTTTCCCGATCCGGGCTGGATCCAGGTGGTCCATTTGATTCCCGCATACCAACACGAACGTACCGTACACTCGTCTTGAACATTCATTCGCTCGCCCAGCAGAAGATGGCGACAAAGACTTCTATGTGGATCAGTATGTGTTTTCACCTAGAAACTCGCACTATCAGATTTGTGGATCGTGATGTGTTCATACGTTTCCGAGGCAGCGGAATTCGAGGTGAAGTTCATGTGATTCCCGGATACCAAAATGAACGTACCGTACACTCGTCTCGAACATTCATTCGCCCATCCAGCAGAAGATGGCGACAAAGAATTTTATGTTTCTGTGTGAATCAGTAAGTGTTTTCACCCTCGTTGCACTAGTAACCTCAGATTTGTGGATCGTGATGTCATTGTTCATGCGTTTCCGAGGCGGCGGAATTGGCTGCAAGGTGACGAGAGACTGGGACCAATTTTTACGGAAGGATGGTGTTGTAGTGGATGATATATACGACGACGATGGGCTTAGTGTGCACGGTGGATCCAGACTGTGACAAAGAGGCTGATGAGGACAGTGACGGAGACACTAACGATGAAGACATTGACGACGACGAACAATGTCCCGTGGCTGCGGAAGACCCAGAGATCACTATTCAGTGTATCGGACTGTTATCAGACTTACAGCTACCATGCATTTGAATAGCATGTACACGTCAGTCTTGCAGGTGAATAGCATATGAATATATAGTAAACCAACTCGACATCATGTCATAATGATCGAGATCCGCGCGAAATTAACCTAATCAGATTTTGAAATGAAAAAAGGGTCAGCCTGGAGTCGGAAAGAGAGGAGCAGACAGCAGTGTTAGAGGAGTAGGAATACTACACGAGGAAGGTGAGCACGCACACCTGTGCACCCCACGTCCTCCCCCGACGGTACACCACCCTCGGAGTCGTTCACCCGAGCTGGCATTGACCTCAGGCTTGCTTCGCAAGACAAGAGAAGTTATGGTCGGACCATCTGGTATTAGGTGGCAATCTGCTGGCACTGTTGCAGATATCATCTGTTCGAAAGGGGATTTCAGGTAAATAGATTGATATTCTTCCTACATCCCCATGAAGAACGATACCGAGCACATCAAAGCAAGCCGCCTTCCTACTATTGTCCCCTTCAGATTCATTTGATCCCATTTCACATCCTCACATACAAGGCGTTTCTCCTTTGCCCTCTCCGTTATTGCTGTTTTGATAGCATCAATATGTGCAGTCACACTACCTGAAAAATGTCACACATGGTGCATAACTAGCTACTACTGCGAGAGGCAGATATGCTTAGATGCTGTGAGTATGAGTAGTTTGCGTCCTGGATTTAACCATATACTCACCGGCGTGGTAGTTCATCGTCAATGTATGTATAGATAAGTGAGTGGCATGTCGTGACAGTGAAGTACAGTGAGTCGTGTTTCTGCGTTCGCATCGGTGCAATATGGTTGATGGCACGCGCGAGTTATTAGTAGTTTGTTCGTGCTTGCTTCTGCCGCTCAAGCAATGGAGATCTTGGAATGGGGGAAATTTCAAACACTTGAATACAATGTACATAGAATATGACTGAAGTACTTACAACGCAGGTTTATAGTCAGGTTGTAAGCTTGAACATAAAAGCCCTCGATGACACCACGACTCTTCTCGTCATAGGCGCTATTTACAGGAGGTCACGGATGCATTTTTGGTCTGCACTGAGCCGCTGGGGTTTATCACGACCCATTAGTAGATGCGGTGGCATATGTGGTTGAATTGCGATCAAGATCCAGAAACGGTACTTTATAGGGGAGGACTCGGATCTGCTAGCTTCAATGTCCTCGACAGCATCCAGGCGTGAAAGAAGTGGATACATATATGGCATGCGACAAGGCATTCGTTGCACGAAGTTGAAGAATATTAATGTGAGTATGATTAATTTGCTTTACATCCTGGATTCGTTACCCAAGTACTCACCCCTTGCGCAGTCTCTGCAATCTTCATTAATTTTGAAAGTATCATGACAGACATGATAAGCAACTACTATCGTTGCATCAGAAACCCACGCCGCAACGGATGCATACTTACTCTCCTTCCTCCGCAGAACACGATTGATCAAGGATGAGAATGAGATAACAAGATAGGGAGCGTCCTTTCGAATTCCATGTCCTCGAATTCCCTCGAGTTCCTCCTCGACCGCAAGCTCAAAATGGCACCCTCAGATGAGCTCGAGTACCTCAAGCACCCCGTAGCACAGCTAACGAGAAAAGTGCTCGAGGAGAAAGCAAAGGCTGACATTCCACCTCGGAAGACTTCTCTCAACAGCTTGGGACTATTCTTATGGGTCCTTCTGGTGCGATGCCTGGATGTGTGCCCTAGCTCCGAGGTGTTTGGAACATCCCCTGATATCAATTTAAATTGCCAGTGGATCTTTTCAGTTGGCTTCACCTGCCGGTTCGCGCCGGTGTCGTTTGAATACGCGGAACAAGTCATTGTTGACTCACCCCTTCCTCTTCCAGTTCAAGACGAACCTGAAAACGCCGTGTCTGTCAGGAGCGCGAAACTGGGCCTGGTATGTACCAGGAAATCCAGGGACAAGCAGCAGAGAGGCGCGGATGTGAGAGCCGAGCATCGAAAATTCCAATACAATACCGCTGTAAGGCTTCCACATCGAAGTCTTGCTGTCGTATAAAGATATGTGCGCCGTGTATACTTGACACAAGACATCCACGATCCACTTGAAAACTGCAGGCAACTCACAACCTCGTCGTCGATGGTTTACCTCTCGGGCACCTCAGTTTCGTTTCCACGACGATGCTCAACATGCAGCAACGTCCCTCGAACTGCGATTTTCCAGAAGGATGTTCCTGCCTCGCATATTCATTACTGAACAGCTGAACGCTGGTTGGGTGTTCAGAGCGAGCGGGATGGAATGAAATGAAATAAGTGGTGGAATGAGCGAGAACTCGGTTACAAGAGATGTGAGGCCTCGAGGCACGTGGGGTTTGTTTAGAGAGCGCGACAAGAATGACGTAGTTAACATGGTTTAAGGATAGTAAGGGAACACAGTTTCTTACAGCAGGATGTCGTCTTCACCGAGGTATACTAGTAGTAATCCGGGTTCGAAGATCGTCCAGCAAGTCGAATGGAACATCCCTTGATGTGGGAACTTTCAACTTTAAAGGTTGTCTCAGGACTTTCATGGATGATTTAACCATCGACGACGAGAAGAAGCCTTTCGAGGCTGAACACAATGATGATGAAACCCAACCAGACCCTGATGAGGAACTAATGTTGGACAAGGGGAACGGGAGAGTTTGGCTTGTCAAGGTGCGCCATGGCTGTTCGGAGGTGCTACCTTTCAGCCTCTCGGAACCTCTCGATTCCTTTCGCTTTCAGGGTTTTCTAATACTCATTTGCCACTGAAGATACCAAAACACCTCATGGTCCGTTGGGCCGCCATTGACGCAGAGGACATTCATCTTGCCACAATTCGGGTATACAAAGATGCCATCGGCCCATCTGGTCGATCCCCTCGCATCTTCTTGTTCTTGCCGCCTGACCCAAATGACTCAACCACACGGGATCTCAAACTGCCGGTCTTTTCTCCGGATGCAGCTTTCATACCTTCTGCTGAGGGGACAATGCAAGTAGACAGATATGAACTTGAAATGGTGAATGAGGACGTCGAGAATCAACTGGTAGTTGCAGAACGTCCCAAAGACCCTGGACCTTCCGGACCAAACTCGCCTTCGTATAACCCTCGATCTAGAACGACCATTCTAACGGGTCGCATCAAGCACGAATGTAATTTGCGTCCTCTGTTCAACGAGTCATACAGGCAACAAATGCGCGAGCGAACACGAAAGTATAATACCCCACGAAGACAAATCCGCATGATAGAAGATGCCGGTGTTGGTCGTGGAGGTATTAACAGGTTAAGCAGTGGAGTCAACTCAGGATCGTTTGCGAATATGATTGTCTGTTTCTACTTATTCAGATCCATCGTTGCCAACTAACCCGAGCTCGTAGAAATCCAAACCAAAACCTGCCAAGGGCACGTTTGAGCGTATGGCGCGTATGCCACGCAACCAACTCCTCGATCTTCTCTTCACACTCTTTCGCGAGCAACCCCGGTGGGGCATCAAGCCACTACGCGAGCGCACCCAGCAGCCCTGAGGTATATCTCAAAGAGGTCCTTAATGCTATTGCTACCTTAAATAGGAGTGGAGAGCACAATGGAATGTGGGAACTAAATGAAGTCTTCGCCAAAGAAGGGGTATGTCATTTTAGTCACGTTTGTTCTTCAGAACTGAAGTCCAGAGTGCAGATGAAAGCTGAGAATGTCCCTGGACCAAGTTCCATTCCAGAAGGTGACGTTGAGATGGATGATTATGACGAGGACGAGGATGAAGATGACGACATGGAGGAAGTTTCATAGGTTTGCATCATGGATAGGTCTCGATGGTTCTTTGGTGTTTTCTACTCATCGTGTATATACAAGTTGTTGTGAAAGACTGGTTAGCAAGCTTCCCATCAAGACATCCATCTGAATCAGCCTGTGAGCACAGCTCGGTCGAATCTGACAGAAGGCGGGGCCTCCGAGTCGTTCAACTTGACTTCAAAACTTGACGCACACCATGCATCCAGTATCAACACCATAGGCACCGTCGTCGTCCGGCCCGGCCCGGGGTTGATGTCATACGATCGACAGTCTGTCCCGATCAAAATCGCGTCGATCCAAAGCAGCATTACGATGTGGACCACCAATCGCCCATTTCAAAGGACCCGAACTAGAAGTCCATGTTCTTTCTTTCGCTACAACCACGATGAAGAGAGCTCATAGTCCGAAGTCCACTGGCAATGTCAAAGAAAAGCAGAATCAACTCTTCTTTCGCACCCAGAAAGATTGCAACAGCAGAAGCTGCAGCCGCCGTCCCAGGCTGACCCGCCGTTTCTACGACTCCTGGATGCATTGCGCAATGTTGTGCAGAAACCCTCGAAAGGGCAATCAGTAGTTTACTGGATGAGGATGGGGGACCTACGGAGTAGGTGTTTTCTCCGTCCAGATGCGTGTCCTTTTTGACGCCCTGTTCTAGTTTCAGACAATAAAGCCCTCGCCCTCGCTTCTGCTCAGGCAGTCAAAGATCAAATTCCGCTCGTGGTTTTGCATGTCTTGAGCCCTCAAGATTATATCGCACACGACCGGAGCAAGTCAAGAATCGATTTTGTTCTTCGTAACCTTTCACTTCTGAAGGTAAAACGTCTTCAAATTACTCGTAATAACCGGTGGCTAATTTAAACTTTTTGTAGGACGACCTCACAAAGCTAAATATCCCCCTTTACACTATCACGCATACGCCGCGAAAGACAGTTCCAACTCGTGTCATCTCAGTCCTGCAGACTCTCCAGGCCACTCGACTATTCGCGAACATCGAATACGAGGTTGACGAGCTTCGGCGTGACCTCGAAGTCTGCTCTTTAGCGAAGAACGCAGGCATCAGGCCTGCGTATGTGCACGATAGGTGTATTATTGAACCAGGCGTCGTGAAAACGAAGGATGGAAGGACATACACCGTATGTTTTGCCTATCACTTCTTGTATTATCCTCATGCTTTTCAGGTCTACTCGCCGTATCAACGAAGCTGGATCAACATCTTGAATTCGAATCTCTTAGATTATCTGGACGAATTCCCATCTCCAAAACCTAACCCCTCGACAACCAGGGAGAATCCCATCTTTGGATCGTTATTTGATGCTCAGGTACCCGTATCCGTGCATGACTTCGAACTTGATTCCGAAGATGCCACCAATATGATCAAGATTTGGCCAGCAGGAACATCTTCTGCTGAAGAGGTAAGTCTTGCACTGGAAGGGTGCATCACATTTAAACAATTCTCCAGATACTCTCTCGGTTCTTGTACACCAAAGCGCGCGCGACGCAGCTTGGAGCAGTCGATCCTGTGGCTGATGGAGCAGAGAATTCCGGCAAACGCAGTCGAATCCTCTTGTATGACGAGGCTCGCGACAGGGGGGACAGAGACACTACGTCGCGACTGAGCCCCTACCTATCTGCTGGAGTTATTTCTGTCAGGGAATGCGTACGTGCAACGATGAAGCTTCTTGGAATTCAGAAAGTGGACGCTGGACGATCTTCGGGTGTGGGTCGCTGGATGCAAGAACTCGGTGCGTTTTCTTCCAGATGCACTAGAAAATATGATGGCTGATGCATGATGGAGTAGCCTGGCGAGATTTCTACACCAATGTCCTCGCATACTACCCGCGTGTATCCATGGGTCGACCCTTTCAGGAAAAATATGCTGGTGTCAAGGTGGGAGATTAACGAGGAGCATTTGAACGCCTGGAAAGAGGGCAAGACTGGTGTTCCTATCGTCGATGCCGCGATGAGACAGATAAACGCTATGGGTATGTTTTCGCATTGAATATTCTCTACCGACTAACCAGACTATTAGGCTGGACGCATAATCGAATGCGGATGATTGTCGCTATGTTCCTTTCGAAGGACCTTCTGTTGGATTGGCGGCTAGGGGAGCGCGTGAGCTTGTCTCCTTATTTTCATGCGCTCCTCTGATGAGTTCTCGGTAGTATTTCATGGAAAAGCTCATCGATGGTGATCTTGCAAGTAACAACGGGGGTTGGCAATGGAGTGCGTCCACTGGAGTAGACCCGGCACCCTACTTCCGGCTTTTCAACCCCTATACGCAGTCCTCCAAAGCAGATCCAACGGGAGATTTTATAAGGACGTTCGTACCGGAGCTGAAGAATCTTTATGGACCTGGTAAGTCACGCTGATTGGTTGCTTAATGTTTTAACTGATGTTTGTTCGCGAATGCAGAAATCTACAACCCTCCGGCCAAGGTGGCTGATAAATTAGGGTATCCGAGACCCATTGTCAACCATGCTGAAGTGAGAGAGAGGGCAATCAGGAGGTATAAGACACCTGGTGAAGAGTGATTGTCACGATTTACACGTAGCATTAGGAGAACGAGACAACATGCAGGGTAATAGGGCAAACCATCATAAATCAAACTCGTCATCATCCTGATCTTGTCCACCTCTTCGTAATTTTCTTGTGTTTGAGGACGATGAGACGTTGTATGTGATACCGGATTCAAGAGCATTTCGTGCCTTTTGAAGAACACCTGCCGAAGGGTAATTAGGCATGGGCAATGAGATCAGAGGTGGCATCATTACCGCTGTTGGCTAGCCTCAGCTCGAGTACTGCAGTTTCAAACACATCATTGTTTCCGAGTTCTTCAAACCCAATAAGACTAAGAGTAGATGAACGACTGGATGGCATTTACGAGAACCAGTAAAACATACCGGTCTTTTGAGATCCCATCGACGAAGCACATCAGGCATGGAAGGACTTTGATGGCAAGCTTTTCGACTAGCCATGGCATATTCTCTACGAAGACACGAATAAAACGCGTGGCATAGTATTTCGGCGCGAGTTTCTGATGAGTCCGTCAGCAGTCTGGTTTCTTCTTAGAGATGGCACATTGCTCACTGCGAGGTGCTTGTCCATGATCTCGCATCTCTTGAAATTACTATGGTAAAAATGAATCACACAATGTGATTCACTCCTGAAAGCATGATAATGAAGCAAAGAACGAGACGAGGAGAGCGAGCGACTCACGCACTTATCCGGATGGCCTCTTTCTCGTTCGTGATCTCCATGTATGTTCCATGGGCGTTTTCTCGCATCTCTTTGGCTCTTTGCATGCTGCAAACGTTTACGTCGGTCGTCGGATATTGAACATGAGTGGAACGCACGACTCACCTGAGCCTGAGCTGCTCTAGGCCCCGATCTCGCACTGCTGCATCACAGTCGTTCTCTATCTCTGCTTCAAGTTCTGCAAAGATAGCATCGTCGTCTTCCTGTTCGTCATCTTCTCGGGTATCATTGGATTCTACGAGACGCGATGCTAGAGAGTCTAATTTTGATTGTATTCTGGTCATGGTGAGATCGAGGAAGCTGCTGTGGGCTAGTTTAAGTACGCAACTCACACATTGCTCATATTTTCCAATACTAAGTTTTGTCTGTTGTGAGTAGCTGAAGAATTGATCTGGTCCACGAGGACACTAGTAATAGCGGAGCAAGCTGCAATTACTTGTTTAGGAGGCTCAGCGCAGCAGCTGCTGAGTGTTTTCAGGACTTTACGTCAATCACCATGAAGCTTGTCGGCAAATTTGTCGACAAAAGTGGGACTGTGAGTCGTTCAAGATGTTAGATAGGGAGTAATTGATTGAATAATGAACAGGGCTATGTCAACCTCCGACCCGAAGATGATGAAGATATGTGGCATCTCTACAACCTCATACAAGACGGTGATCTCGTACGAGCACCCGCTATTCGGTAGGGCACATTCGACTCATCGGCGACTCTCTTACATACTAACTACTTGATAGTCGCGTACAGAATGTATCTGCTACTGGATCTACGGAATCTCATCGTGTCAAGTTGAACCTCACCATCCAGGTATCCAGAGTTGAATTCTCCTCATCAGGAGCACCTTCATCATCGGCGGATCAAGCTTCATCTCCTGCAGGATCTTCATCTGCAGCACCCACAACAACTGCAGCACTCCACATCTCCGGCCCTGTCGCAGCTGAAAATAAACATGTCAAGATGGGCGCGTACCATACGCTTGACGTCGAGAGTAACCGCGATGTACGCATCGAGAAGGTTGAAGGATGGGATAGCGTGGCCCTTGCCCGCGTCGAAGAATCTTGTGTGCCAGGACGAGGCGCGGAGGTAGGCGCGGTCGTATGCGGAGAAGGTACAGCGGCATTTTGTCTCCTTTCACAACATATGACTCTGGTCACCCATCGGATATCGGTTCCCATACCACGCAAGGCTTCTGCCCCTGGCACATCTCAGTACGAGAAGGCGATGGCGAGATTTTACGCCACACTCTATGACGCATTTGTGCGACACATACCTTATACGTCACCTAGTCTGCGGGCAATTGTGTTTGCAAGTCCAGGTTGGGTAAGAGAAGGGGTTTTCAATGCTATGATGACAGAAGCCGGGCGGAGAGGAGACAAGACGTTGTCAAAGGCTTTGCGAGAAAAGACTGTAAAAGTGCATGTCAGCAGTCCGCACGTCCACAGTCTGGTCGAAGTCCTCAAGAGTCCAGAGGTAATTTTTCGGGATGATTATTGTCGCATAATGGCATTGATTGCTCTTGCAGATCGTTGCGCAGCTCAAGGAAACGAAATTTGCGCGCGAGGGAGTGGTTCTTGATAAGTATGCATGCGAGTGGTGAGGGCTGTACGGTTAATATTAATTTCTTTCGCCAGGTTCTTCAAGATGCTTGGTGTGGACGAGATGCGCGCCTGGTATGGTCCTGATCATGTCCGTTTAGCGGCAGATCGTGGAGCCATAGGAACGCTCCTCATCTCCGACGAGCTTTTCCGGTAATATGATCATGTGTCGCATACTGGCGCACTGCAGCTCAAGTAATTCGTACAGTGCGAGTGACCCGAAGCTGCGGAAGATATACGTTGAACTCGTCGAAGGGGTACAACAAAAGGGTGCAGAAGTTGTCATGTTCTCGAGCATGCACGAATCTGGTCAACGTATGCTTCCAAACGTGCTCCTAATGCCATACTTATGAGGTTACAGAGTTGAATCAACTGACGGGTATTGCTGCAATCCTCACATACCCTCTCGATGTTGAAGTCGTAGAGGCGGAAGAAAGAGAAGCAAGAGAGGAGGAGAGGAGACAGCAGGAGACGGAGACGGTGGGTGGTGGTGGTGGTGGTGTTGGATAAAGATGGAGGAGGCCGTTAAGTTTCCAGGTAAGGTCGTATGGTTATTTATACCCTAAGCGCGTTGAGTGCGCTTTTTGTATGCTTCCCAACCAGCAGCTTGGTATCTCTGAGCTTGCTTGAGAACCTCCCCTGTATCCACATTTTCACCCTTGCCATAAATGCCTCTTCCAACAATGATAACGTCACAACCACTTTCGAACACTACTTGCTCTGGAGTGCGGTATTGCTGACCCATGGCATCGCCTGTAGCATCCAAGCCCACTCCTGGCGCAAGAACCAAGAAATCTTCTTCCGCAATGTTGTCGGCATCGGATGCCCCGATGCCCTCCATGCGATGTTGAGCAATAAAGCCGATGACAAAATCCCTACGAGCTCGAGCCATGCGAACTGCATCTTCTGTATATAACCCAGTGGTCAGTGCACCCTTGGAGCTCATTTCTGCCAGGAGGATGAGCCCCCGATCTTTGGGAATGCCAACAGAGGCAAGACCGGTGATAATGGATGGCCCCGGAACGGCATGCGCATTAGTGATGTGAGCCCAATCTGCGATCTTGTAGATCCCTTTCGAATACTGCAATACGACGGTGCTTCCTAAGAGTTTTGACACTCAGTGAGCTGTTACCCGAAACCCGCAACACCTTACCTATGTCAGCGAATTTTCGATCCTCGAATATCAAGAATTTGTGCCTTTCGCTAAGTTCTTGGAGGCGGTCGATCACAGTCGCATCGAAATCTTCGAGTACATCGATATGAGTCTTTCGGTAACGCCATAAGCATTAAATGAGAGCTTGGAAGAAGCGACAGATGCCTTTATGAGACAAACATGAGGACCAACTGCCTCGATGATGTCGAAGAAGTCTTTAGATTTAGTCACGTCAACGCTGACGGACAGATTTGACTGCTTTTCCTCCATGATTTCGAGTAAAGCCTTGGCGGCTTTATTGGCGTGTTTCTTTGCTCGCTCATTGTATGTCTGGAGATGAGGAGACGACATGATGGTCACAGGAGTACTACACACTGTTCCGATCTATTACGATAAAATTGGTTCAGCTACTATCTAATCTATTCTCAGGCTTTTTAACTGTTCTCGATCAACCAAATGTCGTCTTCAGCTGTCAGGGAACGCGAAGATGATGAAGAACTCGCCCGTTCTCCCAAACGCACCAAAGTCGACGAGTTGATCGAAGATGGGCCCATTGTCGCAGACACCTCGGGCCTGCTCATGGCGTCTGCTCTTGCTGCAGCAGACTCAAAAGAGGACTCCTCAACGGCAGCTCCAGTTGAAAGCGTACTTCCTCCTAGCCATGCTCTCCTGGGCATAGCCCCTACATTCTCTTCGAACGGACTTCGTCAGGTTCTTCAGACCGACGTTGGGATCTCCGAGTATATTAGCCAGGACGTTCCTCCCATCAGCGGTATCATTAAACAGCGGTAAGCATTCGCGTTTACAATTGGGCTGCAACTGAACATAAATATGCTATAGGTTTACGGACTTCCTAGTGTTCGAGGTGAATCAAGATTCCCAAGTGATTCACTTAAAGTCCTTGGACATGCCAGAGTCATCTTTGAAGAAGGGGAAAGGTACCAACGAGGGAAGCTCTAGCACCGTTGTTGCTGAAGGCTCAATGGCACAACCCCAGGAACCTGTCGCCAGCGCTGAATCGAATACTGCAGAGGAAGGTCGGAATGAACCGCCTGCTAGCACTGAAGCAAAGGACAAAGATGATTCAACTCCAGGGGATACTCCCTGGAGCGATCAGTTCACGGAAAAACTGATTCCGTATCTCAGTGGGGCTTCTATCGACCAATTGAAAACGATGTTCCTCGAGGGCCGCGAGCCTCCGAGAGTGACCGACAGTGGTTGGGGAGGTCGACCTACCAAGGCCGCTGGGGACGGTACTGAAAACCTAGATGCATCGAAGCCATCAGAAGAAGCGGATGCGACACAGAGTGAAGACAGTGGACGAGGAAAGAACCGAGGCGGTCGTGGTGGTCGTGGTGGTCGAGGCGGTCGCGGACGAGGTCGTGGTGGCCGGCAGGGAGGAGAAAGAGAAGACCACAGAAAAGTCCTGAGCGAGGTGAGACGACCCACGATATCCTTCTATTTACCCTTACCCCTTGGCAGCCAATTTCCTCTAAAACTGATCGGACAGCTCTCCATCAAATTGTTCGAGAGTTATTTGCTGGGAAGCTTGACAGCGAAACTGACATGTCGACTCCTGCTGGGGACGATGGATCTTGCATAGCTATAAAATGGTCACGACACGGTGGTGGTCGGGGCGGTGGTCGAGGTGGTCGTGGAGGTATGTTTCACCATCTATTCTCAGAGGTTTCTTATCTTCTTTGCAGGTCGAGGCGACCGCTCGGACAGGGGGAACCATCCTCCTTATATCCACTTCACTCTCCAGAAAACCAACCGTGATACTCAAGACGCTCTCGGCTACTTATCACGTACTCTACATGTAAACATAAAAGACTTGTCTGTCGCAGGGACAAAAGACAAACGCGGTGTCACTGTCCAGCGCGTGTCGTTGCGACGTGGAAACAAAACTGTGGAGGATGTATGGAAATCTGCCAATCAATCTAATAGACGATCCTTGCAAGAAATACTATCGCAGCGCGGCGACCGTGGGGTCAGAATAGCGGATTTCAATTATCGCAAGGCCGGTTTAGAGCTCGGCATGTTGAAAGGGAATGCCTTTGTTATCACCCTTCGGTATGTTTAAAGCGTTACCGCTCTGAAATTTGTTGACGAGGTTATGAAGTAACGTTCAGGTAGAAAATGTAGAGACTCTTGACCGAGCTATGAATTCGATCAAGCACAAAGGTTTCATCAATTACTACGGTGAGTTAGATATCCGTCAAACTGCTGATTCGTCTGAAGTACAACTCTAGGAATGCAGCGCTTTGGGACGGCTGCAGTACCAACTCACTCCATTGGCTTGGCAATTCTGAAATCTGATTGGCACAAAGCTGTCTCGCTCATCCTCCAGAATCGGCCTGGTGAACATCCTGAAGTTGTCGCAGCCCGTGATGCGTGGTTAGTGGATGGCAATTTGGATCGAGCCCTGGCTCTAATGCCCAGACGGGTTGTTGCGGAGCGCTGTATTCTTGAGAGCTACAAGAAGCAAGGTGGTGAAACCAGGAACGCAATGGGTGCCCTGTCCACGGTATGTCAAGAGTCTGTTCCGAGAAGATCGCTGTCGTTCATATAGTTTCAACCAGATTCCTCGTAACCTGCGACTCATGTACGTCCATGCGTACCAATCGTACGTGTGGAATGCCATTGTCTCGGAGCGAATTCGCATACATGGTCCTGACAAAGCTGCACCTGGTGATCTCGTCTTTGAGAGCGAGCCGGCCGCCAAGGCAGGGAGTGGAGAGAATGATGAGATGGAAGTGGACGGTGACGCCGGCGATCAGGAGCAAGCCACCACAGAGGCAAAAGGTCGGTTTCCTTTTCTATCCTTTATCTTCTTCTGATTGAAATTTTTATCATTTGAGGCATGAGCTCTCGTGAGCGCAAGAAAGCTGCGAAGGCTGCTTATGTTGCACCAAGTGTCAAGACACTCACTGGGGAAGATGCCCACAAGTACTCGATATTCGATGTGATCATGCCACTCCCAGGTAGAGATGTTGATTACCCAGGTGGTACGCTCGGGGAGCGCTATCGGGAATTCCTGCGCTTGGATGGACTCGACCCCGATAACTTCATCCGCAAGCAAAAGTACGCCAGACCTGTTTCATCATGACTGAAACTGATAAAACATCTCCAGGGAGTATACTCTCAACGGATCCTACCGCAAAATCCTTCAACTTCCAAAAGATCTTTCGTGGTCTGTACTCAGGTACACAGATCCGGACGTCCCGCTCGCACAGGCAGACGAGGACAAACTTCTCGGATTCGATCCACCGGTTGTCGTTGATGATGGGAAATTCAGGGCGCTCCAGATTAACTTGACACTTGGGACGGCCGCGTATGCCACAATGGCATTACGAGAGGTTACCAAGACTGAGACGAGCTCACATTTCCAAACTGGTCTTACTCAGGCCTCTGAGGACCAGCAGTTCCGAGGTGTGGCAGCGGGAGATGTTGGAGAATTGAACGACGATGATACAGAGATGGAAGCATCAAATACGTTAGATTCATAGCAGCAGAAAACTTGCACTTAGGATTGTACCGCCCTGGCCCTTTCGGAGCAAGTTACTATGTAAATTTAAAATGGTTTCACCCACGTTATTGATTTGAATGGCGATGATGCATCACTGCCACTAGCAGCATCAGTATATCACGGTGATGAACGAAGCACCTTGACCCATAGCCTACCGATAGCCTCGCTGCTTCGGTATTCAATCCCTCGAGTCTCAAACAATTCTACAGTGCTTGCAACCGGTTTGCGAGTTACTTTTGACGCTAGCTGAACTCTCGCCGCCAAAATTTGACGTGGTCTACCATATTCTTCTTCCAGTGCTTGCGCGGAACGCCAGTCGTGAATACTATCCTTCAGTCTTGCGCCTCCGAAAGAGAACATGGGGAAAGTGGAACGCATAGTCTTTCTGTCCCTCGTTCTTGATCTCTTTGGTGAGTGATACTCAGCTTGAGAAATGTAAGTAATTTTGAGGTCTTGACGAAGCATTCACGATCCCTCTACCATTGTTCCCTCGCATAATCGAGTGGTATACTGTGGTAAGTACATCATGCTGCGTGTCCCACTTCTTTAAGTGATTCTGTAGAGAGAAATCTCCGACCCCGATGGCCTCCTTTCTAGAACGCTGCGGTTGGTTTCGGCAGTGCGAGGCGTCTTCTACAAGCCACCACAAAACTCCCAGAGATGGGATGTCGTTCTCCTTGGTTGGTTTAGTTCAAGCTATCGATCAGATCCACGTTGACCTAACAATTTCTTGAAGGCGGTCTGATGGGTTCTGCTTTCTCGTGCGTCTTGTATTCCCAATCCATCTGATGTTGTACTCACTCAGTATCTGAAGCACTCTACAGTTCTTGGTATCGCCGCATATAGGATCCCTCTCCGACAAGTATGGACGTAGGAATGTCCTTTTGACTACTATGATAGGAAACATATTGTCTGCGCTCATGTGGGTGCTGAAGCCATTCTCATCATCGAGTTCCTAAACCGATTTTCCGCTAGTTGGATTCAGTCTACCACTTTTGCTTCTTATATGCTCTCCCGCGTCATAGGGGGTCTCAGTGAAGGCAATGTGCAACTCGCTACGTCAGTCTTCTGTCATAATGCAGGTACTAGGACTGACGATCAACAGCGCCATTCTGTCTGATGTTTCTACGCCCGCGAACCGCTCCAAAGCCCTTGCCCACGTTGGTATCGCGTTCGCTATCTGTTTCTGCATTGGGCCTCCGATCGGTGCCTATTTTGCATCTCGGCCAGTGCCCCCATCCGTAGGGGCTCTGGAAATGGAATTGAATATCTACGCGGCTCCGGCATTGTTGACACTCGTGCTGCTTATCGCAGAGACCTTGTTCCTGGTAGTTGCTCTTCCTGAAACCCGAGATTCCCGGCCTGAGAAGCACAGTAACAACGATCCTTCAGAATTTCTTGTCGACAAGAAATCGACGACTGCCTCCGTGGCGCGGAGCGTGCAAGAAAGGACAGAACTTTTGCGGGTCTTGCGAAAGTTGCACTTCCTTTTCTTAGGAGTCTTCTCAGGCGTGGAATTCACACTCACGTTCCTTACCTTCGATCGTGCGTCATCGTTACAATGCTGCTGAAATTACATGCTCAATTCCAATGACCAGTGTTTGATTGGAATAACAAACAAAATGGAGCATTGATTGGCTCCATTGGCGTAATCAGTGCTCTTTTACAGGGAGGATACGTCCGTCGTTCTATCTCTAAAGTAGGAGAAGGGAAAATGGCACAACGAGGGGTCATGAGCTGTGGGCTGGGCCTTGTGCTGCTAGCCATACTCCCTCACTTCGTATCCACCCAACCAAAAATCGCTGTGGGACTGCTGCAAGCTGCAGCAGTCTGCCTGGCCTTCACTTCCGCGACCGTCGTAAGCTCGCTTACCTCATACGCCTCCCTCCAATGCCACGAGGGTTTCGACAAGGATACAGGCAAACCCGCGATCGCACACCCTGAGCTGGCCAAGGGCAAGGCGCTAGGTGAATTTCGCTCATCTGGTCAGCTCGGTCGCGCAATAGGCCCGTTGCTTGGTAAGTTTTAAGTTCTGTCCCAAACGTGTCGAGGCTGACTTTGCTCTGCGCTCATTACCCAGCATGTGCTTCATATTGGACGTTCGGGCCGTCCGTTACTTACGTTGTGAGCGCAATAGCAATGCTGACTTTGTCAGCGTCAATGAAACCCGTCGCCGTTTTACCGAGAAGATCATCATGATGAGTAAATACTTACTTAGACTTTGTCGTAGATCCAAAATTGGATTTCATCTTCACACCCGGACCACATCTGAATTTGATAAGTACTGCCAATTGATATCAATATCATCTCTAGGAACACTATGAATAGAACTTGATGGAGGCTGTGAATAGTAGAGCAACTCCATTGCCAATGTATACGTATTATGAGGTCATGTCTCATCCGGTACATCGAAGAATATACGTAGAAATCATCATTCGAAAGCAAAATTTGGTATCCAAACGCGTTCCTCAGCCGTAGGTGAAGCATGGTTTAATAGCGTTTTTACTAGAGTAGTGTAAGTAGCGTCAGGTAAAAGTCAAATGTTCCAACGCAATGCTATGAGTTTTGTGATTCGACATCAATGAGCGGACTCGAAGAACAATGCGGAAGACGATTCTCCAATGGTGGCCGGGGAGATTGAGAGGAGCCCTGATAAAACTCATCCGCTGACTCGTCGCCAATTCTACCCTCGGCCCCTTGCCAAAGCTTCTCAGGCGGGAGCTGAGAAGAAGGGGGCAGATTTCGTCCAGAAGATGGTTGCGGGGGCGGGCTGCGCGGAGGAATGTCCATATTTTGGGACTGCGTAAAGATAGCTGGGAGGAAAAACATGACACCCCGAGACCGCTGTCGCCTGCTTCGAGACGGCGCGCGTGGTAACGCGATTGGCTCTCGGGACAGATTCAAATAACCCGTGGCATGGTCTCGTACACGACGCACAGTATCAAGAATGGAGGATGTCGCGCGATAACTCGAGGTCGGAAACATGTCTACAGAAGATGAAACGTCAGAGGGTGCGGGTGAGTCTGGCCTCAACTCAAAGGGAAGGGGGAGTAATGAAACATGTTCATCCAACGGTGACTGGGGAACGGAGTTGATAGGAGATGACGGCTGTGTAGAAGCGCCAGATGCTGGAAGGAAGGACCACCGCATGTCGATGTGCCAGCGCCCATTGCGCTGCGTCCATCTAGGCAAAAGGACATCATATCCGCCAATTCTCCTGAGACTATACTTGCGTGGCTTGCTAGGGAGTGCGAGCTTGTAGGCGCCATAGACTAGTAGGGCTAAACCCAGCCACATTAATCCTTTGCCCCACGTATTCAAGAAGCCGATAAACGCAGCATCGTCGGCATGCCAGCTGCTGCCGTAATAATGGGCGAAGAAAGAATGGGGAGCCTCTTCCGGTTTGGCATTCTTGCCATAAAGAGATTTGGGGAGGATTCGAACATCTCCTGGCTCATTTGGCATGATGGGATGGGCTGAAGTGTAGAGGCTGTACTGGAAGGAGAGGAACATGGGTCCTGTGGAGAACATGACGGTGGGATAGTTTAATATCCAAGAATGGTCAAAGGTGACAAGGTTGTGGATAGTTTGGGCGAGGAATGGATGACCCTTCTCCGCGAACATGAGGTCATTGGAAACGCCTACAGGTATGGTCTTGGGCAAGATGACGGGAAATACCAATAGCGGATCCAGAGGTCGCAGGCATCCGACGTCTAGGTCAAGATATATTCCTCCGTAGTGATAAAGAACGAAATAACGAATAACATCCGCTCGTTGAATGGTGAACTTGTAGTTGTCGAACGTGTCAAGAAACCAGGGATAGTACTCTGCGATGAACTCGCGAGAACTGGCATCAGTCCAGAGCATGTAGTCGCTGGTTTGATAAATGATAAGTAATTCGGCTGACGTGATGAAACGAATGCGTACTAGTCCGACATCATGTTTCGGCACGCCTCTGAGAGGTCTTTCCACATTGGTGGGAGAGTCTCTGACTTCCAAGTCTGATGTATGATACGGGGTATCTTCTCAACCTTTCCATGTTCCGTTGCATTCCAGCGTGTTGTGTTGTCTAACACTGGAACCTCTCTGTCTGAAAGAAATGCGGCAGCATTGATGGAAAGGTAGTAGGAGATGGAAGATAATACGGTGACTGTGCCGAAGAGAACGAGAGCGAGGAGGACGAGGAGAATATAAATTGTACGTCGTTTGGCCATGAAGGGGAGAGGAGAAGAAAGAAAGAAGAAAAGAGAGGAGAGCGAAGGAGCGAAGAGGAGAAACTTGCCAAAACAGAACGCAACCGAGAACAGAAGGTTCATTTCTACCCTTACCAAATTTGGATTATCATTCAAACATCTTGTCAAGTCAACATGTACCCATAAACATAGTTTATCTCAGGTGCTACAGCCTCATGGTGCTAACATGCTGCGGGCAGACCTCGGTCACAGCCCAGTTGGCCGCATCGGAATTGCAAATATACGGCTCATGTGAAGTTCTGCGGCAGGAACAGACTCGCGAATAGATCCTTCTTGCCAGTCATCGCCAATTTCCCTCAGCCCCTTCATCGCCGTCTCCCAGTCCCGTCGGGACCAATCTTGGCCCCTCCGTGCCCCCACACCTTCGTACGGTTTCGTCATAAAGATATCCACCCGTGGACTCGTCCTAGGCAGGCGTTTCTTCGTGCCTAAGTAATCCAAACATTCTAGGGCACCCCACGTGTCGAAACTCTTCCGCGAGAAGGCCGGAGCATGCTTCGATGCTGAGGAAGTATTGCGGCCAAAGCCCTGCACTTCCGACCCCGCTATACGAGCGACTAGTTCCAGAAGCAACCCAGTGAAGTACTCGATCACCTGCAGGTGCAGGAGATCTAGTGAGTGACTCGGGTGCAGTAGCTGAGGTACAGAGTAGGAATCATCGTCAATATCCATTCCATCATCATCTGGCTCTGGCGTGGGTGTCGCTTGTATTAAGTTTACCGAGGAATTTCGGTATGTTGGGTGATATCCGCTGAATTTGAAGCGAGAAGCCTCGAACCCAAAGAGAGCTTGAGCGATATCACGGCTGCAAAATGTGTTGTGATTGGGTGATATAGTCAATACATCTTCCCCGCATCGGCTATGATGAGAACTTTGTGCACGATAGATCATATTCATATACCTACTTTCACTTTCAGCTTCCACGGTCAAGAGCTTGTCCTTGCTGCACAAAAATGTTCGCCGCTGCCGTATATGCAGGAAGTATTTGCAGCAATCGATGATCAAACTGTCGTTGCTCCGTTCAGAACCAAATTCCTACCATCAAAATGATGATGATCAAAGATGGAACCAGGGCGAAGAAGACCTACTAATACGGCATCCAGATCCCTCTTCTTCCAATTTCGCGAGGCCTTGCACGTTTCGTCCAAGGCCTGACCTTTGACCGACCTCCGCTCCCTCACCTTTTTCAGCAACCATGACGATGCTCTTCGAGCAAACCAAGAGAGCCTCTCGCGATTCTTCTGCCTAGCAAACCGTCATCAGATGCCAGGGCTCTTCATACGGATGCACGCAATTCGCCATCACACTCACCCATCAAGCTCGTAAATCACGACACCCGGGATGATCACCATTACAGGTAAACCCTGCTCTTCAACCTCCGCGACGAATGCTCGTATTACATCAAGATTGTCCAGCAGTATGTTCGTATCAATGACGACGACAGTCAGCTCCTCTGATATAGGAGCCTGGGGTGGCGTGCAAACAATGAGTACGGGCTCTACTAGTCACGGAGGAGAGCGTGCCTGCATTTCAACATCTTTGTTGGAGAATTCTTCGATACGCTGAAGCGTTGTAAACAGATGTGTACTTGGGGCAGATGGGACTGCGATTTCGGGCAGTCAGGGACATTTGAATGGATAACAATTAGGGTCCTCACTGTGCTTGAAATCCCCAATTCCGAGACCAGGCTGCTGTGGCAAAAAGAGGTCAGAAAACGACATTGGAGAAAACGTACTAGTTGTCAGTTGAGTTGTTGCATCCAGTCGAGAGTGGGCTTATGAGTGGCTCGGAGAATGCGGAAAGTGCTTAGGCGGCGCTTGCAATTGAATTTACATACATTCCTTACATGCATCAAAGACAATTCAGACACCTCACAGTTGCCTCACTTTATACAAAGTCAGTTGAATCACAATGCATGATGTATATGATGTGCGCTGGATTAATACATGTGATGATGCTCAATAAGTATTCCAATAAAGATGCGGAAATGTCTATAGGTCAACTCTTAGGCTGTCAGCGCCATCTTCTTCATAGGCGGTGTCCCATTACTCTCCATTTTTACGGACGACTGACTGTAATCATCGTCACTTGCCTTGCGCTTGAGAGTAGCGCGCTTAGAGTCAGGGGACCGGGAATTGGAAGACCGTATACTCGGCATGCCCTTTGGGGGCGTAGCTCTGGGAGGCGTACCAGATCTACTCCGACTGGCTGTATCTTGGCGTAACCTCGTAGCCAGAGTATGCATCGAACTCATAGCTTCAGCATGACAAGTTGCATGATATATCTGGGGAAAGGAAGGCAGATGTTGAGATTACTCATATCGTGAACGAGCCCAGACGCACCTTATCATCCTTTTTGACAGCGTTCTTCCAGACCCACTCCTCGTCATCCTCTAGAAACTCGGTCTTCAAAGTCTCTTTACATATCGGACAAGATATGGGCTTGGCTTCGTCCCCCGGTGGCACAACAACAAACTGCGTGCGTAGCTCAGCGTCACGTCGTGCTGCATCTACCGCAAGAGCAGCCTTATTGTTCGTGGGCCGAGGACCGTCAGCGCGGCCTTTACCCTTCACATCTACACGGCCTTCGTGAACCCAATCCTGTGAAAGACGGTGAGTATGTTTGGGGCTCCAACAAGCAGAGAAATCATACATCAAGGTCAACAAACCAACTACGACTGTGTCCACGGCCAATGTTCTGATTTGCCTTACGATTTTGTCTGAAGTGCATATCAAGATGATCCTCCATTTCTTTCTTTCCTAGCGTATCATCTGTAAATCTGACACCACACTGCTTACACTGGGCGGGCAATCGATCATATAACAAATGGTCAATATTAGGACGTTTTCTGCATTACCAGGTCAACACTCATTAAGCAGCGAAAAGGTATCAACCATACCTCGTGATATCAGCATTCGTTAGCTTGATGCTCTGCGACAAAACTGACTTGCGATATGCTCTTGCAGCATCCCGACTCAGATTTTCAGATGACGTTGACAACGCAGCAGTGTCCTCAGAAGTGGCAGTCGCTCCAGCACCAACCGGCGTACCAGTGGCAGTCACAATGCCGGCCTTCAAAAGGGCGCTATAAAGTCCAGCGATGTCAGTTGACGGGGCACTTGTAGATTTCACGCTCGATAAAAGAAATGCAGAGTCGACCGGTTCAGCTTTAGGTTGATTAACGGACGGCACGGGGTAAGATGTATACGTAGTAGAGGGAGGGTGTTGTGATACCGGAGGTGGGAATGCAGACTGTGCAGCTTGGCGAGGGTATGAAGCCTGAGCTGGGTATTGATATGATGTAGCAGTTGTCGAGGCAGCGGCCGCGGCGGGTTGAGGGGTTTGTGACAGAGACCTCAGCTGGGTTAGGATTTGACGGAGCTCATCTTGAGAAACACCTGCTTCAACAAGCTTACGCAGCTAAATTGCTCGAGATGAGTGTACAGACAATGACAACGTAAGATGATGCTTACCTGTTGCAGAATTTGCACATGCCTCTGTGCGGTGGTATCCCAAGCATTCGCTTGTAGGGCGCGCTCCTTTTGGCTCAGGGTAAATTCGAGTTCGCTCAGGACCTGTGCTCTCGATATCTGGCCAGACGTTTGCTATAGAGGATATCCAGTCCGTAAGTACGATACGAGGGTCGAAGTAAAACTCACCCCTGTTGGATTTGAATCACCTCCCCATATTCCGCGCTCAATGGCAAGTTGTGGGATGACGCCAAACAGTTCCTTTCCGGTCGGAGAGGCAGTTCGCCATGTCAAAAGCATCTCTTCCATCTTGCTACGAGTCGCCTGGTCAACCTGCTGGTAAGTTTCCAGGAACAAACCAATGACGATGGGAGCAAAATGGCGCGCATATGGATCGTAAACATTCTTTGACATCGCGTCAAGTAAATAGAAGGCTGGGAGTTTCATCCATGGAGGAACCTAGCGATGCGAGAATGCCACACCAAAAAGGCAAGTATGAGTCAGCTTCCGGTTCATGATACAGCACATCAGAAAGAAAAGCAACAAGCTGCCACGTTGAGAACAGCGACCTAATTCTCTCAGTGGTACGACGTCCTCTATCCGCCGTGCAGCGGGGCCTCCAGGCCGTGTGAGGATATCTTTACTCAAACTACGAGACGAGTAACTAAGTACATGATAGAATCACAAGGCAACAACACAGCAGATCAACAGATAAGAGCCATGTGTCAACTACTCAACCGACAGCAATGCGCCATCAAACGAAGTAAACGATGACTCACCCTTCGAATGTGGGCCTCCAAACATTGCGCAACAATCTCAGCCCATCTTGAATACTCTTGAGCAATCATCGATAAGGTCTGAATGATAGGTCTGGAGTTAATGGTGAGCTCTGCCAGTCGCGCTGTATAATCACGTCGAAAAGAATTGGGATCCACAAAGTAGACTGGAGCGGGAGGTGGGGGCGGTTGCTGGTAAGGGTAAGCAGAAGGTCCGGGCTGATGATAGCTTGGTGGTGCATAAGCCACCTGCCCATACATGTGGGGCTGAGTGTACATGGGACAGTCGTTTTTTATTCTCAACGAAGCGCAAGACAGTCACCGCGAATGCAGCACGATCTCACCCAGAATGTGAGGGAGAAGCAAAGATCTTGGTAAAAACACAAAACTCTTGGACGATCGACTCGCGCAAGAAACCCGTTTTTCCAATGGTGGTCTCACTCAGCTGTCAATGACACGACCACGAAGCCCAACGGAAACGATGATGGTGGTTTGAGGTGAAGAAGCGGTGCGACAAACGGCTGACAATAGCCGCTTCATACACTTCAAACTCCGCTCGCAATCATCCGGTACATCTGTCCACTCCCGAACGTATAGCGGCCGCCCACCGACCTCAAGAAAACCAACGATCGCAAGGTGAGTTCATGCTGAATTCAGATGTGACTCGGCCAACTTCCAGAGTGTTTGTTCTTATATTGCTGGAAGAAATTTGGCGAGAATTAGAGCTTTGGAGGGCGATGGATTGACTGCCCCGATCGAGGATGTCTCAATGTCGACTGAAGTAGCTGACTTCGCACCTAGATGCGGGACGTCCTCCAAACTGAAGAACTCGAGGTCCCTGAGGGTGTTACCATTGAAATCAAATCCCGCGTTATCAAAGTCACCGGCTCACGGGGCACCCTTACGAAGAATGTCCGTCACGTCGATATGGATATCAGGGTGTTGAAGACCAAGAAGAGCAGCAAGGTCACTCTTGCAGTGTGGCAAGGTGGCCGCAAGCACGTCGCATGTCTACGGACAATTCGAAGCTTGATTAACAACATGGTTATTGGTGTGACTAAGGTTTGTGCATCTACATACTGGTCTTTCTCTGCTCACTGAGGACTCAGGGCTTCCTCTACAAAATGCGCGCCGTCTATGCCCATTTCCCCATCAATGCCATCATTCAAGAGAGTGGACACGCTATTGAGATCCGTAATTTCCTGGGAGAGAAAGTGAGTCGTTATCCTCGTCGGGACTTCAACTTTATCCAAGGCAAATAGACTGTACGACACGTGAAGATGCTCGATGGTGTTAGTGTTTCGGAGTCGAAGGCTCAAAAGGATGAGCTTATCCTTGAGGGCAATGACATTGAGAATGTTTCACAATCAGGTGCGTCATCTTCGTCCGCCGGTTGACTAGTGTACATCTAAACTGTTGCCTTAGCCGCCTCCATTCAGGGTATTTGCCGCGTACGAAACAAGGATATTCGTAAATTCTTGGATGGTATCTACGTATCCGACCGCACGACCATCGTTCAGGAGTAGACGGGTTGCGGTCGACGAGGGGAGCTGGGCATTTTACAAAATTCCATGTCGTGTATGCATTAATCTCCATCAGCCCCATGTTTTACGCGTGACATGTTACTACTCATCGAGACATCTGTGAGACGACAACCACGGGCATTGATTAATTGCTGCTAATGCATAACTCTACCGTATGAATGGAATGTTGGTACCGACCCTGCGCCTATATGTTTCATAATCCTTTCCAAAGAAATTGACCAATGCTTTCTCTTCAGCTATTCCAAAATCAGCGCGTGCATCTGCTATTGATATAATGAATGTATACCTTTGATACGACGGGAGAAAAAATTCCACAAGACTATCACGAAGCCGATGGAGCTGACAGGATTTTGCAATACTAGCTGGGTCCCTAGTGCCCAGTAGAAAAATCCTGCATACGATGGATGCCGGAATATCCTGTAGTATCACATAAGTGTATGGGATGGTAAGGTCAAAAGATGTTCTACTTACGAGTATACGCCATGAGTTACCAGTTGGTGCGAAGGTAGCTTGCGAAAAGCAACGATATGAGAGAAGTTGGTTGATGCCTGTATCATTGCCGCTGCACGAAGCGTCTGTCCGACGACAGTCATGATTATGCCTAGCGGAGATGCCTCAGCCGTCGTTCTTTGCAAATAAAGCGTAGCTAACCAATTGTTGAGATATAGGGGTGAGCCTTGAGCGATGGTTTAAAGTATAATGTGATTAGATATTCCACCAGAGCAGTCCCATTGGCGACATGATACATAGGGCCATTATCAAGTAAGAACGCTGCCACATCATTTAGTAAATTTCTCTCTGAGATACCGAGAGAAACTCACAGTCAACACTGCATTTGTCACGGTTCCAGCCTGCTGTGACCGCGAATTCTCCCCAATGGAAGCCAGACCAGGCAGCAAGGAAGAAGCCCAGTTGTGATGTGGCCCACCAGCGACCAGATATGCCTCCAGTGAGAAAGAGCGTCAAACCAAGAGAAAAGATACATCCTAGTAAAAATGATATTGTGGATGCTGAAAGTGGTGTATTCGGGATATTCTCATGAGGTCGATGGTTTACGGGTATAGTTTCGAGAGTGTTCGCGTTCATAGTGGTAGAAGCGCGTTGTCGTAGACGATCTTCGAAGTTATGGGGTATGTCGGAAGACATGAGCGTTCCGAACACCTTACGGGAGTCAGTGAAGCACTAAGACTTTGGTGATTATGAATCTGATGAGCGTTCCTCCCAGACAAAAGGCAAAAGGTTTGTTTGCTCTTGTTGAATTCACAAGGCTATGATCGAAACCTCCTCGGATTATTCCGAGTACTGATCCTTAGGTCATGCTTCGTAGGGTCTTATGGCTACCGGTGAGGGTCCGCCAACTGAAGCTTCTGGGTCAGCGCTTTTTGGCTACCGAGGCTCAAAATGAGACATCTCTCATTAGAAATATGGCGCTGGTCGCCCACATTGGTGCGTCCATCAAACCGAGTCTCGTAAACCTACCTAAAAAAATACAGACTCTGGGAAAACTACGCTCACGGAGTCCATCCTGCACAAGTCGGCCTACCTAGCAGCTCCTGGCTCAGTCGACACTGGCAGCACTACCACAGACTTCTTGCCTGCTGAACGGGAACGCGGTATCACAATCCAATCCGCGAGCATTCCAGTCAAATGGGACAAATGGGCTTTCAATCTCATAGACACACCAGGTCATGCTGATTTTGGTATGGAGGTGGAGAGCGCAAGTCGCATTGTTGATGGAGCTGTCGTCCTCATTGATTCAGTGGAAGGAGTCGAAGCACAAACCAAGGGCGTTTGGCGACAACTGGATAAGTAAGCGCGTTTTTTTAGTTCGGCCACCTGCGTTTCTCAAGCCGTCTTCAGATATGGTGTCCCTACCAGGCTTATGTTTCTAAATAAACTGGACCGACCGGGTGCTTCTTTCAGGTCATCGTTGGTCTCTCTACTCACCCATAGACTGCACCCAAACCCCATGACTTTAGCATTGCCAATTGCTTCATTCCATGTTGAAGATTACATGCGAGCTGAACCCGGCATCCAAGGGCTGGTAGATCTGGTAAAATGGGAAATTTGGAAATGGACGGAAGATGGTGACTCTGCCATACAACCCCTTCCTAGAACAGTCGAAGAACTAGCAAAAAGCGGCATCCTTCCGGCAAACCATCCAATACTACCGCATCTTGTGGCCGCACGGACAGTGCTTTTGGAAAACCTCTCGATGTACTCCGACGAATTGATGGAGCATCTACTTGCTCTGCCGCCAGGACCTTCATCGTATCTTGATGTCGAGACGTCTGCAATCATGCCACATCTTCGTAAAGCTACACTAAGCAATGAGATTCTCCCCGTTCTGTGCGGCTCTGCGATGAGAAGTATTGGAACAGAATTGGTAATGAACTACGTTGGCGAGCTCCTGGCAAGTCCGATGGACGTTCGGTTGGACGCGGAGTCAGCTGACGGACCGCTGCGGCTCCTAGCATGGAAAGTGAGCTGGGATAAACGCAAAGGGTGGATGACGTTCGTTCGCGTGTATTCTGGTAAGTATAGTACGAATTACGCAGAGTATTGCTTATAGAAATAACTAGGAACCCTCAAGCGCCAGAGCTCTGTGTTCAACGTGACCAGCGGCCAGAAAGAGAAAATTTCCAAGGTTCTTCTCCTATACGCGGCGGAAGCACAGGAAGTCGACTCCCTGCCTTACGGCTCTGTCGGAGTCATATTGGGCTTGAAGTTCACTCGCACAGGCGACACTCTCGTTGACGCTCGTTGCTCGTCTAACACATCCCTTCGAGGAGTCGTACCACCACCCGCAGTTATGTCGGCCTCTGTTATTCCCAAGTCCCACTCCGATCTTGACCCCGTACAGGAGGCCTTGTATGCTTTATCTCGGACTGACCCTTCCGTTCGGGTAGATATGCAGGAAGGCCAATTACTCGTCCACGGATTAGGTGCCCTGCATCTCGAGATCGTCGAGGGGAGACTACGAGATGAATGGAATGTTAATTTTGAACTGGGAAGCCGCCGTGTCAGCTATCGCGAATCTCTGGGACCCGGGCCCAGCTCCGACGTAAATCATTGGGCTACTGAAATTGCGGGAAAACAAGTCACTATCAAAATCCTGATGACGGTGGAACCTCTCGCTAACGACGAGCAGGGCGATCCGGTCTGGGATGGTAACCTTGTCTTGGGTCCAAGTGGAAAGCCCTTGCCATCTCCAGATGCCTTCCGGGATCAACTGGACCCCATGGCCAATATCGCTCGGGGCTTGTCTAGCTCTCTATCAAATTCACCACATACCTCCCTACCGCTCTCTCATATCAAGATCCATGTTACAGAGTACAACCTTCCTCGTGACATTCCAACGTCTATTCTTGCCGGTGCTAGTTCCTCCATTCTGCGGACTCGAATACGGGAAGCAGGAATAGGTCCTGTATTAGAGCCATTCATCAAGCTCAAGATCTCCCTTCATGAGGACACCATGGGAAAGGTTGTTAAAGATCTCACTGAAAACGGTGGCGAAGTTTTGGACCTTGCTTCCGACACATCAGCTATAGATGGAGACGACGAAGCAGTTGCGTATTCGATGGACGGATTATACATTCCTCCAGAAGAACTATCGCCATCATCCGCCGCCTCTACAACATCCAAATTCTCAAGCGACACACCACGGCTCAAGCGCACCATCCATGCAGTTGCACCGCTTAGCCGCATGCTGGATTATTCAACTCGGCTTCGTGCTTTGTCTGGGGGACATGGTCTCTACGACATGCTGAGCGCAGGATTCAGACCAGTCTCTGACTTACGTAGATTGGAGATATTAAGAGAAATAGGGCGCGCATAGTATCATTGATTGAGTACAGATATATCCAATAGAACAATGTAATCACACTACGAAAACTCCCTCACCTCATCTGCATCCCCGAATAATACCGCACCATCCATTTCATCATCGTCATCTGCAGCTGCAACGTGCATGCCACCAGCTGCATTGAGCGCCTGGCTGAATATCATGAGATCATCACTACCATATCCATCGTCATCAGATTCGGGGGCCGGGTCATTGAAGACGGGAACTGGAGGTAAGGTCCTTGCTCGAGGAAAGGGAGCAGGAGTTTGACTTCGAGCTCTGTCGAACTCTGGCAAGAAGAGAGGCGTGCGGTCTCTTTGCTTGCTATTACTAGGCACGAAATCAGGAGGTGCGATGCTCGAGCCTCTTAATGCCTCGTTTGTCAAAGGCATTACGGACGGCGCTCGCGTAGCAGAACGAATAGGCGGCCACGGCTCCACGACCACGCAGAGACAACGGCCAAAGATGTTGAAACCTTGGTATTTGAGCTTCAGCGCCAGCTTATCCTTTTTGACGTCTTCGTCCTCGATCTCCATGACCTGCCGACCGGGCCCAGAAGTAACCATGACAGTTTCGGAATCAAGAGCGGTTTCCATAGTAGATCCCAACGACGTTTCTGTGTCTTCTTGTTTAACAGTGGTTGACTGAACAGCTCTGTGATCTATCACAAGGAGATCGTGGTCACTAGGTTCTCCAACTGCAGGAACCTCTTCTGGCTGGAAAGTCTCTGTCGGGGTGGCCATCTCCACATCTGGAGGTTCATCAGGACTAATGTCCAGAACGCCCTCGTCATCCTCACGATAGCCCCCGACAGGAACCCTTTTTGTTCTCTGCGAACGTCGAGTCGTAGCGGGAGTATCTCGAGAAACTCTTTCCATCTCATTCATCTCGCTGTCGTCATCTGAGAGGCTTATGACTTCCTCCTCCTCCTCCTCCTCCTCCTCCTCCTCCTCCTCCTCCTCCTCCTCCTCCTCCTCCTCCTCCTCCTCCTCCTCCTCCTCCTCCTCCTCCTCCTCTTCCTCCTCCTCTTCATCATCACTACGAGCTCGAGATCCGCCTTTCGTCTTCCGTCTCTTGTGGCTAGAAACTGCTTGAGCACCCTTATTCGACGCCCTGTTTTTCCTCTTCCCACTTCTATTCTTAGACTTTCCCGGCTGTGATGAAGGTATGTTAATCTTAGGAGGAGGTGCGGGTGCTGGTGCTGACACAAATGAACGCGTCTGAAGAAAGTGAGGTGGTGTTTTTGAAAAACAAGTCTGAGTTAACAAGCGCGCACCTTGATGATCACAGAATGAGGCTCCGTCTTCTGGAAGAAAAATGCGAACTGATAGGTCTCTGCAAGTCGGTTATACACTCTGCTCGCAGTTCCGCGCACGTAAAAGCGCACCTCCCCGATGAACGTCCACTGCTCCCTTCTTCCCGCTCGAGGCTCCAGGACCAAAGTGAATGTCTTTCTCAGCTTGCAGCTTCGGCAGGACCCTGAAACAATCTGAGAAGTATTCACGCGAACTACAGCCGAACAGACTGACAGTGGTCGCAGATCAGCCAGAACATGTTGTAGAACCGCGTCTGACATCCAATCTACGTGTCTTTCATCAAGGTAGAGCTGATTATGGCGGTCAGTAGAACATGTTGCATAGTGGGCAAGGATGTGAAGCTTACATACAAAGGTATCACTGAGCTTGCTGATACACGAAGGTAGTACGCATTCCGCACGCTGAACCCAGCCATGGGGTCCAGGTTACTGGAATAATGGGCGAGCTCGAGTTTGAAACAGCACTGAGCTTCCGTATCAGACCTACGGGAGGGATTCTCTAGTACTAGAGCCAAGCGCAGCTAGCAAAGTGTCCGAGTCTGCGAGACCTAGTTAGTACTCGATTTCCATGCAGATGGAGGAATTCTCAGAGCAATTGATCGTGCACGTGACGTAACTTTAAACTTAAGTTGGAAATAGGTCATGGGAAGGGGTCGACTTCCGGAGAAAGAGGTGTCCACCTGCGGGGTCGCCTTCTTTCTTTGGCAAAAACCTAGCGGCAAAGGCAGTAGCAACGTCACGTGCACGCAAAAACGGTCAACCGTTTTACCCTTACCCATGACGCAGCCGCCCTTAAGTCTTGCATCTACTAACGATCACCGTGACCAAGCAAATCATCAAAACAACAAATACGCATCCATTACAAATAACAGAATGACAATCGAAATACATGAATGACGTCCGTGATATGTTTTCTTAATACTTCACGTTTTTCAAGCCTCATTGATGTCGACATCAGGTCCCGAGATGATGGCCTTGATGACCCCCTTGCCATCGGGGCTCTTACCGTTGCGGGTAGTTTCAAACGCCTCACGTGCTTGCGTGAAGGGGAAGCTATACGGAGCTGTTAGCATGACGAACATTGGATAGGAATTCCGACGGTGCGGCATACCGGTGCGAGACAAGGGGTCTGACGTCGACCTTGCCCGACGCAGCAAGGGCGATGGCGAGAGGGTAGTCGCCGGGCTTCACATCCAGAGATCAAACAATGCTGCCGAGAAGGGGAGGAAGTGCTTACGCCGTATCGGAAGGAGCCCTTGAGGACGAGCTCCTTGCAAATGACAGCAAATATATCAATGGTGATATCGGGGTTGCCCATGCCAACCTATTCATAACCAATCAGCCTGATGCAGCCATTTAACTGCTGTGTATCTCAGCTTACTTGGACGAAGGTACCACCCCTCTTGGCGATCCGGATACCAGTCTGAATAGAGACCTCTGCACCAGAGGCATCCAAAACCAGGTCAATCGCCCGAGGTCCGCGCTCGGCGATTCCGAGCTTCTCCTTCATCGCCTGGGCATTGCGCATCGAGAATGCAACTCTCGACTCATCCTTCTCCATAGAAGGAGGGAGGAAAACGTCAGTTGCAGCGTATGCTTTGGCAAATTCGAGACGGCTAGGAACGATATCAACAGCGATGACACGAGAAGCGCCAAGAGCTTTCGCGACGGCCATACAGAGTAGTCCAACCGGTCCACAACCGAAGACGGCGACGGACTGATTTGACCGCAAAGCACCGAGCTTCGAGACGGCATGGACTGCCACAGAAAGAGGTTCCATCTAGAACAGAGTCCAATGACAGTAAAATTTAGGGTGGTCAACCGCTTACCATCGCTCCATCCTCAAGACTGAGGTTTGGTGGAAGTGGGTAAGCGAGATCAGACGGGAGTCGGTAGTAACGAGCGAGAGTGCCGTCTGTGGGAGGAGTAGCAGCAAATACAACGTCGGGGCAAAGCTACTCGGGCGTCAGGAAACAAAAGTGGGGTGCAAGATCATACTTACCTGGTAGCGACCCTCCTTACACGCTTCGCACTTGCGACATGTTGCACCAGGCTCCATCGCTACTCGGTCACCCACCTTGACATTGGTCACGCTGGAACCAACTATAGACGAGGGTGCGATAAACTTTCATGCTCAATAGAAGGTAAGTTGTACACTTGCCTTTGAAGATCACGCCTGCTGCCTCGTGACCGAGCACCTAATCGCTAACGATGAGGCTCAGTCGTGAGTTTCGACCGAAACAGGCCTACCATGGGCTTCTCTACAACAAAATCACCGATCCTTCCATGGACAAGGAAGTGCACCTGGAGGAGACAGCTTGTTATCCTGGTTCAGATAATTAGATAGGGGCGTACATCTGATCCGCAAATTCCTTGGCGTCATCCGCGGATGAGCCTTGGCAGGATTATCATGGATAGAGAGGATCTGTGAACGCACCAGTCTTCTTCACTTCAACGAGAACCTCGTTGGCGTTAACTTTACAAGATAGATTCAACGAGTGAAGGGACCATCCATAAATAGACTCACTCTCTGGAACGGGCTTTTGCTGAATCTCAACATCCAGGACGCCTTTGAGCACGAACGATGGGTTATCAGACATGATGAGCAGAACAAAGTGGGGGTTGAGGGGCCTGGGGAAGATGACTGGTCTGCAGACACACCTTAAGAATAAGCTGGAGTAATCCGGACCGCAGGCTTCTGTGCTAGTCTAGACTCGTGACTTAATAGACTCCCCTAGCCAGACCTATAGCAGAAGGAACTCGTTTCTAAGACCCATGACCAGCATACGATGATGGTATGGAGTGGTTATGATGCATCGATGATGCATGTGCTCAGCGCTCAAACATTTGGATCTGAACCTAATCAGATGGGCCGCCAACCTGGTCCTTTACGCCTTGTTTTCACTTTGCAATATCATGATTCCGCTGATCTGGAAAGAAATATTCACGCAGTACAACACATATCACCATTTGTGGCCGAAGTTGTGATACATTTGTCTATGAAGAAGTGTTCGTTCGACAAGGCAGAGAAACTGTGTAGAGTAATGAACCGACTTGTCGTTCCAGTAAGTCAGTATACTGTTGCTCATGAGAAGCAATGTTTCCAATGGAGTCCGTGTCGTGCGCCATCACTCGTTCCCCTCCAAGACCATTTGTTCACTTCGACGATGACCGACCCTCAGCTTGAAGGTCCATGAAATTGGTACCTGTCACATCAAAAGACAAATTACAAATACCAGCGTTGAACAGGAGGCTGGCGAAGCTAAGAGCGGTGGCAAGGACATACCAGAGAGGTACTTAGAAGATACCCTGGAGTTTGCGTGCCTGATGCAGGTGACAGCTCAATCTTTTTATCCCATGGATGCGAGTTTGCGAGACGGTCACTGCCACGGTGAGTATTGCAGGTGCTTCAGTACCTATCAAGTGCATCAAGCATCTACATTTCTTGCGGGTTGGCATCGGAGTCGTAGCGTCGACGATTCCCCGCCGAAGTAAACTATCTGTTCATCCTTGAGAAGGAGCAGCAACCTGTGCAAGACGAGTGGCTCTGCTGAAAGTTGATGACTTCCAGCGTATGTTTTGGGAAATTCGAGAGTCGAGACGACTAGGAACGACATCGACAGCAATGATACGGGAAGCGCCAAGCATTTACGATGGACATACAGAGAAAGTCCAACCAGCCCACAACCAAAACTGACCCACCATGGGTTTCTCTGAAACAAAATCACCGATCCTTCCATGGACAAGGAGGTGCGCCTGGAGGAGACAGTTTGTTATCTTGGTTCAGGGCATACATGGTGGAGTGCATCTGAGTCGCAAATTCCTTGACATCGCCGCGGATTTGAAGCCTTGGGATAATTATAAATGATAGAGAGGCTCTGTGAACGCACCGGTCTTCTACTTCATTGGCGTCAACTTTACAAGATAGAGCGATTAAGCGAGCGTGAAGGGACCATCCAAAGATAGACTCACTTTCACTCGAACGGGCTTCTGCTGGATCTCAACATCTAGGATGCCCTTGAGCACGAACGATGGGTTGTTAGACATGAGTCACTGAACAGCACAAAGTGGAGATCGAGGGCCTATGGAATATAACTGGTCTGCCGACACACCTTAAGGACAGCCGCTGAGGTGATCGGACCTGCCGCAGGCTTCAAGCTGTGCGAGCCTGAACTGGTGAGTCGTGACCAGCATACGATGATATGGAGTAAATAGGGGTTGTCAGCTTGTAAGATACAATCATACAGAGAGACTACTCGTCCTATTTCACCTACGTACCAAGCGGCAGTCCTTGAGCGAGAATTGCGACTTCCTTAAACCATGTCAAATTCATCAACATTTGGAACTGGACTAATCAGGTATGTCGTCATGTTTTGGGAGGATTACCTTTTCGGGTCATTTATGGCCAACATCCGTCACCAAGTTGCAAGTGAGACACTCCAGGGTATAAATCATGCGCGTTCCCCGTCTTCTCTCCTCTCCCCTGACACTAACCCAGCCCCAACGTCGACTCAATAACAACTAAGAAGTACTGACGCCCAGCAAGTTCAACAATCGACTTCACACATCTCGTTTGGAACTCCTTCGTTACTTCATACTAATCAACAATCATGAATTATAGCGAGAGCCTCCCAGACTTCTCTGGCCAGATCGTCGGCAACGGTCGCTTCGAGCTCGTTGAGATGATTGGTTCCGGTTCCTACGGAAACGTCTATCGCGCTCTCGATGCTCAATCAGACCCATGCGAACCTGTATACTATGCAATCAAGTGCTTGCCAAAAACGGATCTCTCCCCTGAGCGTCTCGTGTGCCAGAGGCGTGAGATCGCATTGCACACCTTAGTATCCAGTTCGTCGCCACATATCTGCACTCTTCACGAGATCATCGAGGAAGAACTATACATCTACTTCGTGCTCGACCACTGCGCGGGTGGGGACCTCTATACCGCCATCATCGAGAAGCGTATCTACGAGAACAATGTCCCGCTCATCAAGAGGGCATTCATCGAGCTTCTCGATGGCGTACACGCCTGTCACCAGTTGGGGGTGTACCACCGTGACCTGAAACCAGAGAATATCCTCTGCCTTCAGGGCGGGTTGGACATTCGTATTGCAGATTTCGGGCTGGCGACCAAAAGTCGTCTCAGTCAGGAATTCGGCGTAGGCAGTTCATATTACATGAGTCCTGGTATGTCCCGACATCTGCATGGGTATATTATCTGATAGACTCCTGTTACAGAATGCTTTAGCCGTGAGATGAAGTACCCTCATTACTCACCGCTTCACACGGACATCTGGTCGTTGGGAGTTATTCTTGTGAACATGGTCTCGTGTCGCAATCCTTGGCGACTCGCGACACCCTCGGACGAGGGCTTCCTCGGATATCTGTACAACGTGGACTTCCTCCGCGAGATCCTTCCCATCTCGAGACCTTTCAACGAAATCCTCAAGCGCATCTTTCGCCTCCAACCACTTGCGCGAATCAGCCTTCCTGAGCTCAGAGAAGAGATCCTCAAACTTGATACCTTCTACATGAGTGACGTCGAGCTCCGCGACGCCTCGGAGAACGCGCGAGAAGCTGCTCAAGACTACAATCGTCGCGCCGCACCGTTGACTGATTTGATCTTCCATCAAGTCGCGGCCGACACAACGCTCGTCAACTGCTCATCCAAGACATCCGACTTCTACTCAGACGGCGGTCCACCATATCCTAAGTGGGCTTATCGCAATTGCGTGCCTGAAACGCGACGACCTAGTGAGCTACCGCCTGCAAGCGTCAACAGAACACCCTCACCACTCCATATTCAAACCCTTGAGTCACAAGACGGTCGACTTTACGAGTCACGGGAAAGCCTATCGGGCTGTTCTATGCGTTCGATTTCTTCAGGGGTAGAGAGCGAGGGACCCATTACTCCGGAAACGCATGCCCACGAGCCTGCTATTGACGTGGCAGACTTGTCCGAGGGGCAGACACTTGATGAACCAATGGTTGCTTGCATACCTGCTCAAATGAGGCCAAAGCAACCCCGCCGGTTCTCATTCCGCAATGTAGTTTCACGGTTTAGTAAGATCTTCTGATTAGTGCTAGTACGTTATATGCATAGTACATACCCTAGTGTAGTCTGATAATTGTAATCGGGCCGTCGGATTATTTATCGAATTCAGAAACCAAGGGTGTAATGATAAGGTAGTTAATCAATCGCGAGTGTGTGTCCAGACGTCCAGACAACAGGTCCGAGGCCTTGATACAATGGGAGAGAAGATAGGGCATGTGCGAAATTGTAGACAAGGAAAGGGAATAAGATTGCGAACTCCCATGTTCATGGGAGAGGATGGCGAAGAACACTGGCTTCAATGGCAAATGCTAACAGATAGGCTGGCAGATGTCGTGGCAATTGATTAGATTGCTAGATTGATCGATTGCATTGTGAACTCAGGGCAGGCCCTTCAGATAATTCAAAATCACGCAAGTTGTCGATAATCTATCCTTCATTCCTTTCTTTCCAACATCCTCAACTCATTCAGAATGGTCTTGTCAAGCGTTCTTGGTTTCCCTCGTATCGGTACGTAGCTCATCTACAAGCTAGACGTGTCTGATCGTAATCAACAGGTGCAAACCGTGAGGTCAAAAAAGCTGTTGAAGCCTACTGGGCTGGCAAGCTCTCCGCAGAGGAATTGACCAAGGCTGCTGCCGACGTCAAGAAGTCCAGCTGGACTAGCCTCAAAGAACGTGGTGTCGACTTGATCCCCAGGTTCGTACTCTCTTAGAAGTGAAAGATGTTTATTGATCTAATCTCCTCATAGCGGAGAGTTCTCCCTCTATGATCACGTCCTTGACCACTCTGCGGCATTCAACGCCATCCCCAAGCGTTACCAGGGTCTTGGAATTTCTGCCCTCGACGTTTTCTTCGCTATGGGTCGTGGTCGTCAGGCTGGGGGTGTCGATGTCCCCGCATGTGAAATGAAGAAGTGGTACGTGTTTTAGTTTCACTGTCACTAGATGCTCTTGTTGATTTCATGTTTCAGGTTCGACTCCAACTACCATTATGTCGTCCCAGAGTTGTCAGAGGAGACTGACTTCAAGCTCCTCTACAACAAGGCCCTTGCAGAGTACAGGGAGGCCAAGGAGCTTGGCGTAGTCACTCGCCCAGTTATTCTCGGCCCCGTGTCTTACCTTGTCCTTGGCAAGGCCGCCAAGGAAGCCTCTGCTACCTTCCAGCCTATCTCATTGCTTTCAAAGATCCTGCCTGTATACAAGCAGCTCCTGTCTGAGCTGAAGGCTGCTGGCGTCGAATCCGTCCAAATTGATGAGCCCATCCTTGTTCTCGACAAGGGTGCCGACCTCGACAAGCAGTATGCGTCTGCTTACGCCGAGCTTGTCCCCGTCGCTCCCAAGATTATGCTCACCACCTACTTCAATCGCCTGGACTCTAACATCAGCTTCGTCGCCAAGCTCCCCGTTGCCGGTCTCCACATTGATCTCGTCCGTGCACCCCAGCAGCTCGATGAGGTTCTTGCTGCCATCAAGTCCACTCCTATCGTGATTTCTCTTGGTGTTGTTTCTGGACGCAACATCTGGAAAGCAGACTTCGCTGTTGCTATCAAGCATGCCCAGACTGCCATCGCTGCTCTTGGTCCTGACCGTGTCATCGTCGCCACCTCTTCGTCTCTCCTACACACCCCTGTCACCCTTGCTTCTGAGAAGAAGCTTACCGAGCAGCAAAGGGACTGGTTCTCGTTCGCCCTTGAGAAGGCGTCCGAGGTTGCCACCATCGCAGCTGTTCTCTCCGGCTCTCAAGACCCCAAGGTTTCTGCTGCCCTTGAGGCCAACAAGGTCTCCATTGCCAAGCGTCGCCAGTTCGAGTCCACTTCGGATGACGCTGTTCGCAAGCGTGTTGCTGCCATTACCCCCGACATGTACAACCGCAAGAGTCCTTTCGCCACCCGCAAGGAAGTCCAGGCCAAGCACCTCAACCTCCCCAGGTTCCCAACCACCACCATCGGTTCCTTCCCTCAGACTAAAGAGATCCGTACTGCCCGTGCCAAGCTCGGCAAGGGTGAGATTACCGAGGCCGAGTACGATAAGTTCATTGAGAAGGAGATTGAGATGGTCGTCCGCTTCCAGGAGAAAGTCGGCCTCGACCTCCTCGTCCACGGTGAGCCTGAGCGTAACGACATGGTTCAATACTTCGGTGAACAACTAAACGGCTTCGTCTTCACTCAAAACGCCTGGGTGCAGAGCTACGGATCTCGGTGAGTATTTTATTAAGATAGATTCGAACAATCGAGCCTCAATTTTTTTGCCAACAGTTATGTCCGTCCCCCTATCATCGTGTCCGACGTTAGCCGTTCCTCCCCGATGACCGTCAAGTGGAGCAGCTACGCACAGAGCATCACCCAAAAGCCCATGAAGGGTATGCTTTCTGGCCCTGTCACCATCTTGAACTGGTCCTTCCCTCGTGATGATGTTTCGCGTAAGCTGCAGTCGCAGCAGCTCGCTCTTGCACTCCGTGATGAGGTCATTGATCTCGAAAAGGCTGGCATCAGTGCCATCCAGGTTGACGAGCCTGCTATTCGTGAGGGTGTAAGTATCTCCTTGTGATTAGATTAACTTCCCGCTGATCAAGACTCCTTAGCTTCCTCTCCGTCGTTCTGATTGGGACGAGTACTTGGAGTGGGCTGTGGATACCTTCAAGCTCTCCACTGCTGGTGTGACCGATGCCACCCAGACCCACTCTCACTTCTGCTACTCCGACTTCGGTGACATCTTCCCCTCCATCCAGCGTCTCGACGCCGATGTCATCTCCATCGAGTTCTCGAAGAGCGACATGAAGTTGCTCCACACCTTCAAGCAGTACGGTTACTCCAACCAGATTGGTCCTGGTGTCTACGACATCCATTCGCCTCGTATCCCCAGTGAGCAGGAAATCAAGGATCGTCTCCAGACCACCCTGGCCATCATTCCCGACCACTTGATGTTCATCAACCCTGTAAGTGGAATGTCAAGTGCTCAATTTAAACCCACCGCTCACGCCTGTTTTTACAGGACTGTGGTCTCAAGACCCGTGGCTGGAAGGAAACCGAAGCTTCCTTGGCCAACTTGGTTGCTGCCGCCCGCTGGGCCAGAGCTAACGCCTAAATCTCCACCCCTTGCGCTTCAACAGCGCCCACAAAGCGGTTAATTTATCAAGGCCCTTCTGTCGTGAAACAAGCCTACACTTGACCTCGGGTAGTTGTCGCAAAAAAACATAAAACAATGTCTGGCGATCTCGCCATGAACAGGGACAGGGCAACAGATAGTTGCTGCTTTGTGGGCCCGCAAAGTGCCTCGGGAGTGAGGTAGGAGCTTCGCGCGTCTTCGACCGTAGTAGTCGGATTTCAACAATCCTTAATGTACCGTATCGTTATCCATGGAATAAATGACACTATGTAGCATCCATCCAATATCCAATATCCAACATCCCCGACTCTACGAAGTAGGGAGGGTTCTGTCAGCTCCAAACGGCCAGGCACCTGTATGCAAATGTGCGCGTGAACTTATTTCCTAATTCACGACCTCACAACGGACGATTATTTTCATGTGCGCGTGAAAAGTTTCCCTTTTTCTGAAAATGGGCCAGAAGCCTAGATTCGCTCACTCAGGACAAGGAATCTGAGACATGATAACAAGGAGACCATAGTGTGCAAGGCGGAAGATGAAGGAAGATGGCAAAGGGAGAATCGAAAACTGGGATGGAAAAGGAGAGTCGCAAATCAATAGTCGTTTAACGAGTAACTGCATTATTGAATAAAATCTAAGAGATCAGAGACTGCACAGATGGAGTAACTGTTGTCCGCCTTGCATATCATGGTCTATTATGGCCCCCCTTTTCATCATGTATGCAAGTGACAGAGTACTGATCTTGTTGGGAGCGAACATTGATGGGATTGGCCCGCTGGAAAGAAAAGTTTCCTATTTTCGTTGGTAATTTGGGTCTGAGTCGAATGTACATTACGCAGTGATTGTAAGAAGCGAAACGAAACTTCGAAATCCTTGATTGAAATCACTGAGAATTTTGTCCGCTGGCGCTCTTCATAATTACAATTCAGTGTCGGCCGAGTCGGGGATTGGCGCGAGCGCCACTATGATATCATAGCATCCAATATCCAACGTGTCTATGATATGTTTAAAATGCGCGCGAATACGAAAGTGGTATAATAATAGAGATCTCAACCGTCTATTTCATCATGGGTATAGTCATTCCTTCTACAATGGCAGGCGACACCGCTGAAGAAGCGATGATTGCATTGCTATCGTCTGGATCATGATGCTCCGAAGACACGTCCAAGTCGTTCGTACCAGTGACGCTGGTCTGCCTGAGGGGGGTATCAGGAGAATTCGCCGAAATATTTTCAGTTGACACGTGCAAAGGACTATGCTTCTGGTTCTTTTCTATCGCAAGTGCCGTTCGCAGGGTGCGTTCGATCTTCTCTGTACGTCTGGTGAGTTGGCCACCTCGCCAAATCAACACTGCCGCAATTATCCCGCACAAAAATGATGCGGGGACGAGCGTGCCTGTGGTCCACGCCGGTCGTTCAAAGCTTGTAGAGAATTAGCTTGATTTTTTTTTTGGCTCGAACAGAGCTTACCGGTTCATAGACCACATGCAACTCGACAGCATAACCTGAATACCAGTAAATGGGGGTAGCTTCTTTTTCCACAATATTTACCTGAAAAACAGAATTTCCGTCGACAAAGAGACATATCCAGAGTGCTGTGCTGCAGTACGCATTGCTAATGTGAGCAGAGATACAAACCGAGTCGGAAGGACGCACTCGATTGGAAATGCCTTTACAATGGAGTCAACAGCGCATTCTCTTGTAGTAGATATGAAAGGACTTACTCGGTGGGCCACAGTACCGTGTGGGCGGTACCATGTCTGACTCTCGCGAAACTTGACCTGTTCTGCGTCAAAGAAGTGAGCGACACCTATCATAAGCTACCACAAATTTAGGTACATACGATGATGCAAATCTTGTTGCTCCCGTTCAGTGAGAACATGAACAAAAGTAGGGTCATATGCGGGATCGGGTAAATCATCGACGTCGTATAGCTGAGGGAGACCAGCTCTAGCTCGTAGCTTCGTTGTTTTCCGCTTATAGTGCCAAATTTTACAGATTCCTATTTGGAAAGTCGATTATTGTGATGAAACCAAAGATCACAGAGACCCACTATAGGTGTCCAGAGCACGAGCAGGGATCAGGCCAATACCGGTGACGGTGAATAAACCTGGGTGGAAACGTTTATGGAAGTTCAGCGGAAATAGAGAACGACAGACCACATTCAATCTGAGAGGATACTTCAACCCAAAAACCCTGAGTGTTTGCATTGTGCAGATTAATCCATTTCAGCAAAAATAAAACCAGCGCAGCTCCCCAGAATACTATGAACGGTCAGCACCCAAGAGTAGAACATGTTAGGTCTCTGTACCAACAAGAAACCCATAAATGCCCGTTATGATCTGCAATCAGCTGGTGAGCCACAAACCAATCGTACTGCTATATCGCGGACTTACACCCATCGCTGCGAAGAGTGAGCAATCATCGAAATGCAAATGACGAGTTACACTGACGAGTTTTCAAGAACGACCAAACGCCCTGCAGCGTACGTTCGACCTTGGCTCGACGGGTCAGGACGTCTTTGACATGTCTGTCTAATGCGTCGTCCATGCCATCAAATTCAAATTCAGCATGCCCAGCGGATTCCAGGTCCTGGCCTGGTTGTCGTCCGCTCGGATAAAACAACGCGATGACTGGTTTTCGAGAATAGAAGTCCGATCGAGGACTAATACGGTCATCAGACTTGATCTATTTGAACATGGGATATCACTCGCATCAAGATAGAATTAGCGGCATTGGCCAGGCTGGATACAGTAGCAACCTGAGGATCTGGAGACATAAGAGTGGTGCAACCTGAGACTAAAAGAAACTCGATGATACCTATGACATCCAAATGGTCCACTATATCATCGTGGTGATGGACATCGCTTCCGTCGAGCTGCTGGCTTTGCAGAAGGCCGAGTGCGCTTCCTACAATGCCGGGTGTCCCGACGTCTGATTGACTGTGGACCAAAATGTCGGTCCGAGAGCCCTGCAACCTCAAAGTCCTCTCCCTAATAGTCCCATGGCCGTCTGCAGCAGGAGGACCGTAGCATGACAGTGGCAGAGGTGATACAGATGGCCTATGAAAGGCTAGGACGTGCTCAGCAACCTTACTTGTAGACCTGGACCTGTCACGGCGAATGGGAGGGCGGGAGAAGGACGCCCCACTTGTCGTACGGCTCCTTGTTCGCTGCTCGTTCCCTGGAGCAGCATTTATTTGCGCTTCGTGTAGTCTGGAAATACTGCCCAGACTAGGTTGTCCGCGTACCGTGACGGATTGCGATGACTCCTCAACATCATTCTCAATTGTGTCGCCGAGTATATCATAACTAGATGGGGTCTTCCTGATCCTGACGGAAGGCATGGAGAGTGTAGCTCAAAGTGTTGAACTTATAGGGATCCCAGGTCTGCTATCATAGTGGGGCGGGAGGGAGCCGGCTTACTACTTATCTCGTGACTTACGCGTGGCACCGTTGACTAAACCGTGCCTGATATGTATATTGCAAGGAAGATGCCGATAACAAACGTTTGGTAGAATATCGAATACTACCTAAGTATGCCGAAGCAAATTAATGGTGCAGAGTTAAAAGTGAGATATCCTCGCGAGCATCCACTAAGGACCATCCTTGGGCACTGGAGAGTCGGGATCACAATGATCCACAGACTGACGTCCCGACTACATAGAGAAGTCAATTATTTGTAACAGGTCAAGTGGAGTCGCTTACGTTGGGGGTATTGTCTAGACTCCTTCTGCCGCGATTGAAAACACTGAGCAGCCGAGCCCGGCTTGACGGTCGATTAATATCTGGCACAGTAGGGGAAAGAGTCAATTCATCCATGACGGTCGGCTCGTCCGTGAGGGACATTCCAATAAATCTACTGGGATTGGTACCGCTTGAGGATGATCTCCTCGGTCTAGTTGGTGGGGCTGCTGAGTTGGTGTCTGTTCGCTTCGGTTTCAGCTTCAGTATCTTCCGAGGGGGTCGAGGATCTAGCTGCGAGACGTTTTTGGAAGCGGTTAGCTTCGTCTTTGAGAATAACTCTCGGGCCACAGGGAAGACCGGAACCAATGGTTGATGCAAAGCTATCTTGACCCAGCCTTTCCACGTGAGATCCGATGGGATAAACTGTTCAACTAATTCTTCAAACTATAGCATCAAACTTAGCCAACAATATTGAGTGTAGGATAATGAAACGTACACTCCAGGTCTGGTTTCTGATCTCCAACGCGTGTGTTCGAATGCGCGCATCACGACATTCAAAAGATGAAGCCTTCATGATGCTTAGCAGCAACTCCAAACTGAGAGATCGTCATGAGTATCCTCGGACGCAATCACTTCTAGCGAACCAACCTGGAAATCTTTACAAGCACGAAGTTTTTTTGTGAGGAGCGCGTTTTCATCTCGTCGAAATCGGTCTTATGGTCTAACGATCCCTGGCGCATTGTCGTGTGCCTATGCCGATGACCCTCATCCAGCGCGTCAGGGCTTGATGTTAACGAACGCTGATTAGATTGTGTAGTAGGAGATGGTGTGATCATAGAATCCGCCGCCGCACCCCGCAGATCTGTGAACGACCTTGACGAGCCCAACTTCCGTAAAGGAGGAGCAAGGCTGGTGGAATCCAGTGATGGGCGTGGTTTATGCAGGGGCTTTGAAGAATCCAATGACGCTCGGGGTTTGGGATGGTGCGTATCGCATGCAGATGTAGTGTCGCTGCTCCTGTTCCTATTTCTCCGCGCCGGCCAGACATATTCCATGATTCGCTGACCGAGGCTAGCGTCTAACTGAAGCCTGATTGGATGGAAATCGAGCTGGAATTTCTCATAGATACTAATCCCCCCTACAGGGGCAAGCACTGCCCAATCAGCATCAAGAAAGACTCCTCTCTGAAATGTGGTATGTCAAAAAGCGAAGCCAGTGAGGCTAGAGGACGCACCTTGGACATGGGGTGATTAGATGGCTCCTCAAATTTGGACACAATCTCAGGCCAAGAGGCATGAGGAGAGCCGTCAAACGCCTGAAGGTCTCCTACCACGAGATTGGTCAACGTCGAACTATCTTGTTTGCTGAGCCAAGAGAAATCGATTTCACGGACTGCGAGCTTTGCAAGAAGTTCTCGCTGTTCGTCCAGCATTTGCCACGAAATGTCCGAAGAAGAAGCTAGAAGCAGAAGCGCCGACTTCTGGTCCGAGCGCTCATCGGCTCGATCTTGGGCTAACTTGATAGCGTCAAATATCAAATTAAGTTCCTCAGTTAGAAGGAAGATGTGGGCCTTGAGCTTAAGGATTTCCAGCCTGGTCTCCGAGCTGATCGATCGTGCATGATTTTCAGCATCCCTACGTGTCTCAAGGGCGTTTCGGAGACGACTTTGTAGATCCGAAACAACACTTGCCGCAGATTTGAAGTCTGTAAAGTCGTAGGCAAACAGCAAAGCCTCAAGCCTCTCCAACCGAGTTTTGTGAGCGGCATCAGAGAAGAGTATGAGGTTTGTGATAATGTTAGATATGGATTGGAAGTGACGGTCGCTGGCAGAAACAGTGAACCGAGGGACACGGACCCGGACCAGATCCTGCCAATGGGTCAATAATAAGCAGAAAAATTACACACGCCAGTCTCACTGTCTCGTTCTGTAAATGAGCATATTTGCCTCGACGGTGCTCATTGTCCGGCACAGACCGAGTGACCGATGTTACATTGTTACGTAGACGAAGGCGATTGAACCGATCGTAATGGCACGTAGCATTTGTCTGGGGAACTATTCGGTCGAAAGTATCACTCTCACAACGGTAGTCGATGAGGACCTCCAGTGGCACACATCCGTCGCCACAGGATGCCAAGTCTACGGGACAGAACGTCTGAAGACCATCCAAGGACATGTAATTCCTGTCATGTCTTGTGAGGCTTACGATACAATCAGCCCAAAGTTCGAACATTACCTGGTCATGATAGTACCACTAATAGGATCCTCCAGGTTGGACTTGTCCATGATTGTGAACGATTGCAGTCTAGCCTGGGCAGCAGCCAAAACGGAAACGGAATCAGGACTTCCTTCACTCCGCAAAACGATCTGGGGCTTCAAAAGAAGGCAGAAATGGCGCTTTTGCAATGCCACCCCTTCGTCCCAGCCGGCGAGAGGATTAACAGCGCCATCTTCGTCCGCAACCTCATCCGCGACCTCAATAGATGCATCATTGCGATCCCGATTCAAGATTCTTTTTAGAACAGTTGTAGCAGTCTGAGCTGTATTCGCAGGGCCTTTGGGATTGGTTAGGGGCCCAGTTGACAAGACAGCTTCGGCAGCTTCGGCCTGGTCCCTGATGAACTTAACAGCACTAAACGCCGCAAAACGATCAAGGGGCAGTTAAAAGTGTATAGGAATGATTCACGAACCGCGTGGCCATATGATACTCAAATCCCTGTCGCGCTTTTGAACAGTTGTAGTACTGCAGCATGATCTATAGACAGTAATGAGTAACAAGTCGGAGGAGTAGACCAAGAGCGCCAGACATCACGGATAGAATTGTTCATGAAAACCTTGGGAGCATGAACTTGGTAAACATTCTCAAACTCTGCCCATTCATCAGCTGCTACAGTCTCAGAAGGCATGTAATAATTTTCAATGTTGCTACTTCGAGGACCAGTGTGAGGAATTTCGGTCATTCGTAAATGATTGACGTAGTCCTGTAACAAGGCCATCATTCTGTGCAGGGAAGTTGAGGTCTGGTGTTTCAGTGAGCACATTTAAGTTTCACAGGCGAATGTTTGGATGTACCCCTTCACTGGCACCAGGGAGTTGCGCGGCAAGGTCCTGGAGTTGCGCAATTCGATGGCTGGCGAGGTCAACTTCAACCTGTGGAACAGCTACACTCGGGTTATCAGGTTCAGAGGCTAGAGGGAAGCACTTCAAATAGCTTACACGCCTCGCTTCCAAGAAGACACGTATGCGTATCCTCTATACCAAATTTGCTGTCCTCGATAGGTCCAGAAGTGACGTTTTTCTTAAAATAAGTCAATCTGGAACAAAGTAACACTGGAAGGAGTTGTATATCTGGTTCATGTTTGGAAGACCAATCCGTTTCCACAAAGTCGTCGGTATCAATCCAGTCGGAGGGAGCACTTGTTGACGGCGGCCTTGTAGGATTATTGAGGTCCTGCTCGCCTTCGAACGGCAGAGAAACGGCTTGTTTCAGGGGCTCAGAAAAGGTAGCCCAGCATGGCACGCAGGTCTACGTCTTTCATGACAACCTCCGCCGCGTAGAAGGGCTTATGTCGCACAACCTTGATGCTGTCCTGGCTGTCGCCTGGAGCGATGGATTCTTGGTCTCTTTGGTGCATATCTGCTTGGAAGTGGCCGACGTTAGCCTTGGTACCCACAAAGGAGGTGGTTCCAGAAACCCAAGAGTCTCTCGTGTCGTCAATGTAGACGTGAGATATGAATAAGCGTGGCACCACCAATCGGTACTTCATGGTCGCAAGTTGACGAGCAAATTTGGGGGACAATGCTTTGGAGGGATAATACGTGCCCTGTCTGACTGGCAAGGACAAATTGCTGTCGAAGAGTGCCCACCAGGACCAGAAATGAGCAAATGCGTGTGGTGTCAAATGGAAACTACTCGGGCTAGATGAATCAGCGCAGGTATGCGAGTGCAGAGAAGATGTCAAAGATACGGAGAGGTGGATGAAGTCGGATCGGAAGCCCCTATAGGAGTCGTGAAGTCTCTGGATAAAAATCAGCGGGGGAAAGACAATCACACGAGTAAAACAACCTGTCGATCTAGGTCCGTCTTCATAGTCACGAGTTGCACATCGTAATGAGGCCGGAAGGTGAAAAAGCGGCAATGGCGGTCAAAGGAGGATCCGACGCAAGATGTACAATCTTCGCTGTTGCAGGACCGTTCTAGGATGACACCAACTCCGAAACGTACCCCAGAGCTAAGTTTTGCACACGTCTTAAGGCAATCAGGCGCGGTGTCATGTGCTTCGTTGGCGTTCGACTTGGTTTGAGCGATATCCCACTCGCAATGGAACCTAATCTTCGTTATCAGTGTCTTTCCTTGGTGTGAATCGAGACGACATTACTTTGGAATAATAATAGACATTGTATCACTAGATACCTGAATGAGTTCATTGACGTCATTTGGAAATCCAATAAGCAATTTTGGATTTCCTTTCCAGCAGAGCGCAAAGCCAGCACCTTCATCATGAAGGGTGTATGGATCACGTGTACCTAGCACAGAATGATAAACACATGACAAATGACGACACCCATAATCGTACCTTTCATGTAGAGCCTGACCTCATTGGTGAACGACACTTTGACAGTCCAGTGGAAAACGAGTCTCAACTAAACACATAATCAGACCCTATAGATAGCAGTGAGAAGAAATATGGGACGCACCTTATCCCAGAATCCAACGGTCGGAGACGGATCATGCGTTTCTGATGTTAAGCTCTCCAAAACCCGAACAAGATCTTGGGTAGTTGCACTATAGCTCGCGCCCCAGCCAAAGCCTGTTACCCCATCAGTCATAACTTGGACAGTGGGATTAGCGTACGTCTTGACGGGCATGATGGTTTTGGGAACTTCGATAACAAGAGGGCTGCTGGGAACAAAGCCTCCCTGAGCCTCGCTGATGAGACAAGGTATCCACTCGACAGATTGTGACGCTCCCATGTCCTCGGCGACGACCAAGTCGGAAATGAACCTCAGAACAGGAAGTTTTTTGTCTTCAGAATGGAACGGGATATGAAGGAGTGGCAATGGATAGTCTCGAAGCGTGACTCGAAGAGATGTCAAGGAGATATCAAGATGCATTGGAAGAAGGAGCGTGTAAGAAGTGTCCTTGGGGACACCCTGACCCTGGACATGCAAGAAGTCAGGTAGTTGCTCCAATGGGAATGATGGCTGGGAGAGCTGGAGCTGAAATCCGTAGATGACTGCGCGGAATAGGGGTGGCGTACGGTGGCTACCAGACACGTTCACGAGATTAGGAACATCAGTTGGGCGCTTTAACGGACTTGGTCCTCGGAAATCTCGGTGGAAATTATCTTCTTTGACTGCTCTTTTTTGCCTTCGCTGTCGATGTCGCAGAAGCCAATCAAGAGAATGGACCATGTGTAGCCTTTCCCGGGCCTCGCCGACAGAAATAGAATGACCCGCATCAAACTGGTAGTCTGAGCCGAATGCAGCGTTATGTGACGGCGAAGCATCAGCTCCTTCTGCAGCTAATATCGCAGCGACTTTGGCGTCAAACGCATCTTCCCGCTGAAGGCGTTCTTTGGCAGCGTCAAGGCCAGTTCTCCAAAGCAACCCGAGTTGAGATTCGAAAGGGTCATCTGCTGCCTCTAAGCATATGGCACGGATGGACACCGAGATATTTGGCACAACCTTCGGACCTTCGGCCTCTGGAGGAGGGAAAGGAAAGAATGTACCTGTGGCGACCGTACGATGTATGTGGCGCGAAGCTTTGATCGCCAGGGCAATGGCAAGGAGCAAGTCCGCGAGTACGTATCCTGAAGGGACTCCGAAACGAATGCTGTCCCCTTCAACCCGGATAGCGTCGTTAGGATTACCTCCGTAACTAACTGTGCACCTATGCAAGCGCCCAAGCTCCTCCCATCTACCTTCCTCTGCCTCCCTCCAGCGATGCGGCTTTGCAGGCATGGGAACCCAGAACACGAGTGAGTTAACGCAATACTCCACATTCCCAGGGCTAATGGTCGCCTCCAGGTAGTTGATCCGCGTGACAGGCTGCTGCCCTGGCAAATTCCATTGGATCTGCAGAGCCTTTATCATCCCCCGGAAGCTCAAGCCCAGGACACGCGAGCCACCGGAGGCTTGTGCAGGTCGTAACTTAGGCATTATGTTCTGTAATACTCGAAGTGCAAGGAGGGAGGCGACAACATGCCCCAAGTCAAAGGAAACTCGGGCTTGGTCAATGGTGGCAGATATGGTATTGGCACTGCACTGAAAATTCCACGAACTTTGCGACCTGGTCCCCCGGGAAGTGATGTCGACCTCCGTTCTGTGTAAGAACACGATATGCTTGCCCACGAATGCAGGATCATCTTTCTCAAAGATATACGGGTCGTCCATCGAATATGTATCAGCAGCAGCTGAACGAAGAGATGTGTTCCACAGGACTATCTTCCCATGAGCAGTACTTTCAGTGGACGCCGCAGAAACCCTTGCGGAAGCCAATGCTTCTGCGAGATGATCCGCAGGAAGATAGAGTTTGTGTCTATTCTGTGCACGTGCCCTCGAATGTTCCACAGAATAAACTTGCTCTGGATGGATGGAACAATACCGCGCTGTTATACCAGTGCTAAACGCAACGCCACATGTGACATCGCTTTCGGCGTTGGGATTGATATCTTGACCTGTAACGAAAACGACCAGCCGAGCGACAGATACAGACGCAGCGTAACCCAGAGGCAGCATGAGAGGTTTATCGGATGGCGCGGGTGTGCTCTCCTTCGTCAGGAGCAAGGGGACAACGGCACCTACAGCAGCCACAGACTGCGGATGCCACAATTCCAATATGATCCCTTCCGTGTAGCAATGTAGATCAAGGAAAAGAGACTCGGTGCGCAGCAAATTGAATGCGGATCGTTCATCATCAATGAATTCCCCTAGAGCAGTTAACGTTCCCTTGCCTTCGACCGCTTCGAGGGATAGCAAGCTGTCAACCCCTTCCAAGTTCGGATTTTGGGTAGAGAACCGTTTCGACGCTCTTCGCGAAAGAGAGACTGTGTTCAGGTTCAGGAAGACAGGCTCCATATGAAAATTCCACTGCAGTATCATGTACAGCCCAGTTGGATCAGAGTACGGATGAACGGAATTGCATGTGATGGAAGATTTCGTGCGGAACGTCGATGTGCAATGGGCATTGAAACCTTTGGACTCCAAGGTTAGGGAAAATGGCGTCTGAGAGCCCATTACATCAGCACAGATCAGCCGTGCAGAAAGACGGCCGACTTCAATATCGGCGATAATTCGAGGGATAGGGGATAATGTGTCAGGGAGTGAGGGAGAGGCGCGCGGAGGCGAGATTGGTCGGCAGCTTAATAGTCGATGCACCACGTCCAAGCGGTCTGTAACGGCAAGTTCAGCGAGGCTGAGATCCATCAGCAACAGAGGCCGATTTGGATCACCCGGTGAAATTCGCTGCAAAGATGATGGCCATTCTGATGCCGTGAATGACGCATTTAGGGCACCGACAAGAAGTACCTGGAGGCTACTAGTGAAGACATCGCTGAGTCTACTGAGGGTAGTTTCCTGAATTTTGAGTCGTAAAAAGTAAACGGACGACGTGGGCGAACGGTGAGATCCGAGCCAAGCGCGATGGGATGAGTTGTGATCAGGGTCGCTTGGACCGCAAACGCAAGACACATCCTGCACAGAAGCCCTGTAAATGTCCCTCCCGAACGCTTTGGTTACGTTGATTGAACGTATGTCCACTTGTATCTTGGATAGCAAAGACAATTGCTAGGTGACATAGTGTGATGAAATTTTATCGCTTGTCAAAGATCGATATCCGCTCACCATGCGAGACCTTCTCTTGCGAGAACGAGCGGACGGCAATGAAAAGTGGGGACGATGATAGGACTCAAGTGGAGTGTTAGAATCTTGAACTGCGATGCGGTCAGAGACACGTACTGCAGAGCTACTTTCACTCAAGAGCATAGGCCTTTGGGGTGAAAGTGGCGACACGAGCAAGGGTGAGACAAGAGCTTGTGCATTCTTGGTTTTCTGATTATCAATGATAGCAAGGATGGATTGCCAACGGTCGATCGAGACATGGACATTTGGGATGCGCAAAGTAACCTCGACACTCTCTGCTTCTATCGTCCCGTCTCGTGGACTGAATCGAGCAGCCCCACTGAGAGTTACTGTCTCAGGTAGATATAAAATTGATTCGCCGCCAAGGTGACCTGGAAATGAAAGTATCGATATCATTCATTGATTACGAAGCTAAACACTCACTATGAAGAGGGGTGTCACCGATGACTTTATTGACCGTCAGATCGAACGCTAAAGAGGCCTTGGTCTGGCCCAGTGTCTTATCCCACGCACGTCTCCACGTACGCTTGAAACCCATCCCCAGCCGAGACTTCCATGCACCCATGGCTAATGCTGCAGCAGACGGTCTGTGGTCCCCATGGCCATTGATGTTATGAGAATGGAGAACTGGGACCTGAAGATGACTGAAAGCAAAATGCGCGTGTAAAGTGGCTCCTTCGATGACGAGTTGGGCATCTGGGATAGCAGTGTATGTGATGACAGCCGATTCAAGTTCAAGACGAAGAGCTTGAGTGAGAGTAGGGATGCGGTGAATGACCTGGTTCAATATAGACGTGACAGAAACCCGGATCATAGGGCGGATTATAGGGTCAAATAGCCAATATACTGTTGACATGAGGGACCATAAGTGCAGAGCTAGTGGGGAGGGCGACAAGTCCACCAGAGTGAGTCTACGCCTATGCCTAGTCTGAGCGGGCTGCTCGTGCGATAGCTGCTCAATCTCGACTTTGAGACCTTGAATCTTGAGTAGCAATCCCCTGGGTTTGCCCTCACCAGAGGAACTGTAGGAATACCCAATACGTTCGACATGCCACGTACGACCTCCTCGACGAAAGTATAAACCACGAATCGAGCGAAGACTGATGCTTCGCACACGTAGATGATTTGAAAAACGTGTGACGACGTAAGGCGCGATATGTGCTCTCGCTATGAACAGGAACAAGATTACTGCAACGAGGCAGAACACAAGCGTGAACCATGACCGCAGGGTGGTTGGGCCAAAAATATAGAACCAGACTGCGAGACCAATTGTCCCAAAAGCGGCATTACGCCGATGCCGCAGAACTGTCTGAATCGTCGACATGCTGGGACGAGCCAGCAGGGGCCAGGAATGAGAAATTACTGGAAGGAATGTCGGAAAGGAGAGGGTGAGTCGGCGAATATGTACTAGCAGCAATAGCAGAGCTGGTTCAACTTGTTGTCAGCGCGTAAACCTCGAGTTGTTGTACGTCCTGGTCATCCAGCGTCACGCCTTTACAGAAGTCAAAGCGGCGTGGCTTAGGTGAAATTGCGCACAGCCACAATTGCCAGAAGAATGCAATACCGTCACTCTGGAATTACGAGGGCGCTGATAGTACAGATTCATGAAGGCCTACTTGCATAAAGAAAGCGATGAAAAGTATAATGAAAACGTTGCAGTATGGCATATCATATATCTGATGTCGTCTCAGGACAACCCCACCCAACTCCATGATCCTCGAAACAGCGTCCTCCACCCTTAGAAGACCATCTGATGAGGGAACTGGCCCTTCGACAGGCCGAAGGTGGCCTTGAGGTATTTTGCAAGGTTCTCCTGCTTCTGCACAGCAGCAATGACAGCCTTGTCGATCTCCTTCTGATCGGCGGACTTGGCTGCTGGGAATGGCTCCTTTGCCTTGGGCTTGCCCTCCTCGAAGAACTCTGCCTCTGCCGAGGTTGCACCCTTAGTTGAAGGCTTTGCAAAGTAAGCATCGTTGATCTTGGCATCGACCTGATACATGTACAAAGTTTAACAATGATTCAGACATGCTCTGACGCCATCCACGCACCTTAGAGTCACCAAGATCAACCTTAGTGGATGTTGCAATAACGTATGCCTGGTTCACTCGTCTAAGGGGCACGCCGTTGACCTTGTAAGGTCCAGTTACCAACAACAACCCACTCTCAAGTTGCTTCAAGAACACCACTCTCTTCCCTCTGAAACGACCAGCGAGTAAAATCAAAACGGTGCCAGGGACGATGGATGAGCGAAGTTTGGCGGGCTTTGGCGACTTTCGGCTCTTCTTTGGTTGACGAACATCTTCTGCAGGGTAGAATCGGGGTGCTTTGGAAGTGGGAACGAGACGCGTGCCGCCATTTTTCTCGCCGCCCACTGTCACTTCCTTGGAAGCGGGAGCTTCTGCGGGTGCGGGTTTATCGGATTTTTTGAGACCCTTGTAAAGACCACGGCGTGAAGCAGCCTGTGAGCGCGAGAAGCGCCCAACGCCGGGTGCAAGTTGTCTACTGCGGGCCATCTAGAACCAGTTCAGTCAGTTACTGCATAAGAGTCATCCACAGGGTAGGATAGCCATCCAACTCCGATCTCCACCAATACCGACAATCAATGGGACAGAGATGTCCCGAGACCTTCCAGCATCCACCCTGAGGACAGAAAATGCAAGAATCCGTGCTCACAGGTGTCAGTCTTGAGGATATTGCTGTTGAGGCTTCCGTCTATCAATGCTGCAAGTACACGGACGAAGCGTATCGGAGTTCACAGCGTGAGAATCACATTCTAAATTAGTGGTAGCTCACTATAAGCCTTGCCCTTTACAGACCAGAACGCTATCTTGATTCTATATCATTCATACCATTAATCTTCATACCCTTATCGATGATGTCTCCAGATACACCTGAAGAAGGTGGATTTTTTCCGCATTGTATCGCGCACTCTAACGCGTGCAAAAGATCCTAGATCAGTCATCTGGTTTGACATTGATAATACACTATATTCTGCGAGCACCAAGATTTCCCAAGCCATGGGTCAGCGCATCCATGGTTCGTCAGTGTTTGAACTCCTTGCAACATTATGAATAATCAAGACGGCGAGGGTAGCCTACTTTGTCTCGCTTGGGTTCGATGAGGACAAGGCCTCCGATTTGCATCATACGTACTTCACTCAGTACGGACTTGCACTTCGTGGTCTAACGCGTCATCATGACATAGGTAGGATCTACGCTTCAAGCACCAGCTGCTGAAGAGACATCCGGATCCAGATCCCATGGACTTTGATCGAAAATGTGATGGAACACTTCCTCTCGAAAATCTTATTAGACCAGACCCAAAACTACGAAAGCTCTTTCAAGATTTGGACAGAAGCAAAGTGCGTGTATGGGCTTTGACGAATGCATACAAGAACGTAAGTACCGATCCGCATACTCGTGAATATCTAACGCAGAATGTCCCTCCAGCACGCACGACGAGTGATCAAGATATTAGACCTAGAAGACCAGATTGAGGGCCTTGTGTACTGCGATTACGAGCAAACCGACTTTACTTGCAAACCGGAACCAGAATATTATCAAAATGTGAGTATCGTCATGATGGTCAACCATGGATGTCGGCTCAATCCTATACAGGCCATGAAACAAGCGAATATTTCAGATCCGTCTAAATGTTACTTCATTGACGATAGCCACCTTAACGTCGCGGGTGCTAAAGATCTTGGCTGGGGGCATTGCGTACACTTCCACGAGGTCGGTTTGGAAACTGTTGAGGGCGGAAAGCTGAAGAAACTCGCTCGAGATACCAATACTAGTGACCCCGATGGCATCACGAAGATCAGTGATTTAGAGGAGCTAAGGACCGTCTGGCCTGACATCTTTATAAAATAAACTTTCGCGCGAAACAACCTAATGTACTATGTTGTATAGATGTATGAATGTAAGTAACCAGTGTTAAACAAATACATGGATCCAGGGAAATACCATGCTCCTTAGTACAGGGTCGATATCAAAGTTCAAAATAACATAACAGTTACAACTTGTGATGCTTCATTCACCTCCAAAATTACACCGTCATAACCGTACAAGCCTGTAACAAGCAGTTAGTCTGACAGCCACGCTTGGGCAGCAATGACAACTGACGAGTTGTTGAGCTAGGCAGCGTGATGTTATCATATTCATCCGTGCGGTCGAGTAGCATGGAGGGTGGCGGGTCTCGAGGACTAAGAAAGTGGCTGATCATCTCGAACTATACTTCGAATCAGTACAGAATAAAGAGTAGTAAAACTGAGAATCAACAACCTTGTCATAAAAGTGCTTGCGGGGAGGCGAATCTGGATCACGCTCCGATGAGTCCGGATACGAACAATGAAAATGAGACGAAGTACCGTCTTCGTCGTCTTCGGGTTTGCCCTCCAACTGCCAGGGGCATCGTTTATATCGCTGAAAGAGCGGAGAGCCGGGCTATACGGATTTGAAAGAACAAAATCACGAAGCGATCATGTGTCGTACCACATTCGAATGAACGATGATCTTTCGCACAACATGAGTCTGGCCAGATATTAGAAAATCCACACCGTGGTGGAAGTAGTTATAGAAATCTAGAGCATTCACGCTGAGTGGCAATTTTCGTGAGGCGTTCGGATTCATTTACAGTCAGTGCTGCCATCGTCTTCAGAAGGCTGTAGGTTAGGTGAGTGAATGGTCATTCGTTCGTCCTCCTTGTGGTGAACTCGAGAGGGAGGTCCAAGATCAATTGTTAGGTCTTGGGCTGTAGTTTCGCCGATGCGAACGTGGAGAAGCAAGGGAGAAGAGTAGAAATTGAAATGCACGCCGTCATGTATCTGATTTATTGGAGTAAGTTTGATAACAGAGAAAGTAGAAGTAGAGATGACCTTGATAACCGCATTGGAAATGTCACCGCGCATGATTGGACACTGTAATACCTCGTCCAAAGCATCGCGCTCCTCTCCATCCACGCTTTTTTGCCCCACGAAGATGCGCTTTACTTCTTGCGTTCGTTGCTCTAGATGTGTAATGCCTCCTTTGAATCCTTCATTGACACCGTCGTCATCGAAGCTGAACCATATACCAGGGTACTTTAGCTCATCTCCTGGGTAAGTTGGACCGAAGGTCCGGCTAACATGTACTCTAACCAAAGGTTCTGCAGATGACGATACGACTGTATCTTTGTAGCGAAGCGTTACTGGGGGATGAGGCTCCCTAAGTTTCCTTACGCAGATGGTATGGAGGCGTTGGTGGTACCCAGAAAACAAGAGGTCCAGATGAGGACGAAGGTGGAGAATGACTGGCGTCGTTGCCGAGTTGTCTGGATCGAATTTGACCTCGACCTGAGGGAATAGATGTTGAAGTCCGCGTAACATGTCGATGACTGCCCAAAGGGAAGTACCTGGTACAGACAAAATGACATGAACGTCGCATTCTGAGAGCCTTCGTGAACAAACCTAGCTCGAACATCCCGATCCCAGATCCCGGTCTGATGTCGAGGTCTAACGTCGCGAACATATTAGAGGCTCACTGCAGACCGTGACTCGTTGCCTGAGCAGAGCAGAATACCTAACCTGGTCGTAACCTGGAGTCCTGAACCTCACTAGTACTACCACGTGACTACAAAGCTATGAATCTCACTGATCCATTCTCATGTGCTAATCTACAAATTCATATACAAACATGTGCATTTAAAAATAAATCTAAATGTTCTGAGCAGAAGGGTACCCTGAGCTCAGAGAACCTGAATGAGAGATTAAAGATGGCCAACGACGATGTCGAAGTCAATGAGAGTAGAGCGGTGGGACAGCATTGGGGGGGGGGGGGGGTTCTCGTCTAGTTGGTGCATGGGCTAGTGGGGATAAACAGGGTACACGTCAAGAGAAGAAACACGTAATTAACCTTGAGAAGGACAATGTAAGGACTGTACGAGCGCTGAGAGGACTCACAAGAACAGCATCTTGAAGGCGAGCATGGCAGATGAATGATGGATGTCCAGAAGATCCTCGAGCAGTGGGGAAGCGCACCATCAAACCCTGGAGGAGAACCAGAGCGGCGAAGCATAGGACGTAGTGGGGAATCGAAGTGGGAGGGTATTCCGGGCAAGTAAAAACGCCTATTCGTGGCTGCAGAAGGGGTGCGTCGAGCTGAATGTGGCTTGGGTGGCCGGGGACGAGATCGAGAGGTGAACGCATGAAAAGTGCCTGATGAACATGGGCGCAGGATGCATGACAGCCTGCCTTAGCGAATAAACGGGGACCCTGATGTGAACGGGCAATCCAGTGTTAGAGCACCGGTGGTCGGTGAACAAGGAGCAGGTGCTGTGCATTGTAGATATTAGCGGTTTTCGAGGTCTTTTGTGATATCCGCCTGCTGGGAAACGAGTAACGATACAGCCCGGGTATTTGAAATCTGTAAGCAGTCGATATTGACAACGGTAAATTTTAGAATTAAGGCTATCCCTAATGGGATACTTAGATGCTCGGCCCTAATCGCGCGGACGAACTGGCGAGCGAGTTTCATTGGCTAAGTATAACTTAGATTATTCGTATCCGAGGCTGAATTGCCAACCAACCAACACATGGTTGATTCTTTCATATCTCTTTCATATCTCCCTTCAAACCTCGTGTTCTCCCGCCCTTGTCCCTTACCCATACGCTATCCCTTTCTAGCACGGGCGGTGTCACTCCGGTCAAACTCCGGCTAACATGCCATCCTTTCCAATTTTGGAAATGCAGCTCACATTTATATTTTATATATACGTAAGTATTTTTGCATGACATCGTTCTCTTCGTTAGCCTAGCGAGCATTGCTTTTAGATCTATCATATATACAGATTCCATTATGCAACGTGCAAAATTGGTCGTGTATAAAACTCGTCGTTACATATCCACGCATCTAGACGCACCTGCATCCAAATATGTCTACTCTCTCCGTGCAGAATCTCTCCGTGCAGAACGAGCACCGTCCGAAACAGAGTTCGGCTCCGGCCACAACTTGGGTCAACCACCTCCCTTCCAGCATCCGTCCTTACTTGTATCTCATACGAGCTGACAAACCTGCTGCAATACTCTTGCTGTTCTATCCATGTGGTGATTATATATTTGTGATAAGTTTCTTTTTGCGGTTGTTGACTTGAATGATCTAGCATGGTCGGTCACCATGACCTGTTATGCACTCAGTGCGCCAATCACGACCGCGTGGACATATGTTGGATTTTTCCTTTTGGCTTCCTTTGTGTTCCGCTCCGCTGGGTGTGTAATCAACGACATGTGGGACAGACACATTGACGCTGCCGTTTGTGAGTTTTCTATCGTTCCAGTCACTAATCAGTGACTCCTTCTGATGCCTTCAATTAAAGCACGAACTCGCACCCGACCCTTGGCTGCTGGTGACATCACGAGATTACAAGCATTTATCTTCCTTATTCCTCTGTTGGCACTTGGCATCTGGCTGTTTATGCAGTTAAATGAATACAGGTCTGTCTGCCATTTTTCTTCTCTATTTGTATCGTTCCTCACCCCTCTTCAGTACGGCTCTAGGACTCTCTTCCCTGGGTTTAGTTGTGTTGTATCCTGCCATGAAGCGGGTAACCGACTGGCCACAAGCTGTACTTGGTAAATTGCTACCAACCTCCTTGATCGCGGTTGCTAATGTGACTGAATAGCATTGTGCTTTAACTGGGGAGCACTCCTGGGAGCAGCCTCTATTGCCGGAGCAGTTGACTGGAAGGTATACATCCCTCTATACGTGGGGGCTGCATGCTGGACAATCGAGTACGATACTTCTTACGCCCGTCAAGTAAATCAATCCTCTTTCATTCCGTGCTCGTTGGCTGAATCAACTAAAAATAGGACCGAGATGATGACATGAAAAACGGCAATCATTCGACCACGATTATTTTTGGAGACCGGATCAGACCAATCCTGTTAATGTTTTCCATCTTCGCCTGTTCGTTGGTGGCGTACGCTGGAATCCTCAACGGGCATGGCTTCCCGTATTTCATTGGTGTGGCCCTTGGGGCACTTCACCTTGTGCGATTCATCGCCAAGATTGACTTTGAAGATAAGAAGAGTTGCAATGATAGTCTCCACAACAACCTTTGGTTTGGTTTCTGTATTTGGGCGGGAGCTATGGCCGACTACATTTTGAAGATGCAGTCATAGATGCTATGATCAACTTTTGATTGCTCTTAGACACGTTTACACCTTCCGAGGTTATCTAGATCACAACGGCGTTCGGCTGCGCCGCTCCCTGACTCCCACACGAACCACTTTCATCATTAGACATGTAATACATTGACTTTCTGTGACCCCAAGGTGCGCGAATCGCGCTGAATGCTTTGTTGTGCCAAAGGCTGCATACTATGTGCACTTGTTATAACGCCGTGTGGCGTGTCGCCACAGCTTTTGAATTGTTTTTCTGAATCTATAACGACAAGATATCGACAGTGTAAGCGGGAGAGCTGGTGCAGATACAAACGAGACAGAGGTGGATAAAGAATGAAGTTATTTGATATACGATTGACGTGCAGATGTTACATAGCTGCCTCCAGCGAGGCTTCGGATTTTTCATGAGTGAACGACTAAGTACGAGGGCTAGTGCTCTGCCTCAGGGTACCATGCATCAACTCTGAGATGGGCCCCAATCATCATCGGGCCCATACGTAGCGCACAACCATAATCAAGAAGGAGCGGCTTGTCTTGCTTCTATTATAGTCTGGTTAGGGGAGACTAACGTAGCCAGATAGGACTTACCAAACTGACCTTCCAGATAACACACTCGCGAAGGATGCTCGATCTAACGGCATCCAATAGGGCTCCGGGTATAGTGATTGCCCAGCAGGCAGTCCGAACAGAAAGCGAGCAACGACGTACGCAATCCCGTCGGATCCATGACTCGGTTGGCGGGTGTGATAGAGCTGTGGCAAGTGTCTTCCGGCTCGGATTGCCTATGGTGCATACTCTATCACGCCACAATAAGACCATACTTATCCTCGGACCTCGTGTATGAGTACACCTGTCTGAGCTTGACGATTACAGGGACCACCGACCCTTACCTAGCCGTCATCGCCACATGTGTGCACTGGTACACAGTAAATACCCTTGACATCACTGCCGCGACTGGCTAATCACTAGTCATTAATCAGATCTTCAGAGCTCTGTGCCTCTCATGATAAATCAGCAGGTACCATTTTCTTTCTCTACGCGAAGCACCTCAGTGATCGGTTGCGTTGATCGAACCTGTTGAACACAGGAAAAATTTGACAACTTGTCAAGTCGCCGAGTCAGAATATGGCAGGTCAGTGTACTGGCTAGCACCACGCAGGGGCCTGACCTAGTCCTGCCATGAATACAGCAAGCCGCGCATCCAGACCTAGCCTGGACCCTCGACGTCACTCCACAAGTACGCAGATAGCAGTCTGGATCCCGAATTATCGCCTCATTAAAATCTATTGAAATACATATTCACGACATATTCACGACATATTCATATGCTCGGTATCGCCGCATCCTTATCGAAAGATATCTATACCATTTTGACGCTGATAGTGTTAGCGTTTAGATGCCAATATAACACTGTCAGGGTTGACTAAAAGGGTCCGGGTAGGTAACTTCCGAAAGGTCCCACGCCGGGAACAAGATGTAAGCATGGACAATGACAATTAGGGGATCGTGTCAAATTATTCACAAATCGCGCCCGAGTAATATGACAGGCTATCATCGCAAATCGTGCCCGAGTAGTGATAGGCTTCTATATGACGTATCTATGTGAAGACACAGGATGTTACCCAAATACCAAACTTGTTCTCACTTATCAGACTGCGCCCGACCAGAAGGACATACTAGATTCAGGCAGGGGTGCAGAAGGTCATATCATGCTCCGTATCGCATTTAGAAGCCTTATAACCCGAAGGAAGCCTTATAACCCGAAGGAAGCCTTATAAACCGAAGACATCTTGACGGTCGTTCTAAGTCTCTCACTCCTCTTGTTCATCCATTCTTTGTATAGACACGTGCCATAATGATTAGCAAGGACTTGTTTAACAGTACCTCCACCAACGTAGAGGTAGCAATCTTTTTGTCACGCTTTTGGACGTATTTGAACCGTGACCTTTACAGTTGTCATGTATCCCAGAGGATACCAGTGGCCTTGAGCGCATCATGCTTGCTGCTCAAGGTGACCTGCAACGACTTCTGAGGTACTGTAATTTTTTGTCTCGGACGCAATCTTGTGTGCTAATAAATGACTCGGATTTGCTATTCGCAGCTCATTTTTTGCTCGGCCAATATTTATTGAGCTCGTTTATGCCAATGGCTCGCCACGGCTGAGACCAGCATCGTCCGAGCATCCCATAACCCAGTCACGGCAGGTACATCTAGTATGTGCTTCTAGAGTCGTCTGCACTGCTACCTCGACCGTCACCATCACAAACCCCGACTTCGAACGTCTATTTCTAGACGATAAATTCCCCATTGGCCAAACATTCCGCAAGATGCAGCGCAACCCACAATTTACCCTCCTTGACGTCCAGACACAGGTCGTCTGTGGCAAACGGGAACTGCGCAGGACGTATACGCTCGAGACGGAGGGTTTCCTCTGTGAGATTCTCGAAGTGTTCCCTGATAGAGACATGTTTGTTCGCGGAGAGGTATGGCTCACTGAGAGCAAGCTGGAGCTCGAAAACAGTTGCGCTGTGGAGAGTCAGGATTTGAAACCCCAGTGGCTTCCTGTCAGCACCGGCAACCCTGTCTGCTAGGGAATCGCTTGTACATGTGGCTTGGCGTTGATGTACTATATATTTGGATACTTGTTGTGTGGTCAATAGATAGATAGATAGATAGACCTAGCATGTCATTATTAATTTAAGGACAGTAGGAGACTCGCGACCAATTACGCTATACGAATGATCAGTGTATAAGGATCCTAACTCCAACTATGTAAAATATACGTACCTCTTTGCCGGTCACTGTTTTCCGCCCAATGAGAATTCACCGACACGCGCGGCGACCTCGTGAAAAGAACAGTCACACTTGACGGATATTAAATTTTCATATTCGAAAGAGTGAGGGGGGGCCCACGTAAATAGGATAGCTGCCCATAACACAAGCACCCGCACCGATTCCTCATCACCGGCATGTTGAAACTCAGGAGTGATGCCAATGGCCAGGAACGCAGGCGCGGAACGATGTGGCGACGTTGGCGGAGCGGCATTGCGGAGTTGAAGGGGTAGACGCCCAGGAACAACAAAAGTTGGGCCTGGTCTGACCAATCCACCTTCTTCGTGAGTGCGCGAGGTTGAATGACAGACGCCGTCCCTTGTCCTGTGTGAAATCGACATGATGGAGAGCTCACATTGGTAAGGCTCAGTCTTTAAATAAGAGACTCCAAGAGGTTTGAAGGTATAAAGATAGCTGGTCCTTTGATCTCGGAGATATTATTTCCATATCATGCAGAGTTCCATCTAACTTGAGTACTTGTCCTGAAATGAGAAAGACACGACCATAGGTTGGGAGACGCAGGTAATCACGATCACATGAGCCACTGGCTTCGCCGTGATTGGCGTAGTAACGCTGGTGTTCAAACGTACTGGAACAAAGTTAGATAACACTGCTCTCGGCGGGTGCCCAGATGTCAAAGCCGCGGAACCACCGAACGATGATGGTGATTGAGGTTTCCAAGCGACCTGACAAAAATGTCCGAAATGCGATCTGGTAGTACCTACGGGTACCTGACTAGTTTCTGCTCCAGAGCTTCTCCTAGCGGCGGCCCTCACCGTGAACCATGTTCCTAGCAAATGCTCATGAGTCGATGTCGGATTGCTCGCATGCAAGTACTGTAAGTAGCATTATCGCTCACCGTGTGACATCCCTGTCAGCGGCAGGACCGTGCAAGTCAGTTGCTCCAGCTGGAGTGGGGCGGAGAGCGCCCGAGTCTCAATACGTGACTCCCATCATTGTCGTCTGATCGTCGGGTATTTGCGGTCTATTACTTAGAGTCTTGGACTCACATTCTACCAAATTTGCAGAGGTACGTCAATTGCCAGATTGATTATTTTTTCTCCACCCACACTTTCATCATCGCCGCTTATTGACGACTTGAGAAGCTGTTGGCTCCTCATTACTTGAGGGCCACCGTCACATTCCTGCCGAATTTGAGACAGACCATCACATTGATCTCGTTATCGAAACTTCGTGCGATGAAACTACAACATTACCGTCACCAATCACCATATCATACTATATCAGCTACAACAATACAACAAGAGTCCGTCGTCTAGTAATGTTCTAATACTGTGAACAATGGAGGAGTATAACAGACTGAAATACAACACACACATGGGGATCATGTACATGTAACAAATTACGACAGAATGACAAGCATGAACTTGGCTTCATGGTGAGGGAGGAACGTCACGTTGGAAAGCAGCTGGCCGTTGCAGGCCTTGCTCGAAGAGGTAATTGCGACGTGCCTTGACGGCTGCGTTAAGCCTGTCCAACATGCCCACAGTGCACTCCCAATCTACACATGCGTCGGTGATGGAAACACCGTGCTTCAGGCCAGAAGGCCCTTCGGCGGGAACATCTTGGCGGCCGCCATTGATGTGCGATTCAATCATGACGCCGGTGATGTTCCTATCACCACCAGCGAGCTGGGAGCAGATATCATCAACCACTTTGGGTTGATTGTTGTGATTCTTCTGCGAATTACCATCTGAACAAATTAAATTAGTTCCCCCGCCGACAACGGCTGAAATTCATGCTTACGGCTGCAGTCAATCATAACGCTAGCATGGTTCATTGGACGTGCCTTCTCAACCGATCTAGCAGCCGCCCTAACGTGTTCAGATGCGAAGTTGGGACCCTTGGTACCACCACGGAGGATGACATGTACATCCTGGTTTCCCCGCGTTTTTACGATAGCAGCGAGACCTTGCTCGGTCACACCCATGAAAGCATGGGGGTTTGACGCGGATCGCATCGCGTCAATAGCAACCGTGACACTATGCCAAGATGACCGTTAGTATACATGTTCTTCAACGAAAACATGAGAAGGGGAGCCGTACCTTCCATCAGTGCCATTCTTGAACCCAATAGGGAAAGAAACACCGGAAGCGAGTTCACGGTGGAGTTGGGATTCCGTTGTTCGAGCTCCGATCGCTCCCCAAGAGATAACTGTGTTTGACAGATCATGAGGTAGTGTCAGAGAGAATGATTGGAAATCGATAAGGCAAGACGTACGGTCAGCAATGTACTGAGGGGAGATGGTATCGAGAAGCTCAGAACCAACGGGGACACCGAGTTGTGTAAGGTCGCAGAGGAGCTGCCTAGCAATTCGGAGACCTTTGTTAATCTTGAAAGAACCGTCGATGTCCTGCAGAAAGATATAGATAGAAACACAGGCAAAAAAAAAGATTGACTGACGGGGTCATTGATGAGACCTTTCCATCCGACAGTAGTTCTAGGTTTCTATTGATAGGGTATAGATAAGTATATGTCAGGGACAAATGTTCGCCTGGCGAACCTCGCTAGAGTGATAACGTTAGCAGAAGCATAAGAGAGGGACAGGAGCACGCACAAGTACGCGCGCATCACAATGAGCAAATTATCCCATGAAGGAATTTTGGATTTAAGCAGGTTGGCATATTCAATTGCCTGCTCTGCAGAGTGAATGGAGCACGGGCCAACAATGACGAGAACACGGTCGTCTTGACCCGCTAGAATGCGAGCAGAATTGTAACGGGAAGCTGCGATGGTGATCTGTGAAGCTACGTTGGGCTGAATTTCATGCCTGAGCAAAGCAGGCTGGACCAGGGGGTCATACTATAAGTTTTGATGAGTGACGAATCGAATGGCAGAGCAGTAGGTAGGACACATACTCCGATGACACGTCTATCCTGGATGTATTGCTGCAGCTTCTGGTTGTCATCGACGTCGGGAATGGGGGTAACGTTGTAGGCCATTGCAAAGCAGGGGAAGCACAGGTAAATAGTTTACACAGGGAAATGAGGGGTTGCCTTAAGGAGAGAAAGTCAGCGGGTTTTTATAGCACATACAAGGCCGAGTAGAAGCGTCGAGACGAGTCATTTCGTAAACAACGTTCGCTAAGTTAGTCCGTGCACTCAGTCACTCAGTCACCGAGCGCGTCTGGCAGCCAGGCTAAGCAGCTAACTGACTGCATCCGCTTACCGTCTAATGCAAATTGATTTTAAATGTTTCTCACCCCCTCGCAATCAAATGACAGCAGACGTATTCAATAGGTCCGGGCCCGTGAAGAAAATCCGTTCACATGGACACTATACTGGTCTGCTGGAGCTACAGACTCAAAAAGCTCGCACCACATACAAATGACTGGTGCTGCCACTATACCTTACTACCAACCGCAGGACTTCGTGCCGTCACCGTGACTATTTCAGAAACTCGTTCGGACCTGCCTGCAGTCAGTTGAGTCTAACTCAACATACGACGTAGTGTTGCCACGAAGAGTGATATTGCCCATTATACGACCTAGATATCCCTAGATATCAACCTCGATTCAGTGGCACCGGACGTGGACCCTATGTCCCGGCGGGGACTCTTCTCGGTGAAGGTGCCGCCGATAGAGCTCAAAAAGTTGAGAGATCTCGATCAGTGGACGGCGCCAGGGCGGAGTGAAGAGTTGCTGAAAAGGTTATAGTTCAATTTTGGCTTAACAGCGCTGACTCCTGACGCGATAACCGGTACTTGACGTTGACGAAACGAAAAACGTGTGTAATCTACAAAATAGAATGAACCTGCGACTCGGAGCACCATAAGTACGTAGCAGAGATATGATGATATCGGGATCAAGTTTCATAAGTAAAACCTAATACTCGATGAATTCAAACTGCTTATCGAGTGTCGATCGAGCGGACTTTGCATGCAGCCGAGCGTGTAGCGTTATGTGAAAGGGAAGGCCTCTCTCAGTTAGGTTAGGCGTGCAGCGATATCCTGCTCGGGTCGCGACTGGACACGAGCAGCCTATCTCTGGCTCCCGAGACGAAGATTGGCGAGGTCGCGAGTTGTGTCCTTGATATGACGACATACAATAATGTCTGGACACCGGCTATAATACAATACCTATGTCGCTGCCGCCGATCAGTAAAATGCGTGGAATAATTCTAAGCTTCTTCTAAGAGGGCCACGCACTGCAAACAATCGAAGTGCTCGTCTCTGATATGATTTTGGGACTCGACCGGCACGCATAATTGATATCGCTCTCCTTGGATGTTAACGCTGAAATGATGGTGATCCAGGCCAAAGCTTCATCAGGTTGGCTGTCAGCATCCATTACGCTAGGAAAAATGCTTCGTAAAATAACGGCACTGACTTGACGGTTCGCTTCCGAATATCACAAGTCTTCTTTGCCTCGAGGATTGGAGCTTTAAGCATGGCTATCCACAACCCTCAACTTCATTTCCGATTGGTAGCTTATTGTTCCACTTGATCAGAAGTTTACAAGAGATGAGTGCCGCGAATGATGCTGTGGCCGACCGTTTTCCTGATTACTAGTAGGCATTGAGCAGGAACAAAATGGTACCTTACTGCATTATGTACATCCGAGAGTTAGAGACCGGAGATTGAAATTCTCTCAGCGTCCCGTGACGTCCTGAACGCACGCGTCGATTATGATCGAAAGTCATTATCCTCTTGTTTCTTGTAGGAGCAGGGGCTGCAGGGATGGCCGATGCTCGCCAACTCATAATAATCAAGGTTTAAAGCTCCATCATAACTATTGATACTTGTTGCTGATTGCATTCCCAACGAAAGGTTTTTCGCAAATACAGCCATTCACTAGGTCCAGATGCTCTGCAATTTCTGGAAGAAATCCTTGAAAGACATGATATAGCGGACAATGACGTGGAGTTCTCAATCGAGACCATTGCAAGGGAGTATAACAAACAAGATGGTGACGCGTTTATGAAATCACTCGGTTTTCGTAAGGCTAACTAAAACAGATGCTGCGATGAAAGTTTCACTAGACATCTTGCAGAGAGTCTACGACGCGTTGCAGGACCAAGGCAATGCGGGGGAAGCAGAAGAACTATTAGATCCTGATAGCCATCTCTACTTTGTGGATGCATTTGAAATGCCATTGTGGCACTGGTCGCAGGAAAGAGGGTCATTCGAGAAGTGTGTTCGTAATATAGCAAGCTCTCAACTTTGGATCTCATTTCAAATCAGATCTTCCAGCCCTCTTACTGTTGCAGGGAGCGCAGACTCACGAATAGCGGCAGTACGCAACCGACTGCATATAATCAAGCAGAGTATCCTGCGGAACGAACACTTCTCCCCGTCTACTCTTCCATCTCGAGACCGAGAACATCTTGTCACGGTACATATCAGTCTGATTTCGAGGGGATAACGCTGACCTATGGCCCGATCAGCTCAAATCCACAAAGCAGCTGCTCGGTAGAGCCGGCGAACGCTTCTTACTCTTGGGAATGCTTGCGCACAACAAAGAAGGTAAGTTGTGCTTGGAAGATGCAGACGGAAGCGTTGAACTTGATTTATCCAAAATGGTAACAAACCTATGACCTCAAGATGACGTTTCTCTTATGACTTTGTTAGGACGAACCAGGCGAAGGATTGTATACGGAGGGGTGCTTCGCCCTTGTCGAAGGTGAATACACTGAAGATGGCATCCTCGAGGTTGTAGCTATGGGACAACCTCCCTGCGAGGATCGGGAGACTGCCAGGTATATTGTTCTAATTTTTGACATCGTGCTTGCTGACCTCTAATAGGTCAATCTACGGTCACATTGATTTCTTGGGGCAAGGTTCAACCTCCCTACTTGAAGATGTGTGTTATCCTGGCTTCTCGGTGCGTACTGAAGTTAACCCTGCTGCAGTCACAGTTCGCCCGTCGGATTCGTGAAGAACTCTCCGACCTCTATTTCTTCTTCCTTTCAGATGTTTGGCTAGACCACCCTCAAAGCCTCGTTGGACTTCAGAAAATGTTCGACAATTGTATCGAGAACAGCTTTATACCTAAGGTCATCGTTATGTGCGGTAACTTCACGAGCAAATCAATAATGCAGGGGAGTGGTAGAGACATCCAGCGTTATCAAGGTTCGTGCAGGTAGATTCATGATGGTGCTCAATGCTCACTCCAATTGAACAGAAAACTTCGATTCCCTAGCCGACTTGATAGCATCCTACCCGCAAATTACTCGAGAAACGCACTTCGTCTTTGTTCCAGGACCTCTGGATATCACGGGCAGCAGTACCCTTCCCCGCAGACCAATCTTATCTACCTTCACGTCCCATCTTCGCAGCAAGATTCCAAAAGTTCACTTCACCAGCAATCCTTGCCGATTGAAGTTTTTTGGTCAGGAAGTTGTGATATTCAGGGAGGATACCATGGCACGAATGTTGAGAAACACGATTGGCATAAAACCAAATGTCACTGGTGAAGATTTGAGACGATATGTACGTACAAAATTTGCATTCGTGGGCCAACATTACTGACCTTGGGTTTAGTTGGTCCAGTCGATACTAGACCAAAGCCACCTTATCCCACTTACTACACATATTCAACCTGTATTACCAGACTTTGATCATGCACTCCGACTATACCCTCTTCCAACCGCCGTAAGCAGTTGTCTCATTGCGATATCACTGTGACATAACGCTCTGCTAGGTGATTCTGGCCGACAAGTACGAGAAGTACAAGTTGACGTATTCAGGATGTCACGTATTCAATCCTGGAGGGTTTGTTGGCAATTCTTTTTCTTTTTCTACATATAGCCCTGCCGAGAGGAGTTCTGAAGAAGGGTAAGTGATCCGACTAGCTTGTATGAGATCGAACCTGATGCTGTTGCATCAGTGTGCTCGATATTGAGCAGGAAGACTAACTCGAGATTGGTGGTCGGGGTAGCAGGGATGTTCATCAATTCCAATTCTTAGGATCCGCCCAATGCAATTAGTACCCCAGAGAAGCCGTCATTTTCGCAACAACAATATTTATGGCCACTTCAACACGAAAACTAAGCCATAGACTCTTTCTCTCTGATGCAATCATTGAGAGGTCGAACGGCCATGATTGAGGCAGAATTGAAAGAAATAGCCGAAGTCGCGCAGAACTGTTGAAACACTGCTCCTTGGTGAGGTGCCGGCTGCGTTCTGCCGTGTGATGGCTAAGGAATGAGTTGGACTATCTTCGTTCGATAGTCTGTCTACGAAACTGGGACGCATATATGAACGTCGCGCCAGCTCCCTTCTCGCTGAACAAGCATTCTCCGAGACAAACATGCAAGAAAGTACTTCACAGAATCAATGTATTGCGCTTCATTCACTGTGCGTCCCTTCCGTCAACCTGAACCGCTCAGAACCCCACATTCATCGGTACCAGTAGAACTTCTGCAGCGGGTATTCTTGCTCATCGATAAAAACTCACCGTCCTTCTATTTTCTCATTTGGAGATGGGCCACCATCTCAGCCAATTTTGCTAGCCCTCCCCTAGTCTTCGCCCGGGTGGGTCGCCTTTGGCGAGTCATTGCACATTCAACGCCCGAGATATGGTCTCGCATCCAGGTCACGCTTCCCGGGGGACATAAACTATTGCTTCCAAGACCGTGTCCCCTGCTTAAGAGCCTCCTTTCCGAGATGGGGCGTTAGGAGACGGTTGCTTTAGACAGATCCTTAGGTGTTGTATCCGACACACCGAAGTCGAAATCCTTGGAGTGTTGCCGGTTAGATCTTCATTGCACCAAATCTCTGCAGCCTGCGCGCCGTTGGTTCATTCTTCCGTGCCGTGCCCAATCCCACCGATGCCTCTGTGATGCACCACGCTTCAGCGATGTTTCCTCGTCCAGAAACTATGATCGCGACAGAAGTAACTGAAGTGGGATCTGGATCTTGCAACGTGCACGCGGTAGACTTTCAGGCGGCCACATTGTCGAGCAAAGTTGATATGGTTACCGTTGAGCCGCTGCTCTCGGTTGTGAGGGAGGTTACTATCCGCGAGGAAGCACTCCGCTGTCATGGCTCGTGCAATTCTAGTTTTTTTTAAACTTGCTTCAGACCAGTGAACCGGTCACTACGCATTGAAACTTGCCAGGAAAAGGGAATTTGAAGCTACAAATGGTACAGTACACACGATGAGTCATGCATTCCGTTACTTGAGGTATCACATCGGCTTTGGCCTGAGTGAACTTCAGCATGTACATCATCATCAGATGATCATTCAACAGCGATAGTTCATTTCTTACCCGGCGCAAGTACTAACGCAACATTACCACAGCGCTGGGGAACGGGCGTGGACGACTACCACAGTCAACCCCAAGTCTCCAGCCGACAAAGCGCCGGCATCAAACGCTTATGAGAGAGATGTTCGACAGGCGCACAAAGCCTTCCAATGAATAACAACCTGCTGCCAGTAGAAGGGCAGAAGGGCAAGGAGTCCTCCAGCTCATGCTGATGTTCTGTTTGGGGCCGTTAGGATGTCGACTTGAACGAGGGGTATTCGAGCAACTCGCTTACTGTAACACTCGAGCCGCAGACAGCGCACGTTGCTAAGGAGGCATGCTGCTCTGTCTGAAACACGCAGCCTCAGTTAGATATGCCATTTTGGCACCGAGTTCAAGTGCGAATCTGATTCTGTGAGGCAATGATATTACTTCGACGAGGTATTATAGCTCATTGAGAGTGCGTACAGTATCTCGTTGCGTTGTCGTCGAGGCGTCGGTGTGTAACTATAGCATAGTCATAGCTGCGTCAATAGCATTTGTTTGGTGCGAAACTGGCGCAGGCCTAGTTGTGTCCCCGCATAGCAATCAAACTTGTCCATGAAGACACAGCGACATCGGTTGACGTGTGACAACCAGGCCACATTCATCGGCAGATCAACTATGAAGCTTTGGGGACTTGGGGCCCTCCTGTACTTGGAGCGCAAAGTCATATCGTATCCAAGTTTGTGGCAGGACCACCTATCGATGCGGGGCCATTGAAGTTGTATCACTGCGATCAGCTATCCGTCAAACATAAATCTGAATGGCAAGAGAGAATACTTATCTGAGACTTCATCTCCTGTATCAGGGCGCCAGAGAGAAGTATCTGACTATCGAGAACTCAGTCCGCCATGCATGAATGCATGATATCCTAGTAGGACAACCTGATCTCGAAGCAAGACGGCTTAACACTGGCAGGATCGAGACTTATAGGAATCTGTCTGTTATTAGTTTTGGACGCCTAGACAAAGATACTCTTTGCAACTTGAATACAGATATTTGAAGGCCTAAGTGCTTAGGCCTTCAAATATTTGTATACACAAGGGGGAGCAAGTGAAAATTAAAGTTTCTATTGACTATTTACATAATTGCATACCTTTTGAATCACCACTGTTCTTTGAATTCGTTCATGCTCGTTCATGCTCGCTCACTGCTCTGCACGACGAGCAGTCAACATTCTTCACCGACCATGCTGGACAGTCCAACCTCGTAGCCCACTCCACTTCCAAAGACGAACGCTCGTTAGCATCGAGACATTTACAAATGGGTTTCTGGATCTAGCCACCGCTCTACCTTTACCTCCGTCCTTACCTCCGTATTCCACGACTATCATCATCTGCACGGTCGTTTCGCGTCTCATCTTGACCGTACCATTTTCAATATGGGTGTGTTTTTCTCGTTGAGCCCGTATGTCGTTAATCAAATTTCTCCTCTCAGGCAAAGCAAAGACAGCGGCGCGCGGAGGAAGAGGTCATGCCCATAATCAACTCTTTAAAATCTGGTGTATCAAAACTAGTTTTCGCGGAAATGCAAAAAGCTGGTGTTCGCGGTACGAAGGAACAAATACAAGCAGCCCATGGCAAACGCGTCAAGCAACTCGTGAGTCATCGGGTATTTCTCTCGCTCCAGTCTAACACTCTCTACAGTTGACCATACGTCGAAAACAACTCTTCTCGAAATACCGCTGTAGTCCTGGACTGACGATGGCGGTACCTGTTATCACACAGCTCCCGCTGTTCATGGGGTTTTCAATAGTGCTCAACCGGTTGTCGCAAGCACCCACTCCATTTGACTCCGAGTCATTCTTGACGCTCTCCACCCTCGCGCACGCAGACCCTACAGCTACCCTTCCAATTGCGCTAGGTCTCATCACTCTAGCCAATGTCGAAAGTTCACGCTGGTTCATAACCGAGGAGCAACGCGAGCGGCAGGAAAAAGTTCAGAAGTGGAAAGAAGATCGCGTTGCACGAGGGGAGACGGTCATCGAGCCTCAGAAGATCATTAAATCTGCGTTGAGAGTGATCTCTATTGGCCGTATCGTTGTCGCGACCATGGTGCCAGGAGTAAGCATACCTTCGGCTTTCCTCGCACGTTAGCTCAACCGTATTATCCAGGGCGTCGTTCTCTACTGGGTCACCTCAGCTACTTTTGGTTTGGTGCAGACATGGATCATGGACTATTGGGAACTACGGAGAAAGCAAAAGCTAGCTTTGGTATCTCCTAAAAAGACACCAGCAGCCAAGCAACGATGATGTCGGTTTGCACCGCTGCATGCATGGATATTGGTGAGTTACATTGTTTCAAACCATCATGGTTGGGCGGAATGACTATAAACGTGGTATCGAGGGACCACCACGTAACCCTTCCAAGGAAGTTGGTCGGTGGTTCCTATGAATGTTTCTTGATCTAATATGACCGCCCTCTCGAGTGTCTCATCCATATACTCAGGAAGTTGATGAAATCTTTTGCAGGTCCGAGGCCAAGTCGATCTGTCTGGATGGTTGGTTCAGGTGGCTAATGGGCTTCGGGAAAATACCACATGCGGTCGAGAATGCGATTATCATCTCCTAGAGAATACTATTAGAAACTAGGGCTTTGGATACCTTACATGTATTATTGTAACCAAGTAAGACCTCAAATATTAGCACAGCCACAAGGCAGCACCGTCATCATGATCAACTACATCCTGCTCGTATCACGACAAGGCCCGTCAGCTTCCTCCAAACTGTCGAAGTAGTGTTATTGACTTGTGAGACGCCAGGCAAAGTTCGTCTTGCGAAATGGTTCTCGACCATGCCGCCCAAGACGAAAGCCAAGATCGTAAAGGACGTTACTCAGCTCGTCCTGGCTCGGCGCACGCGGATGTGTAATTTCCTGGAGTACAAGGGTGAGTTTCTATGTGATGTATAGGAAAGTGAGGGAGTTAACCCTGATCACACAGACACCAAGGTCGTGTACCGCCGATACGCGTCGCTGTTCTTCGTTTGTGGGATTGCCTCAGGGGATAACGAACTCATTACACTCGAGATTATTCACCGCTACGTCGAAGTTTTGGACCGATACTTTGGAAATGTGCGTTTTTCTTATTTCCAGGATGAAATACTCATTGAACGTGTGTCGTTTAGGTATGTGAGCTGGACCTGTACGTTTGGAAAATGTCGTAGCAAGCGGGACCTTTGTTCACCGTTTTGTATCAGCATCTTCAATTTCCAGAAAGCTTATGCGGTGCGTTTCTATCTTCTGATCTAACCAGTGGTCTCCTTATATTACGCGATAGATCCTGGACGAGCTCATAATCGCAGGAGAGATGCAAGAATCGTCCAAGAAGTCAGTCCTGCGCGTGGTCAGTTCTCCATTGTTGTTTCGCATGGAACTTTTGAATGGATTGAATGCACGACGCAGGTCACGCAATCGGATAGTGTCGAAGAGCAAGAGTCCTCCGAGGACATCATAGGTCGTTTGGGAGCTGCACGCGGTTAGATTTCATTTTCTTTCCTGTAATGCTGGCTATATCTATAGCATTTCAAGGCCCATTGATCCGCTGAAAGCTACAGTCGGCGGCTTAGGAAGGCATGGCACAGATGGTGTCTGGATAGTGGATGTCTCATACCTGAGAGGTATGCGTGGGTGATACCAACAACAGTAGTGGCAGTATCTACGTCTTGGCAGTCGGTTTTAGCTTGTTCAGGACATACCACCTCACAAGATCAAGTGTTGCTACAGAGTCCTCCACTGAAGAATGCCCGCTTGTTCCTCCACCAGCCTGGATTGTGAGACCAAGGTGTTCTTTCGCCCTGATATAATTTTGTCAAAAAGATTGTATGGAGCCAGATGAGAAAGGACTTACAGGTCCCTCAAAGAACGTCGATATGGAGGACCTGCGCGATGGGGGAAGATAATGGCTGTATCAACACACTGATGATGAACTATCCGAAGTGTGTTGAGATCATTGTGAAGGGCATGCCCGATGACGATCGTATCACGGTTGATGAACGCGTCAAGGGATTTGCGTACAGAAGACAACGAGAGCGCAGCTTGCACATGCTCTTCCTGGGTAATACCGGAGAATCGTGTATTGTAGTCTCTGTAGAAATGATGGGTAAGTTTAAGATCGCAAGCACCGAGAATCGGAAATAACTGACACGACTTCGACTCCATCATCCATCCTCACTAATTCATCAAAAACTTGTTTCCCGGAACCATCGACTACCGAAACACGGGCGACGCGCATACCTCCAGTCGTGTAAATCATCTCACAATCTAAAGCCACGACATCTAAGGCTGTATCGGTTGAATCCATCTCCGTGTCGGTGACTGATGGACGGGTAAACGAGAATGCATGGCGTGAGTGCAAGTCTGCTGCTATAGACTCATAAAAGACGTGTGGGCCTCTAGTACATCCGCCTTCCTCCGCTGGCTTAGAGCAGCAAGAATAGGAACGCAGACGCTCTCCTTCAAGGAATGTCAATGAACAGGTCGCTGCGGATGCTACGAGAATTGATTACCGTTGACTTTGTGCGTGAAAAGCCTTCCCCAATGATGATGACATTCTTCTGATGTAGGATTACTTTTGACCATGTACGACTGGGTGCATCGTTCGCATTGAATAATTTTGCCTTCAGGCACTCGGTTGGTCGCCTCCAATCCCTTCAGGTACTTCGGTAATAAAGCCCCACGACTGCATGTCCTCTAAAGACATGACAAGTGGTTTGAGAAGATCTCGGGTTACCCGGAGATTATCTAATTTCTTCCTGGACTCTGCGCGAGCCGCCAAATCTTCTTCAGTGCCTACAGATAGATGTGATGTAGACGTCGGTATTGGACGTCGCTTCAAAGCTGCTATTGAATTTATAACGGCCTAAATCATGATTTAAAATAGGGCGAACTGGCAACGAATAGTGCGCACGTTGCGATATGTCAACTTAGTGGACTTGTTATAGACTTGTTCCTCCTGACGAAGTGCATGCTCAGATGCAATGGTCGGGTTTAATGGCAGTATAGAGTCGTAAAGGACGACAAAGTGCTCGTACAGCGTCTTCAGCATTGCTTGACGGACTGGGAGAGCGACTTGAGATTGTGCGGGATTAATTCTAAGGATTGGTACGCCGGTCTGTACAAGGCGATCAATAAATTTCAGTCTCGAGACCGTCAATTTGTATCGCGTACACTAGTGTGCGATGTGGCAGGAACGGCAACTGGCTTCTGTGCGGTGCCAACTCTTAGACGCTGTGTTGGGGGTCCGCTGGGATTCCCATTGCTACCAGAAGGTAGTCCTTGAGCGAGGTTATGAAAATGGTCGCTTTGACGGCGTCGCACGAGGTACTACATCGGCAGACGGTTTGGCTATTTTCTGTGGGATGGGGACGGGAGACGGTTCATGGACTGGGATGTTAAGCGAATTGTGGGATGGCAAATCTGAGCTATGTGAAAATATACATGATGGTCGACTGCAATTATTTCTCTCTGGACATGACAATGATTGAAAAAGACCGAAAGGTGGAGAACATAACATCTAAGGAGAAGGAGGAGGAGAAGGTACTTGGTGTTAGATGACATAATCAAGAAGTACTTCATTTCGGCTCGGTGAAAGTTTAAGCAAAGTTGAACTACAACGCTCTAGTGAATATTTTTGGCGTCTCTTCTGCTCATCGACACGCTTCACATATTTAGAGCTATGGACGCGCACGGCTCTCCAAACGAGAAACTTCTCAAAAGACGCCCTAGAGCTCATTCTTTGCGTCATATAGAGTATGTCTCACCTGCTAGTCTCAAATAATATAAATCTTAACTCCCTCCCCCAGGACTGACACAGGACACCACCTACCAAGTTCCTTCATGGATAAGACGTGAGTCTCGTTTTCATTCGTGACATTGTCTGTTGAAATATTACTTGACAGACCAGCGGGATCCGATACACCAGAGTCTTGCAACTCCCCCGTCCTCGTCGCGAGTCGTAGTTTCCTCAGCCTCAAAACCAGAGGAGGCTTGGCCGAAGACCTCCTCACCGGTAGATGGATCGTAAATCCAGGTACGTCCTTCTTTCTCCTATGACTTTTTCAGGTTGAACGATTTATTTTATTTCATAGTCTCGTCCTTCAAGTTGCTTATGATACCCATCTTACTGTACATCAACTGGGAGTTATTGGGTCCTTACGTTGCTCCAAATTTGGCCAATCCAATCACCCCTCTTCTCTTCATATCCTACCCCATTCCTGATTCATCTCCCGACGACCCTCGCTATGCTAAAGGCTATCTAGACCTAGCTTTTCTTGCATTCCATATTGTTTTCTACTCTTTCTTACGCCAATTCATCACTATCATCCTTTGTCACCCCATCGCTCGCTACTTCGGCATAAAGAAGCAAGGCAAACTCGACAGGTTCGGGGAACAAGGCTATGCTCTCCTGTACTTTGCGGTCATGGGTGCCTGGGGCTACGTAAGTTCATCAGTCTATCATGCACCATACGTTTTCTAAACTCGACCCAAGCGCGTCATGGGTCAACTTCCTACATGGTGGTTTCGCACTGAACATTTTTGGATTGGTACGCGACTTTCCTTGACTATGTTCTTGTCTGACCCTTATTCCAGGATACCCTCACTGGCAGATGAAACCCGAACTCAAACGTTACTTCCTGATGCACGCGTCTTACTGGTGTCAGCAGCTTATCGTGCTGCTTCTAGGCCTTGAGAAACCGCGCAAGGACTACAACGAGCTTATCATGCATCACTTCGTCACCCTATGGCTAGTTGGGTATGTTTCGAAGTACTACAACTTCAAAACCATCTGATCTTGGACAGCTGGGGCTATCTCTGTAATTTGACTTTGATCGGAAATGCTATCTACATGAGTATGGATATCCCGGACGCTTTCCTGGCTGTTCGTTTTTCAGACTGACTGATGCGTTTCCATGATCTGACCGTTACTATCAACAGTTCTCCAAGCTGCTCAACTACATGGGATGGCACAGACTCAAAGTTGCTTCCCTCGTAGTTTTCCTCGTCGCGTGGACGTGAGTCCTCTTTTCGTGTTCATTTTCAATCTCTAAGCCCTTCAGTTACTTCCGGCATTGGCTTGAACCTCGTCATCCTCTGGTCTGTATGGTTCGAGTTCGATCTTATCGAGTATGTACTTTTTTTACTTGTCAGATCCTCTATTTTACTGATTCCCTGCAGCGAGAGCAATCGTGTATGGGCCCCGGACACTGGCGCCTGGCTCGTATGGTGGATGAAATACCAGATGGTGTTTCCCATCTCCATCCTTCAGATGCTCAATATTTTCTGGTACTATCTTATTTGGCGCATCGTGATAAGGTCATACACATAGCCTTTGTCTTTTCGCCGCTCATTGCTGTTTCTATTCACAGATCCTTGAGGGACGTCGAGGTTACAGATGTCCGATCTGATGACGAGGATGATAGCGATGACGATGACGATGACGATGACGATGACGAGGATGATTCAAAAGACACTAAGGAGGACTAGCTGGATATTTACTACTGACGACCTCTATCTGTGCGAGTCTCCAAGACAGCACACATTGCTATCATGTCATTTGAGTACTACTAGGGATACAACAAACCACGATGCGTTTCAAGAAAGTACAATCGCGGTGCGCTAGAAACATCTATTTCATCACGCAGGCGTCTCAGCCTGAACTTCATCTGCCTGGATTTTGGTTTTGTCAATCATAGGTAGAAGACCTTCCATGTCTGAATAATCGCTATCTTCTTCCCAGGCCTCGAATTTGACCTTCACTCCAGCCCCGGTCTGGGGTGCAGTGGGATAGGCGGTGTTACCTGTTCGGTTGGGCCACCTCTTCTCCCTCTGCATGTCTAGAGGCTCGTTGGAGGCCATTTCCTTGATTGCGAGCAAAGTGTACTGAAGATATCGTTAGTCAGCCTTGTCATGAGCTAAACAGATGCGAACGTACATGTGCATCATTACCTGCGTTGTGCAGGAATGAAGCGGAACCTGCAAGTGCCTACATACTCGCTCCAGAGATCGTCTGTTGTGTCCTCCTTCGCCTTCCAGCGCGGCAAATAGGTCGGACGTATCTAATACGAAGACGCCGCTAGTAGGCTTTGCGTCGGGAAGCAAGAAGTTGAGATTTGGCAGGTCTGCGTTGACGGCGGGAGATTTGAGGTATCTAGAAAGGGTATGAGTGGTGAACTTCTGAACTGCGAATCATCCTCTTACTTGATGTCCTGATTATTATCGTGAAAAATCAAGAACAGTGGGCCATCCCTTTGGAGGTCAGCGACTAGGTTCTGGATACGGGTCCTGAACGTTGCTCTATTGACGATCTCGCTGTCCCCGAATGAAAAGTGCTAGATCGTTTACACTAGGTTCAGTCACAGGCCAACAAAATCACGCCTTTCCTACCTCGCGATTGTTCTGGACGAATGTATTCGTATAATGGCGGTATTCTTTCACGATGAGATGACCTTGTTCTTCGACTGGCTGGCCATCGATCCACCGGACAAAGCTCCATCCAAACTCAGTGAGCATGGTGTGGTCCCTGTCCCATGCTTCGAAGTCCAGAGCACACCAGACGCCGACTTTCTCTGCCCACAACGTGCGGACTCGTTCAAAAATCTCACGACGCGTTTTGAGCATCGGGTCTGCTCCTTTCAGACGTTTGTTATTCTTTTCTATTTGCTAGAGGTTCGTGCAGTCAGAAGCTACGCGCTGAGGCGACTGAACATACCTTGAGAGAACCCTTGAGCTCCTCTTTGGTCTTGAATGTGACGGGGGAGACGTGGCGAAGGCTAGATTCGGTTAAAAGACAGTCGGAGTAAGGAAGCGATATGAGGCTTTTGGTAAGACCCATGGCATGCAGCCAGTATCTCAAGTATTCCACCTGAGCTGAGGACAAGAGCAATCTCGTCTCAAAGTTCTGCAGTGTCCCTAAATGTAGATAAGGGATAGGACGCTGCCCAACACATCGATTTCAATTACCCAAGTAGAGTTCGGCACCATCGACACCCTCTTTGTGGAGGGGATGATCTGGATGAACGAATGCATCTTGAGTTAAAGTCGCCTTCAAGGGACTGCGATCTTCCTCTGGTAAGGCTTGATGCCTATGCAATCCACGACTTTTCTGTCAGCGATTTGTTATCCACCAGATCTATCGTACCATTCAAAGAAAATATCAGTATAACGATAATATCCTGTAATAACTGGGGCAACCATCGGTAAAGGAGCAAAAGGTAACGTACAAGGGTTAGATCGCGGCGGTGGACTTTTCTTATTTTCCATAAATGGAAAGTATGTTCGATTTCAGCCCGCTCCGGCCATTCATTCACGTTCACCGCTCCTCCTAGCCATACATCACATCATAAACCATAGCCTACTCTTTCTCGTTATTTCTCAGTTTGCGTTGCTGGTGATCCAAAATGGCACAAACCGTACAGAAACGCAAGAGACCCAGTGGTGCCACACAAGAAGACGGTTCAGACGAAGCTGGACCCTCCAAGCGGCCCAAACACCCAACAGCGCGTAAGAGCACTGGTAGACAGAAACCCGCCCCCGCCTCTGTACGAGGTGGCAAAGTAAGACGTACGTACGCGTCCAGTCGCGTCCATACGCGTCTTAACCCCTCACACCCATAGCCCAGTCGGCCGCTGATGCAGAAGAAGAAGAGGGACAAACGCGGAAGAAACGTCGTTATCGCCCTGGCACTCTCGCATTACGCGAAATCCGAAAATACCAGCGGAGCACAGACTTGCTATTGCGCAGACTTCCTTTCTCGCGTGTGGTATGTTTGTTCAGTCGCGTTTCAGCCTAGGTGTGCTGAACGGGAGCTACAGGTACGTGAAATCGCAATGGATATGATGACAGACACGAACTACGAGAGGGGAGAAGCTGGGCTACGGTGGCAGAGTTCAGCGATCATGGCTCTACAGGAGGCCACCGAGGCGTTTCTGGTTCATCTGTTTGAGGATGCGTAAGTTCTACTCTTGTATCTCCTGCGTCTATCTTCACAAAGCTACAGTAATTTGTGCGCCATACACGCGAAACGCGTAACAATCATGCAACGTGATATTCAACTTGCTCGAAGAATAAGAGGGCCATGGGGTGGGTTGGGGTAGGGGTTGATTGTGGACTTGTATGGAATTATTTGTTTCAAGTACGAAGGCATCTATGTATCGCACTCAATATAATCGCAAGCATTTCTTACTGAGCACGATGATCATTGTACATGAAATAAGATGAAAAAAGCATGAGGTCGGACGCGACGAAGAGCATATCAACAACATATGCTCGGAGCACTACGGATGACGGAATGAATGCTAGGCGATTAATAATAATACGATGTCCTCGTATAGTGTGCATAAGAGTACGACCGAGCCTAAACAATAGAACGGAATGTGTGTGAATGTTTGCAATTCTGATGTAGATGGGGTATTCATGAGTGTCAAGTGAATGCAGTAGTGCAAATGAGCGTGGGCACCAGATAGGGTACTGATGCAGAATGAAGAGTCCATGATAAAATGTTCCTGTACGTACTATGGGTATACACTTTGACGCCGACTAGGCGTCGAGCGGGACTGGGACGTCGAACCTGGCCTTGCCGGTGCAGTGTGGGTGTGTACCAATGCAGGTGGCTGATGCGAACGATGAAGACCACTACTACTACGGGAGGAGTGTGCAGCTTGAGACGACCTTTTGTCCCGCAGGTCCGTTTGGCTTCCATATTTCCGATCAGATGTGGCATTGGTGCTACTGGAGTGCCCGCGTGCTTCATCGCTGGCACGTCGCTGATGGATAGGAAAGAGCTCAGGGGAATTAGGAGCAGCGCGAGATGTGCGACGGACACCTTCTGCGCTATGGTTTGAAGAACTATTCCGTCGTTGAGACGAGGAAACTTGACCCTGGGAGGAGTTGGCTGAGTATGGTTGCATTCCAAACTGGTTCATCATGAAAGGAGGAGAGGGGGGAAGTAAAGGGTCCAACGAATAGAATGGCATGGACATCATCATGGGAACGGCGGGAACTGGCGGAACTGGTGGGACGAAAAAAGCCGGAACCGGCACGTTACCCCAGGGGTTGTATGGCAGAAGTGACGCGCGAGGGTTCGGTAACGGCAACGGGAATTGTTTTGACGGGTCAAATGCAAGAGAACTGCGTTTGCTGATACGTCGGCCATCCCGAGCTCGTACATCTTCTGATGACGTAGTGTGAGTTGAGTAAACCGAAGGAGGCCTCGAGAAGCTACGCTGGCTCCCCGGTGTCGCAGGCATCGAGCTGGTAGGAGAACCGTCGTAAGGCGAAAGATTCGCGGTAGGCACCATGAGATCTAGCGTCCGTTGGCGGGTGGGTAGCAACCCAGACTGGTGAGTGTCTCGGGATGCAGATCTGTCACGCTCCATGTCCCGGACAAGGGAAGATGAGGAGGAGACACGACCAGCTCTGGACGATAGCGACCCAGACTGGTGAGCGTCTCGGGATGAAGATCTGTCACGTTCCATGTCCCGAACAAGGGAAGATGAGGAGATATAACCAGCTCTGGAGGCTTCACTGCGAGCTCGTGAAGCCTGCAAATCCGCGGCATAATTTTGGTGTCGTTTTTCTTCCTCTATTTTCTTCTTCTGAAGCTCCCGAGCCATGCGCTCCATTTCCTGCTCTTTCTTCTCTGCTTCCCACAACCGGCGTTGTTCCTCCCGCATGCGCTTTTCTTCCCGCGCGCGCTGGCCCTCTTCCAATTCACGCTTCTCACGCTCTTCGCGAAGAAACTTCGCTTTCTCCTCGCGCTTTTTCTTGATACGCAGAACATAGCCAAGGGGAATTTGATCGTCTTTACCATCTTCCGCGAACCTGACGCCTCGTTTGACAAGGGGTGCAGGGGTAGGCTCTGCCGCTCTGGGATTGCTAGGTTCATTTTTGGACTCTAATGTGTCCTGTGAGTCAACTGCAAGCGTGAGCGGTGAAAATATAACATCGGCGATGGCAACGGAGGCAGTGAGTTGTTCCGTCGATGGTAATGCGACTGCGGAAGTTCCTGGAGGAATGATGACACAAGGATACCAACTTTAGATTACCAAAAACTTACCAGAATCAGGTGGAGACAGCTCAGGTCGAGGCTCTGGCGACGGATCGAAGTCATCCTCAACGTCGGCCAGCAAGCCTGCCAGTATTTGCAACGGCTCCGAAAATTCTAGAGCCGCGACACCAAACTGTGACCCTGAGATACCGGTGGTGACGATTTGACCGGAGGGTTCCTGGCGAGTCCAAACGAGAACACGATCTTCGAAACAAGGACGAGCCGCCCAATTTCCCAGACCTTCGCTGTTTCTCCTTAAAAACTGTGGCTTCGGCCATGTGTCAACATCGGAATTGTGCGACGTTGCTTCTTTCACTAGAATCTCGGGCCGACGAGCAAGGGGTGCAATGCCGCGCTCTTCCGCGGAGGAAAGGGACTCCAGCATGCGTAAGAGCGCCCTTCTGTGCACTTTGGATTCCAGGGTATCTCGGCGACGAACATGTCCCAACCGGAGACAAGAGCGAGGGAACGGTGTGCTGTCTGGAATATCCAACAGAGGGGGGCACGAAGGTCGATCACTGTTAGCAGAGCTGTTGAGAATTATTGCTTTCATACTATTTCGTGCCTGGGTATTAGATTGCGCGAAGTTCTGAACGGGAGGATCCTGAACATGATCTGCCTCATCTTCAGATTCAGATGATGCTTCATCCATCTCGTTCGATCTCGGTGGAGGACGTAATGCAATCCCTGACGTCGAGAGCGGCGGTAGCCAGGCTGCTTTCAAATCTCCTTCATTTGTGTGCTTTTTTGCCCCTAACCACGACTTCCAGCTGGTTTTCTGGCTAGGCATGCGGCGTGGTAGTTCTTCGTCAGGAGTACGCAGCTCTGCAGAGCCGGATGATGTTGAAGATGAAGAATTAGCTGAACCGCTAGCTAAGAGCTGTGGCAATGATTGGGGGACCGATTTTCGAGAAAGCGAACTAAGCAACCGAGCTTTACGCTTCGTAGCTTCTTGTGGAAGATGGTCGGCGTCGTTGGACGACGTAGTAGAGGGTGCGTCAGGCTTGTCTGTACGTCTTGAAACGAAGACAGAGGCTATACGACGCATTTCGTGGTTGAAAACGAAAAGAGCGAGGAGTAAAAGAGAAGGCGACGGTAAACGGTTTAGAGCATTACAAATGGGACTGGATATTGATTCGATGGTTGTACTGGCGGCAGGTGGAAGAACCCGAATTAGCACGTTTTACGGCGTCTCTCACCACTGCTGAGTTAAATCTAACTACTTATAGTTTGGACTTGAGAAATCACTGGCTATACAAGATGAGACTTGGGGAATGTGTGTGATTCTCTTAAAGGAGCTCGCGAGTTTCGATAATTCAAGGATTTGGACTACGCATGGACTTATGTACTAGCTCACACGAAGATCAAAAAGTGCCTTAGGTACGTGTGAACGACCCTGCATACAGCAGGCAACTAGAACGTTATTACCCTGATGAATGATGACGGAATTATCGGCAGTGCCACGACGTCTGCAAGTTACAAAAAAGAAAACTTGATCACGTTCGTGATATCCGCTATTTTTGGAGACGGCCCATCGGACAGCGTTAGCCTTCAATCCTCCATTCCATCGGATAGCCTCTCTTCTTCTGCATCTTGCTCTTCCCTCTCTCGTCGTCGCTCTTTGTAATACCACCTTCGAAGTCGCCGCTCAAACCGCTCAACTACCCCACACAAGTAATCATCGCTGACACCAACCCATTTTGCAGATCGCCTGATGATCAGCATCTGCTCCTCTGGGAGGTTTCCCAGGACATCGCGAGAATGGTAGATGGTGTACGATTCTCCTGGTTGCAGAACATCTGTCTCACCTTTGTTGATGTTGGTCGCCGACAGCCTTTGGGCGGTGCTATGACGAACTATCACTTCCGATCTAGCTCCTCGGTTTTCAGTCGACAGTGGGAAATAATTGTCCAGGATTTGTTGATCTGTTTCGGTATATCATATAAATAACATCCGGCGAAGCGAAACGCCTGACCTGCGTCACCACTTTGCGGTTTCACCAACACTCTTTCACAAAAATCGAGGAATTCGTCTAATGTCGCGTCATCTGTATCGCCGGTTGACCTGACGTCCACTAGTTATTTAGCCTGCGATGGGACCTTAGTGCCTAGTTCCTCACATAGGAACCCTGGAGCTAAATCGCTTTTCATTATGCCGGTCATCCGCTTCTTCCATCCCCCCGAATGCCGAAAGGTAACCATTAACATCTGGAAGGGCGCACGCGGGATCCTCTACAACCCGTGGGAGCCTGACCCGTGTCAACTCCACTGCATGTCTCAGTAAAGCGAAACGATCACCTCAGTTTCCCGTCGAGGCCATACACAAGTTTCAATACGACGATTGCTGTGGCCACAAGCGCAAGCTCCGGCGGAACGTTGTCATACAAGTGACTTTCGGGATCGCCCGGTGCGACGCGCAGTAACGTGGCTGACAGACTGTGGTGGAGCGTTAACGGCAGTGATAGGATATGACCGAGCCTCTTCGTGAGCCTGTACAACGTAGCTGGGGATATGAGCACTCATTACCGACATTTTTGCGACTTCAGGGGAACATACGAGTGCTGCCGAGACATTGATGCACGACTCGCCATAAGACGGGCGACGCGTTCAGCTCTGGTGTGAACACGCCATAATTCGCATACATGAGCTTTGCCAAGCGAGAGGCAAGGCGGTGAACGTAAAGTGTGTTTGGGGGGAACTGTAAACGTTGTTGCGATCAGTTCGAATGTGTGAAAAAGGTGATCGTAATTACACGAGGAGAGAGGGCGCGAACAGCGTGCTTCGTCAGATGACAGGTCATATCGGAAGGGAGGAGGCGAAGAAAATCCAAATAAGGGAGTTCATAAGATTCAATGACGCTAAATGAATGGGTGGAGTGAATTGCTGGACAAAAGGCATACGAACCACGACTTACTCGATGAAATCCTTGTACATAACAGGCAAGCGCATAGCCCAACATGCGATCACGAGAACAGCAATACAGTTGACGGGGCGGTCATATGCACCAATGAATCGGTAACTTGGCTGAACCCCTTGCTTTTGAGAAGTATGGCCCTTTTCCTCGTCAGAAGAACTGAATTCGGAATTTTCACGTAGTAGCTCTGCAAGCTCCGGGTCTTCCTCTTCACTGCTGGAAGAGGACGACTGACGGTCGCCATCGTCGTCGTCATCATCAGATTTATACTCTTCGGGATTTTCTAATGATGGCTTTATACCATCAGCGTCCGGGTCATCACCCTTCTGCTCTCGCATGTGGTGGTAAGGTTCCGCAGGGGGTGGTCTTGGCAAAAGAGTCAAATGTAACGCCCATGTGTCTCTGCATACAATCTGAGGTCAATGAAGTGACTGCCTGCAAACGTACGGGAGCCACCAACTTGAAATTCGGGCGGTAGATCCCAAAGTGCAATTAATGCTGCGATTTGCTTCCGCAGGACTAGCTGCAAACATTGATAATAGTGAAAGCGTGCACGTTCGCCATGATACACTAATTAATAATGACTGAGCATTCGCATTACGGGAGTCTCTGAATAGAATCGCTTACGCTTGGGATCGGCTCTGCTCTGCCTTGCTTTCTTCTGACGGCCTGATTTTAGAGTGCGCTTCCTCATGGTGTAATTACCTAGATCCTGCGTTTCGCCTGATTCATTTCTGTAGTTCTATTAGCGCAGCCGAAGGTGTTAGCTTCTGAAGCACTCGTGTCAGGGAAATGACAAGTCGTGCACACCTGGATGACGTGACCTTCACTGCAGGCGACAAGGCCACTTGAAGAGTCCTTGTGCCATTGCTTTGACCCACAAACAGGACACTTGCGTCGTGGTGCCATCCTACACGTCACTGTACAAGAAGCAAAAAGAAGACCCACGTGACACAGGGACCCACGGTTTGCCTCCGGCCCTTCGTGTTCTGAACTTCTCAGTTCTAGCTCTACACGTTTATTCTTTGTGCAGACTTGCCGCTGCCGCAAGAAGTGGCCGTGACAGTTGAAGATGAAGCTTTTCGTCTTATTCGCGTTTCTTGCTGTGCTGGTCACCGTAGCGTCAGCGTGAGTGTCATCTTCTAGGCACGCGAGTGTAGGTTTTGAGCGCGTTTCACACATTTTTTTTTTACCATTCTCGCCACAAGCAGATGGACCAAGGTAAGATATATCAGTACGCATCTCGATTCAAGATCTCATGCATACAGGAAGGAAGACCATGAAATATTTGATCTAGTCACCGCTCTTGAAGCAGCTGAGGGTATGTCCTGAGTACCGCGCAGTGCCTTGCTAGCGAAAATTGAGACTCTACCCCGATAGGCAAGGGCACCACGTTCTACTCTTGGCTCGATGTGCCTCAAACGGCAACCCTTACCCAGATCAATAAGGCGTACCGGAAGAAAAGCATGCAACTCCAGTTGAGCCTCAGTCCCGTGTTATCTGTCTATTACTTGCTAACTGTGTACCGTAGTCCAGATAAAAATCCTGGCGTGAAGGGCATCCATGAAAGGTTTGCGCGTCTGGGAATTATTGCGACTATTTTGAAAAACACTGAAGGACGCAAGCGGTGAGTAGACTTCGTTCAGCCTTCGCCTAAGTTTTGAACGTCCATTATATTGCCCTAGGTATGACTTCTTCTACAAAAATGGTGTACCGAAATGGAGAGGCACAGGCTATTACTATGCACGGTTCAGACCAGGTCTAGGGGTACGTCGATGTTCTTTGCTCGGATGTGATATACACGTCTCATATTTACGAACAGACCGTCCTGGTATTCCTTACCGTCCTCACGTCTGGGCTTCAATATCTCGTGCAGACAATGAATTACAAACGGGACCTGCGGCGCGTTGAGCAAACAATACGGGACGCCAGACTTGCGGCTTGGGGCCCGAAGATGGAGCCACTGCAAGGAAAACGGAAGGTAGGATTCATCTCAGAGAGCGAGCTAGATATCCAAACCTATCTTCACCTACAGGTTAAGGTCAACCTTGGAGGTGGCCCTCGTCAAGACGGGGGTGGCAATGTTATTCCCGGGAAAATGCTTGATATGGTCGTAGAACAAGGCGATGTATACATTGTACGTGAAGCGCCGATACCAGTCACAGCGTCATACTAACGTGGACGGGCAGTTAGATCCCTCGGGCACTATGCATCTTCTGGATACAAGTTCGGCGACTCCGGCGGCCATTTCAAGAACGTGGTTCATTGAGCTATTGATCCGTGGTATTCGGAAATACTTCCCCTCCGCAACACAATCCCAAGAGGAGGTAGATAACCAGCAAAGTGCCCCCATGGGCACTGATGATGGACCTGATTCTCATGCGAGTGAAACTGTCACGCATAGTGGAGCAAGCGAGGGTGAAGAAATTTTGCAGGGAGGGCACGCTGCGGCAGTGAAGGCGGGTGGGAGAAGAAGAAAGGCAACGAAGAAGCGGTAATGCATGACCTGTTTTTCAGGACGTGATGTGGGGATTTAGAGTTGTGGTACGTTGTGGTTTACGGTACTAGTATCGCTAATTACAGAGTAGACGGATGCTTTTGATTTGACCCCGTGGTCAAAGAAGGTCATGTGGTTGTCCCGCCTGACATCCTTTGACATGTAGTTACTGGCGCAGTGCTTCATTGGCATTAATGCCGCTGTCCTTGTTGTTCGTAACCACATGGCATTCAAGACACTAGGGTTAGGGTTAGGACTTTGTAATTAGAGACTGGGCGACAGCGATTGATTCCACGACATTTATCCACCAAGGGAAAATTTCGTAAAGGTGGTTCCCGTATCTCGCTCCGAATCACTGTTGTTAAGCAGGCCTTTTGGAGAGCTTTGGCTGGCTTAGGTCAACTGAACTGAAATCGATGCGCGCTTCGGATTGACACGATGGTGAGGACATTGGTCTGGGTCATCTTGGCAGTTAAGAACCATGCGGGAGTAGGCGGAAGCAAAGTTGAACGCCGTTCGGAGCACCACTATTGGAGTACTGTATATGTATGGAACATAAGGAGGTGAGCCGTGTCGGCCGATGTCATGAAGAAGCCGAACGGAACAGCACATTCCCGTGGAAAGTCTTGGGGATTTTCATGGAGACGGATGAGGTCGGGGTAAGTAAGACAAGAGGTTTTGACAATATTGATGACATTGATGACATCGATGAAGATCCAAATATTGTTATTATACTGCATGCGTAGGGTCGACGAAAGAAGGCTGTAAGGAACGCAATCTTTTGGTCTGGCCACTCTTTCAAATTTAATAGAAATTTCGAAGGATGTCCGAAAATGGATGATAGATTTACTTATCGTCCAATCATATGCGAGGAAAAAGACGGTGCCTTTGATAAATAAACAGCAACAGAGGCGATAGTCACCTCTCCATTTAAAGCGATCTTCAGAGCACTCATCTCCTCTTAACTTCCTGCGCCTAACGCGTCGTTCGCACGTAGATTAGACTCATCGCTTGTTACTATCCTTCTCAACAAATAATGTCCTATCCTTACCGTAACGATCTTCTTGCCCCCTACCTTGCATTACCTCAGGGTGACAAGGTTCAAGCCGAGTGTGAGCTTCTTCCCTCTCTTATCACGAAGATTTCTCATGCAGATCTCATCTACAGACGTTTGGATTGATGGCGATGACGGCCTTCGTTCAAAGACCACGGTCGGTCATCGCGGATGATTGTCGATCCAGTAATCTAAATTGTTATACCTAATTCAGACAGTGAGCAAGAAGGTCACTGACATCGGCCAGCTTCGCATCTGGGATTTCGATGGTTCATCCACAAACCAAGCTCCAGGCAATGACTCAGATGTCTACCTTCGTCCTGCCGCTATCTTCAAGGATCCTTTCCGCGGTGGTGACAATATCCTTGTTCTTGCCGAGACCTACAACAATGACGGCACCCCAAACCGAACCAACTACCGCCACCACACTAAGAAGGTCATGGATCTCGCAAAGGACACCCTTCCCTGGTTCGGTCTTGAGCAAGAATATACCCTTTTCGATGCAGATGGCGCGCCATTTGGCTGGCCGAAGGGTGGTTTCCCCGGACCCCAAGGCCCGTACTACTGCGGCGCAGGTATGCTTCTTTTAGCGCCCATATGCCTTCATCTTTAATTTCGCTTCATTAAGGAACTGGCAAAGTCTTTGCTCGTGACCTCATCGAGGCTCACTACCGCGCCTGCTTGTACGCTGGCGTGAACATCAGCGGTATCAATGCTGAAGTCATGCCCTCCCAATGGGAGTTCCAAGTTGGCCCTTGTGAGGGTATCTCCATGGGTGACCACCTCTGGATGGCTCGTTACCTCCTCGTTCGCATCGCCGAGCAGTGGGGCGTCAAGGTCTCCTTCCACCCCAAGCCTCTTTCAGGGGACTGGAACGGTGCTGGTTGCCACACCAACTACAGCACAAAGGCTATGCGTGAGCCTGGAGGTATGAAGCACATCGATGAGGCTATTGAGAAACTCTCCAAGAGACATGCTGAGCACATTGCTGTCTACGGCGAGGACAATGACCTCCGTCTCACTGGTCGTCACGAGACTGGTCACATTGGGAACTTCAGTTCCGGTGTTGCCAACCGTGGTGCCTCCATCCGGGTGCCAAGGCACGTCGCTGCCCAGGGCTATGGATACTTGGAGGATCGTCGCCCTGCCTCCAACATCGGTAAGTATATTATGCTTTACCTCATTTGTTCCCTTTAATGACATGCGAATTAGACCCATACCGTGTGACTGGAATCATTGTGGAGACCACTGTTCTTGACAAGTAGAAGTTTTTTTTTCCGTTGTATTTTACACTACCACCGCTCTTGTTGACACGCAGTCTGGAATGAAAAAAGCATGCATGACTGAAACTTGAAGAAACATTTTACTGGACAGTTCTGGTGCACGTGTGATGGGAGCTCAGTGGGGTTTCGCCTCACATTGGTCGATTGGGGTGGGTGCTTCGAGACCGCACATCACTCATTTCACTATTTGAGTTATACGCCAGGCGGGACTTATAGGACCACTTCATCCCCATTTGGGGTTACCTCTCGTCCCGTGGCCTAATCAAAGCACAGGATGATTCTGTACCGAGTCACATTTCAGTTTTGTTAGGATTGAAAGGTCATGATTGCCCAAGGGCCTCTACCCCAAGAGCGACCACATTGATCAAGTCAGCAAAGAACGACTCATCGTGCCATCAACCGCAGCACCAATGCGAAAGCAGAAACATAGCTCACTGTTCCGATGCGCCAATCAAGATGCTAGCTCAACGGACTAGGAAGTATGGAAGAACTTTGTACCGGCAGGCTATTAGTATTACGAGGCGCAAGGGGTGAGTGCTTGAGATGAATCCAGGATGCAGAACAAACTACTCATACTCCCATTCTCAACTTCGTGCAACGCACGCATGGTCGCATGACGCCATCTGGGACCTATTGGAGGCAATAAGGGGGTAATCGAGACTCGAAGTTCGTGGTGTCATCGACGGCTTCTATGTTCAAGCTTACAGTGCATCGTAAGTACTTCAGTCATACTCTATTCAAGTGATCTCATCTATTCCAAGATCTCCATTGCTCGAGCAGCAGTAAAATATGTTCAGAAGTAAACGCGTCGATCAACCCAGCAACTAACGCACGTGTCGTGCCATCAACCATACTGCACCGATGCGAAAGCAGAAACATGACTCACTGTAGTTCACTGTCGCGACCCGTTTTGTCCAATGGGTATGCATACGTAGATGATCTATCACGCCGGTGAGTCATGTGGTTAAATCCAGGACGCAAACTATTCATACTCACTGAACATTGGTACCCAAGACAGCAGGGGTTTGTAACGCAAAATACAGGGCATTTTTTTGAAGTGTCACTAGCAAGTGTCGATGCTGCAGATATTGATGCTATCAAAGCAGCGACAACAGCGAGGGCAAGGGGGAAACGCATTTTTTTGTAAAGGATGTGGTATGGGATCAAATAAATCTGAAGGGGATAGTAGGAAGACGCCTTGCTTTTATGCGCTGAATATTGTTCTTCCGAGATGGTACAAGGATGTACATTGTGGCTACAGGAAGAACCTATCCGCTTAAAACCCCCTATTTTGTGAAGCAAAGTTAACTTAAGTTGGCAATTTGACGAGGAACCGTGCGAAGTAAGGTCAATGCCAACTTCATGCCGCCATCTGGGATCTATTGGAGGCAACAAGGGGGTAATCGAGACTCGAAGGTCGTGGTGTCATCGACGGCTTCTATGTTTAAGTTTACACCGCATCGTAAGTAATTCAGTCATACTCTATGTTGAAGTCGGGAATATCGGAGACGTCAGAGGAGATGCCAGAGGCAATAGATGAGTAATGAGTTACGAGTGCAACCAAGGGTATGAGAGGACGACGCTTTGACGTCGGTCCGAAGCAGAGCTGATCACGAGCAAATTGACGGTCCAGCACTGGATTACCTAAGCGTTGCCAAAAGCGGAGGAGGCGCGTCTGGCGAAAAGGTCACTGAAACCGCCCCACCGGCGTAGAAACGTACGGCGCAGAGTACGGCGCTACGGCGGATATATCCGCAGTCCGGCGGCAAAAAAAAAAAAGGACGGCTAGGTGGCGGACTTTGGCGGACTTTCAAATCACCTAGAGGCTAGGATGCGTGCTAATCTTATCACTAATCTTATCATTCCAGTGGTATGGACCACTCTCAGCTACCACCTTCCAACAGTCACTGTCCAAAGCCTGGGTGTGGGTGATCTCTGCCAGTAAAGTTCAAGCAGGGCGGTATCAATGATGGGAAGGCATACTTACTGGTGAGTTCGTTCTATATGTTACTAGCTGACTCATGGTTCATCCTTTGGCAGTGTATCAACCCAACGGTTCACAGCGGCAAGTACTGGTGGATCCCTCCTCACTGGGTCCAAGAAGAGCACTTGCCACTGCTCACTCAATGTGAGGTCGTGGTTGTGCCATCTCCTGCAGGTGGACATGCTCCCGCGAAACCAAAAGGCTGCCAGTTGTCTTTCTGTGCAATCAAAACAGTAAAAGCTGCATGCCTTAACCGCATGTGCAAATCACACTGTATTTCTACTGGTGACTGCTTTTCCCATGGCTTCCCATCTACACCAGTGCCATCTGCACATGTACCGCCTCCACCATCTCAACCACTGCCATCTGCACATCCGCTGCCGCCATCTCAATTGCCGCCGCCATCTGCACATCCGCTGCCACCATCCTGGTCAGCCACATCAACTGATGTCCTTGACCACTTCTTGTACCGCATGGCTCCTGCAGATCTGTCAAGTGGCTTTGACGAATATTACTACCAGTCTGATGTTGACCGCGAGGAGCAAGACCTACAACTTGAAGCAGCGGTCGCACAATCTATTGCTGACCAGCAGCAGCCTCTGCCTCCAGCTCAAACACAAGACTTACAACTTGAAGCAGTGCTTGCTCGTTCTATTGCCAACATGCAGCCTCCGCCTCTGGCTCAAGCACAGACTACAACTACAAAGTCTAAGAAGGGGAAAACTCGAGCAGCACCTGGCAGTATGATCTCCAAAGCCGGGAGGGCACTGGACCCTAGGTTGTCAACTGTCATGAATGTTACCAACTGCATCTAAATTTCGATTATCGAACCCTAAGTCACCTTATCCGATAAGATTAGATTAGATAAGATCCCTGATAAGATAAGATGGATAACCGATTAACGATCACTATCTTTACATCACATCTATACTACATCAACGTCATCCATCTATATCCGTAACCCTAAACATACGAACTCATCACATCCTTAGAAGTCCTACGATTAGGCAACGGGTTACATCATAAGCATCTACATGCCTCTATGATCGAACTATAACCAAGAGCCCTTGTGGAGTTATCTCTCAAAGAGTCATTGTCCCTTCACATCGCACACCTTCACTTCTCATGACATGTTAAGAGTTACCTCTGTCATTCACCGAACCCCCTACATTAGAACCTGTTGCACAGTCACAGCTAAACCCTAAACCCCTGTCACAGAAGCACCGCTCATAGAGAAGCATGCTCATTACCGAAGACCCTGGAGAATCCCCTAGATCCGATCGTACCCGATACATCTCCAGATCCTATCTAGATCCTCAGATCTAGATCCAAGATCCTATCTCTTATCGAGATCCTTAATTACCGCTCGAGACTTCTAGTCACAGAACTCTCTCACACCCTTCTTAATCTCCTGCCTACCCTGAATAGAAGCAGTCCCTGAGAACCCTGCTTAATTACCGATACCCTTGACCCTATGAAACCTCTACCCTTTCCTCCTTGTAGTTGATTGGTTGATAAGACGCCCTATACCTTAGGTGCAATGTTATGACCGTATATAGTTATATCACAACCTTTCATACTCAGATATCTCCGCCTAGAGAGTAGTATATAGTTTAGGTCGTAGTCAGTAGTACTCCTTAGACTTAACCTCCTCGTTTCTACGTTATCGTAGGGCCTAGACGTTCCCTCTCAAATATCATCCTCGCTTTATCCTCTTCAGACTGAGTCCTGTGGTGTGATCCATACTCCAGACACCTACTAGTTAGGTTAAGGGACGCTGGTCATAACATCAACACAGCTCAACGACTCTTGGCTAGCAACCCACACTAGGCGCGAGTTCCTGAAGACTGACTTTCAACAACGCGCTGAAGCCAAGAAGGCTCATGAGCAACGTCTCAAGGGTCATTTTCTTGTCAACTACTGGGACCAGGTGCGTCTTCCGTCATCATTCTTGAATGTTGCTCACACTTTCGCCTAGAATGGTGTTGTGTTATGATCAATGTTCACCGATTGGTAAAGGTATCCCACAACCACTAGGACTCGTCAAAGGATAAGAGAATAGATGATATTGAGAGTGAATGTCTCTGTCTACACAAGGTAGGAACGAAGAGGTTAAGTCTAAGGAGTACTACTGACTACGACCTAAACTATATACTACTCTCTAAGCGGAGATATCTGAGTATGAAAGGTAGTGATATATCTATATAAGATCATAACATTGCGCCTAGGGTATAGGGCGTCTTATCAACCAATCAACTACAAGGAGAAAAGGGTAAAGGGTTCATAGGGGTTAGGGGTATCGGTGATTAAGCAGGGTTCTCAGGGTTCTGCTTCTATTCAGGGTAAACGGATATGAAGAAGGGTGAGAGAGTTCTGTGACAAGAAGTCTCGAGCGGTGATTAAGGATCTCGATAGAAGATGGAATCTGGAGATGTATCGGGTACGATTGGATCTAGGGGTTTCTCCAGGGTCTTCGGTAATGAGCATGCTTCTCTATGAGTGGCGCTTCTGTGATAGGGGTTCAGGGTTCTAGCTGTGACTGTGCAACAGGTTCTTATGTAAGGGGTTCGGTGAATGACAGAGGTAACTCTTAACATGTCATGTGTGGGAAGTGAAGGTCTGCGATGTGAAGGGATGATGACTCTTCGAGAGATGACTCGTAAAGGACTCTCGGTTATGGTTTGATCATAGAGGCATGTAGATGCTTATGATGTAACCCGTTGCCTAATCGTAGGACTTCTAATGATATGATGACTTTGTATGTCTAGGGTTACGGATATAGATGGATGATGTCGATGTAGTATAGATGTGATGTAAAGATAGTGATCGTTAATTGGTTATCCATCTTATCTTATCAGGGATCTTATCTAATCTAATCTTATCGGATAGGGTCTCTTAGGTTTGATAATCGAAATTTAGATGCAGTTGGTAACATTCATGACACGTTGAACCTGTTTCAGTCACGGTCTACAAGCGCTCTACTGTGTGTTCACTCGCCAAATATCGGACAGCCTACAAGCTCTCAGCACGCACCTTGGACCAGTCGACTATTATGATCCGAAGCTTCAACGCTGGGTTCAAGATGATTTGAACCGCCCCCTTGAAGTTGCGACTGATAGCCAGCTGTTTATTCCCAGACGAGGAGTTGACTGTAAAGGGTTCCAAGACTATTTACAGGACTATGTTCAGCCAACTGGGCGCAACTTCCGAAACCTGACTTCTGAGCGACGAGCCGTCCGCGAAACGACGAAGACATCAGGACTCGATGTCGCCAAGGACTCTCCTTCACTGACACCGAGGTCAGGGAGACACCACTATTGTAGTAGCACTGACAATGGATCCGATATCGACACCAGTCTTGCTATGTCATCTGATTCTCAACAGCCAGTTCACTGGCGCTCATCCATTCCCTCGCCGACCGCAGTTCACTGGCGCTCATCTGTTCCCTCGCTGGCCGCCAGCCTGAGCTTTACTCCAAGTCAAATGCCATTGAACGATTCCGATTCGGACTTTAGTTCTAGCATCATGTCACTGGTCCAACAAAAGAGGTTTGAACATCATGATACTGACGACGAGGACTTCGATTCTCCTTCACCATCCAAGGCTCCATGTCTTTCCTTTTCGTCTAACCTGAGCCCGATCTACTCCATCACAGGTCACAAGTACTACTAGTGTTGGACCCCCCAACAAACGTGCATCAACTTCGACATGGTGGCCCACATTCATGTACACTATCGACATGTCTGAAGGTTTGCGGCAGATCGAAAGCGCGGAGATGAAGGAACAGTACCGATGTTTGGAAGATCGCTTTCAAGCGGTTTTCCATCTGCCGTTCGCAGCTTCTACCTACCACGATGCAAAAAAAATGCTGGCTTCGTGCATCTGAGGAAGGCTTGCTCGAAGATGCCGAGGCTGCTGGACACACTGATGCTGGCCGTTGGAGCAAGCTGGCTGCCTGAGTCCCCCTCAAGTAATTATGTTTTTATTCTGTATGATATGCCTCTCTCGTATTTTTCATATCATTTTGCCCTTAATTATTTTACTATACTTTTATTTCGCCATTGTAATGTTTACCACGTCATTGAGCATAGTGCCAAAGTGTCTCCCCAATACACCAAAATGTCTCTAAGTGGTCACGTCTTGAGGCGCATGCAGGTGACCATTCAATGGGGTGCATACATTCACAGGACGATAAGATACAACATTCACGAGGTGATAAGGTAAAATGAACTAAGGTAAAACGTGCAATGTGTAAAGACCATCTAGGTAGTCATAGTAATGGGATGATCATATGATAAGCCTCGAGAACTCGTCTCACTGCCACCTGTGTCTGAATCTGGCGAAATGCTGATGACGTCCAGAGACACCTCTCGCTTGATGCGTTGCAGAGAGCGAGGATAGTAAGGTAGGGCGAGCCTTTGCTTTTGTGGCTGTCGTTGAACGTAGATGTCAAAGTCGAGCGTAACTTTCACGTTGAGATTCTTGAGGTAAACGTAGGGCTGAGTGAGGGTGAGGACATGACCCACGATGATCTTTCTCCAGCATTCATGCGTGGTGTTGTAATAGTAGCAACTGTCGTCTGCAAGCCCAAGGCTACGAAGCCAGTCTGCAGTGACTCTGATGCGCGGCAAGACGAATCCGGTCTGAAACTCGCAGATGGCTGGCAGCTCTCCATCCTAATGACATGCTAAGTACCATATCAATTGCATGATGACTGTCACGTACCGCAGACCAGCCGATTGCTGTCACTGTGTTCTCAGCCGTGATCATAAGCTCATGTTCAAGAGCTTCGAGTTCAGGCGACAGTGAGGAACAGTGGCGTCTTGGGTAGTAGGGGCCACGCATGATGAATGGAGAGTTGGGAGAGTTCAGCGATGTATCAGACATGATAAGGGATGTGAGAGACGCGAGCGGTTGGAAAGCTGAACATCGGGGCAGAGAAATGATTGGTAGGTACATGCTGTGATTCAAGTCGTCAGCCACTGTTGTAACATGACAAGGGAATGAATCTTACCAGATTATTATCGGAATGAATAGCGTACCTAGAAATGACGGGCGAGAATGTCAAAGTCAAGAAAGAGGTCGAGTCAAGAAAGAGGTCATTACTGATCGATTTGTACTTTTGTTTGGGTCGGAGTCTGGAAATACTATTTGCACATCACATCAAAGGCGTGATACAAATTGAAGGCATGAATATAAATTGAAGGCATGATATAAATCGAGGGCATGATATAAATTGAGGGCATGATACAAATCGAAGGCGTGATATATAGATCTATGCATCTGCAGGGGAATACCAAGGGAATTGACCACGATCCTCCATGGCCTTGATGAGCGCACGGTTGCGACGCATCACCATCTCATCCAGAAAAAAATTGTACTTGTCGGGGAGCATTTCACGCACGATGTTATGATAGCCACCCAACCAAACATTTGCCTGTTCCGTGATGGAGGAGTTGAAAAACCACGAGCCGTCAGCATTAAGAAGCTCTGGATAATGTGCAGGATTGCATCGGGTCTGGCAGAACGTATCGCCCTCTTTGTGCTTGGTTCGAAAATGGAATGCGTCAACACACACGCCAACGTTGTCAAACCAAGTGTCGTTGCGGCTCTGGACTTCATGAAGGGCATTGCAATTGCTGTCGTACATGATGTGTTCAGGCTTCTGGGCACCAGGGAGAGAAAACGTAGTTTTGACCATATGCTGTGGGACAAGTAAGTCATGCGCCCACGAAACGAAATGAATTGACTTACAAGGACATTGGAGATAGCCTCGGCTGCGACCATGGTGGCATGGGCTACAATTATCCCACATGGACGAATAACAATCAGCTCATTGTGTGTCCGAGAACGACTGAACTTGGCTCTGAGCTTGCGATTGCAAAGCTCGGATTTGCCATCACAGCCTTCTTGACTCTGGACGGCAGTGCCGTCGAGTTCACCAGTTGAGGATGGGTTGTTAATGGTGAAGAGCTTCACAGCTTGAGTTGTCAGATCCAATGCGTACCATTCGTCTTTGAATTCAAGATCGAGTGCATCTGACAGCTGCTGTGCAACCATGGCATCATTTGGTTGTGCAGTGTGCATCTTCTGGAGGCGTTTTGTGGCTTGGAAGTTGGCGCGCATTTTCTTGCCATGAAGGCATTCCATCTCCTGGTGGGCTGGGAGTGTGCATGCCTTCCATCTCGGTAATACAGGCATATTGCAATCGACAACAGCACAGATGTTGTCGAGACCTTCATTGAGATGTTGCTGGCAGAATTGTGACCGGTTATTGGCAAGTGGGTTGCAGCATCGGAACACATTACAGCATGGGCAGCCCATGGACAAGCCATCTGTAATGATGACCCGCACTTTCCGTGCGCTACTGTCGTCATTCCAGTAAGTCTGCATGCAGGTGTCGCAGTAGTGTCATAGTTCTGGCTGCCCTTCATAGACAATGCGCTCGTTACAGGCTTGCATAGCTGCAGGGAATCGGTGTGTTTGAGCACCATCGTTCGGTACATCAAGCAGCACTCCACGCCGATCACAGTCCTCGGTGAGCGCGAGTATGATGAATGCGTCCCAGATGTGCTCATTCTTCAGCTTAAACCCAAACTGCCAGCCTGCATCCTGGAGCTGATTCTCGTCCCTCATTGACAAAGCACTGTCATAAATGTTGGCGCAAGCCTGCGCAGATACGCTATACAATAAAGTAAGATACAGTCTGAGAGCAAAGCAGATACTTACTGGCCCTTGAGGTGGAGTTCCACCCATAGCTTGGCAACATCCTGGTCAACAAAATGGTGGTCAGCCACCTGGATGTATTCTGGGACCCCGCCATAGTACCATCATCTACGTTCAGCGATACAGAAGTTGTTCTTGTATACGGTGTTGCAAGTACGACATATGAGATGAACTGACCATGCAGGGATGGCACCGTGGAGTGTATGTAGCACAACCTGACAAGAATAAGCCTTTTTGAGTGGTGTTTGTGACTGGGCGGTCAAGCAGTTGGATTGTGTACAGTGGGTATGCGGAGGATAGAGTGAGATAGATGCCATATCATCTCAGATATGTGATGGTCAGGGACAATACAAAAACTCACTCAAACCAAGTCATTGTCCATGCTCACAAAATGCTTGCTTGTGCTGTGCAGCTAACTCATTACGGCTAGGCATGCCCCATACGATCTCCTTGAATGCATGCCAACATGCTGCAACAGTATCCCTGGTTAAGCCGGTTGACAGTTGCAGGAACTCGCAGATTGAAGGTGGCAGGATGTCAGGTGGGACATTGTCTGAGATCGTCTGAAGTTGCGGAAGCATGATATCATGCTTGAGAGCTGACACACATGAAGTGAACGCAAGGACATCTTCAAAGGAGAGGGTCACCAGTAACTCATGGCTTGCTAGGGCTTTGGATATGGTGGGCGGTGCAACTGAAGAATACAAGCAACATGGTATCATAGTTGAAAACTGTGGGATAGATTGTTATGGAGGACGTTCAAGTCCCTGCCCAGCAAGTGGTGAGCAGTTAGTGCTGCAGTTGGGCAGCAGGTGTTAGTGCTGGCTGAATGCAGGTGTATTTTCAATCTCTGACATGCTGTCTGTTAGCCACCAGCCTTTGCCGCCATTCTCCGCCATTCTTGCCGTAGTGTGCGCCGGACTTTTTTCGCCGGAGGGGCGGTTTCAGGGATGTTCTCCGTCTGGCAGAGGTGGTGGTTTGAAGGAGTCGCATCTGGGACGAGCTGTGGACGGAAAATTCTGGGGACGGTCGGTGTAGGTAGAGCAGTGGAAAATGTAGTTTCGCTGTGGAGTCCTGGTAAGTAACGAGTTCTTTCTAGAGACTGAGATTATATTGTTCTACTAGCTCGATAAGTCCCGCATCCGCTTGCCTCTGATCACCACTCTATTCAAGTGATCTATTCCAAGAACTCCATTGCTCGAGCAGTAGTAAAATATGTTCAGAAGTAAACTGTAAGTAGTCAAGACTGTCGTCCCTTAACCGTTATGCCAAAAGGCAGTGATAATGAAAGCTCATGCTTCATTAGAGCATTTTTGCTAAGTGACTTTTGCATTTTTCACGATGTGAAACGACGCTCCACTTGATGTAGTATAAGTTTCAACTGCGTGACATCTAAGTATTAAACGAACAAAATTAAATTAAATATTGTGATGTGGTCAACTTAAGTCTTGAATCGCACAGAATACTTACTCATGGTCTACTACAACAACCAATGGATGCCATCCTTGCCATCCAAACACTTTCAACCAAACTTATCCACACCCTAGCCATCATGACCTTATCATGGACCAGCAGTGATGTTCTGGTTTTGACTGGCTCAAGAGCAAACAAGAGACAGCATGAAGAAAAACCACGTCCGCTTCAGGGTGGTGAACGCATATCAGGCCGATGTTTACGCGCGTCATCATAGTATGCGCTAGCGAGGGCTGGGGATTGGGATTGAGCTCGGACTTGCCACATGTGCACTAGTTCTAGTTCGTCAGAATTGTCACTGAAAAATTCAGCAAGTTATAAGTTATTTCTCCGAGCTCCACTTGTTCGAGTTAAGTGTAAAATTGACAGTCTGTAAGTTAATGAAATCCTTGATAAATCACTTAGCAAAAACGCTCTATTATCTCGGACAGTATTTATGCTGATTATGGGAACTCAGGTAAGCCACCGGGCTTACATAAACACGTCGATCAACTCAGCAACTAATGCACGTGTCGTGCCATCAACCATACTGCACCGATGCGAAAGCAGAAACATGACTCACTGTAGTTCACAGTCACAACATGTCTTTCTAAGTGGGTATATGTAAGCCTATCGCTTATGACATCACATCACGTGGCTGTTCGGTTCCCTTATATCATCGCGCTATCCATTGTTTATCAGAGACTCGGGTCTCTTAGCTACTACTACATTGCTCCCTTGTATTATCGAAATCCACGATCTTGTCTTGTTACTTCTTGCCCGATCCGTCTTAGTGTTTCCCACCGTACCACGGCGGGCCTCCACTTTTTTTTTTAACGCCGACAATATCATCAACTCTTAGAACGATCATCTGTCGGGCCACCCGCCCACTTCCTGAACCGTCAAACTGCCTCCTAAACGGAGGGTCGCAACTGTTCAACAGTCTCTGACCACGCGTTCGCGCGCGAAGAACCAAAACCAACCGTCTCCTGTCACCTCAGTCTCATCTTCACTATCCTCACTCCCATCAGATATCTCATCCTTACTTATTACCTCTACCAAACCGCGTGACGACTCCTCGTCAGACTCAGAAACAGACACGACGAACGTAACCTACCCCCTCACTCACACGATGACGAAATCAGCCACAGTGGAACAGTCCGCCCCCAACAAACCACCAAGGCTTTTGGCGGGCGAACTCACACCTGAAGTCATCCGTGATTGGGACAACACATGCTCCACCTACTTCATGCACAAAGAAGTAAAAGAGAAGAACCAAGTCAAAATGATAGCATTCGGCATGCTGGATCCACACTTGCACACCTGGTACCTGGCTTCGTGAGCAATCCTAGACGTGGGAACATTTCAAGAATATATGACCACTCTCAAGGACGCGTGGCTCGAGACGCACTGGGACACCAAACTTCGCAAGAAGGTATTGGGCTCACAACAGGGCACACGCAGCTTCTACGAGTGGGCACTTGAACTACAAAACCAAAACGCCCTTCTGTATGGTAATGCTGCTCATCTCTCGGACGTACAACTACGCAATTAACTCGAGGCGAATATATGCGACGACCTCACCACTTCTGTACTCAGAGCGAATCTTGATGCAAACCTAACTCTGAAGAAATGGATCGAGGAAGTCAAACACCTCGATGACAAGCGTCTCGAGGATCTTGCCTCGCACAGGAAGATTGCCGAGGACCTGTACAAATCATCCAAACGCACACAGCCCCAAACATCCACGAAAACATTGTCCTCCTCCCGCACTCCCACATACTCCTCCTCACGTCTCGGACCACTCACAATGGCCAAATGCACTCTGCTCACTGATCATAACGGTTGTTTCAAATGTCGCAAGTTTTATGTCTCTCACAGGTCAAAGGAATGTACGGACGGCGCTCCCAATGCAGCCTCGTACAAACCATTGACAGAAACAGACGCCTTGGCGGCCAAGCCCAATGCCAACAAGACTGACAAACCTGCGAAAACCGTTGCCGCTGTCGCACCTATTGGAGCCGTGATGCCCTCCTCTGTACTCGAGTGCGATTCAGACTCTGATAACGACACGTGCGTAGCCCCTTTTGAAACTCCCCATTTCTTCTGGCCCTGTCTTTTGACGGGACCTGCCTCTGAATCATTTGAACGTATAGATGCATTGATTGACCATGGGTCACATCTAGTAGTACGATATCTTGACCAATTCCTACCCAACCTCGCGGATCATACTCGTATCCTCACGCCCCTTACAATGAAGTCAGCCGATCAACTATGGCCAGGGTGGACAACAGAACACCAACTAGCATTTGACGCCATCAAATGTCTTGTTATCAGTCGAGACTGCCTAACAACCATCGACCATGACAACCTTGGTGACAACCATATCTACGTCACATGCGACGCTAGCGACTGGCGCACTGGAGCCATGCTCAGCGTAGGACCAACACCCCAGACTGCACGACCCGTTGCATTTGACTCGATGCAGATGCGAGACGCCCAACTCAACTACCCTGTCCATGAGAAAGAGCTACTCTCAATCGTCCGCGCCCTCAAGAAATGGCGCATTGAACTGCTCGGTACCCCATTCACTGTCTACACCGACCATCGCACACTAGAAAACTTTCTCACACAATGCAAATTATCACGGCGCCAGGCACAATGGCAAGAATTTTTTGCGCAGTACAACTTCACCATTCAATACATCCCTGGAGAAGAGAACTCAGTTGCTGATGCCCTCTCCCGTTTACCTCCGGAAATTGACGACATCCCCTCTTATACACGGGAAACTGTCAACCTCCCGTCCAACACAGGAACCAACATCAAGCCTATCGGATTGATCCTGTCTGTCACTCCCGATGCCTCGCTACTAAATGATATCAAAACAGGATACGAGATGGATCCTTGGTGCGTGAAACTGGCTAAACTGACAGGCTCCCTACCAGGCCTACAGAATCGCGACGGACTACTGTACCTGAACAACCGCCTTGTGATTCCACGCCAGACACATCTTCGCGAAACTTTATTCCGCCTTGCACATGACGACCTCGGCCACTTTGGGGTCGACAAATCTTATGCAGCGCTGCGCGAATCATTCTACTGGCCGAACATGAGAAAGGACCTAGAAGAAAGCTATGTTCCCGCCTGCCCCGATTGCGCACGGAATAAAAGTAAAACGACTAAGTCACCTGGCCCCCTACACCCTCTACCGGTACCAGACCACCGCAGAGATTCAGTATCTATCGACTTCATTGGTCCATTACCCCTCGAACATGGCTGCGATGGCATAATGACAATCACAGATCACCTGGGCGCCGATATACGACTTGTCCCCTGCAGGATGAATATGACAGCACCCGAGATCGCAAACCTCTTCTTCAACCACTGGTACTGCGAAAACGGCCTGCCACTCAACATCATCTCCGATCGTGACAAAATCTTCACTAGCAAATTCTGGAAAGCACTACACCGACTCACCGGTATCCGTCTGAAACTCTCAACGGCCTACCACCCACAAACGGATGGCGCCAGCGAACGAACCAACAAAACGGTCAACCAAGCCTTACGGTTCTTCGTCGACCGTCACCAATCAGGATGGGTGAACGCACTACCACGCGTCAGATTTAATCTCATGTCTTCCGTCAATGCCTCAACTGGTTACACTCACTTTCACCTCCATCTCGGACGATCACCACGTCTCATCCCTCCTTTGACGCCAGCGAATGTCCACACAACAACGGACGATTTTGGGATTGAAGTCACTAACGCGCTCGACGCAATCATGACCCTGAAAACTGACATCGCAGACGCGCACGACACACTGCTGGCAACCAAAATCTCACAAGCCAACTCGGCGAATGCACATAGAGCCGAAGATCCAAATTTCAAGATCGATGACATGGTATACCTATCTACCACACACCGTCGACGAGAATACCTCAACGGTCATTCACGACGCGTCGCTAAATTCATGCCAAGATTCGATGGACCTTATAAGATAATTTCGGCTCACCCTGAGTCATCCTGCTACACTCTCGAACTACCATCACATACTAACAAACATCCCACTTTTCACGCTTCAGAGCTCAAACGTCACATACCCAACAACACAGCTCTGTACCCCTCACGAGAGCAACAACGTCCAGGGCCTGTCATCACAGACGGCAGAGCCGAAGAATGGGAGATAGAACACATCCTTGACCATCGGACGCGCGGTCGTGGCTCTCAATACCTCATACACTGGCGCGGATACGGACCTGAAGCTGACCTCTGGCTACCCGGTCATGACGTCAAAGACTCCCCCGCTCTACAAGAATACAAGATCAGACAAAGTTCTTCGGAGGATGGGAGGGTGTAAGCCTATCGCTTACGACATCACATCACGTGGCTGTTCGGTTCCCTTATATCATCGCGCTATCCATTGTTTATCAGAGACTCGGGTCTCTTAGCTACTACTACATTGCTCCCTTGTATTATCGAAATCCACGATCTTGTCTCGTTACTTCTCGCCCGATCCGTCTTAGTGTTTCCCGCCGTACCACGGCGGGCCTCCAGTATACATACTAAGATGATCTATCACGCCAGTGAGTCATGTAGTTAAATCCAGGACGCAAACTATTCATACTCACTGAACATTGGTACCCAAGACAGCAGGGGTTTGCAAGGCAAAATAAAGGGCAATTGAGAGCGTCACTGACAGGTGTCGATGCTGCAGATATTGATGCTGTCAAAGCAACAACAACGGCGAGGACAAGGGGGAAACGCATTGTTCGTAAAGGATATAGTATGGGATCAAATAAATCTGAAGGGGATAGTAGGAGGACGCCTTGCTTTTATGCATTGATATTGTTCTTCCGAGATGGTTCAAGAATGTACATTATGGCTACAGGAAGAACCTATCCGCTTGAAATCCCCTATTTGGTGAAGCAAAGTTGGCAATTTGACGAGGAACCGTGCGAAGTAAGATCAATGCCAACTTGATGCCAGCTCAAATGCGCTGTCGGTCCACTAGAGGAGTGGCTTTGACGAAGGCCACCGTGGCCAACTCAACAAAGTCGGTTTGCAGCCAGCGAGAAGAGTTTATGTCAGCGGGGAGATTGCTGTCATGTGAAATGACCAGCCCGTTTTGGACGTAGTAAGTAGTCCTTTTTGCTGCGTCATACACATGAATCCACAAGAAAGAAAATTAACTCTACCTGCCTTTCTCAAAGTCCTCACCAGCAATGATGTACCTGTCCCTAAGGCAATGGCAGTAGCCAGTAAAGTGTTCGTCTGCTCAATTAGCAAGTTTGCATGAATAACTGTAATCTTAGGTACAAGCAATTCCATACGCCTAGGCTCCTTGCACAACTCACAGATGCGAAGCTAATTGTATGTAACGTGGAAGACAAGGAAACGCGAAAAATTGTGCTAGCTGCGATTCGGAAAGCGGGGTACACTGCGCAGTCCTCAGGTGCTAAACAGAAACAGAAAAGTGACAAATCCAGGGGTTTGGATGAGCAGCCCGTAGCAGGTCCGTCTCAACCGAGGGTCGCGAATACAGTGCAGCTCTTAGTGAGTCGCATACTGTCGTATCGTTCGCATGCTAAATTACATAGACCACGCCGACTAAGCGGAAAAGAAAATGGGACGACGATTTAAACGAGCTCCTTCCAGATGGACCTCCAGATGAAGCTGCTGCATGTGGTAGCTTGGAGTTCAATGAGGTATTGGATGAGGCGGTACAGTTCGGCTCTCCGCTCGTTCAATCAGGCCTGCTCAGATTCTCTTTAGGTTCTTAAGAAGAAGTCTACAGTTGTGAATCGGGCGCCGTTGATGACAGCCTGGGCAACTGTTGTTGCCGAGCGCTTAGGGTTCGAAGCGGGAGGAAGCACTCAGTATTGGTACGTACCAGTGGGTAAGCGTTGTATGCTGGATGTACTCAAACGTCATGAAGCATCCGTTTATACGGAAATGAATGCAATATCAAAGGGCGTGTCCTTGGGTCTCTTCGATGAAGCACGGAAGAAAGAGATAGAGATTACCAAGGGTAGTACACAACCTTATGTTGACTTACTGGGAAGAAGGTATGTGTCATGAGCGGGTCTTGGTGTTTTCAACTAACAGCACGGCGTATCATGACTTTTAAAGGATGTACGTCTGTCTGTCTGTCTGTTTACAGACACTCTGACCTTACGTGCCCATTTTGCTAGACACTTGTATCAGACACAGAACGAGACATGGCGTGCTCTCACCAACACCTCACCTGCACTCCCCAGCACAGCATTTTCATACATATCTCGTGCGTTTCGACAAACAACTCCGTACGTCATCGGCGCCCTTCGCTTGCTGGCCGAAAGCTTCCCACCGCAAGAACTTAATACCAAAGGTTTCGGATTGTATGCCGAGTTCAGACCTGATGTAGACGGGTGGGGTAAACGCGGCGAGGTACGCTGCGAACGAATTTTATCATTGCGCAAGAAGGATAGAAGCGCTATCGCTGAGACCACTGCGAAAGGTGAAGTTGTGAAGTTGGAAGTCAATGGTGATTTGAGGGCGGCTGAAGTTGCAGGTGGGACACAATCTGGTACGTCTGAAGGACCGGAACACAAGAAGGCACGAACGATGACGCTGGAGGAGTACGAAGCTGCATTGGACCAGGATACCACATTTGATGATGTAGAGCTCAACTTTGAATCGTGAACAGCCGATTCAATGAAACATGTTACTACCGCAGAGTGTATGTAGGTATACGATCGACCACGATAAGCATCAGTTAATCCTTACCGACATGGTATTGAAACAGATCATTACTTGCCTAGTTATTACGGTACACCATCAAGACTCGAGATCTCTCGTTGGTCAACAAAAAAAATTGTAAAAGTAAGGGCCCAACCGGGAATTGAACCCGGGACCACCCGCAACTTCAACACCTTGTGTTGGGGATTGCTCCCGAAGCGGGTATCATACTACTAGACCATTGGGCCTTGGAGAAGGGCCTGCCGATGACTTATATCACCACAGGGCTCGAAAGCTCCTTCGGGGTGACTCACTTGTGAATACTGTCTCTCGCCAATCATCCCCATCTCGGACATGGCAAACAACTGGGAATTTTCGAGGCGTCTGCTGTGTGTGCAAGGAGGGGGTGCATGCGAAGATTTATACAACATGAGAAAATATTGTTGATTATTTCAGTTGATGCATCCTGAGGACAAGGTCATGGTAGAGAGAAATACACGTGTAACAGTCTGTGGAGGTGGAGCTTAAGGAACCCATGGCCGCAAGATACGCGCGGCCAAAAGCTACAACCTGTCTTGACAGGTTGTGATTGCCTCAGATTGCCCGCGACATGCGAATCGTCGTGAACCGAGTATGAGATGGCTATTATTTGCGACTTCGAAACTAAGGAGCCAATGTCGCTGAGGCCATTCGAAAGATCAAGTCATGCAGCAGTCATGTCCGAGTCTGGGCGGCCGAAGGTCAAAAACGCATGACACGAGAATACAAGGCTGTACTGGAACAGGATACCGTGACCACGTAGAACTCGCTTTGAATCATAAACAGCAATGAATCCAATCCATTAATGCATCGCCCAAGGCATAAACGAGTGTTCGGGATACCGTATGTGATGACCGCTGGACTTATCTACATCTAATGTAACATCTATATAGCATTGTCGTCAGTCGACTCCGTGCCCCGTACCTGCTGTGTAGCGCCAAGAATCCAAAGACAGCTTAAAGCTTTTTGATGATAGCATTGGTGAACTCCGATGTCGTTGCAGCACCTATATAAGAAGCGATGTGAGAATGAGACTTGACAGATCATGGGGAACTACTCACCGCCCATGTCTGCGGTCCTGACCTCTCCGGCGTTGATGACATCGAAGGTCGCGCTTGCAATGCTGTTGGCGATGGAATCGAGACTACGGGAGAAGAGTGAGAAGGATATGTGTAGGGTCGTGCCAGAACACATACCCAAGATGTCTGAGCATCATAGTGGCGCTCAAAACCATAGCGGTGGGGTTGGCACGGTTGGTTCCCATGATGTCTGAAGCAACGTGTCTGCATCCAGGCTCAAATAGGGCATAGTCCTGGACAGATGTCAGTACCTGGTGAAACCAGACGCCAGTGTTTGACATACACGGCCGATGTTACATCCCGGAACAATACCCGGACCGCCGACGAGTGCGGCACCAATATTGGAAATGATAGCACCATACAAGTTAGGCATGACCATGACATCGAATTGACCAGGTTTGGCCACCAGTTGCATGGAGCTAGGCGGATGTTAGCCGACTAGAGCGGAAACAGGGACAAAGGCCTCACGTGTTGTCGATAATCATATCATTGGACACAATGCCTGCAGATTTGTACTCCTCTGCAATTCGGCGGAAGGTATTCAAGAAGAGACCATCGCCGAGCTTCATGATGTTAGCCTTGTGCACACATGTCACTTTCTACAAACGGAGCGCCTGTTAGCACGGCTCCGGCCGGAAATGAATGAAGTCATAACCGACCTTGCGGTTATTCTTGAGGGCAAAGTCGAAAGCAAAGCGTGCGATACGTTCAGCCTTGGCCCTTGTAGAGACCTTCAAACTCTCTACCACGCCGGGATAACTCTGGTGCTCCAAGCCTGAGTATTCACCCTCAGTGTTTTCACGAATGATAGCAAAGTCGACATTGGAGTGGCGCGTGGGGAACCCAGGGAGAGACTTGCACATGACAACAGAGGCATAGATGTCGAGCTGTTGACGCATGGCCACGTTCCATGAGATATGACCGGTTTGTGATATGGGTGTGAAGAGAATACCTATCACAACAACAGTCAACGATGGACGTTTCACTGGGAGAAATGATTTACCCTTGAGGCCAACTCTGTTGCGCTTGAGACTCTCCATTGCCTGTTTGAAGAGATCCTCTCCTGATGAAGAGACACCAGAGACATTGTACTGCTCCCACTCGATGGGCGCATTTACATGCTCAAAGATCTCTTTGACAGAGTCTGTTATTTCACCGCCGATACCGTCACCGGGTATGAGGGTAACCTAAACAAAACTGTATCAGCACCATACCCGACGAGGTATATATGAAGAGACGCACGGTGTATACGCCCCCGTACTTGGTCGGTAGCTACGGTGACGTTGGAATTAGTTTCGGTGACGCTATTCGCCTCTGGGCGTGAAACTTACTCTTTGCGTCACCTTTGGAAAACCAGCCGAAAGAGTGGTCGCATTTCGCTTGAAAAAAAAGGTGAACATCACGCCATCTTATTAATGAGACGAGAAAAATACATACCGACTGCTGTAGAGCAGGGCGGGTCGCTGCCGATAGAGCGTTGCGGAGCATTGCAGACTAGGTGGAATGAAAGAAAAATATGCAGGAAAGAAACGGAAAGGCTCTGGAACCAGGAAATTCAGTTTTAGACATAAATTATACAAAATGGTTGTCCCATAGCGCGCGCCGTGGCCGTGTAATCGGTTCACTTCATATAATTCATCCGCGTTTGTCCGTCGACCAAAATTGCTCCCATTTCGTTCTTCCCTTCATCAGTCCTCCTCCTTCCGTCTTCCCTTTTCAAAAGGCTCAATGACTGCCGCCCGTGCTGCTTTCTCTCGTGCAATCGCAAATGCTCGTGCACGTCCTTCATTGCCTCTGAACCGTGTTGCATTGGCTCGCGGGTATGCGACGGCAAGTGAAAACTCGGTATGTTTTGGGCGTCATTCTCATCTAATATGTCATTCTGAAACATTTCCAAGATGACCGTCCGTGATGCACTCAATGTTGCTATGGAGGAGGAGATGCTGCGCGATGAGAACGTCTTCGTTCTCGGTGAGGAGGTAGCTCGGTACAATGGTGCTTACAAGGTTAGTTCATAATTATTATACTCAACACGTTCGTTTGACTTAAAGTTGTCGCGTCTAGGTCACCAAAGGTCTTCTTGACAAGTTTGGCGAGAAGCGTGTCGTTGATACTCCCATCACTGAAATGGGTTTCGCCGGTATCGCTGTCGGTGCTGCACTCTCAGGTCTACGACCAATGTAATTAACCTTTTTATCTTGCGTTCTTTTCTCATTATTTTACTTAAAAAAAGATGCGAGTTCATGACCTTCAACTTCGCCATGCAAGCCATTGACCAGATCGTCAACTCGGCTGGAAAGACTTACTACATGTCCGGTGGAAACGTGCCCTGTCCTGTAGTTTTCCGTGGTCCCAACGGTGCAGCTTCTGGTGTCGGTGCTCAGCACTCGCAAGACTATGCAGCCTGGTATGGCTCAATCCCCGGTCTCAAGGTTGTCAGCCCTTGGAGCGCCGAGGATTGCAAGGGTCTGCTCAAGGTTCGTGATTTCCTCATTTGTTGTCCTTGTGCCTGATGACTTTATAGGCCGCCATCCGGGATCCTAACCCAGTCGTATTCCTCGAGAATGAGATGATGTACGGTGTCACCTTCCCAATGTCTTCAGAAGCCATGTCAGACAACTTCACTCTTCCTATCGGCAAAGCCAAGGTCGAGCGCGAAGGATCCGATATCACGATTGTGGCACACAGCAAAATGGTCACTCACAGTCTTGAGGCTGCTGACCTTTTGGCCAAGGAGGGTCTCAAGGCTGAGGTCATCAACCTTCGTAGCATCCGTCCTCTGGATATTGATACCATCAAGGCATCAGTCAAGAAAACTAACCGGTCAGGCAGTCATTTAGCCTAGTGAATTATTGCTCAACTATTTTACAGTCTCCTCATCGTTGAGGGTGGTTTCCCTGCTTTCGGTGTTGGTAGTGAAATCTGCGCCCAGATCGTGGAGAGCGAGGCCTTTGATTACCTTGACGCCCCAGTTGAGCGAGTAACTGGTGCTGATGTACCTACACCAGTACGTGTCGAGATGCCCTAGTATTACCGCAAACTAATCTTTCACTAGTATGCCACCAACCTCGAGGCACTCTCATTCCCCGACACACCTCTCATCGTCAAGGTCGCCAAGCGGGCTCTTTACAGGACCAACTAGGCCACCCTATACTGTTATCCCATGCATCTGCTTTCATACTTACACATTCATGGGCATTAGTAGTCCTCTGGCCGCAATAGACATATTACCCATCTAAGTTGGTGGTCAGAACGGCCTCCGTACACGATCTATAATAATCGCTCTTTTGCCCAACTTTGCCCGTTCGTGTGGCAGGCTGCTCACGCCGTGCCAATTTGTCAGTGACGTGAGTTGTGTTGATGGAAAATGCGGTTCCGTTTGAAATGCACCATGTGCTAGGCCTCCCATCATTCCGATTTCTTCCTTGGGAGGTGAGAGCGTTCAGCTACAGATTTCCCTCTCGGGACCCGCGAGGCTCAGATATCAAGTTTGTACCAGGTCTTGATCTCATCGACAACAGGTGTATAGATGACATCAACACCGTGTGCAAACGCAACATTTTTTGCAAAAACTGGAGAAGACCTGATAGAATACCTCTTTTCATGTGACGTGCAGCACCACCCTTTTGATACACTTGTTACTATTTACCCCCTTCCACAACTCGCTACATGCCCAGCCGAATACGAACTGCGTTTGCGTGAGCTTGCAGCCCTTCGCAGTCTGCCAACGTCGCTACGATAGGTCCCAACGTCTGCAGTCCATCCATAGTGACCTCCTGCGAGGTTATGTGCTTCTGGAAAGACTGCGTGTTGACGCCGCTGAACTGGCGTGCATATCCGTTTGTAGGAAGGGTGTGGTTCGTGCCAGAGGCGTAGTCTCCGCAACTAGAATAACATGATCAACGGAAGGCGCATCCCTGATAGAAATTACTGCGTACCTCTCTGGCGAGTATGGCCCCACGAACACGCTGCCTGCATTTTTCACATGGTCGACCCAACTTAGTGCGTCCTTCAAGTGTAAAATGAGATGCTCAGGAGCGTAATCGTTTGAAAACTCCAGGGCAGTCTCTGGACTCTGCGTTTTCACGATCAAACTTTTTGCAACGCTTTCGCGAACGATATCGACACGACCCAAGGTACGCGCTTGTTTATCCACCTCTTCTTCGACTTGCGCGAGCATGGTCTCCGGGAGAGACGAAGCAACCAAGACAACTTGAGAATCGATGCCGTGTTCAGCTTGTGAAAGGAGGTCCGCGGCGACAAAAGCAGGGTTACAAGTCTCATCTGCAATCACCTTAGGGGGAAGTACCGTATTCGTTAGTCTTCCAAGGACAACGAACACGGTACTACGTCCGCGGTTGAAAGCCAGAATCACTTACCAGCACCTCGGATGGCCCAGCGGGCATATCTATGGACACCATTGCGTCCGTGTCATTTTGTACGAGCATCTTCGCAGCCGTAACCCACTGATTTCCTGGCCCGAAAATCTTGTCGGCCTTTGGAACGGTCTCGGTACCATACGCCAAAGCAGCAACTGCTTGAGCCCCGCCAGCTCTGAGGATGGCGTGCGCACCCACTTTATGGGCAACATAAAGTACCTCCGGCGAGATGCTCCCATCAGCCCTGGGTGGCGTAGCAATGACGATTTTTTCACAGCCAGCGACTTGGGCTGGGACACCTAACATAAGTGCCGTGGAAGGGAGAACAGCAGTGCCCCCTGGAACATAAAGACCCACCCGCGCGATGGGGCGGGCAAAGCGGGTGCAAGTCACCCCTGGCATGGTCTCCACAACAAGTGGAGCACCATCAATTTGAGCGGCATGGAATTTGTAAACGTTGCTGTAAGCAGCGTCAATGGCATCACGCACAGCAGGATCGATCTGCTGTGCTTCTGGTGCGAGAGGGTAGAATGGCGGAAGGAGAAGTGGTGTATCCAGTTGAGCCTTGTCGAATTTGGCGGTGAGCTCGCGTAGAGCGGAGTCTCCGCGAGCACGGACGTTATCAACTATGGGCTTGACCTTTGCAATCATCTCATCGGACCTGAGGACGGGACGCTTAAGAAGCTTTGCGCGCTCCTTGGGGGATACAGCAGAGATATCAACGGTCCGCATTTGGATGGGTGCATTTCGGTCAAGAGGCGCCTTGCTGGAAGGTGCTGCTCTAGGCGCTTCTGCCTTGGATGATTCTACTTGGGAAGACCCTGTTTTCGGCATCCACTGTGGCTTCGCGTTTCCTGGTCTTCGACTGATCTTCATCGCCTTCTTGTCAAGTGAGCGCTCAATGTCCTTGACACTCACCCCGGCAGCGACACAGCGCGTCAGGGTGAAGTAGATCAAATCAGCGGCTTCGAATGCCACTTCCTCCTTCGTCTTTGCACGGCAAAGTTCATCGGCTTCCTCCATGATCTTTGATCTCAGGAGTTCCCCGTCATTAAAGAGCCTGCGAGTATACGAGCCCTCAGGCGCATCAACTAAACGCGATGCCAAAGTACGCTGGAGAGCGGCGAGTCCGTCTAGATCGCCGAAGCACGAGGCGCGGTTAAGGTGACAGAAACCAGCGCCGTGCTGTACGACGCTAAACTCGAGCGCATCGGAATCACAGTCTACGCGGATGCGCACGACGTCCTGCGTGGCCCCAGAGGTCTCGCCTTTGCGCCATAAGCCATGCTTTCTGGAGTGATACACGCCTTTGCCTGTGCGGATCGACTCGGCAACTGATTCACGAGATGAATATACCAGACCTAGAGACCGTTGCCCATTGGGATCAGAAGATACCACTGTTGGGAAAAGTCCATCAGAGCGATCCGAGACAATCGGCGCAAGGAAGGCATCTGCGACACTGATCACGTTTTGGGAAGTAGAGCCGAGAGTGAGTTGGGAGAAAGGAATGACTACAGATGCGCCGATGGCTGCGAGTTTTTTGATGATCGAGGGTGAAGGAAGGCTAGGTGCTAATACGTGTACTGCTGCGCCGATGAAGAAACGTGATACGGTGCGAATGAGGTCTAGATCGGGGCCGAAGCCACTCGAAGCAGATGTTTTAAGCAAGACGCCAGATACAGCGTTGCGAACAGAGTCGGAGACGGCGCTCACGTTGGCGACATCGAGGAGAAGGAGCAATCGATGAGCGGGCACCGTCACAAGAAGACTTTTGGCCAGAGAAAGAGGCACGATGGCCTTGTCGGCGCCATTATCAAGGTGGGTGATGATTTGGTTGACATCAGTAGACGTACTATCTTCCACAAGAAGATAACGAGGTGTGCTTCCCGGGGTTAATCTGGAGGCTATAACTGGGGCAACACGCGAGACAGCGACGAGGAGGTCCTCGTCGACGTGCTCGCTGTCGAGCAAGGCAAGAAATGGGAACATGAAGAAATTTGACGAGGAGATCTTGAGGAGATCTGTTAGATCAATATTTGATCTTGCAATGACTGCGGTTCAATAAATTCATCGTGTTACATATGTTCTATAAGCACGCATATCAACGGTCCAATAGTGTAGCGGTTATCACCCAAGATTCTGATATACGATTTCTTGTGACCCAGGTTCGATTCCTGGTTGGACCTATATTTTTGCAGTTTTTTTCACACCACAGTATACTAAGAACGTAAAGATGTATGTAGTGACTAGCGACCTTGCAACAGTTGACTTAAGGACCACGAATCATGCCTCTGGAAACCACGTTCAGTCACGCCGTCGCGCTGTTGAAGGTCGTATTCAAAGGCATGCCTACTACGTCCATGCTTAATTGAGGTCACGCTCACTGAGCTCGAGCTCAGCGGGGAGCATTGAATGCAGTACTAGCGGTCACTAATTAGTACTGGTAGGAATTCTGAGCAGAGACGGTAGGCCCATGGTGATGGCCATTGGAATGGGAGAGCTGACAACGCACACGGGGTGTGGGTCGTCTTTATAAACCAATATGTATATGTACACATATTTGCATAGTTTGCAAGTACTAGGATATCGGATGTCTATACTTATTGTACACCCGCCAAGTCTCGGGCTGAAGGCGGCGACTTCGATTTACCCAGGCTTGACCCAGGCCCTTATAAGATATCCCTTCAGACGACTGCAGGTCTGCTCCATACTCACCTAGCCATCGTCAGAATATGTGCATCGATGTTCACCACCATTTCTTTCTCGACGCTCAAAAAAAGGCAAAGAAAAACTTGGAAGTAGGCTGGCGGACACCAGATGAAAATTTACCTTGGGGGCCACAGATCAGTTTGGCCGCCATGGACAAGCTGGGCGTTCAGACCGCGATTCTTTCTCCCCCTCCGTTGTCATCTGCTTCTTGTGGAGTGGAAACCCGAGCAGAAGTAAGGCAGCAGAATATTTATGCATCGCAATTATGCACCGAATATCCTAAAAGATTCGGTTTTCTCGCTGGCCTCCCGTGCTTGGATGACGTCGAAGGTAGCTTCTCACTACAGAGCATTCTTCCGTGGGTTGGCCTCACATCCTTTGTAGGTTCGTTAGAGGAGATCGCCTTCTCCTTTGATGTGCTTGGTGCAGATGGAGTGGCTCTGATATCTTGTTATGGGGATGGCGACTCTGCGAGTAGGGCTTTTTGAGTTACAACGCGCTGCAAACGATGACACGATGATGCCTCAGAGTATGTCGCCGACGGCTTGTATGATCCTATCTGGAAGGAATTGAACCGAAGACGCGCCGTCGTGTTTTTGCATGGTGCTCAGACACCTTCCTCCACCCCATACCCTCATCCTTGGCTTGGCTTGCCAATTTCTGAGGTGAGTCCGGCGGAGTCCAAAGGCTTGCTCTCGCTCACTCCGAGAAGGTCCCCAACGAGACCTATAAAGCTGCCGCCCACCTCGTGGTTAGCGGAAAGAAACGACGCTTCCCCAATGTGAACATAATCCTCGCACACCTGGGCGGGAGCACACCATTCCTTGCTGCACGTGTTGCCGCCCTTTCGCATCACATGGGCTGCCCGTTGACGCCGGACGAGATCATAGAAGATTTCAAGAGCTTTTATTATGAAACTGCTCTTAGCGCACACGAAACGACGCTTACCGCAATGGCGACCCTCGTACCGTCAGATCGCCTCCTTTTCGGAACTGATTTTCCAGGTACTTGCAGGAGCTGTGCGATGCATGGCACATTTGATGATAATCTTGTTTTAGCCGTGAGTACCAAGACGGTCGAGTGGTACACAAAGAACTTGAAAACCCATTTCGCCGGCAGACCGCTAGACCTCGCCAATATCATGTGTGATAACGCCCTTAGGCTCTTTCCAAACCTAGGAAAAGCCAAAGTGGAATGTCTAAGCGCAGGGACGCCAGGTCAATGATCAACTGCACGACGGGCCGCAATGTACTGTGAAGTTGTGAGTGGGAGTCCATGCATTGAAGGCTGTACAAAGTGACGAGATATGCAATATATCACGATAATTTGATCTAATGATCTAAGGTAGCAGAAAATGTAAAGAGACGTCTAAACACCGAGCCTGAGGCAAAAACATCAACCCTGTCACGAATGGACGAAAGGCAAAATGAAACGTACCTTCGTTTGCTATGTTCATAGACAAGATATGATATAGAGACTGAAGGAATGACCTAGGGCAGTTATTAGCGTGTAAACTACGCAGAACTCAAGATAGTAAGTATACCTTCGCTAATGTTGGGAATAGTCCGCGATAAAATCCTCTCCATCCATCCCGCTGATATGTCCTTGTCACTACATCCCAAGGACCAGTATAGCGCTGCGGATGTCCTGATGAACCTGATGCCTGTAGCCTTGTTCGTACCAGATTCAATGGATATACGCTCGTGGCGCCTACACTCCCAGATACGCTTCCAAAGGCAAGAAGGGCAAGCACACCAGGCTCATCTTTCCCCGTCGATCGAAGATAGGCCAACTTTAATGCCTCAAAAGTGCTCATATCAATCGCCGAATATCTATGTGATTGATGAGTGGCATGACCCTGTCCAGGCCATTTCACTCACGGGAACACTCCAACAAGACCGATCTTGTCTCCGGTCAGATGGAAAGCAAAGACACCAGCAACGCAAGACGAACCGTCAAACCGCGGTAGAAGGCTCGAACGCCACCAAGTAGCCATACTCTCCGGGCAGCGTCCACGAGACTTCGTTTCTGGTTGCCTGTTGTGCTCATCATTTGCGTCTGTAAGGCCACTCGCTCACTATATTGTCAATATGGGAACTTCCTTGCTCCATACCTTTAGAGTCTCAATTGGGTATATACCTGTACAGCTGTAAGATGAGGGATTGAACAGAAGGGAAACCCCATTACTCACTAAGCTGGCTTGAAATTCCGCCCAGACCACCGGATAGGAAGCGGCTCGTTCCACTGATGTCCCTCGTGTCCTCCACACGGTCCCAATATTGTGCGAAAGCTCGTTTCTGCAAATAAGATGTCCAGAAGGGGCAGAAACCAGAAGAAGGTACATACAGATGATTCATACGTCAAGAATTTGATAGCCGATTCAGGGAATATCTTCAGCACAGAAAGACCATTACCCGTCCAGAATGCGAGTACACCGCCTTCTGAATAGATGCGTGCAACTGCGCCTCCGATCGCTTTCAATCCTCCCATCCCAGGCTTAGACTGGATGGCAGTTCCACCCATCTCAGGAGGGCGAGTCATGAGAAATATTTTTACCCGATCAAAAGGTGCTGTACATGTTCGAGACACTTCGACCAAACGTCAACTCACGAACAAATCGGATATATAAGTCGCGCACCAGCTCCTGCCGTTCCACCAGCCATAAGAAACTTGAAGGCAGTGTAACCCTGCAACCAATCATGGTGTACCTCTATCCCTTCTTCCTCGAAATCGTCGTCCTCGACCACATCAGCACTTTCCCACAGTGATGGTATGGGCGGGGGCTTGTCTTCCGCGCTCAGACTGACGTCACCTGAAAAGGAAATTCATGCTTGGAGTATTGGAGGAGATGAAATAGCGAACCTTCCATCGTCACCCGCGCCGCGCCCCTTCCATCATCTCCCATGAACTTCTTAACTTCGTAGTATTTGTATATCTCAGCCGTCGATGCCTTTCGAGGCAATAATAATAAGAAATCCCTGAATTCTCGAAAGTTGACAGTATGTGAATGTGGCGACCAAGTCAGAGACGTTATGAAATCGGTCAGTGTGGACGGCGAAATTATTATGCCTGGGAGACCATAAGGGCAAGCCATGCAAGTTCATATAAATCTTACCGGCTTTGCTCAACGCTAATGCTAATTCCTCCTTGTTGAGATGACCATCGCCGTCGAGATCCAGTTCATCGTGGAATATCGACCATAGCTCTGAACCATCCTTCAAGGTATGCCGAGCACATAAAACGATATACTCACCAGCTTCCTTAGCCTCGGCATACCGCCTAAATTCAGTCCACCTGATATGACTGGGTCGTTCATTTGTTATGTGACCACCACATTTGCCAAGTAGTTCATCCTCGTACACCTTTCTCATTTCCTCCGCTTTCTGTGCCGTCAATGGCTCCCTGGTAGGAATTCTCCTTGAGGCAGCTACTTCCGATCGATGATAGCTCGAATTGGGTAAGCGCTTCCATAGTTCATGTAGCCGTCTCTCCCGCTCCTCCTTCCCTTCCTGCTCTCGAAACTCGAGAAGATTACGAGGAAGTGGAGGGAAGCAAGGTGGGTCGGACCTCAGTCGCGGAATAAATGGCCGATCGTGGGCGCCGGAGAGACAGGACTCATAAAGTTCGCGGCTTGTGGAGCGTTTTCCTGGAGCGTCCGCCATGAACTCAAGCCGGGCGAGATGGTGATTTTGTGATGCCCGGTTACGATGGTCTTCGAAGTGGCGTTCATAGAGACATTCTACACGTTTTTGAAACGTTCAGCTGGCGTGCTGATAGACCAATAGAAAACTTGACGGAGGTTTACTGTTTACCACTGCTTGCCCCGGTGACGGTCAACATTACGGATTCGGGACACCGTGTCAAACCAGTCGTGGAAAATGTATTGCGCAGTGTCTCCTTTACAAAAAAAATGGTAGTGTACGAGCGAACGAATGCGGGTGTGGTAGAGATACAGTAAGATAGTTTCATTGTCCATCAGAGTCCCAATAAACTTAGTAGATGCACGAAGCGAAGCCCGTCGCATTACAGACAACACAGGCTAGACATAAAACGCTTGAAGCCGCTTGCGACAGAGTGCCACCAGCCTCGCTTTGTACGAATAGCCATGTCTTGACCGGCGTGAATGGGTGAAAACTCAGAGGCGTTCCCAGAAGCCTCTATCTTAGTAACAAGGCCACGAGTAGAGGGAGCATTGCCCTCGTAACTGGTGCATTTATCAGAATTAATGGTGAAATTAAGAGTCGAATTGAGAGTGGAGGGACGCCTATCGTGACCAGGAGAGTACGTGGTATGAGAAGACTTATCATGCCCAGCATGATACGGAGGAGAGGAGATCCCATGAGTCAGCAGGCTTGCGGGAGGCGTCGGCAGCGAAGAAGGCTTGGGAGGCAGAGGTGGAGGTTCAGACCTTTCTAGCGAGATAGCCGCGCCGTGCTCAGGGTCACGAGAGGCCAACGGAAGCGTGGAGTGGGGTGCCTTGCGCTAGATGTCAAGCACTTATTCAAAGGTGAGGCACATTATACATACTAGCTGTGATATGATAGTAGGCTGTTGGCGAGTCACATCCCGATTCAGCTGATCTGGATCTTTTGCGCTGGTTAGGGAGTGGGGGCGTTGGTGGGCGGTATTCCTATAGAGTCTGGAGTATGAAGACTCGATCGGGAAATATTTGAAGATTACACGTACCTCTTGATAAGACGGCAGCCACTTTGCGGTGGAGCGGACTTGGTGTTCCCAAGGCGTGGGGGAAGTCGGGCGAGACACGAGTTCGTCATCGTGGTAACTTTCAGTAGGTGTAGGAGGGGTGAAAGTCATGGTCCCCGATGTTCCCAAATCCTATGATACATGAGTGTGACTCGAATGCCTTGACTGGCACACATCAGCGTACGGTAGTTGAAGGAGACAACCTTTCCGCAGAGAATTCGGTGTCGGCCCCATGAGCGTCGTGGCTCGATGAGTCCACAACCGTGTCAATAGCAGGCAGAGTAGGCGTAGTTCTCCTGTCCCGGGATACCGCTCGGTCAATAACGTCACGCCAGTCGGGAGGTAGCTGGAATAAATCGGTGAATATTCAGCTCATTCGACAATGCACGTGTGCTTACAGGAGGTGCATCCGAATTTGCAGACGCATGAGAAAAAGACAGTCGGTTTGCAGAGCTCGTCGGGGAACCGCGGGGTGAAGCAGGAGGTGAGGGGATAAATTTTGGGACGGGCTTCCTATAACTCGATACTCGGCTTGCTAGCTTCGGGGCGGACATCGTGACGGGATGAACAGTGTAGTGGGAGACGGAGACTTATGTGCGACAGCCTCTTAAGTCGAGGCGTATGTGGCACCAATTACCACGATTGTGGTATGTTGCTTTGTGTGGACCTAAGATCAAAGCAGTCGTATAACAATTATAGAAAATACTAATGAAAGAGAGAAAGGAACGGACCTCATATATAGAATTTCAGCATGCCTCGAGTTTATCCCGAGGCGGAAGTCATTAAAGCTTGGGAAACTTGGTCTTCTCGTCAGCAGCCACGCTTTGAACGTACAGAAGGCTCACCTCATGTAAACCACACGTGTGGCTGCATTTGACTGGCTACAGTCACAATGAGACAACCGATCGCGACGAGCGCGAATCCTGACACATAGGTCAGAGGGGAGTCCAGGGGAGTCCCAGTTATTACAACATTATTTGCCACCGGCATTCATGAGACCTTGATTAGTCGAGGACAAAGAACGATTTCCGCAGCCGTAAGGTCTTCATAATATAATTCATAAACCATTGTGCTCACGTACCTGATCAACAAGGATAACTCCGAGCCTGTGACATGGGAGGAGGAGTGCATCCCTGTGCCATCTCGGAGTTAGTCTCATCCAATTATGGTATGTTCAGTTGAATGAAACCTTGGTCTAACTTTGACTCCACACTTTGACTTTTCCCCAATGTGCTTGACATTTGTACACCAAAATTCTCGACAAGCGTAACGATATACATATCATGATCAATGAAGGAGCTGCGGCATTCAAAATCCCTTGTGAAAATAGTATAGAAGAAGACAGCAACAGTGACCACCCTGATAGTAAGAGGCATAATGCCAGTGGATCAAGAATATGAATAGCTATATATCGGTGAATTGCGTAGCTTGTATGCGAGACGGAATTGATGTACGAGGTACAAGTTAGGTCATTAAATGGCGTTACTTGATGAATAGACAGATGGAAGCAATGCGTTAGTCGAAGCCGAAGCGCGTATTGAGGGTGGGTAAAGATGAATCAGGGTATCAAGGTGATGCTCAATAGAGTTGGTAAGTAGTCCAAGCTAGACGATAACGCGTCTCGTCGTGGGATTATGATTGTCGTTGCAGGCAAGATGGATGCAGACTGCCGGCTCCCGGCTGCCGTCGTGAGTAGATGAAGTCATAATCAATGTGATATGAAGCGCAGCAGAATCCTCAAGGAAGGCTAGACTTCTCTTGAATGAGAGCTTCCAGGAGCTGGTGGTCCTCACGTTGCGTACGTGATTGCGAAGATAGTCGCATCTTCCATTCTTGCACCCATGTCCATCTTGAGACACGTTCGTCTTGAGTGAGGCTTGATCTATTAGATTGTGGCGAGGGAGATGCCGAGATCAAAGAACGCAACCGCTCGCGTCCGAGGATAGGTGCTAGGGATAGGAACGACAAAAAGGCAAGTTTGATGAGAATGTCCGGTGATGTTAGCAGTGACGAAACTGTTTGTTGGGATGGGGAGGTCGTGGATGCAACGGTTTGAAGGATATCACCGATCTGACGTCAATGGTCATTTGGGCATGCCAAGCTGAGCAAATCACGATCCTACCTGACAGGTGACCGCCGTCCAAGGGAGGCACCCAATGAAGGCACCGAGGAGACAATCGGAGATCGCAACACCGCAGACACCGCAAGCAATGTTAATTCCCGACCAAGGCACTACGCCAACGAGGCGGAGGACAGACAAGCGTGCCCAGGTCGGGGACTTTGACTTTACACCGGTGGACAAATTTGATTCTCCCTCCAGAGCAATCCGCGTCATATTCAGTGCACGTGGGAACAGGCGGGACAGAGAAGGCGCTAACGGAACACATAAAAGAGTCGCAAAAATTGAACCCAGTGTAGTCAATGCAGATAGCAGCAAGGTAGCCAGAACGGGATGAAACAAGGCCCCCGCTAACACATTCTAATTTGAAAAAAAGGATCCACGTAAATACATCAAACAAAAGTAAAATGAGATAAAGTTCACTCACCCAAATGACGCTGCCAGGGATCGACCAAGCATGTTTCCAAACCGCAGTTACGGACAACACGCCTATGACGTGAGCTAAATGGAGCGGACCACTTTGTGAATACGCATGGAGTTCTCGACCTAGTGCAGCAAGCTCGGGTAGCGTCCGAGGAAAGGCGACGGAAATGGGTAAGGAATAAAGCGACAATAGGACGACTGCCGTCGTGAGCGGGAAAAGCAGCATCACCAGGAGTATAGGAGCGTGAACCTAGAATAGAAACCGTCAGATTGGTTAGGGTGAAAGCCGATGGAGAACGAACCGACGGAGCGCGCCACCACCTAGCATGCGTCCGGGGTGCATCCTTCTCGTTAAAAACGTCACTAAACGTTGTTTGCTGCGAGGATGCAGATATTGGTAAGACGAATTCGTCCTGCACGGTAGACTGCGGCGAGGAAGGAATTGACCAGTTTATAGAGTGACGATTTGGCACGTGGAGAAGATCTAAACAGCCGGAAGCAATGACAGCAAACATGGAAGGTTTCTGGGATGGTTCAGGCGAGGCAAATATTTGAGAGGGTTCAAGATGTGACTGAACCAGAGATGGAGTTGACGGAGTAGATGGTTCAGATTGTTGTATAGGTAGAACAAGTGAAGAAGAGCGACGCCTTCCAAGCGTGTTTATAGTTAATGCAGGACGTACGTTTGTTGAAGATGCACGACTACGATTAGGCGGAGGTACGATCAAGGACATCACAAGCAAGTAAAGAAGGAAAAAAGTAAAACGGGTATTACGAGGGAGGTGGTATATGGAGTACTTAGACGTTGTTTTGTTGCTTACATGAAAAAATAATAACAAAATACGTAAAAATCGGTCTGACGCAATGAGCTCCGATCGATCCGGTATACTGACCGAGCAATGCCCGAGACTCGGATATCTCGGTACTTACTTACTTGCATTGTACTTGCATTTTTTACTCTGCAGACGCAATACCTCGGCAGGCATGTACATGTTAAACACACGACACGTAGTTTATCGCAAGTACACAGGAACTTCATCAAACTAGCCTGAATCAAGACTAAGCTGTACTGACTCATACGGCCCGCCCCCGTCGAGTCTTGGTGACAAATCAAATAGCTCGGCGCCCGCGGATTGTCAAAGTGCAGCGAAAAGGAGACAAACGCAACTTCAGTGCATAGATGTGTCATAGCATAACATGAAATTGTAATGGGCACCCTCGTCACCAGTAGTATACCAATGCCTTTTCAATGTGCTCTCCTGCTCTCCTGGATAATAGTACCGAGCTCCTCCAGTTTGCGCTTTGCGCGAAGGAGTGTACCGAGCTGCCATCGGATGAGTCTATCAGTATACTGCTGCAATGCAAGACACCCACCCGTTTCTTCGTCAATTTTCTTGCTTTCTTATCCTATAGATTTAACCAGTAGGTTAGAACATCATTGGTCCAAGATCAAACGACACTATCAACGCACCTTGGCGTTTCTCAGCAATTCAAGTACCCGACGCTCATATGGCGCAAAGCCAGAAACTTCTCGCACAACAGACCGCACGAACTTATTTTTTGTCGATTGGATGCCCTTGCGGTGGCTGGGACGGCTGGTCTTAGGAATGGCAGTGGTGGGATAGCCCTTGTTCAGGCCCTGGCGCAGGTCTATTTCGACATTCGCGATGAGTGGTACAACATACTCGAAATAAGTCACTCACTGCTTCGTACCATTTTCTTGACGAGATCTTGAGGATGCGGTTGTTGCTGGCGTCCAAGTCTGCCTATTCCAGGAATCACGTGTGTTCTATTGTGGCTGATGGTACTATACAGTTTCTTTTCTAGGTATTCCCACACCCAGTGGCGAAGCGGTAAAAGTAAAGAAAATTATTCGAGGCTAATTGGACGAGCGCCTCTTGAGCAGACTCGTTTGATTAGGCAAGTCAAAGAAGTTGAAATGTGTGTATGCAGTGTTGTACACTATTAGGTGATCTATAGTGTGATTGCAGTCATCGTTGCGCAAATAAGACATTGGAAACCTAGATAATCTGTGCAGTCCAGTATCATGAGCCCGCTCTGTGCTCATAACACTTGTCTTAGTATTGCCGCACGACTTTCACCCTTCCCGTGGCACGCCCCGAGGTAACCACGTTGTCTTCTATATGAGGCACTGAAATGGATGTCGGCGATGTCCGTGCGGAAGAGGGGAGGTGGATGGGTGTGGGTGGCCGCAGCGAATCGACGTATTGCTCACCTCGGGTTAGGTGCCTCCGCGAGCCTCCTTCCTCTTCTTCCTCTTCCTCTTCTTCTTCCTCCTCTTCTTCTTCTTCATCCTCAACGGTTTCCTGTCACGGGGAAAGCAGCTTGTATGAGTGAACATGACTCCACGCGGAGGTTAGATCTCCCCACCGCATCAAAGTCCTCCATGTGTCGATCATCCTCATCGGCCTCCTCTTCCTCATCATACTCCTCATCATCTATCCAACGGCCTCGCCAGTCTACCATATCCAATTCCTCCGGGCTCTCCGGTCTCAGCCGCAGCCACTGCATCCGGGGTCCGGTCTTGGCTCGTTCACTGACTTTAAAGCCGTATATTCGCGGTAGATAAATGTGGCCTGCAGGGCGTTTCTGCCCTCCATGAGGATTTGGATTGACGAAGGGTGAAGGTCGCGAGGAACTGCTACCCGAGCCGCTGTGTGGCGAGCGCCCTGGGGACATGGATGACCCCGGCGATGATGTAGGCTTGTAGAATGGCGCTGGGGCGAGTTCGCGATAACTCTGGAAGAATAAGTGCGCAAAAGTCGTTCCAAAGAAGGCCCCTACATCCCTCGAGATCTAGGTGAGAAGTACTAACGGTCAGCAAAGACACAGCTCACACACCATCGACCCCTTGGAAACGACTGCTTGGTGGTGCATATATATCATTGCAATTGGGACAGAAAAGTTTAACAGTGTCGAGGCCGGGCAGATCAGAACGTCCGGAAGGAACAACATTGCAGCCCATGCAATATACACGCGGGCAGACGCCAAAGAGGGCATTTTCGTACTTATCCACCTATAAGAAAGCAATGATCGCGTCGATCAAATGTGTCAGTGCACGATAGGCGAGACTCACCATTGCTTGCAATCCAGCACGCGTCAGTATGTAACGCTGATGCACCAGGCCATACAACAGTTCAGCTGATGCTTCGACGATTGACACGTCGGGTATTTTTGACGAATCTTCGTCTCGGAGCGGGTAAGATCGTGACATCAAATGAATGAATGGAGGTAACATACCAGGCTCCACGTCCAACACCATCTCCATCGCCTCCTTCCAGAATGGTACCATGGCATTCAAGCCGGTGAGGTTGAAGTCATCCTCGATAAAATCTTCCGATACTTCACAGAAGTACTCGTGCCCAGGCAGGGAACAAAACCAGCTAATCCACGTAAGGGTAGATGTAGGAGTAGATGAGGCTAAAAATATGTCAGCAAGCTCCCAATAGATTTCCCCGTCTCCAAAAAACGCGGAATTCAAGCTACAACCTATGAAATCCGGAATGAACGATAGGTTGATACGCACTGTAACCTTCTTCAACTTCCTCCATGACCTCGTCGCCCTCACCAATACCACTAACGGCCTCTTCCTCCTCAAGCTCGACCTGCTCCTCCTCAAGCTCGGGTGGACGGGACATAACGTTCACTTTAAGTCAGACAGGCTGACGGGCTGTGGGTCTGCATCCTGTTGCTCGAGAAGTTCCAGATCTGTATTCAAACTCCGCTTTCGCGTTCACAGCTACAACGGTTCGATCACAACTGACTTCAGCAAGATCGTAGGCCACAGGGGAAATCTACAGACCTCGAAGCACATCGGACATATGAAACCTCTTCGTAGCACATTTATATGTAATACTTGGCAGTACTTGGCTCTATTTCCAACTCACGACGTCTGGAAACTGCATGTCATCTGCTCCTTTACACGACCACCCCAAAAAGACGATCCCATGATAACCAGCAGCAATAATTGCCCAGTGATCCAACTGATGATGGTATATGTCCAAGCCTTCCATCCTTCCGATGCGATGATCTCCGCAGCAAAAGTGCTGATTGTTGTTAAACAACCGCAATACCCGTCTCCTAAACCTTGAAGCAGCGAACACGTATTAGGGGAAACCGCCGACGGCAGGCCTTGAAGGACATGGAAGAATCCGAGGAGAGCGGTCCCAAGCGAATTCGCCATGTAAGTGCCAAGAGGTAAAGTCTTCAGGCGGGGATTCAAATTTAGTGACAGAAGGTACCGAGTTAATGTACCAGGGTATGAAAACAGGAGTGCGGCGGTCGTTTGGTGGCGGAAATTGTGTGGCAGAAGGAAGTAAGCCGGAAAGGCCGCTGCGTATGTGAGGATAGCAAGGATAGTGAGCGTGTATCGGACGTTCTTGGTGGGCGGTCGAGGGGCCGGAAAATACGGTTGAGCTAGGCCACAGACATATATTCCTAACTGTAGAGACGCCAGAGATAACACAAGTGTGACCCAAGTCTTCGTAAGCCCGTCTACAACCTGTAAACGTAAAAAATACGCCATCATGACTCGAACCGTAAAAAAATCAAGGGTCTACTCACATCTCGAAGTCCGCCTCTGTGGAACTGACCGGTGTTTACCCACGAGTCAAACACGTCCACCTGCCACCCAGAAAACGTTGTTAACGATCCGCAGAACCCTGTGGCGCGCACGTTAACAGATTTTATGATCTGGTATCAGAGGTACTGACCAGTGGTCATAGCCGTGTACAACGGACCATAACTATGGAGCAGATAGGTATAAAAGGCTAAGCGGTGTGAAGGAGGGAAGTCATACAAATTACCAAAGGGCACCTTCATTTTCAACCCAATACCCATAATAAAGCACCCCGTGGCCTGAACGTAAGCCAAAGGAAAAACACTCTGCCCGTTGTACGTAGCGAGCGCTTGCAACCCAAGTCGTGCGAGGACTCCGAAGATTGATGCAGGCATGAGGAGCGCAAGCACATGAATTGATAGGGGATGGTAGATCTTCGCTGGTGGGAGCTCTTCGACTTCGGAGGGAGGACGATCGATGCTAGCGAGAGAATTTGCGTCGTCTATCGCTTGATGACGAGCTATGATGGACCCTACATCAGAGCGCCGTCGTAGTGAATAGTCCAAAGGCGTCAGTGTGCGCTTCAACGGATTTAATACCATCATGCCAGTTCCAGCCTGACTGGTAGAAAAGGGGGTCTGTTGCGTGTATTTATCCTCTTTCCCTTGCATGTATTTGATCCAGCTGGTGTCAGTGAATCGTTCATTCAAGCGGCTGGAGGCGATGCTTACAAATCCAGTTTACGTCTTGCTAACTTTATTTGAATTCTTGCTAGCATATCTAGTTCACATGCTGTTCTGCCCGACATGCGCGAATCTGCTCGTGATATCATCAGAAACAGGGTACAATAAATGGGCATGCAATACGTGCGCATACGAGTTTCCGATCTCGAAGCAGGTGTGTACTCAAATCATTTAAATCATAATACGGGCCTGTCTTAAAGTCCTTTCATGACTGTGTTATAGATGACTTCCCGCTCGCGTATGAAGCGCAAGGAAGTAGACGATGTGCTCGGAGGGGAAGAAACGTGGCGGGACGCAGATTCTACTGCCGGTAAGCCACTTATTCCTTCCATGATGTATGAGGTGGGATTGTTGATCCACCACCCGTAGTCACTTGTGACAAGTGTAATCACCCCCGCGCGTATTTCTATCAGCTGCAGATCCGATCTGCGGATGAGCCCATGACGACATGTATGTGCTTCCTCTCAACTGAACCTGCGAAATTTGGCGCTGATTCGTGGCTTCGGATCAGTTTACAGGTCAGTTTTACTGGCACGTTTGTTGATGTCCAGTGTAATGACCAAGTTCCAGATGTGCCGGATGTGCCTACCAATGGCGCGAAAATTAATGGTTATTCGAAATGCATGCCGAGATGGCTTACTTGCACTTTACGGTGTCGCTGTACATCAAAATGTTCTAGCTAAGACATCCTCCGTCGGAGCCACACTCACACCCACTTTTGATTTCAATTTATGTTCAATGGGGGTGTACCCTATGTCACACAGTTCTACCTAGTCTAGGGCCTCAGCACCGCACCTTACCTCACCTATGAGTTTGCAAACCCCGCAGTGTGAGGATCTACCCGCTGGTCCGTCTTTCCCCCCAGCTGGTCTAGATGCGACTCGTCGAAGGTGGCCAGCTGTAATGCTACTGCGATGTCTGCGAACGTCTTCCTCGTGTGTTTCATCAGTGACGCATACTGACGCCCCCGGCTTCCGAATTATTGCGCCCTCCCATGTCAGTGCTCAGTGTGGGCCATATCGAGGTCAAACCACGGTTGCTAATGCAGGGCAGGGTGAGCGAGGACTACTGTGTCGGGGACCGCTGGATTGGGACGAATAGGTGAGAATCTTGCTTCTGCGCGTAGGTTTTAAAATTGGCGGCCGCGAATGACAACGGAAAGCCTTCCACCTTGGTTGGTCGACAGAAGTGATGACAGGCTGTACGTCTAACACAGGCCGCCGCAACCGCTTATCTCTGGAAAATTAACGGTCAAGGTGACTAAGGTTGGAAATCGATGGACTGGTCTACTAGGGACTATTCGGCGTCTACATGTATGAAATCCACGAATTTTCACATACTCGCAGTTCGCGACTTCGCATGCATGGTCGCAAATCAAAAAGGCAAGTCAACTACTTGCTCAAAAGTAGTCACCAGGAGGTTCAACGAAGCGCGCAGCGCCACGATGATGTAGTACTTATTGCCGCGAAGTGAGCTGAGCTAAACGAAGGCCGTCAGATCTACCTATGTATGTATGCTGAGTGGTTAGGCAATGGTACACAGTCACGCTTTACCATGTGAAAAGGCACGAGGTTCCTTCCTTGTGTGCTCGTCCGGACGCCGGATTCATCCGGTTGTTCCTAGAATAGAACAGTCTGTAAAGGCCTCACAACTTTTTCATCCAAACACACTTTCACTCTTCCCAAACAAAATGTTGGCTCACCGGTCGATCGTTGGTGTTGCGCAGGGCGCATTCAGGTCCGCCCAGGTCAACCGAATTGTGTTTTATGACTATTCGGGTCGGGACTTACGTTTACGTTCTAGCCATTCAGACGGTATGCTTCTGCCTCCCCGACTGCTGCTTTCGCTGGGAACAAGGGTAGCAACGTATGTCTTGGAACAAGTTTCGTGTTTTAGTTCTTAACCAGTTTGCAGGGCAAATACACCGTGACTTTGGTTCCTGGAGATGGTCAGGTTGTTCGTTCAGTGAGGATTCCTTTGGTTGACGTCAGAGCATAGGTATTGGCCCAGAGATCAGTGAATCGATCAAGGACATCTACACTGCAGCAAACGTTCGTTTTATAGTCTCCTATTTGAGATGAACGCCATTTACGAGTTCAAATAGGTCCCCATTCAATGGGAGGAAGTCAGTGTTACTCCGGTTGTAAAAGGTGGGAAAACGGTTATTCCGGACGTTGCAATCAACTCGATAAAGAAGAACACTGTTGCTCTGAAAGGTGCGTTGATAATGGCTAGAAAACCAAACACTAAAACCAAAACCTATTCTCAGGACCGCTGGCAACTCCAAGTGCGTCTCGTTTTTACCATTGTTCACACGTATGCTAAGCGACCTTAAGTTGGCAAGGGTCACGTCTCTTTGAACTTGACTCTGCGTCGGACGTTTAACCTCTTCGCTAACGTTCGTCCGTGTGCGTCAATCAAGGGCTTCCAGACCCCTTATGACAACGTTGACACCGTTCTGATTCGGGAAAACACCGAAGGAGAGTACTCCGGTATTGAACACGAGGTAGGGTTCACCCTATGATACGTGAGTATTATTTACGTTTATGTCCCAGATTGTGGACGGGGTGGTCCAGTCGATCAAACTTATTACATGGGATGCCTCTGAGCGTGTTGCCCGTTATGCGTTCCATTATGCACAGGCCAGCGGAAGGAAGCGGGTCACGGCTGTACATAAGGCCAACATCATGTGAGGGGTATCTTAGTCAAGGGTCATTCATGGATACTGATTCAAGTCAGGAAAATGTCGGACGGCATGTTTTTGTCCGCATGTCGCCAAGTTTCCAAAGAATTCCCTGATATCGCTTACGACGAAGACCTTTTGGATCGTGTCTGTCTACAGGTAAATAGACACGAGGCTGATGCAGTGACAAGCAGGACTGAATGACATCTGTATAGGTTGTGCAGAACCCCCAACCCTACTCCAGCCGAGTCATGGTGATGCCTAATCTCTACGGCGATATTTTGTCGGACATGTGCGCTGGATTGATTGGTGGCCTTGGCTTGACACCTTCTGGCAACATTGGTCGCGTAGGTCGCATTGCCCTTTAAGCAGCCCAAAGCGTCTAATGTCTTTTTCCACAGGATGCATCAATTTTCGAAGCCGTACACGGATCGGCTCCCGATATCGCAGGTACGGTTCTTATTTATTTTGAATGTATAACCAATACCGAGACGGTCGGACACAGGGAAGGGATTAGCTAATCCTACTGCTCTTCTTCTGTCTTCTCTCATGATGCTGAGGTACGTCAAATCAGGAACTATCGCGAGCTTCTTCGAAGGTTGATCCGGGGTACCTGGTATGTATAGACATATGAACTTGAATGAGCATGCCGCGAAGATCGAGGAGGCTGCCCTTAGTGTAAGGAATATTCCCTATTACGCAAATTTGTATTTCTTACACGCCGGTTGCAGACCATCGCAGAGGGTAAGACGATCACGGGTGATCTTGGTGGGAAGGCGTCGACGATGGAGTACACGCGTGCGATCATCGAAAAGCTGACCAAGGCATGATTGTTGCCTTAGAAAGGCTTGAGATTTGTAGACAGATAGAGGGTATATCTACGAATACCAGATAATTGGGATTAGCTTTGATTTGCTTTCGGTTCCTTGCTTCCGCTGCCGACTTTGATTGCGTGGGAAATAATAGCCTGCGGATGAAAACGAACAAGTTGGTGTTAACTTCTGTTCTTACGACGACCAGCTTTAAGATCCCCTGCCACGCCTATACACGGCATTCACTCTTCATAATCCCTCACTCGCCCTACAGGGCAAAGACGACAATAAATTTCACTTTCCTGCCCCGTCCAGGTCAGCTTTTTCTACTACAGAACCAACCTTGGGCACCGACTGATTGAACCTTTGGTCAGACAACTCTAGTTCACGTCCTTCCAGAAAACAAATAATCCAGAAAAACATCGAATATCCTGTAATAGTTTTCCTGCCTCAGTACGATACGATACGAAATGACAGACGAGTCCGCTCAAACACACATCCTGCCAAAGAACGACGAGAAGAAACCTCCCTCTGCACTCAGAGGAGGCTCGAGGAGAACCTCATCTAATACTAGGCCATCTTCTGCAGCCGGCAACCTCCAAGGGGCGCCTAGGCCTTCCTCTAGGTCAGGCACCAAGAAGCCTCCAACAGGGGCGTCTACTGGTGGTGCCGAGTCCGGTTCAGACACCAACAGAAAGCCTCCTGAGTCCAAGAGGGTCGAACCTCGTAGCAAGAGTCAGACAGGTGGGGCCCCACGAAATGGCAACAATGGCAACCACCGCAAAGGTCAACCTTCCGCGTCTCAGGGTACCCGCGGTGGGAAGGAATTCACTGGCTATTCCTCTTCACCTGCACCCCCTTCGACATCAGAATCTAGTGATGCTTTGTCATCTCTACAGAGAGTCATTGCAGACTTAAAGACAACTTCGCCTTCCAATCAATCTTCCTCTCCCGCGATTAATAATTCACTCGCTGCTTCTATGCATGCTCCACAAGCGCTGCCTTCAAACCTTCCAGTCAACGCACCAGTGTTCCAGCCAGGCGCTCTTTCTTTCCCTCCCTCTAACCTCGCAGATGCTGTTAGGCACCGGAAAGCTGTATCGCTTGGCACCACCGGTGTTCCCGGTAACTACAATTCCTTCTCGCCTCACCTGGGCGCAATGATGGAAGATGCCGAAGACGGTGCCGGCGCTTCGTTTGAAGACGGCGAAATCCCTGAGCATTTTTACCAGCAACAGCAAGGGCACCAGCCTCGTTCTCAGTCTCAAAGCTTCATGGCTCCTCGTTTCGCTGCTCTCGCAGCACAAGAACAGGATGTCCTTGGGCCGACCGGTCGTCCTCAGCTTGCCCCTGGCTTCATGTTTGGAGCGCGTAGAAGAACTAGCTCTAATGTTCCCGTTGGTCTGCCTATCAATGAGGAAGACGTCAGATTCCAGTTCCCTCAGCAACATCACTTTCCTTCGGATGACCAATCCCATAGGAAGCCTGAAGGTGATATCACAGGCATCATGGCTGAACAGGTATGTGACCACCCATGTTGCGTGCTTTGTTTCACTAAAATTATCATAGATTGCGCTCCAGAACCAGATCGAGGCTCTTCAGCAACAGCAACAGGCTTTGTACCAGCAGCAGCTCGCTTCGAATCAGGTTCTTTCTCTGCAAACTCCGGGATTGGTCCCAAACAGGCACAGGCGTGTCCAGAGCACGTTACCGACCTCCATGGTTGGAGTTGGAAATGTGGGTGTCAACGCCTTCAACTCCCCCATGGGCCAGTTCAATAGCATGGGCAACCTTGGTCTTGGTCTCGATAACCAGCCAGCTGGTCTCCCACGCGGCCACGGCAGGCGACACAGCGTCAACGTTGTGAATAAACCCAGTCCCGCTCAGGGGTCAATCAGCTTCCCTTACAGCGGTCAGGACGGTTTCGACGATGGTTTTGCCCCTCCTCCTGGCTTTGGCGGTCACTCTCGCACCACTTCTCGAGTTGATTCTAGCTGGCGCATCAGTAAGTTTTACACGCGTTTGCCTGCATACCTGATGTTCATGATTATTCAGATGGAGGCGTCGGTGCCATCCAAGGCGGCAATGCATTTGCTGCTGATCTTGCTCAAGCGCAAGCGCAGCTTCAGAGTTTGCAGCAATTCCGTGCTGCAGCTGGCGGCCACCATCACAAGATGCCATCCTTCTCGTTCCCTAACATGCTCCCGAATATGATGGCCGCGAACATGATGGGTCTGAATATGGGCGGTGTCAGCTTACTGCAGCAACAGCAACAACAACAGCAGCAGTTCCAGTCGCAGCTTCAGCAGCAGTCCAACCAGCCTCAACGCAAATCTCTTTTCGCTCCTTACCTACCTCAGGCTTCGCTGCCGCCACTTCTTGCAGCAGGAAAACTAGTTGTTGGCATCTTACGAGTCAACAAGCGCAATCGCTCGGATGCATACGTTGCCACTGAGGTCCTCGACGCCGACATCTACATTTGTGGATCCAAGGATCGTAATCGTGCTCTGGAGGGTGATATTGTCGCCGTCGAGCTTCTCGATGTTGATGAAGTGTGGGGAACCAAGAAAGAGAAAGAGGAGAAGAAGCGCAAGAAGGAAGAGAACTCCGCTTATGACCTGAAGTCGTCTTCTGTGCGCCGTGACGACAAGAAAAAAGACGATGTTGAAGTCGAGGGTCAAGGTTTGATGCTGTTCGAAGATGAGGAGTACGTCTGCATCACTTTTCGTGTTGACGCATTGTCTTATTTGTTTTTATCAGGGTTACCGATGATGTTAAGCCTCAGTTTGCGGGGCACGTCGTTGCTGTGGTCGAGCGCATGCCTGGCCAACTCTTCTCTGGTACTCTTGGCCTTTTGCGGCCTTCGTCTGCTGCGACCAAGGAGAAGCAGGAAGCTGAGCGCAGAGAACGTGAAGGTGACCGTGGCGACGAGCCCAGGCGCGGACCCATAGAACGTCCGAAGATCGTGTGGTTCAAGCCCACCGACAAGCGCGTGCCACTCATTGCTATCCCCACTGAACAAGCGCCCGCGGACTTCGTGCAGAACTCTGAAGCCTACGCGGACAAACTGTTCGTTGCTTGCATCAAGCGTCACGTCAGTGTGTTTGGGCAATTGTATCACGACTTCACTGACGTTTTTCATATAGCCCATCAGTTCTCTCCACCCATTCGGTACTTTGGCTGAAGAGCTTGGTCCCATCGGCGACATTGAAGTTGAAACCAGTGCCCTGTTGAAAGACTGTAACTTCCCTACCGAGGAGTTCTCGGATAGCGTTCTCAAGTGCCTCCCTCCTACGCCTTGGACGTGAGTTCCCGGTTATCCTCTCCCAAGATATGAGCTGACGATATTATCGGCAGCGTCCCAGAGAGGGAGTATGAAGTCCGGAAAGATCTTCGTCAAGAGCGCATCTTCACTATTGATCCTGAGACCGCCAAGGACCTTGATGATGCACTGTCTGTTAAGGCCAACGAGGACGGCACTTATGATGTGGGCGTGCACGTCGCTGACGTCTCTTACTTCGTCAAACCTAACACTGCTCTTGATCGCGATGCTCGTAAGAGAGCAACCAGTGTGTATCTCGTGCAGCGCTCCGTACCCATGCTTCCACCCGCTATTAGCGAGGAGGCCTGCAGTCTCAACCCGGGTGTTGAGCGTCTGGCATTCTCGGCTGTCTTTACCATGACCAAGGAGGGCAAAATTGTCCAGAAGTGGTTAGGCAAGACCGTTATCAAGTGAGTATTATCTATCTATCAGTACAGTGCATGATTGAATTAATTTAATTTTAGGTCTTCTGCGAAACTGTCGTATACCGCAGCTCAGAAAGCTATCGAGGGTCATAATGTAGATGATATTGTGGTCGCTCCGGAGCACAGTGCATCGGCGATCGCGCATGACATCAAGATCCTGAATGGTCTTGCAAAGCAGCTTCGTGCTAAGCGCTTCCAGGATGGTGCTATGGGCACATCCTCTGGGCGTCTTAAGTTTACCCTGGATGAAAGTGGCAGACCAGTGGACTGCAAGCAGACCGAAAACAATGATTCAAACAATATTGTTGAGGAGGTTTGTGTTTGAATTCTACCTGAGCTATATCGAAGACTGATTGGAACAATCCATAGTTCATGCTGTTAACCAATACCACTGTTGCGCAACGTATTGCCGTTCACCTTCCTGAGCAGGCCTTACTTCGTAGACATGATACGCCGCTTGAGAGACGCCTTGTGAGTTGGTATTGTATCTGTGATTTCACTCCAGCTAAATCTTTTCATAGAATCTTTTCACCGAGCGTGCCAAGCGGCTTGGTATTGAAGTCGACGTCTCCTCCAGCGGTGCCATCATGAAGTCGTTTGAGGCGATCACGAACCCGACTGCCCGCATGGTGTTGGAGCTGATCTCCTTCAAAGCTACTCAGCGAGCCAAATACTTCTGCGCTGGTATGCTCGACATTGCGAAGTACAACCACTATGCTTTGGCCGTGCCTCTCTACACCCATTTCACCTCACCTATCCGCCGCTACGCGGATGTTCTTGTGCACCGTCAACTTGAATCAGTTTTGCAGGGCGGAAGTAAGTTACACTTTGCACCCGTCTATATCATCTGCTAACTGGATGGATGGCAGTGGAACCCAAATTTACCATGGACCGTGATGCTGTTGCAAAGATTGCTCAACAATGCAATATGTTCGTCTCATCTCAGCTAAAGGTGGCCTACTATCCATACTGACTTTTATGAACAGTAAAAAGGACTCGGCGAAGTTGGCGCAGGAGCAGTCGACCCATCTCTACTTGTGTGTTCTAATATCGGACCTCACACAGCGATACGGACCTGTCATTCGTCCTGCCAAGGTTGTTGGTGTCCTTGATGCTGCGTTCGACGTTCTTGTCCCCGAGTTTGGCATTGAGAAGCGGGTCCATGTCGACCAAATGCCGATTGATGTAAGTGTCTCAGAACTGATGTATGAGAGGGAGTTCTGACTGTTGACCAGAACCACGTTTATGATGAGCACTCCCATACCTTGCAAATCTATTGGTCGAACAAGGATGTCCTTAGCTGGCTGGCAGAGAACAGCGATGACGAGCACTTGAAGAAGGTTAAGCAGAATGCTGAGGCCCACGCAGTCAAAATGGAAGTTGCGTCTCGTTCTGTACATGACGAGAAGGCCCTCTTTGACGAGGATGACGCCGACGAAGATGAGGACGAGATCGTATTGGGAAGGGACACTGAGGATGAAAAGGCACCCGAGACTTCGAAGCAAAGGCTGCTGTCTGCTGCTAAGGTCCAGCCCGTGTTCGAGGGTTTGAGGACCACATCGTCTGGCCACAAGATTCAGGACATCAAGGAGCTCATGACCGTTCCCGTACGTATTTCTTCGGAATGATAGATATCCAGTTTGTTGACTCGCATTTCAGGTTATCGTTACGGCTGATTTGACCAAGAGCCCGCCCGTCATCAAGGTGTATAGCGTCAACCCTTACGCTGACCAGAAGTAATACTCTGCATCCACCAATGATGACAGCGTTTTGTATGTACGATAACTCTTCGATATTCCATCATGCTCTCTTTTCCAAGTCCCTTCTTTGTTACTAACTCATGGTCATGTTCAAGGTCTCTGTACTAGTATCCGGTCATTCACGTTTTCCTCGTTACGTTCTCTCCCTTGGCTTCGCCATCATCTCGTTGTTGTCTACAGGCACTGTGTTCGATCATGTCTTGCTATACTATAGCATTAGTTCGTCGTTCGTGGTATGAAATCTAATATGTTGTCTTATGATCAAGGGTTGTGAAGTTTCGATCAAACAGCGGATTGCCTACCCTCCAATATCGCGAGACTGCCGAGTCATTTGCAAAGCACCGTACAAATGTGCATTCCTGATTCATGGCCTCCATATCTCTGACTACAGCTCTGAAGCCTCTTTTCCCCTGTGTTCCTTACAAAATCAGCGAGAGCGGGCTGCCAGAGCGTAACACCACCGCTCGTTTACCCACTCATGGCGACTTTAAACCTGCCATTCGATTTGCCAAGGTCTGCTAGTACTTGTCTGCTCATCGGCGGCGCTGATTGATTCTGGTGGACGTAATCACTTATGCATCGTGCTGTCAATCTGCGATTGGCCAGAAGAGTGGGAGATCGACTTCTTCGTCTGCCGGTCCTTCCATGAGGACCATATCCATCCAACAAGAGCTGACACAATTTCTTACATCGAGTCGCTGGCGGAAGATGATAGGAAGTCGTTCATTCCTTTGCAACTGGTCGCCCCTGGCCAGCCCCTTGCCGCAGCACCTCTAAAGTTTGGTAGTCCTCTTACCATTTCGGACTCAGGCTTCTACCTTGATCGTCCAACTTGGGTCATCGTGTCGCGGATCGGCATTACTCTTGGTGTTGGAGCTATGTAGTGTGAGTTTAAATCCATATTCCTGATGCAATACTAGCACTGATTCCCTGCCAAAGTTCTAGTATCAACCATTTCCACCCGAAGCCCGCCTTTCTCCGCCGAGTTTGCTCGCCTTGCTGTATACTGGAGAGGTCTTGATATATCCCCGAGTGACTAGATCCTCCCGCCGGGCGTTGGTGTTACTGGCCTTGATGACGCAGCTGCACTCGAACAGCCCGGCGTGATATATCGTCCTTATAAGGGTCATCTCATCTGTACGAATTACCCCACGTCCTTGAAGTTTCCCCCGTATACTAATCAGTTCCGTTAAAGCGGAGATTTACTTGGGGGTGTATCCACCCAGACGACGACGATGATAATGACGATGGTGATTCGGAAGAGCGATTCACGATGGAGATGCAGCACCGTATCGCTGCACCGTGGCTACCGCAATCTGCCAAGATTGTGAGGTACTTCGAAGAGCGCCAGAAACAGCTTTCTTCTAAGATCCAGGCTTAGCGGAGCGGCCAGACTGATGTGGCTGACTGATGGGGTGCTTTAGAAAGGTATGGATGATTCTACATGTATTTAAGGCTGGGCGTCACTTCTTGTTCCTCCAGTGGTTCACAATCAATGAACGCCTCTGGGGCATGGAAACAATTGGGTTTATTAGACTCTGGCGGCAGCTCAATATAGGGCCGGACAGCAATGCATGCTTGATATACAGAGATAACAGTAGTAGTGAGATGTAGTGAAATGCTACAGTAAATGAGTGTGAATAAGTATATGCAAGATGCTTGTGGTGAATGAAGTTGGCGGTCAGATAGTTACGAAAGAAAATAAAGCATCATGGTCATGTCAATCGTCACATATATCATATCCAGGAAGTAATTGCAGCTTGTCGGGAGTTCGGGGCAATCTCTTCGTTCTCTCCTCTGCTCCGGCTGCGTTCCCCGAGTGCAGCAGTTGGCGGAGATGTCACTCGCGTCGATTTCCCGCTGGAGCGAGAAGATGAACGGCCCATTTCGCGGCTGTCTTCCTGGACGGTGTGTAGGGAGTGGATGGAAGCTGCGCTGCTCATGCTTCCAGCGCGTGCATGGCTCACCATACTGCGCCTGTTGCATATCTCGTCATTGCATAGCCTGAAAAGCTCCTCCAAACCAAGATAAGTGGCTTCGTCACGAAGCTCGAGTAGCGCTTCAAGCCTCGCTCGTGACGAGGACGCAAGTTGAACGGCTCTAGGAATGACGGCTGGCTGCCCTGGAGAGGAGAGGGGAGCGCGGAGGTAGGACAAGATGTGCGCGTATCTAGAAAAATAACATTCAGGATCACACACCAGTCAGAAACGAGAAGGCACTTACGGAGCACTTGGCCTGTCGAGGAATACATGTATGTTCAAGGAGGACTGTGATATGAAACCTGAAGATGCCAAGTGATCATGAAACATGGCATTGAAGGAGTTGTCTGGAAGCTCAGAAATATCGCTTGCATTGGAGTACAATGATGCCGCGACTGATTTCCGTGGCAAGAGGGAAGTGACATAGCTTGACAGGTAAGAAGGCTTCGAAATGAGAGTGCGGAGTGTCGTGCGGAGTGTTTCTGAGCTCGTTTCTATTGTCACAATAATTTTGGAAGGGTCAATCGCACTGCTAGGGACAGGTGACAGTAGAATGGGTTCGAAAGGAGGCTGGGGTGGCGTAGCAGAGATGTTGATAGGAAGTGCTGGCACGGGTGGCAAATTGTCTGCCAAAGAACGGGAGATCCTTGCCTTGATGGCGGGACGAAGGGTTGCAGAGGAGGATACTGGTGGAGGGGGAGGAGGACGGATTGGGCATGGTGGTGTGGATGTCTCTTTCACCGGAAGGCTCGACGAGCTGTTATTTGTCGGGGTGGGTATAGGTGGGGTAAACGACTTAAGCGGAGACTTCGATGGCGGAGGTGGCGGATCATCGGAAAGTACAGACAAGCCCATTCCCTCCTCAAGGGAGGCCTCAAACCCCGAATCTCGTTGCCCGGCAACATCTTCAACGCCAAACAGGGCGCTCGTACCAGACAGCGCCTCTCGCGGAGTTCTGACAACCATTGCACCACTTCCAAGAGGCCCACTACGTTTGACATTGAAGATCTCCAAGGAGTTTTCAAACCTGGGTTCTGATATGCGAACAGGTTTCGGTGCAACTGGTATTGGTGAAGTATTTGAAGAAGAACTCGTATTGCGAGTTAGCCAAATCATTGGCTTGGAAATAGAAGGTCTGTGCCCTCTTGGAGGCGTACTTGGGGGTGATATTGGTGTAGAAGATCTCGTAAAATGATTCAGAGCCAGCTCTGGATATAAATTAATGGGTGGTGGTGAATATTGAGGACGTTTTGGAACAATCATGGTGGAAGAAGGGAAAAGTGAATAACTAAGATGGTCAAAGAGTACAAAACGTTAAGAAGCCAACGAACAAAAGTAGTCCATGCCGAAGAACAAAAAGAAAGGGTCGTTGCATGGATGATTGGCGAACGACAACACTTGCCTTTTTGGGCCAACAACACATTTTAAAGCACCCGTGGGAAAATTCTCATCATGGCTTCTGCAGTTACCACAAAGTTTCAAACCGCTTTACCTTTTGCGCTTCTTTCAATTTCACCCAGTCTTTCTGCCCTTCATGCTTCTCGAGCCCGTTCTCTATACCCAGGAGAATTTGACTCTTCATCCGCGACGTATTGTCTGCGATGCGGTTCATATTTATTGGCCGCCGATGGTTCCCTAGAGCTCCGTCGACCGAGAAGAAGGAGAAAGGTTGCTGACAAGAAATCAAACGCTCTCAAGATTACCTGCCATCGTTGCGGCTTTATTTCCTATTCATCGATTGATAGGAGAGAGGCATCCAGACAGTTGCCCAAGTCAGAGCCTACCACAGGAGATAAAATATTACCACCATCGCCGATCCCTTCAGAGTCCATTTTAGATCGCAAACAAGAGAATGAACGGATCACATCTTCGTCACGTTCTTCCGTGTCAGTTGGTTCATCCCCTATGGCACACCCCACACGAGGAAGCACTCCCGTTCTGCCCAAAAAGAAGACGATATTGCAGGAGATGTTGGCTCGCAATCGAGAGAAGGAGGCTGTAAGGACAAAATCTCAGCAAAAGCCATCACAAAATGGCCTTGCGTCGTTTTTGAGTTCCTTATAAGTATAAAAAGGTGCGTTGTTAATCATACACACTGCACCACATTCCCATCATGTTTTGACAAACAGCAATTCTCTGATAGATTTCGTTGATGTGGATTTTCTTCCTCGTGCTCAGGCTTAAGCCCGCTAGGAATAAAGCAGCTTGGGCAAGGAGGAGACGCGGGGGACGGGGATGAGCGATGGAAATGCCATGCTCTGAGAGTAATTTTCAGTGATCGCCGTGCATTCATGACGTTGAGGAAAGCTCACATCGAATCTTGCACTCACGGTGAGTTACATTACCTCAGTTTTTACTGATGATGTGAGTGACTTAACGAAATGTCGACAGAACCGAATGTCGCTTTGTTCAATCCATCCTTCAAAGAAATATTTAGCAAGGCGAATGAATACTCCTCAGTTCAGTCGTGTGAACTACGCCCAATACCCTCGTTGTTGTAGAACACTCTAATTACTATTACTTTCACTCAGTAATCACAGACAGTACCAGCAATAAAAATCCTCTGTGTACTCGGGCGCACCACATGGAATCGGCAAATAGCCAAGTACACGCAATGAGCACAGCGGTGATTAAAACAATGCGAAACAAAAGTTTCGAGTTCAAATAAGACACGAATAACACGTGCATTCGATTTACCCCTTCCTCCCGAGTTCTAATTTTACTACAGCATGTTTTCACCACCGTGCAAAATATGCTTGGAACATTTACATAGGGCCGGGCACCTCCTCACAGATAGTAACTTAGTTTACAACTGAGAGTAACGGCTCAATGACATCCATATCGAATCCGCTCGGTGGCGCTTAGAAAATCTACCTCCTGCAGACGCGGAGATGCACCCGCCAGGGCTGTAATACAATCAACTTCCGTTATTTGTGGTGCGCGTATCAGAGTCGATTTCTGCAACATAGGAAATTGAAGCCTTACACCGAATATTTTAATAAATCCGCGCCGATAAACGTGATCCGAGAAGAGGGGGAGAGTCATTGATTTGAGGCGAGGATGCGTGATCGAATCACTTGTATTGCGATGATCCAGTCAGATTGCATCTACCAATATGGTCTCCAGCTGAGGCAATCTAACTTAATCTAGCTGGAGTGAAGCGTATAACACCGGCAGAAACGGTCTGGAGGTGGAGATGACGCAGATTGTGGCAGGTAGGCACAAAAACAAAAGAGGGCACATCTCCAATGATGCGTAGGTCAGAGATTTAATGCAGTGAATCTGCTGAGATCTAACCAGTGTTGACACTCCAAGCTTCTCAATCGAGGTAAAATGTCCGTAGATGTCCAGTGTAAGGGTGACATAATATTCATCGTCTCCCAACGCCGTTTCTCACAAATGAGGACCTCAAGTAGAGAATCTGCCTCTGAGCAACACAATATTGACAGGGGTCTAATGTGCAAAGAGAGTGGGCACGTTTGACCACGATGCGAAGGGTGAGAGGTTGACTTCCAGAGCAGGCGAGCCAAAGCTTGAGCAGATGTGGAAGGAATGGTTTCAAACTATGAAGTCGCGGCCCGGGAAGCACGACCTGGATACGCGACCAGAGTCCCAGCGTTGAATGTGCAACCACTCGCCAAAGGTGGCACACCCGGGTAAAGACTAGGGGAGAGCTAGCAAAGTTGACCGAGATGGTGGTATCTCTAAATGAGAGTATACTAGAACAGTCTGGCACGTCGTAAACCACGAATAAGAATACCCGCCCCAGAAGTTCCACAGACAGTCGATGGATGTGGGGTTCTGGGGTGTTTACGTTGACGGGGGAAACGTGTGAATGAGTGAAGGACGATGTATCAATCCCGTACAAGAGCACTTCCATCATTTGATGTTGAGCAGAAGATAGATAGGATCCTCTTGGCTTGTTAGTTAATTTTCAACAGGTGCTTAGATATTAGATCTGTCAGAGTCATGCTCACGCACTAGAACACCGGTAGGCAGCAGGTCAGCGGGTCTGATACATCGTAAGAATTGTTGCCATGAGCTTACATATTGGCATCTGATAGGCCGATGTAATTTGGTCTGCTCTTTCCCCCTCGAGTGCCGTTAACGATGTTGACTTGGACTTTGATTTCATATGAGCGTATGCAGTTGGCACTCACTGCCAGTTCTCACCACTGCCAAACAATGCAACGCATGAACCATTGACAACACTACCAGAGTGGCAAGGTCCGTATAACACCTATTTGTATACTATATATGTCCTTGAATAACTAATAAATATAAGAAATAGAATGAGCGTGCTTAGCAGTCGTCTGGTGGCTACCTCATGATCTACACCAAAGCAGTGCGAGAGACTGATCACTCCTGACCATCTTGCATTTATTTGGTGTAGGGGTGCACTGGCGTGTCTTGTATGAACCTTCCGGGCCAAAATGCAACATACATGGCGATGGCCAGGCAAAGGGGGATTGTATCACCCAGGTAGAAGGCTGTCTCGCTTGAGCTAAGACTGCCATAAAAGCCCTGAGCAGCCTCCACAACACGGTATAAAGAACGAATCTGCAGAAGCGTTTATCAGAAGCTACAAGATTGCTGCCTGCATGTAGCACAAACCAGAATTGTGATACAGCTGACCGCCATGGCAGCGGAGAGTGTTCGCCAGTCGCTGTTCCAGTGTCGCTTTGAGTCTTGCATCCAAATAGCCCGTTCTTCCGAGTGGACCTTGTAGAGGAATCGTGCATAAACGATACAAAAGAAAATAATTGAGACTAGTTGCAAAGTGAGGCCGGCCAAAAAGATCTGACAGATCATTAGACCAGATTCTAGACCACAGGCAGATGCCGGGTACAAGAACGTACATGAAGTCCCGTCAAAGCAGAATTGTAAACTCTGGACGTAGTCATTGAAGCTCCTACCGCCTTTGGCACTACATCGTCAGAGAAGATTATATTAAATAAAAATAAAAATCGACGCTCACCTGGATGACAAAGGTGGACACGTCGGACACGACGAAAATCAAGGTCATTCGCCTCACTGGAAGCAAGACGTGATGAACGCAGTCAATTTCCCTGGCAAGGCGACCGAGGAGAACGTAATTCGCGGCAATGAAGAAACAGGGCTTTGACAGATCAACAGAACGTTCATCGCAGCGGTCTAATAATGACTCACGGATAATACAATCATCAAATACTCAGTAATGTAAATCCCCAATGAATCGGGATTGTCATGCAAAGCAAAGCGAAACCCAAAGCCGAGACAATAAACTACAACCAACGTCAGGAAGAGTCAACACAAGCAAAAGACCGAGACGTGCTGTATTCCCCGATGACCATGGACAACATCCATTTCGCACCGTTATAGATAATTCGGTAAGTCTGAATGAGTGCAACCAGCAGCACATAAACTTTGCACCATAAGTTACGTGTGTTCCTTGGCTTACTGGCCACCCACCAAAGGCTACAGCAGTGAGCGTATTGTTAGCAATATAGCCAAGGGAGTTGCACGGATCATTCTGCGGGTCTTGGTAAGGATTGGAAGGACATTGGGTAGAATTGGTGGCTGCCCGAGCCGACGTGACAAGAAGAGTCAAGAAAAACAAAGTGCTCGCTAGGTTAGAGCAAGCCATAAAAAGGTGAAGAATATGAATACGAATGCCCTTCATGGATCCACGAGCTCGACTTTTATGCTGGAGGGACGAAAGAAAGTCCATCCAAATTACGCACCGCAACGCAGTGCGAAAAGTCATCCATGCGAATCGTGAGGCAGTGAGTTTGGACACCATGCAAACCTAGACCATCAGAGGTTTACCGCAGCAACGAACAACAGGGAAATCGACACTGTGCCTAGGATTAAGAATTTTAAACCAACAATATGCCTACGGTAAGATTGGGGTACCACCCCTGGAATTTCTCAAGGTCCAGAGGGCATATAACTCCTTGTCCGCCAAGTCAAAGCAAGTAAGCAGAGCTAGGTCCGAGTGAATGGTAATTTTACGAGGCGTGTTCAACTTGATTGGTAAACTGCGGAGTGCCGGCCTCGGCGAAGGTTCGTCCATTTGGTAGAAACTGCCTCCAGACTGGTTGGAGTTAGAGAAGTAGTCACATCATGTTCCTTGATGGCAACTTATAAAATATATAGTGAAAAATTGGTAACATAGCATAATTGTCTAAGGTCTTTTATGCCTATTATTACTACCAATATATAGTTGTGCATGTAACTCATATGATAGAGTTACATGAGATAGTATCAAATTCGAGTGTCACACGAGGCAGACGCAAATGACGGTGAATGACTGTACAGTTTTCGCATGTGTCGAGCTCTGCGGAATGCTATTTGCGACTCCGCAATTGTGGGTTTGTCAAATTGCTCAGCCTATTGCTGGGGCACTGCCCGTTCCGAAGCCGTCGTCTAGGCACTAGAATTCAGCCTAGATGAGAAAATACACTTCCGACCATGAAGCTTGTGCTTGATACGGAGGTTGGCTCGCTTTTGGTCGTACTATATTGCGTGACATACATTTGGCGCGTGACACCAGATGTAACGCGACCAGTCACACTCGTGCCGTTACAACGGCCCCTATCTCCCTTTCGATATTGAATCATTATCGAGAGTCGTTAGTTGCTTAAGGCTGTATGTTTCCGGTATTTTATGCCACAGTCCTTGGATATGTATGGCGATCCTTTGTCATTTGATCTTGCTATCGGAATGATGATCGGAGGGGCCCACTCAGTCAGTCTCGGATGGCGGCATAACCTTACTATAGGGTCAGAAGCCATGTAGTGCTAATACACCTTACCTCGCGCATTGGACTCGTGACAAAGGTTCACAGAACGAGCGGGAGGCATATTGACTACTCAAGCGGCCACCACCAGTTCTCGCCGTTGAAACAATGTTGGAACGCCGTCACAGTAGACGGCAAACACTAACAGGCAATCGGACAGAGATAACGTGGATGAGCTTATGGGATTCGGCGGTACGGTAAGAGATAAGATACAGGTACATCAGCGATGAGTTATATATAATGAATCAACATCAGCAGCCAAACACAGACAAATGCAGCGCGGTGTCCAATCAGCGTAAGCGCATGCTTACAAATGTACGTGAATCAACACTGTCAGAGCAAAAAGGTCCGTATAGTACTTATTGGTCCATATGTGTCCTTGATATAGCACGTAGACTAAGTAATGATTATAAGCAGAATAAGTGCGGTTAGTAGCTATCTGGCACCATGGGTACTTCATGGTTGTAAACTAAAGTAGTACGAGAAACTGATAACTCCTGACCGTCCTGCAATTCGTTGACGTAGGATGGCGCTAGTTTGGCTGGGATGAACCTTCCGGGCCAGAATGGAACGTACATGACGATGGCCACGCAAAGGGGAAGCGTATCACCCAGATAGAAGGCTGCCTCGCTTGCACTGAGACTGCCGTTAGAGCCCTGAGCAATCTCCGCAACACGGTAGCATGAACGAATCTAAAAAAGGGTTTGTGAAAGCGACAAGGTTGCTGAATGTAAGACAAACCAGAATGCAGATACAGCTAACCGCCAAGGCAGCGGCGAGCGTTCGCCAATCGCTATTCCAACGTTGCTTTGAGTCTCGCATCCAGATAGCCTGCTCTTCAGCGCGGAGCTTGTAAAGGAATCGTACATAAACGATACAAAAGAAAAGGATTGAGACCAGTTGCACAACGAGGCCGGCTAGAAAAATCTGACAGAGATAATTAGACCTCACCCAGATTTAGACAAATCGCGGGTACAAGAACGTACATGACGTCCCACCGAAGCAGAGCTGGAATTGGTAGATGTAGTCATTGAGGCTCCTGCAGCCTTTTGACACCACATCATCAGAGAAGATCATTCAGAAAAAAGTCAACGCTCACCTGGATGATGAAAGTAGTCACGTCGGACATCACAAAAATGAGGGTTACCCATCTCACTGGAAGCAAGACGTGATGAGTGCAGTCGATGTCCCTGGCAAGGCGACCGAAAAGGATGTAATCCGCAGCAATGAAGAAACAGGGCTTTGAAGGATCAACAGACGTGCATAGTAGTGGTCCAATGCTGGCTCACAGATAATACGATCATCAAGTACTCGGCGATAAAAATCCCCAAGGAATCGGGATTGTAATGCAAAGCGAAGCGAAACCCAAAGCCTATAACATAAACTACAGCAAACTATCAGAAAGAACCAACACAAGCGAAAAAAAACTGAGACATGCCGTATTCCCCAATTACCATGGGCAACATCCACTTCGCCCCCTTATAGATAATTTGGTAGGTCTGAATGAGAGCGATCAGCAGCACAAAACCTTCGCACAGTAAGTTACATGTGTTCCCTGACTTACTGACCACTCACCAAAGGCGACGGCGGTTAGCGTGTTGTTAGCGATATAGCCAAGGGCATTACATGGTCGTTGCGCGGGTCTTGGTAAGGATCGGAAGAACATTGCGTAGAATTGGTGGCCGCCCGAGCCAACGTGACATGACTCAAAAGAAGAGTCAAGAGAAACAAAGTGCGCGCTAAGATGGAGCAGGCCATGAAGAATGAAGAAGACGAATATCCTCCATGAGTCAGTAAATCCGACTTTTATGCTGGAGGATGAAAGGGTATCCATTAAATACGCGCAGCGCAGCACGGTGCCACAGGGGCTGACATGCGGATTGTGAGGCAGTAATTTTTGACATGTTATTCAAGCTAAGACTCATCAGAAGTTGCTGGCAGCAGTGAATGAACGGAACATTTCCAAGACCGATACCTCGCCAAGGATTAAAAATTGAGAACTGACAATGTGCCTGTGATAAGATTGGAGGTATGTAAGTAATTTCTCAAGGTCCAGACGCCCAGAGGGTATACAACTCCTTGTCTGCAGGGTCAAAGCATGTACCCAAAGCTAGGTCCGAGCGAATGGTAATTTTACGAGATGTGTTCAAACTGATTGGTAAACTGCGGAGTGTTGGTCGCGGAGATTCGTCCACGCGGTGGAAACTGCCTCCAGACTCTGAGATAGTGGTTGAAGTTGGAGAAGTGACCGCATGTTCCTTGATGCACAATCAGTACAGCAACTTGGAAGTTTCCACATGGCGACCAACCTCTGCGGAATGCTGTTTGCGGCTTCGCAACTCCAGGGCTGCGGGTGTACTGCCCATTCCAGAGCCGTTGTCTAGGGACAAAATTTTAGCATAATAAAAACAAACAGAACATACTTCCGACCATGAAGCTTGTTTCTTAATCCAGAGGCTGGTTGTTTGGCTGACATATCGTCCTGTGCCTATGCTCGCCGTTGTTGGTATGTCGGTCACGGCCACGGTGGCGCTTGACGCGTGACACTGGAAATCACGCGACTGGTCACACCCGCGCCGTCTGATCCTGTGGCTCCGATCTCCCTTTCGATATTGCCACTATGAACATCTTCAAGAGTCGTAAGTGCAGTCGCTTTTTAGTCCGTACATCTCTAATATTGTATGCTGCAGTCCTTGGAAAAGTATGGCGTACGTTTGATCTTGCCGGAAGACAAGTCCGATGGCCTAACCTTACTATCCTCAGAGGACCCCAATGCTGCCGAAGTCGTCAAGATCGAGATGGGTCAGTTGTACCTTGTCAGGCCGGGGAACATCCGGTCATCAAGGGAATGCATGTGCGAGCTTTGTTGATTCATCGTATCTGACACTGTCCCTGAATTCACTGCAGATACAACGAGGCAATAGCGACCATACGGCGTGTCCCCGCACTGGAGCACAACTTTCAGCTTGTCATTACACGAGTATATGAAGATGGTGATCAAGAGCTTCTCGAAGATGAAGACGAAAGTGCGTAAATCTATTGTATACGTTATCTAATACAAGCTCTCACACGTAACAAATTACAGCTGATGAAGAGAGGGTTTTCTTGATCAGCGAAGAACTCGAATTCCGTTCTGGAGTGACGGACGATGAACCGACTTTCATTTGGCGCGACCTCGATGGGGATGTTGACGAATTGTACGAATTCGTAGCCTCGGGAACCAACGAGCCGACTCGTGTGTTTTTTGAGACTTGCATGTACCGTGCAATGTACGAGCGCAAGTACAAGGCGAGTGCGGATAACACAAAAGATTCTGCCTTGGACCAGTTTATATGGCAGTCAGTGCTATGTTGGCGTTTATTCGCTCCCCTGATAACGTTTTTAGGCCTGTCGTAAAAGCTAGGGGTAAAGGCGGTAATCGGAAGGCGCCGAAGAATCAACAAGACTCCGGAGACCTTTCCTCTGGGCTACAAGACTCTGTGGATGACTCCACAGCCCAACCACAAGTGATGCCGACTAAGCCAGCAAGTCCAGCGGTGAGGGTATCCTTTGCAAGCTCCTCACTCCCGACAGTTACTTCTGAAGAAGGCCAACTCTTCTTCTGGAACCTGGAAGCAGAGGGCTTTGTTGCTGAGCGCGAAGGAGTTGTTGTTGCCAAGATCGTTGAGCGCACCCCTGGTGACTTCAATTATTGGTTTATAGTCACTGATAAAGATGGCGACATCGTTTCACACAAAATATCTTCGGATATGAACCCTCGCTGGGCTCCAAAAACGTCATCTTTAACATGGAACTATTCCAACCACGGCAGATATGATAGTTGGGCCCTGCAACTCACGTCTCCAGAAGCCTACAATGCGTTTAAGACGGCCTTTGCTCAATGTCTGTGGGAAACGTTGCATGGCATCGCATTTCGAAAGGCCAAGGTAGAATTCCTTGATCTTAATGTTTCAAGTGGTTAATTGTGCGCATAGCCTGATGAGCAAGCCTACGTTATTAGTTCAACGACTGAAGATGTGGAAATGCGTGACGTGGAAGATGAGGTAGACGACGAAGAGGAGGTAGAATCGGAGCTCGACCCTGATGAAGGTACGTGAACTCTACTATTACATACAGCAAACCCCTGAGTGGCTTCTTAGAAGCAAGTGAAGAGGAGGAGGAAGATGAAGAGGACGATAGTCCTCCACAACTACAAGGGGAACGTAACTCGCAATTAACGATCGGATATAAGGGCGACCGCTCTTATGTTGTCCGTGGAAATAATATTGGTGTCTTCAGTCACTCCAGAGACGATCAAGTGAAGTACTATGCCACTATTAGTAAAATTTCTACGCCGAAGGGCAAAGAATTCAAGCCACGAGAGGTACCCTAATTTTTGCGCATGATGACAAGTGCTGAGGTGATCATTTTCGTGCAGGTCATGTTGCACGATCAGGACACGAAGATGGTCCTCATGAATCCTTCGGATCCACACTCGTTGTTCAGCATGGACATTGAACGAGGCAAAGTGGTCGAAGAGTGGAAGATCCACGAAGATATCAGTGTTGATCACATGGCCCCCGACAATAAATTCGCTCAAACTACTCGCGAGCAAACTCTTGTCGGTGCTTCTCACAATGCGCTGTTCAGAGTAGATCCACGTATCTCTGGCAACAAGATGGTTGAGAGCCAATACAAGCAATACGTCAGCAAGAATAAATTCTCTGGGGTCGCTACAACAGCCAGCGGGAAGTTGGCAGTGGCAAGCGAAAAGGGAGATATCAGACTTTTCGATACAATTGGGAAGAATGCTAAGACAGCTTTGCCACCTCTCGGTGACCCCATTCTTGGTATCGACGTCACTGCCAGTGGCCGGTGGATTGTCGCAACAACAAAGACTTATCTCTTGCTCATCGACACTCTTATCGGCGAAGGGAGATACGCCGGGAATCTGGGTTTCGATCGCAGTTTCCCCGCTAATGCGAAGCCTATGCCACGAAGACTTCAACTCCGTTCTGAGCATGTTGCATATATGAATCATGATATCAGTTTCTCCGTTGCCCGGTAAGTCACGTCAGTATCGGCTGCAACCCTGGCTGACTCCTCCGTAATCCTAGCTTCAATCAAGGCGAGGGGCAGGAAGAGAATGCCATTGTCACGGCGACAGGCCAGTATGTCATCGCATGGGACTTCGCGAAGGTCAAGAAAGGACAGCTTGACAAGTATGAGATCAAGAAGTACGAAGACATGGTTGTGCAAGACAATTTCAAGTTCGGGGATGATAAACAAATCGTGAGTGCTCTGGAGTCTATCAAGCAGTGCACTCATGTAGACATTGGCAGATTGTGGCCCTCCAGAACAATGTTCTTGCGATCAACAAGAAGAACCTCAAACGGCCCACGAGAGTTTCCCTTGCAGCTCCTATGTCCAGTCTTCGGAGTCGGTCAAGCATCGTGGACAGTCCGTATTAAACGGTGTTGTGAAACGCAATTGTTGTGGCAGTTGTATGTATTGCGGATTGTATACCTAACGTATTCGGTTGGTAACGCGGGGTATCGCAGAAGTTCTATAAATATATGAGTGAAGATGTATGATATTCCCTTCAAATTCCCTTCCCACTATGTTTTCTCGCTTGTAGCCTCCTTGTGTGTCGTTGTAACATCAACTTTTTGTGCATCACGAGTATCAACATATCTCCAAATTCCAAGATGCCACATGATCCGGGGTATCATGAGACTAAATCCAAGGATAATGGTTGTCCAAAGCATCGGACTCCACTGTGAAACATCCCATCTCTCATCGCCGAGAGCCCACAGCGTAACGAAGAGGTGCATGCAATCCCCCATGAGAAGGGGGGTCATGAGGGCCCCAACGATCTTCTCTTGTGTAGCAAGATGCTTTGAGAGATGCTTCCTGATCGCCGTTAACACAAAACAGTTAACGACTCCCATGAGCGCGCAAACGTGAGCTAGTTGGATCACAGTTACGATGGATGCCTTTGGAAGGCTAGTAGGTGGTGAAATATCCATTGGCCATGGCGCTTGCGTATTGTGCGTCTGTCAAGCTGTCATTATATGTTCGACTGAAGGAGAAGAAGTACTACACTCACTGTTATCGGGTCGTGCACTGCTCCTATGAACCCAAAAATCGTCAATGCGGGTTCGTAGAACGCGAACAACGCATAGTAAAAGTCAGGTATAGCAGATGTCGGCGGATGCATTGAAGACACAGAGGTGACGATTATAGCGGGAACTACTGGTATCACCGCAGGATTATGCCGCGGTAGCTAAGTAGCTGTTTCGGAGTCTGCGAAGCAGCAAACGGTGAGTCGGAAAGCCGCCACGACACAGTTGGAATTCGGCCGCCACGAAACAGTTGGAAATTTCCCGGGGCCGCACAGCCCACGTTTGACAATGTGAAGCCAACGAGTCAGATAAGGAGACGAGGCGTCTTTCTAAGGCTCACGAGGGTGGGTTGGTTGTTCCCCTCAGTATTACTTATATGTGCACTTCGACCGACCCGGGGGCCGGAAAAAGAACCCGGAAGAAGTGTGAAACGTAAAACATACATTCCGAAGACGATTCGACGAAGAATATTGTTACAGTACGTAATATTAAATAATAACGTTAATGCACTTTCCCTTGGTTACAACCGGCCCTAAAGATGACCAGTTTTCTCATCGTAATGTTGTTTTGTTTGTCCTCTTCATCTTACAATCTTCAGGTCTATCTAAACCCAGGTGGGCAGCCAACAACTTTCGATGTTGACCCGCTAAATGGCGAGGACCGAGACGACTCTTCTGTCAGAGGATGAGGGTTATAATGCATGTCTTGCACTTCCACTCCCGCAAGCCTGTGCTTCGCGCCTTTCTAACATTTTTTACGACGCGTTTGAACTGTCGTATCACGGTAGAATGATCAATTGCAATATGTATGTCGATCGAGATTGATATCTACGGCTATGAATATCACGACCATAGATTGTAGCACATGTTTCATATGTGCGAGTATCTTGTCAAGTCAATCAAATACAGTACGATAACTTAGAATACAGACTATAGGGAATGTCACAGGGCCCGTCCGTTTGCCCTGAGGTATCAGTAATCTATGTTGTATAAAATCAGCCGCTCAATAGACCATTCAGTTGTTTTCGGGCCTCTTCCATCACCCTCTCCGCCTCCTCGTCTTCCAGTCGGTCTTGTGGTGCCTGGCACAAAATTCAGAGCAGAGTCACATATGAGGAGAGTATAACATACCGGTAGTTCAGTTGCAACCGAGCCAACAAGCCCGAGCTTCCCGTTAGTGAGCTCGAATAGAACCTTGTCAACTTCAGCGTCTGCCTCTTCTTCTATCTCTTCGTCTTCATCCATTTGTAACGTGTCTTCAAGCATTTCCTCCATGATCCCAGCCTCCAGCCAAAGTCAGATAGTCGGGGGAGCGCTATGAAAAAATATCGCACACCTTCGTCATTTCCATACTCATTTCACGCATCGTTTGACTTATCTGCGGCAATTTAATGAGCGAGTTGGATAGTTTCATGATTTCCGTAGACTTCTGCAATGACCCTGTAACCTTGACCATGGCTGCGGAATCGTAGCGTGTAAATCAGTCATACTTCGGATTAAGAGTATTCGCTCACCTAGCTGCTGCTGTAGCTGAGTACCGATCGATCCCAAGCGTGCTTTGCTAACAGACAATCTGTCTTGCTGCTTATTACTGCGGACGACCTCCTTGGCGAGGATCCGCGCAGACTTCACATCTCCTTTGGCAGCAAGCTGCTTCACTGTCGTGCGTGCTTTTGCAGTCGCGGCTTCAAGCTGTGATAGGGAACTTCAGCATGGGATGTGAGCACCGCACAAAAGGGTGCCAACCTGCCTCATCTCCCTGTCCAGTTGTCGGCTTTCTGAACGCAATTTTCCTTGCCATGCACGCACTCTCTCTTCGGGCGTCGGTCCATAGAGAAAGCGGTTAATGGTCTGCATGAGAGATTGAGAGCTGTGATCCCACTGGCCTAAGTGGCTAATAGTAATACAGCAGAATTGTTGCCTCTTTCGGCCCTCGGGTTTCAAGGCCAATGTTTCAAGCTTGGCGTCCCACCATCACCTTGGGTGTCTCCGCAAGAGCTTAAGACTATCCGCAATCGCAAATTGTTTAGTGGAGACCTCTCAACACCGTGCTGCATGGAAGTTGCGCTTCTGGAGGTTTTTGAAGATCACAAGCTTGCACCAGCGGCTGACATGGCGGCTGACTACTTCAAAGAGCATATAAACCACCCTCTTCCAGCATGGTACTCCAGAACACCCTTGGCCGCTCTCCACGAGGGTTAACCAGTACTTAACTTTCAACGCTAGGTCCGTGCAGGTTCACTTCGCTCGCAATGTCGATCTCATTACTTTTAAACCTCTTCCTACTTCCGTCCCGCGCCTATGCCACCTTGGAACCTGAGTCCCCCGGTCCTGGTGACGTGTTCAGATCTGGATCATCCTGTGTCATAGAGTGGAATACCAACCTCACACAGCCATGGGACGATGTCGCTATCGGTACGCAGTTGTATCCCTCATCCTCTTTGTCATATTGACATTGGTTGCATAGACCTCATGTCCGGCTCTAACTTGAACATGTCTAAAGTCACGACCGTTGTCGGGCACCTAGACGGGACTGACCCCACGTTGACACCGTTTAACTGGATATGCCCTGATGTTATGCCCAATTCAGCCATTTACTTCTATCAGGTATGGTGCATAACTATGCGGTCAAACATGGTCTTTTACAGATAGCGATATACTAGTTTACGAACAAAAAAGACCTAACTGGGTCCAAGTGGACATCTCGATTCACGGTGGGCACATTGGTACATCATCCTCGTGCAGAAACTGATTATTGAGATTTAAGATCGCTTCAGAGTCTGGCGCCACGACCCTCCCTGAAAACAGCAAGCAGCCTGGTGGAGATCCTATTCCGTGGGGCAATGGACGTCTTGCATCCTCCAATAGCACGGTTCCATCGAACGCAAGCATTTCACCTAGCAGCCATCCTTCACCAACCCATTCATGCGAAACGCTAAAATGCACGAAATTCCTTCGAAACGCTTCGTCTTCCGATACTCAAAACCCCAGCACTCCCCCTCCTCTTCGACAACGCACGGTCTCGCGCCCCACAGCACTACATCCAGTCAACTTCACCCAAAAGACAAGACCTGCAAGCAGGGGCAGCCGTGGGGGCCCTACGTTGGGCGTGCATTTCCTGTGTGCTCTTGCGACGTTGTGGTTGATCGTCCTATAGATCGGGGACCTAGAAATGACTACATAGATGTTTGTACTAGTCCCTGCCCTGTCAAAATAGCAGAGAAACGGATATAAAAACATATACAATAAGAAGTAAGCCTGTACTCTAAACAAAAATACAACAGAAGTTCAGAATAATGCGTGCACACAAATTTTAGACCTGCGGTCCAGTCTTGATTTGATTGACCAGCGCCTCCCAGTAACTCCAATCCGAACCGTCTACTTCTGTCATCGGACTAGGATCCCCAGCCATTGTGTTGCTAGGTCCAATCCAGCCTGGGAAATCAGAACCACCAGGTCCTCCCCAAGACAGAGCAGGCATGCCTGCTGTCGCCTCGACAGTACCCCCGCCGAAAGTGCTGCACCAATGATCCAAGAGCGACTGTGCAGCGGATTCTTCCTCTCCACTCGGACTGCCGGAGCCAGCGGGCGAGCTGAGCGTACCGTCATTAGATCCATTGTGCTGCAGACGTTGCATCGCAGGGGAATGCGAGTAAGGAGGTGATGTTGCGTATACTATAGGCGAAGACATTGTGGGAGACGAATTATTCGGTGACGCTGTGTCCATCATGAAGGCCTGGCGTGTGGATAGAGGCAAAGCACGACGAGAAGCCGGCATGGAGATGATTGTAGAGTGCTGCTCCCCAGTATGCCCGTTAAACGGTGAGCTTGCACCATCCACGCCGTGTGATGCGTTTTCCGCCATTTGTGATGCACGACTCTTGAGGAACTCGATAGTTTTGAGCTCCCTCCGAGTCGTTTCGTCCATCTCACGTACGCCCTCATGTTCCGTCAGGAAGCCGTCCAAAATGGTGTGCATCATGTCAGCATCCTTGCCTTGGGGATGCAAGACTAGGTAAATGCCACTGATCATCGCTGTTTGAAACTCCCTGTAGGCGTTGCTCAGAGAATCGCGGGTTTCTTTGGGCATTGAATTGCGGAAGGCCTGGCGAACATGGAAATCCTTGACCGCGGACTCAAAGCATGCCCTTCGCGAGCGAAGGTAACGATCGCAACTCAACCTCCGCAATAAATATGGACGATGGAGGCCGACGCGAACGAACAAGACTTCGGTGATGAGGAGGAAGCGGTGAACGGGGATGAATTGTTTCGTCTCATCCAGGGACGTGTCGGGCTCCAACGAGAAGTGAGGTGGTAGGTTAGAAACGAATTTTAAAATGTCGTCATCCAGCGCCAAGACGTCAGAATAATGACTAGGTGACTTGACCTTCTGAAAATGATGTACAATCCGTCCAATAATGGTGGCAAGTTGATGCCTTAGAATTACGAAGGTCATCAGTGTAGGGCTTGAAAGGGGAGGTGGATTGCGAATGGCGGCAGGGGAAAAGTCGTCATCAGTGTTCAAAGGCGGGAGCGTGCAAGTGTAATCGTCCTGGATAGCATTCGGTCTTCCAAGCACAAGTGCGTAGGAACGATCGGCGTGATAGAGATATGACCTATACGACACCCTAAGTTTGGATCATGAGGGGACATCGCTATCCTTACCATATCCGACGTCGGTTTTCAACCTGAGCAGGGTCGAGTCCCTGAGCAAACTCAGTCAATAGAGGATATGTCAATAGGAAAGTTGCGGACTCACCGTAGGTGCAGCATCACGATGCAATCCCAGTGCTTGAGCTGTTCGTACAGCAGCCCCCAACTGGCTCCAGCATTCTGTAATACGACGATCAAAAGTCAAGAATCGTGCGCTCTAGAGGGTCTTTTAGAATCATGCGCCGTAGAAGACCGTGCACACTCACAAGTAAGCGAGTGAGAACGATATCTAGTGAATCCGGTTGGATAGCTGCAGCGATAAGCAGAGAGCGTCGAGCTATCCGAAAAACGGGTGGGCACACAATACACTATACTCGAACAATGACGTACAAGACCAATAATATCTCAAAGATGTCACTCTTCTTGTTCGTATGTCACCAGCAAGATGTTCAGGTGCCAATCGCACTGAAATAGCCAGCACCACGAACAGCAGCGGAAGGAAGCGTGCATCGTTTGTATTGGCGCCCACCCCATTGGCACAAAGTGATGCGTAGGCAGCCCGAAAGTCAGCCTCGCAAAGGGGATATCTCGTCCAATTGCTACAGTCAGAGGGGGAAATAGTCAATACAGGACAACTAATAGGGCTTCAACTAACATTGCAGCGAAATAATGATCAATAAGGACGTCGGAAAACCTTTGGGGAGGGAGTTCCTGAAGGAGCTCAGAGATTTTGTGTGGTGATACACCGCATTCTTGGACAAGACTCTTGAGATTGTCAGCTGCTGAAGGTTCAGAGTCTTGTCGCACAGATTCGATTATTAATGGGGTCGCCAAGGCTAATTTATGATCGCCGTTACCAGTTCCGTGCTGGCCGGAAGGTCCAGCATTGAGATTAGAAGTGGAATGACTGGAATCCCACTGTTCTTGATTCGAACTGGCAACGACGACGTTTGCCAGCTAGTGAAAAGGATGTCAGAGAATAGAACCAACACGACCATCAAAAAATTCACTTGCTCCAAAACGGAGGCGGGTGCTACACTTCCTGAGGCGCTATTGCCATACCACTTTCCACTGTGGAAAGTACCGCCACTTGGATCCTGCTCATCAGTCATCGAACGATTATCGTCATCTGGGCCGTCAGATGTAGAGCTGCGGTGTCTGTCTGGAGCTGAATAGGAAGAATGAGATGATGAATTGAAGTATTGGGGTAAAGCCTGCTCGATTATGTGCTCGAGCCTGGCTAAGCGGACGCTCAGATCTTGGTCCGTTTTTCCGGGAGTGTATGCTTTGCAAAGCTCAGGTACTTTTCGTGCTATACACTAGGAAGACAATCAGACGAAAGGGGAATAAACAAAATGGGGAGAGGCATACATGAGAGCACGGTATCTGTCGGTCGCACTGGTGGGTCATATTTTAGTAAGGTGATTTGAGTGTGAAGAGTATGAACCAACCTTCTGCTTCCGACGGTGACATTCACCACAGGAGAAACTACGGAAAAGAATAATTGGCGTCTCTCTAAGCGCACACTGAGGGCAAAATGACAGACCTGACTCTAGATCTAGGTTTCTTTGCCTGAACATGATCAGCATCATCATCCTCGGTCTTTCTCCTTTTGAGACTAGAGGATTCTGAAGTGGAAGGGGTATTCTTGACCATGGATGATGGGAGCAGACTCAACAGAGTATGCTCCTGGAGGTTGGACAGAAAGGTTTGAATGAAAGAGAGTAAAGATCACTAAGTGACTCGGACCGTCCTGCCATTTGCACGTGCACACTGCCGCAGGTGGCACTGCTGGCAACCAATATATTCATCTTGTGAGCGCTTAACTTTGGTTTCAATAGGGCTCGCTGTCAGCAGACGCAGGGGTGCAAGTCTATCTATCTATCTATCTATCATCCAGGGTTGCTAGACATATAATATTGCCGCAACGTCTTCATCTAGCCACGTAGCGCCTCGTAGCGCTCACTATTGCACGATGGAAGAACCTTCCTGGAAGAAAACCAAACTCTCATTAGAGAGACCCTACAAGGACGACAAGGGAGAGAGCATACCGGTGCTTCTCGATATAACTCCAGATGGAGTTCAAGTATTTGAGTCGTATGTCACGACATTATTGCCATAATTCTATCATTAATCAAGCATAATCAGTCCACAAGATCACACTAAACTCTTGGGCGAAAACCTAAGACGTATATTCATTGAGCGCGGCGTCGACTTTTTCGAGCGCCAAGATGCCCTGAAGGCTATCGGAGACTTGTCCATTCCTCAGGCCCTAGATATCAAAGATGACAAAATCGAACCAGATCAGTACGAGGAAGTCGTCTCGAAAGCCATCATGAACCCAGAAGAATTATACAAAATGCGGATGGAAATCATGCCACAGCTCTTGTATGTGATCCTCCAGGTGGCAACGTTGGAAGTCTGATTCGCAAGCTAGTACTGCATTGGGAGAGATGACACACGCCAGAGAGCTGCTTTCGTTGCTACTGACTTCCACTCCACCAATTGATCCGTCTCCTGTCCCGTCCTTACCTTCTTCTACGTTGACAGCAAGTATAGTCACGAAGCCTCCGCCCATACCTTCGGTGGATGCGTTCAACGCTCAGCTAACTATCGGTGGAAAGGACGAGGCCCTGAGAAAAGCTGCAAGTTTATTCAAGGCCGCCGCAAACAACCTGGAGAGAAGCCGCCTCCGAGGTCAAAGGTACTGGGTCGATGCGCTCAAGATCCGGCGTGCCAACTGGGGATTAGTGCCTGCACCCCTCCCATTTGGTGCACCCACGGGCAAAGGTGCTGATAAAACGTCAAAGGACTTCTTTGTCTCTTTTGGTCTCGAGGAATGTGAGCATCTGACTATATGTTTACTGCCTTGATTTTAACATGTGTCCAGCCCCCGCTCACTTCAGACGGAGAGCGGTAGGACACATGGCAACATATGAAACTTTATCACATGTTCTTGTATTTCCTCACCGTCAGCGAGTCCGCCTCCAAGTTTCTCTTATCCTCACCGATTCCACCGGCATCTTTCGCACTGCTTCCAACAGCATAATATGCCTATCGGATGCGTCATTGGAAGACTCGCTCAAAACCGCGCAAAGGGAAATGGTTGAGGAGGAGCTTTTCTCCGTCTTGATTAAGGAGGCTAGCACCCTACCAACAGCCTCGGCGCGAGTGGCCGAGCGGCTTATCGTCATTGATGCCGCCCAAGGAACAGAACTTAAGTTTGAACTCGTGAGTCATCATTGCTGACCTAGATTTGGTGCTCAACTTGTATAGGTTGATGGGGATGCTATTCATGCTCAAGAACCCTATACTAGTGATGAACGTTTGTCTGCTACATGTAATCTCATATACTTCGCGCTGCAGGGACTCCTCTTGTCCCTGCATGCTTCGCAGAAATCCCAGCGCCTATCATCAGGCAACACACACCATCCACCCTCGATTCCCAATAAGGCACCTCTGTTGCAGCCCATCATCGACCTCCTTCAATATCAGGTATTCTGTCACAGAATCAAAGTTGAATTAGATAAAATGGTTTCTGCCCTGCTCAAGGCTGGTATTCCATCCTCGTTACGATTCGATGCTGTAGGTGAGAGCGGGCACCAATTAGTGGAGCACCTTGTCGCCGATCAGACACCAAGAAGGATAGGGGGCGAAGCTCTTCTCCGTATTGATGTCAGGCATGTCACGATCTGATGCGGATCCCTGGACACGTATTTACGTCCTTCACAACAGGCAAACTCTTCGCTTGACATTCCTTTCGCCATCATCGCTTACAGCACATTTGCCACAAGCAACACTCCCGATCGCGTCCATACCTCAGTTGGTGCAGCTTCTCTCAGACGAAGTCGAGAGATGCCTTCTCAATCGGTTGTGCGAAGTAGGCTCACAGGTTTGTGAACGTGTCGGTGCAACATGGTTTGTGGATTTCGTCAGTGGCAAAGCGGTCGGAAGATGGGAAGGAAGTATATTGTGAGCATTGTTCTTCCTCTTGCCAGTATGGACTAAGGAGATTTCAGGAACTTCCGCATCATATTCGACAAAGACTTTGCCATCCGCGCATCAGCATATTGTCTGAACAAAGCAAGCCACCACCAGCTGTCATTACTAGAAACCTACACTCCTAAGACCTCAATCTCTCTCGTAGCATGGCTGCAAGAGCTGCTTGAGAAGACCATGTCAGAATCTTAAAATGTCTTTGGCCAATAGTCGTGTTGCATGATATCATAAGCATGACCTACTTGGCTGTTGGACATGCAGTGAATGAAAATAATGATGCGAAAATGTAAGTGAGAAGACTAATTTTTTTTACTCGTCGTCGTCGTCTTCGGCAGCAGCAGCCTCGCCTCCTGAAGCCTTGAAGGCCTCGATCTTCGCCTGGATACGAGCTCTGCGCTCCTCCAGCGTGAGTTTGGACGTCTTATATTTGAGGGCCTCTGCCTTCCAGTCCTTGGTCTTCTCCGTAGGCTTGAAGGTGGGGTCCTCGCGGATGGCAGCATATGCATTGGTGTAGATCTCTTCGATATCTTCTGAACCAATATCATCTGCAAGATATGAGGAGAATTGCTTCTTGAAGCTGAATGAAAACCGTAAATATCACACTTCATGTTCATATGGAATGGCTTACCGCTCGTCATCTTCCTCCTCGAGCGACTCCATGTACTCAGCGACGTGGCCACCAAAGATGTACTTCTTGAGCACTTCGCTATCGAGCTGCTTGCTCTCTGGGTCGTACCCAGGGAAACGCTTCTCAGAGTGGGGGATGAATATACCACCGTCACTTGCACCCTTCATTGCGCCGAAAACACGGTGGCCAGTAGAAGTGCGCTTGAGACCAACATCAAGGTAGCACTTGAAGGGTCGTGGAGCATCTTCATCATCCAATGCCTCAGTCAATGTTAGGGCACCATCGGGCTCCGCGACACCCTCATATTTGTCGGCAAGACCCAGCTTGGTCAATGCACGGCGAGCGCACAGAAGACCAGTTGCGTATGCTACAACATCCGTCAGACATCATGTGGTGAATTAAAGGAAAGAATCGCACCAGCAGTCCAGTTAGTGAGACCGTGGTTAATTCCGTATTTTGGCAGCTCTTGTGACCGTGCAGCGGTCAAGACGAAGTCCCCCTGCAGACGTGCATACACGATCTGGACGATAATATCCCTGTTCGTGAAGCGCACTACTAGACGGTATTTGGGCGCGTTGCTTCCGAGCTGTTAGAAACAGTCGGTGTGCTTCACACTGCGACAACTCACTACTTGTTTTTGGCCTGGGTAACGAGGCGTTTGCGGGCATAGTCTAGGTAGACCTTAGCACATGCGATGGAGAAATAGACAGGGTTGCTCACAGTCGGTCTTTCCCTCTCTTCTACGGCGGTACTTCACTTGGAAGCGGGAGAAGTAGGCATCGGATTTGACCTTTTTGACGAACGGCATCTAGGAGGAACTATCAGTTGACCGCACATATGCATCCTGGGCAGCTATCGTCCATCCATCGGGAACTGGTCTTTTTCGGACAAATTGGTGATTGGGAACAATCCTCCAGGACTGAACGGTGCTCTGGATGGTGAACTGGCATAAAGACGCACCTTGAGGGATCTTGAGGACGGCGGGGACAGCGAGTACACTCCTTCAATCAAAGTTTCTGAGAAGGGTTGTTTACCTTTGTTGATTTGCTTTATTTAATTATTTTCCATCAGTTATCCACTTGGTAAGTAAGATTACCCATAACCCAGACTTCTCATTGTACCACCATCATGGACTCGCAGTATTCACAATTCAGTCAACAGCAGTCGGCTTATGATGTTAATCCTTACCACCAGCCTTACCAAGGTCCCATGTATCCTCTGCCCGGATCTTCGTCGACCCACAGCGCACCTGTTCCAGCGAATGCGTACGAGTATGATGTCGGCATACTTGCGCAACAGAGTGTCTATGTTCCCGGGGCTATGATCGATAAGCGTGGAGGCGCTGGTGGGAAACTTGCAAAGGGTGGAAAGCGCACTACCGTGCTGCGTAAGGGTGGTGGAAAGGTCTGGGAAGATCAGACTCTCCTCGAGTGGAATCCATGTAAGTGTACCACTTGGCACGGATGTCATCAATTGACATTATTGATCGTAGCTTGGTTCCGTCTGTTCGTTGGAGATCTCAGTAACGATGTCTCAGATGATGTCCTTGCGAACGCTTTCAATCAATACACCTCTTTTCAGAAGGCCCGCGTCATACGCGACAGATTGAGCCAGAAGGTGTGGAACTTCCGCCTTCTCTAGGACTTTCTTGATGTGTCATCATTAGGCGAAGTATGGTTTTGTTGCCTTTTCAGATCCAGAAGATTTCCTCAAAGCTTGGAAAGAGATGGATGGTGAGATGTCTTGTTCAATTCACCGCATTCTCGCTGACAAACACATCCCAGGTAAATATGTAGGTAACCGTCCAGTCAAGCTCAAAAAGGCGGATGATACTGCTATCCGACCTGTAGAGATAGGCCACCGAAAGGCTAGACAGCTCGAGAAAGACTTGAAGAAGAATAGGCGCAAGCCTTACTAATCGACCGCCGTTCGCGCCGTTGTGCATTTGGTCGACGTGTGGCTAGTCTGTGAAGACATTGCCAGTATGTTTTATTTCTTGATACTGGAGCGCAGCTCACCGTGTTATGTATTTCAACTATGAAATTATGATGATGGACACGATGCATACTAAAAGGCAGAAGATCATAGTGGGTACTGTTCCTTAATCCCCCACACTTCCACTTCGTTTGTTGCATTTCACAGTCAGGCCTACTATGCGCGCTTCTTCAAAAGCGAGCAATTTCGATGCAGTGTGCTCTCATTGCTGTGCGGCCCATGTTGATAGTCACTAGTCACTGATGGAATGGGAACGCTACGTTCCCGACAGTCATCCAACAGTACGACATTGTAAGCAAAGGTAATGATAAGCCGATTGGCCATCGCTGTAGAAGTTTTGCCAGTCGCATGTTGTTCGCATACGTAGATTAAGTACTAGACATTGCTTTGAAGCTTTTGCAGAGCATCACTTCATATGTGCGATAGTTGTGCGACACTAGATCACGTGCCTTTATGTACCGTAGTATGCTTAGACCGTGTCTTTATGCTCCAGCCACATACTGAATCATGGACATCGACAAGCTTTTCAAAGTAGGGAGTTGTCTTGCATAACTGTCGCATGCTGGTTGTGATGTCGTGACGCGTTCCAGGTGCCCAAGCTGCCCGCAGGCTCGAAGCGGAAGATGCCAGACAATCCTACACCGGAGATGCTGAAGAAGATGCGTCTCGACACTCCCTCGGGCGCTGATTCAGAGGATTCAGCCATGGTCGTTGACATGCCCGAAAGCAGCTCAGCTGCTCGCCGACAGTCGCGACGCGCAACTGTAGAAGATGGGGACGACGAAGGGGTTGACACCTCGTTTGCTCCAGGGGGTGACGCGGATTACTTTGCCGAGGAAGACGAAGAAGGACGATTCTACGGAGGAGGATTGACCTCGGAACAAAAGCAAATATTGAGTATTTTCGAGAGTGCTGAAGGAGAGGGCACAACGGAAGACGTGAGTGCATACAACGGCCCCACAAAGCGCGTATTGACACAAAGTGAAGCCAGAAGGAATATCAATCACAAGCATAAGAAGAACTCTACTGAAGTTTGAGCGAACTGTCAACAAAAATCAAGACCAACGCTCGAAGTACCCGGATGACCCGTCAAAGTAATTAACATTGAATATTTTATGGTCCTAGGACTGATTACATGCCGTTGCAGGTTCATCGACTCTGAAGCAGACCTCGATAGTGCGCTTAAATCTCTTTTGTCTTTAGCACAGTCACCAGTGCTGGCCTACCCGGAACTTGTACGTTCGGGTACTGTGAGTTTACTCATTGGGCTCCTAAGTCATGAGAACGCCGACATCGTCATTGATGTTGTCGATGTGATCCATGAACTTACTGACGAAGATGTCGGGAATGAGTTAGAAGATGAGGAGGAGCAAGAGGAAGCGCAGGCGGCGCTGAAGACCCTCATTGAAGCTTTGGTTTGTCCCAATATTTTGGCATGGTTCTGTTCTAAATCTTTGCCGCTTCATTCAGTTAGAGAATTCAATCTTGGAGTTACTTGTTGACAACCTCTCGCGTTTAAACGAAACGGAAGAATCAGACAGACAAGGTGTCTTCCATATTCTCGGTATCTGTGCCTTGAATCTCTCGCCATTTATTACTGACATACCATTCAGGTATATTCGAAAACATGCTCGGCTTCAACCCTGATCTTTCCCTTATACTGGTTTCGAAAACCAAGATGATGAATTGGTTACTCGATCGTGTCCAGTCCAAGACCCACAACGAAAACCGTGGCTATTCCGCAGAATTGCTTTCCATTCTTTTACAGAATAATACAGCGAATCGTCAAGATTTTGGCAAGAAAGATGGCGTCGAGGTCGCTCTTAACGTTCTTTCTGTGAGTTGCAGTTCACCATCGTAAGCTTTGAGATTGAAGCCTATGAGATAGCAATTCCGGAGGCGTGACCCAGTTGATGCCGACGAGACTGAATTTATGGAGAACTTGTTCGACGCTCTTTGTTCTGCGTTAGCCGAGCCTGAAGCCAAGTCTTTGTTCCTCGCGAGCGAAGGTGTTGACCTCATGCTTCTTATGATGAAGTAAGTGCATGCCTAAGCTGTTGACAAACGCTAACTTGTGCTGTTGGCAGGGAGAAATTGCAATCGAAATCGAGAGCAATCAAAACTCTCGACTACGCGATGTCCGGCACAGCAGGCACCATCATCTGCGCAAATTTTGTCGAGGTTCTTGGTCTGAAAACGCTCTTTGCTGCTTTCATGGGCAAGGTATAGATGCAGTGTTTTTTTCCACCGTGGCTTGGAGTGACTAATCCTGCTCCACAGGGTTCAAAGAAATCTAAATCCAATGGACCTGCAGCAGCTTCTGAAGATACTTCACATATCCTTGGCATTATCTCCTCGTTATTTTCAAACGTTCCATCGGAATCTCCAGACCGAATACGTCTACTCGCCAAGTTTGTAGAAAACAACTATGAGAAAGCTGACAAACTACTCGAGGTGCGGGACAATGCTCACAATCGCCTGAAAGTTGTGGACGCAGAGATTGAGGCAGAGAAAAAGGTACGCGCCCTGTATATTTGCTAACAAACGTTCAGTTCGAACACTTAATGCACAGGACACCCTTGCTGAAGGCGGTGAAATTGAACCAGAAGACGAGGATCTGTTTTATCTCCGCCGACTGGAGGGAGGACTATTCACGCTGCAGACAGTCGATTATATCCTCGCATGGGTAGTCATGGAGGACGATGGAGTAAGCAATATCTTTCGACGACTCGTGATAGTTAAGTTGAGTAACATTCTAGATTCGCGCGCATGTCACACAAATGCTAGAGCGCAAGAACCAGTCCCTGAAAGACATTACCTCGACCCTTAAAATATACCGTGACAACCTCAACGTTGACATTCAGAGTAACGGTACAGCTACTGATCACGATCCAGAAGGTGGAACACTGTCACAAAAAGAGATCCTGCAACATCTGATCGACTTCCTGAATGAGACGGAGCAGGCTATATGGCATTAAAATATATAGCGATATATGAGTAAAGTACGGTCGTACGACCTGTTATGCAGCAGTTAGTGTAGCAGACGCGAAAATCATTTCGAGTGCGCCTTTTGTTTTGACCAGTTCTTTTTGGAACCGAATCTCGGCAAGGACTTTCTTTCGTAGTCGCATGAAAAGCGAATCGATGAGTGGTGACTGTCCAAGTACTGGCGTGTACATTTCTGCGTAGATAAGTCAGGTCAGCAAAAGTGCAAGAAAATCGATCACGTACCGATGACCAGACTTGAGACATCGCACACCATTTCACCAAAACGGGGATCGGCGACATGCTTCACGAGAAGATGCAAGACTGGTTCCAAAAGGACATCATCTCGACCTGCCAATGCACTCCGAAGGCCATCACGATGGATCAGTTCTTGTATAAGAGAGAAGGTTGTTGTCGGAGGGACATTCTGTGAGGTGGTTAGGTCATCTGATTATCTAACCTTGACGAGGGAACATTACCTTTCTGAGCACCGAATCCAAAGCTCCTGAATATTTGAAACCTTTCAGTAGCCTGTCGTACTCTCTCAGATGCCTTGCTCTTCTGCTTTCAATTCTCAACTCGTCCACATCTCCAGTTGGCTTTGGCTTTATTTTGGACTTCGTGCGTCCTTGACCAATTGTAGGAAGGGTGCCTCCTAGGAATGTTTCGAAGGCCCCAGATTTCAAAGCAGCAGTGAAAGGCTGATCCGCGCCTTCTGAGGCTTTTGGCTGTCTCCGTCTGACAGAGAGGGTGCCATCAGACATTCCCGCAGCGATATGAGTTTCATCTGGCTAATTCTGTCTGTCAGTACAGGAACAGTGGAAGAAAGTAGACCTCTACATACGGAAATGGCAAGACAAAGGACAGGTGCGGGGTAGCGCATGGTATGTACGACCTTGTACGAGCTGACATCATAAACCTTCACCATGTGATCCAAACTCCCCGTTAACAAACGACCTGCGGATCCGTCAAAGGCAAGCGAGGTAATGGTTTTCTGATGATTCGAAAATGCACGTAAACAACGGCCACCAGCGACCAAGTCCCAGAGGCGCAAGATAGGACCTGCAGTTGAGAGGGCCATTGTACCAGATGGGAACATTTTGACTTGCTCGACCGGTACTGCATTCGAAGCATCTCCGCCCATTATCATCTCGCACTGACTAGTCCGTGTGTCAAATAATCTCATGGTCGCATCATAAGAACCAGTGAAAATGAGATGCGGATTAGACGTCGAAACTTCACCAGAGCGAACGTAGTCGGTGTGAGCATGGAACGTGACTACTTCGGCTTGTGATGGAACATCCCATAATTTTACGGTGGTGTCGTCTGAACACGAGAGTACTTGGGTGGGTGCTAGGGGGGAAAATTTGGTGACATGTACCGGCTGCTTATGCGAATCCAGAGTGCGGAGGATGGCACGTGAATTGATGTCAAATACCTGGGAGCAGATGATGATCAGGGATGTATAGCAAAATATGATATGCACGAATACCTGGACCAGGCCTGTATCGTCACCGGCAACGACGAGCTTTCCGTCAGGACGAATATTACCACTGCGAGCAACATCCTTGAAGCGCGAAATTGTTTTTGTGACTTTCTGGGTTCGGGGTGCATAAATCTGGACACGAGTTGCTGCTGTTACAGCATACCTATGAGGTTTAGAGGGAGAGAACTGAATGGAGGTGACCGGAGCGTATTCTTTGATGAATACTGGGTGTTTAAATTGACGCCAATATCTTGATTCTGGACTATGCTTGGCTGCAGCCGGACGAGCATGCCTCTGTACGATTACCGGCTGATAGTCCATGGTAAGCAGATACAGTGTCGGGATTCGGATGACAAGATTTTTAATATCCCACGGGATTAGATCCAGTGATATCGATGTACATAAAGATCAAGACCACTTCAGGATCTCTCTTACCTCAACTTCGATCTCCTTCGTCGGAACCCCCTTTCTTTTTCTCTAGACTTCATTCTATCTACTAACAATGCTTCTTTACGAAGACATCATCACCGGCGATGAGATGTTCTCTGATGCATTCCCCATGTACACTCGATCATCCTTGGCGCTCAAACCGTACTGACTATTACATTCAGGAAACTGGTGGACGGAATCGCCTACGAAGTCGATTGCCAGATGATCGTCCTAAAGGAGGGCGATGTCGATATCGGTATGCGCGGCATTTTTTCTCGTGCGATCGAGAGATCAGAACTCATCCATTTTGCAGGTGCCAACCCTTCAGCTGAAGAACAGGAAGAGGCACTTGAGGCTGGAGCAATTTCCGTCAACAACATCGCACATTCATTCCGTCTTCAATCTACCGTCTACGACAAGAAAGCATATCTAGGCCACCTCAAGGTATTACTGTCATTCATACCTACGGACATCGAAACTGATCAAGGGTTTAGGATTATATGAAGAAAGTAGCGGAAAAATTGGCAGAGAGTGGAGATCCTAATGCTCTTGCTACTGTTACCGACTTCAAGGCCAAAGCAAATGTTTTCGCTAAGAAAATAGTTGGTAATTTCAAAGACTACGAATTCGTGTGTTGCGCTTTGCCCTTATACGTGTTGACTCTGACGATCGAATTTCAGTACACTGGTGAGAGCATGAACATCGAGGGAATGGTGGCCTTGTTGAACTACCGGGTAGGTTGCTGTTACAGGAATCGAGGATGTGTTCTCATTGATTTCTTTTCCAGGAGGATGGGATTACCCGTACGTATTATCTGTCAAGCAGATCTGTGACCATGCTTATCGCATCTCGGCAGCCTACTTCACGTTCTGGAAGCACGGTCTCAAGGAAGTCAAACTTTGATATCTTATTTCAACTGTGCTTTTCATTATTCTCATCAAGGCAATCACGAGTCTGCTCCACTTTGCGCTCTTACGAGCCCCCATGAATGCAAGAGATAACATGAGTAGATGCAACTTTACTACACAAATAATTACAGTTCGTCGTGAGCATCTCGCGGTGCCTCGAATGTAGCCTGCGATCCGTTTTCCGGAGCTTTGACTGCAGGCTTCAGGCTGTTTTTAGCATGCTCCTCCACATACGCAACAAAAGATTCCAACTCCCGGTCACCGTTGTACTCAAGGAACTCCCGCGATCCAGCAGGTTTGAACTTTAGGGTAGGGAATGAACTAACGCGGAATGGCGCTGAAACCGGGAGATCATTCTCCGAACCCTCAAACTTTGCACTGCAGAAATTAATAAGCTACTGTCCAAAAAGTGGAGGAGTGAACGTACATGATCAACTGGTCCTTCACACCAGCGAAGTGATCACCGAGGGAGTCCCAAATTGGTTTCAAGCGCTTGCAGTGACCGCACCTAAGAGATAGGTTTGAATAATATGTACCATAGACCATCAACAAAACAGCGTACCATGTAGCGTAGATTTCAATAAACACATCCTTGGAGTCGTCAAACACGACCTCGTCGAATTGGTCACCGACGAGCGTAAAGACATTCTCATCTTGAGACTCAGGGATAGGTTGGCTTTTAAGCTTAGGAGCGAGCGTCCCGGCGAGGTAGTCGGCGACCATAGTGGAGACAGCATCAGCCTCGATGGGCTTGTTCTGGTCGTAGGGGTACTTGCTCTGGGTCTCTAGATTCTGAATAACCAAGCTCGGCCACTTGGGCTCAGCAAGGTTCAAGGCCTTAGCGTGCTCGCCAAACTTGGTCGCATCTATCCAAACGAAGTGAACCTCGCTGCGGTACTTGGCAGCAACAGGCTTCAAAGCAGTGATGACCTCGTCGCTCTTCTCGTTTGCAGGCTCCACGAATAAGTAGACGATGGGCTTTCCGCTGGCAGCGTACATGGAGAAAGTCTCTCCATTGACCTCGCCAAGAATGGGGATAGACAGCTGCTTAACCCAGCCCTCAATCTCACTGACAGTAGCTGCAGACACTGGGTACGGGTAATCAGAGGCATGCTCATCGAAGTTGCGGTAGACAACGATGGCAGGGGGAGTGACGCCTGCAGCTGAGATGGCCTCAGCGTCCGAGGTGATGCCAAAGAGATACTCGTCACGGTTCTTCTGTGCTGCTGCGCTGAATTCAGGCACAGGAGCCCCTGTGGTCGAGGAGACGTAGGCAAGGACGACAATCTTATCAGCATTTTGGAATTCGTTGAGATTAGAGGCGGTGACCTGAGAAACGGCAGGAAGGGTTTGTCTAATTAGAATGAGGTTAGCAGGTAGTCAAGGGAGTCAAAAAGACTAAACGTACTTGACCATGTAACTGATGATGCCATCGGCAGTTCGGGCACCAGAGTAGTCAGTGGGTTCACCGTTGCGGAAGACTTTCAGGGAACTGTCAAGGGAAGTTCAACACACATAAGAAAACAGTTGCAACACTAATATGAACTTACGGGTAACCCTGGACGCCATACTCCTGGCAGAGGTCTGCCTGGTCGACACAATCGACTTTAGCGAGCTTGATTTCCTTCTCCTTGAGAGAAGTGGCTGCCTCCTCGTAATGGGGAGCAAGAGCTTTGCAGTGGCCGCACCTGTCATGGAACTCAGCCAGTGGACATGCGAAAAGATGATGATGTTACCATGGAGCATAGAACTCGACAAGAATTAGAGATTCTGGGTTAACAGACGAACTGAAGGTGTCCTTTGTAAGGGCAAGTACATCGGAAGGAACCTCAGCATCCTCAGCAGATGCGAAGGACGCAAGAGCGATGACGGAGGCCACCGACACGAAAGAGTTGAGACGCATTGGACGATGCGTACGTGGATTTGAGGAAGTTGGCTAATGGAGTCAAGCCACAAGGCTTTTTTATAATCCAAGTAACTGTATACGTGTCGCCAGGTGTCACTCCGGTCTGGTATTGCCGTAATTACAGCAACTTCCAGCAATACACAGCTGTAAAGCCGCGACTCGTTACCGTTTATGCTACTTTATTCTTCCAAATACACTTGGTTTGAAATAAATGGACACGCGGCCATAGCTACTCTATCCAGTTCAATCATTGAGTCGGAGCAACATATCTACCAACAATGTCCAGATTTATGTGTGAATAGTTTGAGCGACATTGAGCTATGTACACCTATTGACTCGAGCAACACAATTCAACTACAAATTGGACAGGTCGAAGTTACTGCCAGCTGTTCGACCGCCACCATAGTGCCTCACCCCTGCGACAAAAGGACGTGGCTGAGGGAAGTCAGTCACAGGAAACGTATGTGCGCCAGCATTTGGAGGGGGCGAAGGTACTGGCGTACGGTGATGAGCCATGTCAAATATGAGAACCTAAATGCGACTTACTTTTGCGAGTTGGAGGTGCCCTTGATCCATTCACACTGCCGTTGATGCTGGGCCGTCCAGCAGGTAAAGCGGGAGGGTCAGGATCAGCAGATGCTGGCGTTGAAACGGTATGCAGTCGAGGAACAGATGCGGGCGGCACTGGACGGAAGGGTGAAGGTCGAGATGTAGGTGTAGGCGGTGCAGGGGAGTCAACTTCCGATAAAGCTCGGACACGAGCTGGAGGAGCAGGTAGACCATCTGTTGCAGGAAGTTTACGAGAGGGTGGAAGGGGGGCTGCTCGAGACGGAGATCCAGCCGCCGACAAGGGTCTGGCTGGAGGGGGAGGAGGGACTTTCCTTGCAGGTGGAATTGGAGGCTGAACACTGTTGCGAGCGGGAGGATGGGGAGGAACAGAACGAGATGTCGTAGATGGTGCTGGTCTGGGAGGAGAGACAGGACGAGCCGGCGGGGATGGAGGACGAACAAGCGAAGAAGTATGACGTGCAGGCGAAGAGGCAGTACGGGCGGGTGGAGAGGCGGTTCGGAAAGGTGGTGGTGGCGGGCGGGCAGGGGGTGTTGGGGGAGCTGCAGGGGGGGCAGGGGAAGCTGTTCTTGCGGGAGGCGGTCGGCGTGGCGGAGGAGGAGCACCATTGGGAGGGGTGGGCGTATTTCTTGAAGGCAAAGTTGGTGCAGCTCGTGAAGGCAGAGCAGGAGCAGAGCGTGATGGCAGTGATGGCGCATGCCGACCGGGGGGCGCGGGAACCGCAGAATGGGGTGCGGGTGCGGACGGCCTAGGAGGAGGACCCCTCGCAGGCGGAGGCGGCGCACTAGCAGCAAAGGAAGAAACATCTCGCCTAGGCACTGATGGTGGCTTTCCAAGCGTTGGAGGTTTTGCTGAGGAACGATGTTAAGGACAAGATCAGATGATAAACGATAACTACATACCTAAGTTGCTTTGTCCTGCAGGCTTCAACTTGGGCATACCTCCTGCAAACAACCCACCTAATTGAGGGGGACCGCCAGCACCGATTGCGGACGATGCGCCTCCTGCTCGTGCAGCAGCAGCAGCCCCGATACCGCCCCCGCCCCCGCTTGGCTTCGCATCAATCACAGGCGCACTGCGGTCACTTGTTTGCGCTTTCTTGAGTTGTCTGCCCGCCTGAATCTGTTTCAAGAGTTCAGAGGAGGCCATGGTTGATCGTGGTCAGCGAGAAAGGGCGTGTAGTCACTCCGCAGCCAAGTACTGACTCTGTGTCCACACGTGACGATCGATGTCATCGAACCCCCTACTACTCGACACCATCTACATATACTACCACTACTAGCAGAATGAAGCGCGGTCAAAGGAATGCTGAACATAGCCAGGATTCTACAGATACAAGGGACTGGGTCCTGGACGATGAAACAAAGTTCATCCAATACATCGCTATCCACCAAGCCAAGGGTGGACAAGGCATGGATTTCGACAAGTCATTCTGGGTCGATGCCGCCACCGAGATGGCTAAGCAGGGTGCACCGAAAACTGCTGATGCCTGCCAGTCAAAATGGTTGCAGGTGGGTGATATCAGCCCACATCAATTCGCGTGCTGATATCGAGAGTCATGACCTTCAGATTCGCAAAACTTTTCATGTTATCGACAAGTTAGCGAATGTGCCTGGCCTATCTTACAGCCTTGATAATGGAGCTGGTGTCATTGCTGAGTCTGAGATCATCTGGGCTGGTTTTATAGAAGTATGATTTTGTAACCCATCTCACTACTGCTGCACTAATATGTACGCAGAATACTCCCCGAGCCAAGCCATTCAAGACCAAAGGCTGGCCGCATTATGAAATACTGAAGGGTACCATATCATCAAAGACACGCAGCAAGAACGTTTTCGATGACATTATCCATCCTACTGTCATCGGCTGTGGTCCCGGCTACGACAAAAAATACTGGGATTCCATGACGGCTGCACTTGATGTTATCGAGTTTGGGCCTCATAGTGTCCCAACAAACAGTGTCGCCGATGATCCAACTGTCCCGCTTGGCAGATACGCCTTTCACCCCGGGCGGCAACCTCCCCTTGGTCCCTCCAATATCTCTTCATCGGACTCATCAGACGATGACGACATGTGGAATGAGTATCAGCCACCAAAATCCTCAAACACGCAAAGAAATGCGCCATCAGCGTCAGCTGAATCTCTGAACGCATCTCTTCTGCATGCTCTTGATCGGTTTGGTGAGGCAATTCGCAAGCTCGGCCCCGTCTTGGGGCAGCCAGTAGACACTCCAGGAACGAGCACTTCGTTTTCTGTGGATCCAGTCCCGCTACGCAAGCAAAGGGCCATCATTCAGGTGCAAAAGGAGGATCTGGAAGACCAAGAAATACTGACTATGATCAATCTGTTCCAAACTGACGTTGCGACTGCTGACTCCTACCTTGTGATTGAGAAAGACAGTGTCCGGAGACTGTTTTTAGCGCAGTACTTGAAGAAGTAGCATCCTCTTGCATCTGAATCCCACATACATGCATGACATGGGCGCCACCTTTCATCGTTTACATGCATACATGCATGTCTTTCCTAGTATACGTCGCGACGTGGTTGGGCTTGTATGTGTAAGATACGTGCGGCACTGTTCCTGGTATCATCGGCAACACACTAGGGGTCTTCAGGCAACTAACGTACAATATTAATTGCTGCTACTAAGAAGTGCATTACCGTGCCGCCAATGGCACGAAAGGAGTGTAAGTAAACTCGTCAAAAGTGGTATGTAAACTGAGCGTGTTGGAGCCGTTAATCTACCTGCAAATGACGGTCGTGGTCAACTTCACTGATACTAAAAAGAGCCTGAGCCCCTACCTCAGTTACACCAAAAGAACTCGTTGGTGTAGTGTTCGAGTGCCAAAATACCCTCGGAGGGGGACGTGGTCCACGAATGCGTATTCCACTGGCAGCTGGAGGGGCACGACGGTACGTTACGAATGCCGGGATGGAAGGATCAATGAGGCTGTTATCTTCTGCCGCTTCCTCCTGCACTTTCAGCGATGGAAGTCTACCAAAAAATCTTCGGGATCCAGCAGGACTAAGAGCATTGAAAGACTGCTCTCCGAAGGTGCTCTGTGTGAGTAATTTTGAAGAATATGGAACACTGGCGGCCAGTTGTTCTGTAGGGGATGGCTGGGGAAGAAATGATAGAAGAGACTGGTTGCCAAACGTACTTCGCCTGGTAGGTGATAGACTGCTCTGCCCAAACGTCAACCACTGGTCATGTCGGTGCTCCGAAGACGAAGACTTTTCGTCGGAGGGAGTCACAGGAGCACCTCTGCTGTTACGATGGAAGTGGACAAGATAAGATGGCGCGCTCTCCAAAGGCAACAAGAAAACTGGGGTCAGACGGTAGTGTGCTGCTACGGGAGCGCTGAGACCGTCTCTTGGTCACATCCACCCTGCCACGGGAGCCGAATGGCTGGATGATATCAGACCCGTACGCCACTGAATCGGCAGATATTGGCCGAGACGTCTGCGCCGCAGGGGGCAGCAGCAGTTGTGAAGTAGTGATGTTGATGTGTGGCCTGATGGGGAGACCGTCACGGCTAGGTGGACCTTGATGGCGCTCTAAGTCTTGTGCGTACTCATTCTGGTTAAGTAGAATACGACCAGCATCAGATGGTGGCGCGGAACGGGTCTTGGTGTACTCCTCCACAGCCTCGTCATGACCATAGATTGAAACCGATGAACTGAAGGTCTCAACCGGATCGAGTAAATGGGGGCGAGATTGGGTGTACCTTAATCTCGAGGCAATCTCGACCACATCGGTCTGGCAACTACGAGCAGCAGTGTTGGAACTATAAAGACTAGATGATATTGACGACGCAACAGATGTACGGTAGGTCTGAGTGGTTGGGAAGTCCGTCGAGGCAGCGAACGGATGGCCAGGGATATGAATTTGTGCGGTGCGTCTGGGAGGCATCGACACTCGAATGGTGGGAGCTGTTGAACAATCAAGGCTCATGGGTACAGGTATTGGTTCGCCAAGAATCGGGCTCCTTCGACGTTTATGGAACGTTGCTAGAATTGTTCAATATTTCAACGGACACCAACTCATCTCAGAAACACATACCTAGCACAATAAGAGCTCCTATACTGAATGGAACAAATTCACCGATGATGTCGATCGACTTGACTCCGGGTACCAAAGTCAAGAGGTCGAAGAGCAAAAGCGATAGCGCGCGAAGAACTCTCGTATCCGTTATTGCTCCAATCCTGTGCTTGAACTCGAGGAATGGCGGAGCAATAAAGGACAACAGTCTGCCGATTATGTAGAGCTCTAGGGTCACGAGCATCAAGGACATGGTCAAGGCGGTGGGAAGGTAGCTTCATGGAGAAATTAGACAGTCATGCCGTGCGCACCAAATATCACTGACCTTGTCCTGTAGCACAAGTACGTTCCGAGCTGTAGTACATATCTGCAATTGTAATTCTTTCAAAATATCCATTGAGGAAGGAGTGACGACACGTACGCGACTGTTCCAACGCTAGTGGCATATGTTGCAACCACAAAACCTTATATAAGTGTCAGTCAAGCCCACCTGTTGAATAAGGATGCACTTACCACCACCAACAAATAACCAAGACCAAGCCAGATATATTTCCCACCGCCACAGCTCGAATTTTCGTAGATCAAGATTTAAGACGATCAGACCCATGAGACGAGCACAGGCTGCAGAAAATCCTCCTAAGGCAACGACAAATGCTACGAAATGAGGCATCTACCACGATCCTGATTTTGTGCGACTCACCACAAACAGAAGATCCACTGCTGGAATTGAACGACAGTAAGGATGAAAAGTGGGCCACGCTCGCGAACGCGAAACAAAGAGAAAGCAGCAGGACTAGCACAGAGTTTTCATCTTCCAATGAATTTATGCTGGAACCTCGATCACCCCCCAAAAGGGTTTCTAGATGCTTCTCAGAATTCTTCCAAAGAGCGCCATGTTCATTGCGAAAGGCGGACTCTAGCTGCAGGTCTTGATCAAAGGCCCTGGTGCATTTTCGATACAGGTGACACATCACTGGCGAGGTCCCGATGCATAGGAGACTGCAAATAAAGACCCAGCCTAGAAAAAAAGACGCGATTTGACGACTGAGACGTAAATTAGCTGATACCCATTGGAGAGACGAATCGACTCACTAGTCGGGATGCTCCGAAGATTCGCTGATGGATAGTGTGCTTGCATCACGTACCATAAGGACACTCGATGCATCGGAGCCCAGCATCATAGATGATAGCACTTGGGAAAAGAGAACGGACGAGGCCAGCTCGGAAAACGACGAGAAGAGGGTTTTGGGGACCAGCCTCCACAAGCATACAGTGAGGGAGCGCTAGGGAAGACCGAGAAGGTATCACGTTTCTGAGAATTGTTCTGATACATTCCAATTTTATATTTGTTACAATCTGCACAGCCCCAGGCAGGCTATGGTACGTGCCTACCTGTCGAGTCTCCCTTTGGTTAACGTTGATACAACGGAGCCACTAGCCTACAATGTGACAGAAGGCCTTGACGACCAGGCGTGGCGCCAGAATGCGTTCAGTAAGGTTCAGTAGTAACTACTACTAGTAGTTGTAGTGGCCTGCGGGCGGCAGTGGCAGTGAGTGGGCTGAGTGCATGATCTAAGCCCACTTGGTTTGGTTGTCGTCTGAGCGATGGTTTCAGTCCCATCTCTCAAAATCAAGAAGAAGCCACGTACTCTGTTGATCATTGTGGGGTTTGATTGTTCTCCTGTGTCCTCCAATCGCCGATCACTGTTGGAGGATGCAGATTAACTTGCTATAACGTTCACTTATTTAAGTAGTCCCTAGTATTAAGGGACCAAAGTGGGCCACCCCCGAATGAGGGGTGACTGGTGCTTTATCACGTGAAAATCACGTGAACTTTGACCAAACTTCGAACCAAACACATTTTCCGGGTCTAGCTTGCTACTGGTTAGTATCAAGGCAGGCCTCCTCCTCCTGTTCCATCATGGAGAACACACCGCAGCTAGGTACAGCTGCAGATCTTGAAATGCGGGCTGCTCGCATTGCGGACCCTGGTATAGGTACGTGTCCTCCCATATAATTCAACATTCTGAAATTGCTGAGCACACTGTCATAGATCTCAAAACGAAGCACAACGTTGCATGCGAGCTACGAGAAATGATAGACACCGTCAGGGATGCCGAATCTGCGCGTGTATTCCCTCAAATGATTCCAGTTCTCTTGGAAATTCTGAACACCGGGGACGCTGCATATCATAAAGACATCATGGAGTACCAGTTCAGGCGCGTGCTGCTTGAAATCATACATCGCATTCCCTACGGGGAAACTATACGTCCTCTTGCTCTGCCATTACTCGGTGGTATGCTTCACGCCTTGCGTCATGATAATGAGGAAAATGGCGTCACGGCATGCAAGATTATTATCGACCTTTTACGGTCGTTTCGAGCCCTGACAGAAGAGCTCGTCGCCGAATTCATGGGAATTCTTCAAGACGTATTTCGGAATATGAAAGGGCTTGTCCTCGATACACTCTGCGAGGACTCCCCTGTTCTTGATCCCAATGTCGTCCTTCCCAGCATTCGCAGTTTCAAAGTCCTCGCCGAGATGGGAATGGTGGTTGTCACCTTTTCTCAGAGTCACCGCCCGCTAGTCCTTACAGTCATTCAAACAACACTCGGCCTGAACTTCGAGGTTCTGGGTCTCGAATCTCCCGCCCAGAAAAAAGCTAGAGAAGATTATGAGGCCATGGGATCTTACTGGTCCGGCATGGCGCCCACGATTAAGAATCCTCAAGCGTACATGGATTTCATCACTGGGCAAATCAAGGTATGTCCTGGAACGATTTCGATATTCGAGGTACTCATTGCTTAGATGGTATCTTATGTCGCATATGTCATGCGAGGCTTTGGAGAGCAGTTTGATTCTTTTGGAGAGAGGCTGATTCTTGCTGCTCTTCGATTAATGCAAGACTTGCCTTCCAACGGAATTCAGGCCCGAAAGGTGAGCTACATGTCTCAAAGGCACCACCAGACCTAACGCATCCTTCAGGATCTGATAGTTGTGCTACGGCATCTTATTGGCACGCCGCATCGAAAGGCCCTTTTGCCCCAGATCGACAAGCTGTTCGATGAACGTATTCTTCTTGGAGATGGAGTTGGTAGTAAAGAGACTTTGCGGTAAGTTCACTCGATCGGGCAACGAAGGGCTATAGTTGATCATCACCATTCAGTCCGTCAGTCTATGCCTCGGTTGCAGACCTTGTTCACCACGTCCGAGGCGACCTCTCAGCGAATCAGCTCGCGCGCGTGGCGAAGCTATATTCCGCCTTGATCCATAACCCATACCTCAGCCATAACTTACATACGCTGTTCTCCAAGATGATGTTCGGTCTGATCGAGAATATTACAACGAAGGACACCCCTCAAGGTGCCGCACGGGTACTGACTGCAATGTTCGAGACCTGTGTCGATAAGGTCGAGGCGATGACACTAGTCTTGGACAATGCACTCGAGAGGATCGAGAAAGCCAAAAATGGTGAAGAGCAAGGCATCAACTTTCTGCTGATAGAGAAGACACGACCCGTCGCGGGTGCTGCCTATGCAACTGAGAAGCCGGAAGAGGTTATCCACGGTAAGAGCACGTTCAAAATAGCACTTTCAATGCGTACGAATTATCCTTTGATTATAGAGTGCCGCTTTCTCTTCCGAACCCTCCTTCATGGTTTCCGTGTTTGCCTAGTGGGATTGAAGAAATGTGATGCACCAGTTCCCGACGGCACACTAATCCTCCGTCTCTTCAAAAGTTGCATGGAATGTATGGCCCTATTCGACACCGAGCCACGCGACGCTACCGAAGCCATGGACTGGTTCAGCGCAGTCCTGCTGGAGGTCAATCTTCACGTGTTCCAAGAGGTTTGGACCCACAAGATCGAGTTCTTTTTCGAAGCAGCTCGAAAGAGACCTGCGCTCTTACAAATCTGCCAAATTTTGTTCAGTCGTGAAAACGTCTCGCCCACTTTGGTAGCAATCGTCCTTCGTTTCCTTATTGACCGCCTATCACTTCTTGGGGAGTACGACGACCAGACAGCGGTCATCACCATTCGGCTGTTCAAGATGGCATTTGGTGCAGTCACGTCTTTTCCTGTGCCCAATGAACCCATTCTGGCTGCACATTTAGCTAAACTCATCATGGATTGTTTCCCTCTCGCTGCGAAAGCCTCCAAATCAACCAACTACTACCATCTTTTGAGAGGCTTGTTTCGCGCAATCGGCGGAGGAGGGGGTCGTTACGAACTTCTGTACAAAGAAGTTCTACCACTCCTTCCCGATATGTTGGAAAGCTTAAACCGCCAGTTGCATGCCTCCGAAGGGTATGCGAGGGACATGATCGTTGAGCTTTGCCTCACGGTACCTCTGCGTCTCACACATCTCCTACCCCATCTCACATATCTCATGCGCCCCCTCGCACTTGCCTTACGTGGGACTCCTGAGCTCGTGTCTCAGGGTCTTCGTACGCTTGAGCTTTGTATCGACAACCTGACACCGGATTTCCTGGATCCGACTCTCAACACCGTTCTCCGGGAACTCATGGAAGCGCTTCACAGTCACCTAAAGCCATTACCTGCTAGTCATCATCATGCCCACACGACCATCCGCATTCTTGGCAAGCTCGGTGGGCGCAATCGTCGTTTGTTATACAAAGAGCCTGCCCTCGAATATAGCCCATTCTCGAAGGCGGCAACCATTGCTCTCTCTTTCGGCGGCTCGATGGAAAACGTGAAGCTGGCTCCGATGACTAACTTAGCGGTTCGAACCCTCCGCAAGGCTGCACCTGCCTATCGTGCCCACACATACTCCTTTTTGGAGACGTGCATTATAACTCTTTTGCATGATGTAAGTAATATTGGATAGGGTTATACTCAGTGACTGACGTTCAATCTCGTACCACAGAACAGCCACGGACCAGATGAATCTGCGGTGTTCGTCAAATCACTGGAAGCGATATTTGACGCGATACACATGCCCGAAGTGAAAGATGACGCTGACAAGTTCATTCGTGAACTGTCTCGAGCTGTATTCTCAATGGAGCTTCGCAAGAATGCAACTAAGGAAGCTGGCCTCAAGCGATATCCTAGTCCCCTTCTTTCTTCGTACTTGGAGGCCTTACCTTGCGCTCTCGCACGCGATAACATCGAAGAAGTGCACAAGGGTGAGGAACTTGTCACGTCAATCTTGAACGACTTGGTGGTCATGTGCGCGCAGAATGGTGTTACTGCACAGGACGTTGTTCCTACGCTGAACCAAATCTCTGCGCGCTTTTGTGCTGTCTGCCTCGACGATTCATGGGTGCGGAAGAGCGCAGGATGCACGGGAATCAGGATTTTGACGTACCTCCCTAATATTGGTGTAAAATGGGTTGGTGACCGCGAAGTTGAACTTGTGCGAACCTTGCTTCACATCCTGAAGGATCTCCCTTTTGATCTCCCGCGCGATGTCACCGACGTCATCGATGTTCTTAAACGTGTCTTGCGCGTCACCTACACGGATATGGATGCCATGTCTGACATCCCCATCACCGCTCGTGCAAAGCTAGTCCATATCCTCGGTATCTTCTTCTCCGAGCTCTCAAACCCCAACCCGGTGGTTCGTCAAGCGGCCCAAATCTGCGTCGAGGTCTTCGTCGAGCTCACTGGGAAATCGGCTCACGAACTCCTCTTACCTCATCGGGATCGCATGCTGACAGCAATTTACACCAAACCGTTGAGGGCGTTATCTTTCCCGATTCAAGTGGGGATGATCGATGCAGTACGCTACTGTGTCAGTCTTGATCCACCGCTTCCGGAGCTGAATGATGAATTGCTCCGATTGTTGCACGAAACTCTCGGACTCGCCGACGCCGACGACGTCCAGCTCGCTCGCGGAAATCTTCGCCAAGGATCCCTCGAGATCATCAAGCTTCGGGTGGCTTGCATCAAGCTCCTTACTGCATCCATGCCTATGACAGATTTCTTTTCAAAGCAACACCAAACTAGACAGAGGTCAGCGATAGTTCCTAATTTGTGGGCAGCATTGACTTTATATGATGCAGAGTCACTGGAGTCTATTTCAAGTCTCTGTATTCCCCTTCGCAGGAGGTAAAAGAAGTTGCACACGAAGGACTTCGCATGGTTCTCACCCAT